CCCTAACCCTAACCCTAACCCTAACCCTAACCCTAACCCTAACCCTAACCCTAACCCTAACCCTAACCCTAAACCCTAAACCCTAACCCTAACCCTAACCCTAACCCTAACCCTATGGATGGTTAGCCTTATAAGTGCAAAAGGTCCTATCAGGAAATATTACCAGCATGATAGGACACTGCAACTGAAAAAGTTACTTTGCTCTTGAGGGTTACTTAGGGTTAACTTCAGCACTAGGGCCAGGTCTTGCTGTTCAATATTATGTGTAGGTTTGGTCAAATCCTGATGGAACCCAAACCCAACCTCAATTGGCGCTGTATCACGACCGCCAAGTACCATGCTTAAATCTGTTACACACCCTGGCCCAGAGGCTGACTCAGCCCTACTCCTCGCGAGCAGGTAGACTTTTGCGGAGGGTCTTACAAATATAAAAATAATAGTATAAATAATTTAGTAGATTAATAGTTATTTATCTATACTAAAAACATATAGATTAGACTAGGATTAATGGTGGTCTATCACTATAAATCTGCCTACTAGGCTACTAGCTCAGGTTAGGAGGATTACTCTGTTCCGCCTGCTGTAGTGAGTGGATCAGCCACCGGTGGTGTATTATCGACCTGTATCCCTCCTCGTTTAGGGTAGCAGCTATCATGAAACGGCAGGCACCAACCGCCTTCATGCTCAGGTGTCGCGACCCACGTCCGCAAAAGATATCGTTGTGGCTTTGGAGGAGGTGGATCTGTGAATCCGGTTCGCGAGTGGAATGTCTGGCAGCAGGACACGAACTGTATATCTCCAATCTCGCAGTCATAGACAATTCCATGTCGCTGGCAGGTCTCCTCCAGGACTTCCATTGCGTCCAGCTGCTCTGCAGAGAGAGGGGGGATTAACCCTTTATTGCTGAAGCGAGTCAAAGATTTGACAAAGTACGGGTCCCACCTATCCCATTGAGTGCGACATTAGCATAGTGCAATTTCCACCTGAGAGAAAGGGGCTCGCAGTCATACTTGACGTAAACACGCTCTTTGCCACCGGGTTCGACCATGAAGATGGGGTTCTTGAACCAAGGCTCTTGGCCATCTGTCACCTCGCCCTTGCGGTCGACATGCCAGATGGGAGAGGCCAACGTCTTTGCGACATCGGGTCTCTCTTTCACCAAGGCATTCCAGACTGTGTGTGCAGATGCACAGCCCGAGGCACCACCCGTTTCCCCGGGAGCGCAGAATAAAAGCCCAACGATATCTGTTTCGTCGGTGTGATAGAACTGACTGGTGCGTATCAGTATAGCACTCGCATAATGAGCTCGGGGGATGGAGGTGTTGGACTCACGGAGCATTTGTAGCTGAGATCTTGATCTTATCCAGATCGTTGTGATAGTCGGCGCCCTGGTTCGTCACATGGCCGAGGATCAGGCCAAGTTTATTCTGCGAGACGAGGTATCCAAAATGTACAGACAGTCCCATAATCACCACTGCCGCCTTGTATCTCCCCCACTTGTCGATGGGTAGACCACTGAAAACGATAAACCCACGTCCATTCAAGATATCGTTCCGAATGCCGGGCAAAATCTTTTCTAGCGTGGGGAGCCGGAACTTGTCCTTGAGCCGTGCACATATATGTCAGCCATATGATCCACAGACGGCGGCAGCTATTCAAATTACCTTACTGATACTGGTAAGGGGCGTCCCTGAGGCTATGAATGCGTCCACGGCGTGTAGAAGCTCTGCAAGCTCTGGCTCTGTCCACCGGTGAATCCATTGCTCTGGGTGCTGGATCATATGCATCGCTGTCCAGGCCGTTGGCCCGCTTAAGCTGCGCGGGAACTCCTCGAACGGGCGTAATTGACTTTCGATTGGTGGATGTTGGCCACTGGTACGAAGCCCATCAGGAAACAACTTGCGGTCCACCGGCACGACGCGAGGGAGGCCGGCAGGGAGACCCCGCAGGGCTGGCGCGATATTCATTTCAACTAACGTACTGATAAGACAGAGATTACAGGTATTCAAAAGAGGTGTTCTCACTGACAAAGACGCCAGTCCAAGGACGTGTATCTAGCATAAATACGCATTTGATGTTGCCGATAGGCATACTTCCGAATGTGTCGAAGCTCCGCGTACGCTATGCAAAGAGGATAAACCGGGCTGGGAGAAGACACCTGGCCTGTGCGTCATAGCCTTGGATCTGCCCAAAGTAGTGAGACTGATGGATGGCATGACCGGAGTACGATATTGGGTCTGCATGTTGATGATCAAAGATCTCTTCCTATGCCCTGCCACCTTCCTTGCCGTTCCATATTGGGCATGACAGGTTCGAATTGCAAACTTTCTAACAGAAAGGGAAACCCGCTTCTGGACACAGAGGCTACTTGGACGGAATAAGCCGACAACAGACGGAAGTTGGCCGAAAGGATCGAAGAATCAAGTACCCCGAATTGCGAAAGGTGAGTCCGTTTCCACGATTGAAATCCTTCAATAGCGCTTGCCCAACCACTGGACAGCATTCCACACCGATCTCTGCGGGCAGTGCAACCTTGAGAGCTGACCCCGAGCATGATTCTGGGCGTATAAGGGGGGGCGGGATCGGATCCGGTTGCTTGCGTCGTTGTCAAGCCCCGATTTAGCGAGACCGTCATATAGATGCTGTCAATTGCCCCCTAAACATCCGCAGCCTGATGGCATTCTGATTGGAAGATGACCGATGTATGGGGATTTCAACTTTGCTATGTGGACCTGGATGGCGTGATGCGATACCAAGCGGTAGAGCTACAGGAAAAGCTCTACAGGACAAAAAAAGACCTCGTTGAGTGTGATATGCCCGCATATGGCGGATGAGACTATCCTTTATTCCTGATAATTGCAGGACTCTAAAGGGTAGAGAGCCCACAGCAATACAATTATCGAAGCACTCAGAACTTTTCACGTGCATGAGCATTTGCTTCCCTGTCTACCCACTTATAGTCATTGTCTCGCCATTGAAATGGCTCGAGTTTCCCTTCGAACGTCCATGGAAAAAATGACGAATAATGAGCACGAAACAGTTCAGGCTCGTAAAAGAGGCAGCAATTTCAGCAATGATGCCTCACCCTTGCCCGTACCACCCCCTCCCGACGGTGGATTTCATGCTTGGGCGCAGGTTGCCTCCGGTCATCTGGTCGTAGCCCTGACCTGGGGCTACGCTGCCAGCTTCGGCGTGTTCCAGAGCCATTATGAATCTACATTGCCTAACCCTCCGTCCGACATTTCTTGGATTGGGGGCTTCCAGGTATTCTGCCTTTTGTTCATCTCGACACTCTCCGGCCGAGCAACAGACGCGGGGATGGCAAGGCCAGTGGTGGCTGCCGGCGCAGTCCTGCTGGTTTTGGGCACCTTCATGACTAGTCTAGCGACGGAGTACTGGCAGATCTTTCTGGCCCAGGGGCTTTGCATTGGAATTGGCCAGGGCCTCATGTGGCTGCCGAGTGTGACGCTGATCTCGACATATTTTATGCACCTGCGCGTCTTTGCTGTAACAACTGCAGCCACGGGCACGAGTACAGGAGGCATCATCTTCCCCGCAATGATTCAGCACCTGATCCCCAAGATTGGTGTGTCAATGGTTATAACACCAATTTCCTTAGGGTCATGGGCTAACATAATGATCAGGGTTTCCATGGGCCGTGCGGTGCATGGGGTTTGTTGTCCTTGCCATGGCAGCAGTCACCCTCGTGCTACTGCGTCCCCGACTGCCACCACGAAAGTCGGGGCCATTGGTTGAGTGGAGTGCGTTCAAGGAGCCTGCCTACTTGCTTTTCACCTTTGGCGTTTTCCTCCTATACTGGACGCTCTATTTCGCCTTCTTCTATGTACACACTTCCCCACCTTGAGATTTGCCATTGATTAAGCTGAGCGCATGCTAGATCCAAGTGTACGCGACCGAGGTGTTGGCAATCTCCCGAGAAGCCGGTGCGACATTGATTATCATCACCAACGCGCTGGGAATCCCCGTCCGCGCCCCCCTGGGATATCTAGCGGATCGCTACATCGGTCCACTCAACTGTCTCATCCCTTGCGTGGCCCTTTGTGGCATTCTCATGTTTTCTTGGACCGCCGTGCAGACCGTGGCCGAGCTGTACGTCTTCGCGGTGTTTTATGGGCTGGCGTCGGCAGCAGCGATGGCATTGTTTGTTGGAACTGTCCCCTCGTTGACAAAAGATCTTGACAAAATTGGCACTCGGGTCGGAATGGCGCTTACAATGATCAGCTTTGGCCCATTGACCGGTCCATCTGTGGCGGGGACATTGATAGCGCGCACCGGAGGGGGGTATCTGGCTGCGCAGCTGTGGGCAGGAGCAGCGTTGCTCGTCTCCGTCTTCGCTCTCGTTGGAGCACGACTCATCATTTCGGGACCACGGGTTCAGGCAAAGCTTTGAGGTCATAAATTCTAGGTAGTAGATGATTTACGCAAAGAATCGATCGATGTCCTACATGTAATACCCTCTGATCCGTAGCAAGAAGGCTGTCTCCTACGCAGAAGAGCTTCGGTGAGACTAGAAGAAGACTGCTATGGTAATTGATGGTTTGCTACTTACGGCAATGGCGCTGAGATAACCAGTACTGAAAGCGTGTATACTGGGTGAAGACATGGAGCTGGCAGAGGGTGTCAAACCTATGCATCCGTGTCTATCCCAAAATATCGGGCAATGTCGATCAGGCCCGAGCCGTCAACATCAATCCAATAATCGACAAATCCCTCTTGTTTAGCTTGCGCAACGCGTTCCGCATCCCAAGCCTCTTCCAAGGGGCGCGCGATGTAGATTGTCTGGAAGCCACACTTTTTGGCGGCTTGCAGGTCGTGAAGATGGGCAGCGACGAGGCAACATTGCGAAGTCTCTAATCCGAATCTGCGAGCCGCCGCATGATAGACTTCCGGTGCCGGCTTGTAAGCATTGAAATGCTCTGCACTGCTGAGGTGCTTGAACGGCAAAGAACCGTGTTCCTGTAAATCTTCGAGGAGTTTGATATTGCCGTTGGATAAAGTGGAGGTCGGAAACTTGGCATTGAGCAACGCAAGGCCTTGCACACTGTCAGGGTACGGATCAAGGCGATGCCAACCAAGAGCCAAGTGTTGGAGATCATCGTCCTTGAATAGATCCCCCAGACGCCGGTTGCCGATGATATTGCCCAGGGAGATGCGATTGTGCTCGTCTACCGAGACAAAGGGCCTCGATGGATCATAAGTGCGGCCGAAGTTCATATAAGAGCGGTGCCACTCATCAGTGATCTCATCCCAGGTCGAAGTCGCTAGGCTGGAGACACGTTCTCGCACATCCCGACCTATTTCCCGGGCTTCATCTTCCAGGGCCTGTTCTGCTGCAGCCTTCAGTTGGTTCGCAATGCAAAATCTCCACTCAACAACTGTCCCCAAGACATCGAAGAATAGCATCGAAGGGGTGCCAGGTCGTGACATGTTGAAAAGGCCTTAGAGGGATGGCTCATGGAATATACCTGGAATCTCGGAAATACGATGATCTCGACGGAGGGGTGGAAGAAAAGATGGACGACTATCCCTCCAGGCGCGGGGACCTTACCCTAAGAGAAGCACCGTCTCGCATTGACCTCGGGACTTATTGCGCTTACATGTGGCTAGCAGGGGTCCCAATTGGAGCCATTCGGGCGTCTGCATTCATGAGTCCACAGCCCAAGGGTTACCAGAACGGGATTACCGGCTGGCGCTCCAGCTCTCTTTTTTTAAAATCCTGATCCAGTCGGATCGGTCAGTTTCCGACTTTCTCGGCAACACCGTTATCGCCCGATCTGTTTGGGAACCGAGCGTTCCTGGGCTTCAAAAACGACATCTTGATTTTTTTCAGAGTGGACTAGCATTGTCATGTCTAAGATATATATATTCTTCGCCATCAATCTCGACTTCCCACCCCCCTGCACGAGAGAAGGAAACACTGCGGGATACAGTCACTAGAGGGTTACATATGCCGTGGCGGGCCCAAAGACTGCATAAGGATAACGTATTTTGCTAGGAATCGTCATCTATCATTGCTACCTAACCGTGTCATGAACTACTGCTGAGAGAAACCTGAGCTAACTTGACATGGTTCTCTGCCTCATTCAGGGCCTCTATTTGCCCTTTATTTGGCCGATTGCGATAACGAGACTTGATTGTGTTGATCTGTCTCTGGAAATCCATAATCTGAAAAGCCACAAGACTCCCGAGCAGGTGTAGCCTCTCACGTCGATTGACGCGATACGTGGCAACAGAAATGTCTGGAGAAGGCTCGCGCCCCTGCTGCGCTGAGTTTGTGTCGCTCAGACTACGTTGACACATTGCCTTGCAGCAATTCGCCATCCTACCGCAAATGCCGCCGATCTGTCGGGCTGCCATGGCAAGCAGCATGTTTTGCTCTACTCGAGAAGCACATCTGTCACACGAAATTAAAACAGCCAGTGTTTCGATGGAATTGCGAAGGTCGGCGAGGAGTAGGTCGAGGCGGTCCTCGCGCAAAGTATCTTTGCAAGTCAGCTTTTCCAGGAAAGAAACGGAGTTGAGCAGACAGCAATTGTCAGACTCTGTATGTGTCTTGCCCGGGGGCTCAAGCAGCGGCGGATCTGAACTCGCGCATGTCATATCATGATTATCGGTGGCCGTCGCCCAAACAATGTTGTCTTGTCCCAGGTCAACACCTTGCCAACATTCGGAATCGCCTGTGGTTGTGGTATTTGCTGGACCGAGCAGCAACGGCAACGAGGTGTCTGTCGTCGATATCCCTGGAAGCTGGTCCCGCGCCGCCATGGTACTACGTCTCCTGGGTGAAGTGGGTGAAAAAGGAGGCGTGCTTACTGCGAGGTCAACAGCGGCTATCACATATGTCAGCCAAACATGCTTAAGGAAAAGAGAAACGAAAGTGCTGACGTCTTGGAATGCCACCGCTGCTCGATCTTGATCTGCCAGGTGAGCTCTGCTGTATGGGAGTATCCATGATCCATGGCATAAACAGAGACTCGTCGATACAGCCATCGTCGAAATTATTCGCATCTAAATCGTCCAATATTAGATCTTGGCTAAATTTTTCCTGGTTGGCCCCGGTGCGAAGTTCTGCTTTATCGAACACATTCCGTGTGGGCGTGCGGTCGTTACGCCGAACGGGCTGCGTCGATGTAATGAATTAGTGACTCGCTGACAAGCACAAGATATACGACTGGTCTTTACTCACTGTCCGCGAGCTTTTGCCAGTATCCTGTCGCTTGGTTCGCCCCTGACTTTCGGGATAAACACAATCGAGTGCCATCGCTTCACATCTCTGGCATCGTTTGCGGTCTCCCGAGCAGCGCACCTATATTACCATCTTGTTAGGGTGTAACATCACGATAGACTGGAGAGGAAGACCATTATCAACCCATGGTTGCAGGTACGGGCCAGGGAGTTGGAACAGCCGTACTTTTCGGGATCGACAGTGAATGCAAGCAATGCGTATAGTGTCTTGGACGTTACGGCTAACAGCAGCGACAGGATCTGGATTCTCGATGAACTCCAGGGGTTCCCGATCAAGGCCGGTCGAGACCAGAGTGCCAAACATGGGAGGACTGCCCTTCACGGTGACGATTGAGGCTGCCACGGGCTGAACATAGTCTGTGAAGTGCGAGACTGGGGTCAGCAAGGAGTATTATATTGATGTCCGCATAAGCAATGTATACATTTATAGATACCCTCTGGGGGTACTTTTGATCGTCCAGTCAAAGGCCTGTATGTTTGATCTATAGTCCATATGGCGTACTCTGCACAGCCTTCAGGTTTAGAATTAGCCCCCGACGATAAGGCTTCCAACGCGTGACCATTCATATACAATGGCCAATCGCTTATCTTGTATGAGATTCGAGGCCGTCGGCGTTGTGGGCTCTAGACCTTGAAAACGACCTTTTCGTTTGGGGACCCCGGGTTTTTCCGATAACGAAGATGCGATATGGGGGCCAAAATCAAGGATGAGAGGTGCTGTATACAGAAATTGCCTGCAGAGGATGCTGTGGAGCGTGGCAGGTACATTCTCCAGATGGATCGGGCGTGACCCAACGCTGGGAGATCCATGCGACGCTTACGCTGATCTTGGTCCCGATTGAGGTGATTGGGTGTCAGCGCTGGACGCTTCGACCAGGGTCCAGAGACTGAAAGGTCCGCGATGACGCGTGGTGGGCGAGGCTGGGAGGCTAGCTCGTAAGGAATCGGGAACCCTCGGAGCCGCCTCGTCGCAGTGTCGCTGTCAGTCCAATTCACATGCAGTTGCAGTCTCGCATGTGATAAAGCCAAGCTGCGAGACAAGACGGGACGGTCCGTCGGCAAGTAGAGAGTCAGCCCTAGAGTGCATGCTGTATCTTTGCTGACCAACATCCATTACTACGTGTGGATCTTCCTCTCAGGTGTGCTCTTCCAAACATGGACAACGCCGCCAGCCATTTGCGGACAAGTAGATTGCCAGCATCGCCAGATGTGGACAATTGCCGGCCGTGTAGCTACAGTCGTAGTCCATGTTCCCCGGTCCAGAGCGAGAGGGGGCAAACACTTCTAACCCTGAATTCCAGTAGTAGCCGATGTCTCACGTTTAGCACAACTGTCACTGCTGACTTATTTCACCAGAATCATGAGTCTACAGGCCAATTCCACGAGCGAGCCTCACACGCAAGATGCCGGTGAAAAGCTACCGGCCAATGGTCCGTCGCCTACCGAGTCCATCAGCCTGGCCTACGATGGGTCCAATACACCGGAGGAAGATGCTGGCGGCGCCGTCGGCAAGAAGATGAGCAACCTCCGCTGGTTTTCCGTATGTGTTGGGCTATATCTGACCGCGTTTCTATACGGGCTCGACTCCACGATCGCTGCTGATGTGCAAGGGCCTATTCTGGCTTCCCTCGGAGAGCTTCGTCTCTTACCCTGGGTGGGAACGGGGTTTTTGCTCGGCTCAGTGGCCACCGTCTCGCTGTTCGGCTCGCTGTACACCAAGATTGAGGTCAAATGGCTATACCTGGGCAGCATTCTGACCTTCGAAGTGGGCAGTGCGATCTGTGGTGCAGCCCCGACTATGCAAGCCATGGTTGTTGGTCGCGTTGTGGCAGGAGTTGGTGGCTCAGGCGTCTATCTTGGGTAAGTAGGGTGATTGCACCGGAGCAGTGAGCAACCGCCGACAGCTAACCAAGAGGTATCAACTACATCTCCTTCTTCGTGTCCGCAGCCAGGCGGCCAATTTACACTGCTTTGATCAGCACGTGCGTTTTCACCCATGCCGATTGAAGACACTGGACATTAACGAGCATCTAGATTTTGGGGACTGGGGGCCGTCCTTGGGCCTGTTATCGGTGGAGCGTTCGCACAGAGTCCAGCAACCTGGCGATGGTAAGTTTGAGTTGCACGATCAGCTTCCAACATCATCCATTAATCGTGAATAGGGCCTTCTATATTAACCTCGTCCTCGGAGCGGTGACTGCTCCCATTTACATCTTCTGCCTCCCCCGCCACGGCACGCATCGCCACGAAAAGATTCTTCCACGCATCAAGAATCTTGACTGGCTTGGTGCATTACTTAACGCTGCAACCTACGCTCTCTTCATCATCTCCTGCACATACAGTGGCTCCACATGGGCATGGAATTCGGGCTCAATCATCGCTCTCTGGGTCATGACTGGGGTCACTATCATACTCTTTGCGATACAGCAGTGGACAGCATTCTTGACAACAAAGGAAGATCGGATATATCCCGTCTGGTGCCTCAAACGCCGGTCATTGATCCTCCTGTACATTGGAACTGCCGGCAGCAGCGCCGTCTTGCAGTGTAACATCTACTACATTCCTCTCTTTTTCGAATTTACAAAGGGTGATGACGCCATCTCTGTCTCGGCCCGGCTGCTACCCTTCATATTCCTGATGATATTTAGTTCCCTTTTCAGTGGGACGCTTCTGCCGAGATTCAACGTTTACGCGGTTTGGTACGTCGTGTCCGGAAGCATAGCGGTTGTGGGAAGTGTACTGTTGTTCCTCATTTCAGCTGGAACACCTCCGAGAAACATCTATGGATTCGAAATACTGACTGGTGTCGGCTGTGGCCTGACCTTTCAAGCTGCTTACGCGATTGCCCTGAGCAAGTCGCCGCCTGAGAAGGCCACGTCAATCTTGGGCTTCATCAATGTGGCCCAGCTCGGTGGCGGTGCTTTGGCATTGGCAATAGCAGGGACAGTCTTCCAAAACGTCGGGTTTGACAACTTGCAGACGGCCCTGGGTGGCAGGGGGTATTCGTCTGCGGAGATCCGCAAAGCTCTGGCCGGTGGATATTCGGCCATCTTAAATAACGGCCCTCCCGAGGTGCGTGCCATCTCGTCAGATGCGATCGGAAACACCATTGCCAGCGCTTTTGGCATCTCGCTTGGAGGAGGTGCTGCGGTGCTTGCGGCGGGACTTTTGATGCGATGGGAGAGAGTGGAGTTGGCATGAACGCATACAGGGACAACTGGCTGGTTTCTTGCGAGAAACGATAGAGATTTGAAGGAATAGACAATCTAGAATACTTGACAGGTTGGTAGAGATTTCGGGTTAATTCTATCATATTAACTTCAAAGTATATATATATTATATATAATTGCGATCTGCTTCTTGTCTGCTTATTTCTACCAGTCTTGCGACAGAACACGGCTACTATCAGGACCAAGGGCAACTTCTATTTATTCTTATAAAAACATAATATGCCTGCCTCACTCCTCACCCGCTGAGCCTTTGACCAATTCACTGTTGGCGGCAATCTTGCCAGCGACTTCAGCCAGTGGCATCGCACTCAAGATGTCAAACACGGAGATATCACTCTTCATGTCCTTCAGGGCGCGATTGCGAACCTCCACGGCCTGTAGCGAGTCAACTAGATAGAGAGGTTAGTAGAAGCTTACAGAGGTCGTTGCATTGGATTATCTATTGACTCACCACCATAGTCATACAGAGGCTTCTGGCCATCGACGTCGTCCACAGAAACGCCCATGGCGATAGCAACAAGTCCCTTGATGTTCTCCTCCACGACTGCGGCAGCTTCAGCCAGCGTTGCTGCACTGGCCAAAAGAGTGCCCACATCTTGCTTGTCGTTGCCGTCGCTGGCCTGGCTACCAGGATCCGCGATACGAAGCTCAAACTTCTTGTCCCTTGTAAATCCCCCGGTGCTTTTGTTGTGCGTGATGCGGTCTTCTAACCCGAGGATTACCTGGGCCGGCAGGTCCTGGCCGTCGGTGGTTGATCCTCGCATGATGGCGCGTAGGACGACCCCGAGCTCGTCAAGCGTTGTTTGGAGGCCACGCCACCCATGCTGATATCTACCCAGGTAGCCATCGAGGTCGCCAAACTCACCAGCCGTGGTAAAGTGTGCCGAGTCAGTGACCAAGCCGACGTCAACACTGGTGGCATTGATGCCGAGATGGTGGCGGGCGTGGTGAGCCAACGCGTCCTCAAACGTATTTCCCGCAGCGTAGTTGGCCTGTGCTGTGTTCCCAATCACGCCGGTAATGGAGGAAAGCAAAATAAAGAAAGACCCGTCATCAGGCCAGATGTTCGCCAGCAGGTTCCGGGAGCCTTTTGTTTTGGGCTCAATGGCACGGCGCCACTGATCAAAGGACATGTTATCGAAGATGCTGTCGTCGAGAACCATGGCAAGTTGGATCACGCCGGCAATCCTGCTGCCACGGGCTTTGATGGCGCTGAAGACTTTTGCAACACCGAGAGCATCGTTGACGTCGCACTTGAACGCTTCCACTCGAACAAAGCGCTCTGTGAACCTGTGAAGATCGTGTTGATGTTTTGCACCACCCGAGCGAGAGAGGAAGGCCAGGTTTCTGGCACCGCATGCAACCATCCAGTTGGCAATGTGTAGTCCAAGAGCGCCCAAACCGCCAGCTAGCACGTAAGTTGACTCACTGTCAAGCTTTAGTTCCTCGGCTGGGGGTGGCCGCAAAAGCACTGGGCTGGAGTCGTTCAAGGACACGACAGAGTGCCCAGGAGAGATCATGTCAACGGCGGCGCCGAGCTTGCTGGCAGACAGAATCGTCACTGGGGACGGCCCCTGCAGGATGTACTCTCGGAAAGCGTGCTGAAAGAGTGTGCTAATGATGGCGGGCCTACGCTGCATTACTGTAGTGATGTCAATGCGCGAAAATGTTACGTTGGTCTTTGGAAGAAGAGCTCCAGAACTGTCATTGTTCAGGTCGACAAACTGGCCAAAGTCGATCAAAGTCGACATCAAGCCAGGGACATGTACAGTGGCGCGCTGGCTAACGACGACGTTAACCCCACGCTGCTTGGTAGCAGTTTGAATGAGTGACACGAAGTTCTCTAGCCCAGCGTCAAAGATGTGGTCTTTGGAGACACCGTATCTCTCAGCGACGAGATCTCGCTCTTCTCTGTTGTCAACCAGAGCAAAGATATCCGCGCCAACGGCGTTGGCAACCTGTACCATGGCCTGGCCGACTGCACTCCCAGCATTATCCAGAAGCAGTGCTTGCCCACGGCGGAGATGAGCGGTCTCAATGAGTACATACTGCGCTGCAATAAGTGGCTCAACCAATGCAACAGCGTCTGGTGCAGCGAGCCCGTTTGGCAGCGGTGCAACCAAGTCCTGGCTTTGGCGGACATGCGTCCTCGCAGCAGCCTCGGAGAAGGCAACAACGCGCTGGCCAAGCTGCAAAGTCCTGACCGAGTCGTGAAGGCGGGCAATAGTTCCGACAGCGTGGCGGAGAGAGTTCGATGGCTGCTGCCCCTTCCCGACTGCAGCGTACTCGACCTTGATCTCGACTTGGTCTTCTTCAAGCGGTAATTGGGCCTCCTCGTCTGCAGCCCAGATGTAACCTTGATCTGTTGCCAACTTAGCTGCCCCCAGTGGCGTTGCAGCAGCGCCAAATGTTGACTCGATTGGTCTTGCGGTGTTGCTTGCTAGCTGAAGCTCGTAGTCGAAACCAGTATTCTCGGTGGCTCGCGGGATATAGATCAGTCCGTTGTATTCGGCGTATTCCACTTCCCCATCGCCGGTTAGAGACGCTCGCCACACATCGAGGACCAGGTCTGCGTATTGGGGCTTTGAAATGTCAGCGGCTGCCGACAGATCAAGAACAGGCATGACCGCAACGGGGTATTCGTTGCGCATCACACGAAACAGGCCCTGGGTGGTTGCAAATTCGATCCCGTTCGACCAGCTCTCCATCGCGCTGCCGTGGGTGATCCAGAAGAGATGGCCAACCGTAGAGATGAGTTTCTTGAATGTGTGGAACTGATCCTCGTTCCAGCTGTAGATGAGCGTCTTGTCAATTTCGAGGAGAGAAATAACATGCTTGCGAGCGAGTGAAGCTACACCCTCCAAGGTGAAATTCGTCTGTGACACGGAGTGACCGGCTCTCTCAAGCTTGCCCTGAAGCCCAGTCCCAAATGTGCTGATGGCTATTGATGGTGTTTCCGGCAGGAGGATGACGACCGTGTCGGGTAACTCAATTGCAGGGTTATCTGGTCTTGAACTGCAAAGGACATAGGTGTCATCATATGCCAGGCTGCAAAACCACGTACTCTCCGGCGGAATGGGAACGACATCACCTGGGTGTCTAGCAGAAGTCAGGCATGCCAGAGGCGCCAGCCTCGCCAGTGTGGCAGCGTGTTGAGGGACGGTTGGAACACCCAGAGCGAGAACAACATCATCATCTTTTATAGCCATCGTCTCCAGGGACTGGCTCTCCGATAGCCTCTGATATGTGATGGTCATCCTCTCGATGTCTTCGCCGAGGATACTCTTCATCATCTGTAAGATTGACTCGGATGCGGCGAGGGCAGTGATTCTCTTGGGTCCATGGCTTTGTCTGTTGAGGTGACGGAGGACATCGATACTGGTTTCAGACTCATCAAACAAGACAACGAGGGTGCTGATAGTCGCGCTTTTTAGGAACACTGAGTCAAGCCAGCTCCTCACCAACCCCGCCGCGTTGCTGGAGGGACTGTGCCTCGCGAGCTGCTCGCTGCTCTTGACGAAGGACGGATCAGGAATCCACGAGATGTTGGCGCATTTCCTGGTGGGACCACGAGAAGAAGCAGCATTGGAAGTCCCTACCCCCGTTTCAGAAGTTACCTGGCGAAGAGCAAAGCCCTTGGCAGTAAGCTTTGGTCGCGTCCAGTCCTCGTCAGAGACAACCAGCTCAGTGGTGATCTCGTGGCCATTCTGTGAGAGTAAACGACCGTAGCCAGAGTAGAGAGCCCCAGCCTCCTTTGGCTGATCATGGGCCACGTAAATTTCCTCGATGCTATACGGGACCGCGGCCTGTTTCATGGGTCGGCCGGCGTCGAGAGATGCAATCACCAAATGGAATATGGAGTCCATGGTTGCTGGATGGATAACGTGGGGGGTCTCGTACCCTCTGGGCATCGTTGACTTGGTATCTGGAACAGCCACGGACCCGTACGAGGCTTTCCCCGAGGGTACTGCTGTGAGGGACTTGACATTGCGAAAGGATGGCCCATACTGCATGCCAATGGCCTCCAGGTTCTTATAAAACGTACTCACGTCGACATTCACAGACTCTGCTTCAGAGAGTAGTGTTGTACGTGAGGCCACCAGTCTCCGCCATGAGGCATTCCCGCTGTCTTGTTCGATATCACTTGCTCCCTTCTCGTAGACAACAGTGACAGCGCCGGCGCAGTGTTTTGCCCATGGCGAACCGTTGGTCATTGAATATACAGTGAAGACCCATGACTGAGGTCGTGTTCTGTCGGGATAGAGACTCATGCGCGTCTCCACCGGGGTCTCTTCATCCAGGGAGATGACCAGGCCACGCTCAAACGTCACATCGTTCATGCGGAAACCTTCAATACTCCTGGACGGGTCGGCGGTACGCAATGCGCCTTCCAATGCCATGACTAGCATACCTGCCCCCGGGTACAGCACAGTACCTGTGATGATGTGATCCTCAATCCATGGGTTTTCCGAGATGCGCAGGTAGTTTCTCCATCGTGGCTCATGGCTGTTCTGGGAATCCTCCGCCATTCCCAAGTAGTCGTTGCGCGCGTGTGGAGGGAAACGGTACGAGCGAGACGCGTATGATTCGTGCCAGAAGCGCTTCGTGTGGTTCCAAGGATAGCTGGGCAAGTTGCAAAGCATTTGAAGCCCATTGCTCCCTGTCGGTGCCTGCTGGTTGACTTCAGCCAGGTTAATCGGGCAGCCAGCCGCCCAGAGCACACCGGCTGCGTTCAGAGCCGTCCCAGCTGCGTCTTGGCCGCGCACAAGCATGGATACGTATGCGGCGGACTTGGCGAATTTGTTGTTACTTGCGTCGATAATCTGGCGCACGGGTCCTTGAAGAGCTGCGTGAGGGCCAACCTCGAGGAAGCCTCCCCACTGTATTGGCACTGGCCGAGTGCCGCCTGCTGTGACGGTTTTGTGCTTTATCAATGCCAGCAAGGCCTGCGAAAACTTGACGGTGTTCTGCATATTGTTGACCCAATACTGGGGGCTGAGCTCCTTTGCTGAAGAGACAATGGACCCGGTAAGAGACGAGTACATCACTGGTGTCTCGCCTTCCACGTCCGCCTCCTTGGGTGTTATTTCGCCAATCATGTCAAGGTAAGTTGGCGAGACCTCGCCCATGTGAGGAGAGTGGTATGCAGTAGTGACCTTGAGCTTGCGGGCAAACCTACCGTTGGCCGATATCAGGGCTTCCAACTGATCAATTGCTTGAGCATCGCCAGAGAGCGTCACGCTGGATGGACTGTTGACACAAGCAATGACTGCAGAGCCGGCTGGAACCTCGTCGAGGTATGTTTGGGCCTCATCCTCGGAAATCCCAGCAGCCATCATTGCGCCTGGCTTGGAGACAGCGGCGGAACTGATCCCTCGGACATAGGCCAGCTTTATGGCGTCGTAGTGTGTCAGAAGCGATGCGGCGTATGCAGCAGCAATCTCTCCACTCGAGTGTCCGATGGTAGCCTTGGGACGAACCTCCCAGGAGCGAAGCAGGTCAACCAGTGCGACCTGGACCACCGTACAGAGTGGCTGGCTGTACTCGGGGCGGTTGACGTTTGCGTTGGGTGTCTTGGTCAATTCATCGATTGCGTTCCAATTGCAGCCCAACCCTTCGAGATAGGACTGCGACGCCTCGATGCTGGAGCGAAATCTAGAGCTTACGAGAAGCTCGCGTCCCATTGCTGGCCATTGAGCACCCTGGCCGGTAAAAACCATAATGAGGTTGCTGCCATGACGTTGCGAGCGCGTCGATGTTACCAGGCCATTTGATAGCTTTTCTGTGAGCTGAGATATCGAGTCTGCAGTTGCAAAAGTTCTATGCTCCAGGTGTGTGCGGCGCTGGGCAAGTGTGAATGCGAGATTCTCCAGCAAAGCTGGGTCACTGTTGCCCTCTGGGTCTTGTTGCAACCATGATTTGAGGGCTTCGGCCACTCGCTTGGCTCCAGTTTGGTCCTTACCACTCAGGACAAATAGCTTCTTGGATGGGCTGTGGGCTGTGCCACTGACCGATGTGTCTTCAAACCCAGAGTCTGACCCCGAGTCGCCGATGACCGTGTTGTGCTTGCCATCCAGCGCCCTTGATTGTAGATAGTGGTATGCATCGTCTAGGATAACGTGAGCGTTAGCTCCACCAAATCCAAAGGAGTTGACACTGATGCGACGCAGGCCTGGAGTGGGCCATCTGGCGACTTCCTGTGGGAGCGTCAGATGCCAATCGTCCAACTTGAGCTTGGGGTTGACTCGATCCACGCCGAATGTAGGGACCAGCATTCCTTTCTCCAGTAGCATGATGGATTTGAAGACGCCGGCAAGACCAGCACACCCCTCTGTGTGGCCGACAGTGGGCTTTATACTCCCAATATTGAGAGCGGGCTTTCCAGCTGCGCGTCTGGCTGCACCGAGAGTTGAAGCAATCGCGGTCAGTTCAAGAGGGTCACCGACGGGCGTTCCTGTCCCATGGCACTCAAAGTATCCTGTTTCCGAGAGATCGAGGCCAGCGTCCTCGTAGGTCTGGCTGATGAGTTCAGCTTGGGCCGTGGAGCTAGGCTGCGTCACACTGGGGGTTTTGCCATCGGCGTTGATGCCAGAGCCACGGATCACGGCGCGGATCGTGTCGCCGTCGCGTAGAGCGTCCGAGAGACGCTTGACGACTATGGCTCCAATACCATCCCCTCGCCCGTAGCCATTGGCACGGTCATCAAACGTGTGCGAAATACCCTCCGGGCTAAGCATGTGCATTGCAGTCAATTGGTGGGAGGTATTCGGATTGATAAGGAGGTTGACTCCGGTGACAAGGGACTATATAATCAGGTAAGTGACCAGGCTGGTACCCAGATGTCTATCAGACGTACCATGTTTGTTTCTCCAAGCCTCAGCGACTGGCATGCAAGGTGAAGCGCATAGAGCGAGGAGCTGCAGGCAGTGTCGAGGGTCAAGCTGGGCCCCTTGAGGCCAAAGAACCAGGACACTCGGTTTGCGGTCATGGCTTCGCTTAGACCTGTTGCTGCTGGATGTCCGATGTCGTAGATGTCGTGCAGGGAGATCATTTCGTAGTCGTTTGTCATGCAACCGACGTAGCAGCCCGTACGACTGTTGATCAAAGTCTCGATGGGGATCCCAGCTGCAATCCAATTAACTCTATCTTTGGAGGTGAACGGCTGTGCGACTGACCATTTTCAAAGCTCTCATAAGATACTTCGAGCAGCATCCTCTTCATTGGGTCCATAGAAGCAGCTTCTTTGGCCGTTACAGAGAAGAAGGGCGCGTCAAAGTGGGCAATATCCTGCTGGAGAAAATACCCATGCTGTGGACTGATCCCACCCTTCCGGTCTGGATCTGGGTGATGCCATATATTGCAGTCCCACCGATTTCTGGGGACCGCACCGTGGCCAGTCTTGACCTTGCTGACCATATCCCATAATGATTCTAGAGAGGACGCACCAGCAGCAAAGCGACATGCCGTCCCAATAATGGCAATGGGCTCCTGCTTATCTGAGTGGGAGACGTCCATGACGAGAATCAGTGCTGCGACAGGCACCAAACGAATGACAATCACACTGTATCCAAGGGTGTGACAGGGAATGAGATTCGCATGCAGCCTTATTAGCAGTTGAATTCAGTGTCGCTGCGGAGATCCCGCATCGTCGTGTCTTAGCACAAACCCACCTTGCTCACAGCTTTCAATACGCTGATCAGTTTATACTGCACTCCGACTAGATTACCTGTGTAGCGAGAATATGCCGATGGACGGCATACCTGTTATGGTTGGGGCCGAGACTCGAATCCAGCGCGGCGTGCTGAATTAGGCTGCGGCCTGTTTCCAATCAGAGAACACGGAAGAAACGCCTAGACGCTGTTCTTTCTTGCCCTCAATTGCCGTTGCCGACTATTCAGGTGTGAGACTACTCAAACAAGAAATAAAGAAAGAAAAATGAGGTTTCTGTGTCTCCATGGTGCTGGCAGCTCGGGGGCCATTCTCGAAAGGCAAATGTCCAACCTGCGGCGTGAACTCGACCCCAGCTTCGAGCTCGTCTTTGTCGACGGGCCATTTGAATGTGGAAGAGGGCCTGGTGCGTGAAAACAATCTTTTTAACACTGTGGCTAACAGCTCAGATGCAGGCGTCTCAAAATACCTGACGGGGCCATACTTTTCTCACACCCAAGGCTATTCCCCAGCCAACATCGCCCAGGCAGTCCGCTATCTCGAGGAAATTCTTGACGATGAGGGCCCCTTTGATGGAATCTTTGGCTTCAGCCAAGGCTCAGCGCTGACCCTGTCCTATTTTCATCAGCAACAGACGGCCGGCAACCCGGTCCCAGTCAAGTTTGCATGTCTTTTCTCGACTGCTATGCCATGCAGCTCTGATGCGAACCTGGGCTACGCCGTTATATCAAAGCTGCGAGCAATGGAGTACGACGTGACGGACAGAGTAGAGGCCACAGGGAAAGAGCTGACGAGCGAAGAGCGCGAATTTGTCGAAATACTTCAACGCACAGTCGTCGACGCTGGCACCCAAGATCCCCAATTTCCGTGGACTGATATGGACGTATATCGCCGTGGTGAACTGGACGAGATTCCTCGCGTGATGTATTCGTCGGCGCTGGCACAGAAAATTCAGGTTCCTACCATCCATGTATGGGGCCAGAATGACTTTGAGTATATGATCCAGATGGCGCAGCTTTCCAGCGCTCTTTGTGAGCAGTCCATATCCAAAACAATTCTACATAGCGGGCTACACGACATGCCAAAGAAACAGAATGAGGTCAAAGCCGTACTTCGGGAGATCAACTGGGCTTTGGCACAGACATAGAGACGGGGGGACAATAAGAAATATATCGACGAAACCACTCAAAGTTCCCTTTGCAGAGCCATTGTTCCATGAAAATTGTAATGTCAGTAGTAGTGGACGCGAACTCTAGCTAGGGCGAGTTCAGATTGCGCGAGATCTCGGGCTGTCCCCATTTGTAAACCACCGCCACTAAATATATATACCGCGACCTCCGGACGGTATGAGCAGGCAAAACTACTCTTCTACTAGAGGTGGCCACACAATCATGAAAGCTGCACGAGTCCGACCCACCTCCCCCGAGGGAACGCCGTATGGGTTCCCTGGAAATGCTGCCCCATCGTCCGCCATTGAAGTTCACGAGGACGTCCCCAAGCCACAGGTATCTAAGCCTGGCGAGCTACTGATTCAGGTCAAGGCTTCTACTGTGTACAAAGACAATCTCGAATGGAACGAGCTTTACCCGCCGAACCGTGCAACACTGGGAAATGACTTCTCGGGAATAGTCGTCGCCGTGCACGAAAGCGAGACGAATTTTCGAGTCGGGGATCATGTATACGGTATGACGCATGCAGGGCGAGGAGGAACCTGGGCCGAGTACGCCATCGTCACTACCGAGGAAGCAGTGAAGAAGCCGGATACCCTGTCGTGGGAGGAGGCTGCTGCCATCCCCGGGAGTGCTCTCACCGCTGATCAGGCATTGTTCAAACATGTTGGACTCGAGAATACAGCATACAACGGACAAAAGCGGGTTCTGATCACCGGCGCAGCAGGTGGCATTGGCACGTTTCTGGTGCAGTTTGCTGTACTGGCTGGACACCATGTCGTCGCAGCGTCCAGCTCGAACCAGCGGAACGAGGCATTCCTACACTCGCTCGGTGCCCAAGAAGTGGTGGAGTACAATGATCTCGGTATATTAGACAAAGTCGACGTGGCTGTTGACTCGGTAGGATCCCAGGTACTTGCAGACTGCTGGGGCGTCATCAAGCCGGACGGCACCATCTTGTGCTTTGACGCCTGCAGCTGGGGTTTCAGGGAAGAGCACAAAGCAAAGGGCATCAGTAAGGGAAAGGATGGTGTTCGGGCACTTTACATGATTGCTGAGCCTTCGGAGGAGAGTATGGCGCGCATCACCGAACATGTCGCCAGTGGAAATATCAAAGGACGTGTATCCAAAGTGGTGACTTTGGATGGCGTGCAGCAAGCCTATGAAGCTGCTCATTCTAGAGGGGTCGGTCGTGGGAAGATTGTGGTGCTGATCTGATGTACTTCATCCTTGACAAGTATATAACTCTATTCGAGTGTGTGACTGGACACTCCATACAGCTGTAGAAGACACATAGATCCTCAAAGGTTTATTTCGATATTAATCTAAGCTATAGCATACTACAGTGTGTTCAGTTCCCAATCAGCCTCGTCTGCCTTGGCCACGCCCAGCCGTTGGCTCAGGATGACCCACGCACCACAGTAAAGCAATAGTCGAAAGGCTTTGGAGTCTGCAGCCTCGCCCCAGGCAATTTCCATCGCCTCTTGGATCGTGGTCCACCTAACAAACCCCAGGTTCTTCACGGCCTCCTGTGTCAAGAGCATCTGGAACATGCGATACAACGGCCCTTCTTTCGCCCATCGAGTCGGAGCCAGAAAGGGGTGCTTTTTCCGCCGGTACAGCTCATCCGTAATAAAGGGGCGTACTGCCTGGCGGAGGATCCATTTTTCATTGAGTGATTGCAAGGCAACGCTGGACTTGGTCCAAATAGGGCCCAATTCCCCGGCATCACCTGCGGTGTCGGCTGAGTAGCGCAGCTTCACGCTGGGGGGCAGCCGGTTGACATATTCGGTGAGGTGGTGGTCGAGGAATGGGGTGCGCGCTTCGACGCTGTGCGCCATCTCTGTTCGATCGCCCAGACATGACAGAAGAACGTTGGCTAGCGAGTTCTTGTTCCACATGTACATGGAAGTGTGGAGGGGATGCCATCGTGAGCGCATCTTGGCTTGCACGGGCTCGGGGTACGAGTTGAGGATGGTTTTGCGACAGTCTTCATTGCCTTGCTGTGCTTGTAGCCATGGCGCAAATAGCCCAGCGCTGGGATGCCAGGCCAGCAGATTATCGCTCATAGCTGCTGCCCCGGCACCTGCGATCGATGGGAGGGCTGGTCGATTCTCGTACGCCGTGGCACCCCCTTTCTGCCATATGCCTTTCATCTCCCGCTGCGCTGACTCGAAGATGTCGCTGCGAAGATGGCTGTGTTGAGATAGATGAGAGTCTGCGAGAGCTTCATCAGCTTCTCGGAGGAACTCGCTGAAGAAGTATGGATAGCCTGCAAAGTGCTCGTCGGCGCCTTCGCCCGTCAGGACGACCTTGACCCCGTGTTCTTGGGGCAGCGTCGAGAGGGCAAATTTGGCCACGAAGTTGAGGTCGAAATGATGATGCTCGCAGTGGAAGACAGCATCTTCGAAGTTTTCAGCCAGCGTTTCCTCCGTGATCGTCCTCTTGATGGTCTGCACTCCCAGCCATTCCGCGGTGCGCTCGGCAATAGCTGCTGTCTGTTAGTTTGCATGGAACAGATATCACCAGCCATCAGGACTGACTTACCTGACTCGTCATAGCCAGAGATTTCCGGGAAAGCCACGCTGAAGCAGGTGACTCGAGTGGTCTGTTCGTTTCCAATCAGGGCATTTTCCTTTCGTGCAAGATCAGTCACTATGCCCGCAATGGCAGAAGAGTCGATCCCCCCCGAAAGGTATATGCCAACAGGCACGTCAGCACGCAGGCGAAGCCGGACAGACTCGACCAGCCGCTCACGCACGCCAGCGACCATTTCGTCGATGCTGCGGATCTCCGGTTTCCTCTGTGGAAAGAAAGTGAGCTTTAAGGTGCGTAAACTGGTGCTTCAATTCACCAACCTTGTCTTCATATTCAGCATCCCAATACTTCACCTGCCGCACACCACCATATTCTATCGTTTCAAGGTAGTGTCCAGGCAGTACCTTTCGGACATCACGGAACAACGTTCGCTCGTCAAGCATCCAGCCGGCGTCCGCAATTGCACGAACGTCCCAGCGAGGTTTCCAACCCAAAGGCAACAATGCCTTGGCCTCGGAAGCGATCAATAGCTTGGACCCGAGACGAGTATAGACCAGGGGCTTAATTCCATAACGGTCTCGTGCGGCTATTACTCGCTGAAAGCCTGGACGAGCATCATGGAGCACAAATGCGAATTCACCACGCAGATGAGTAAAGAAACTGGGGGTGCCGAAGATCTGGTAGAGCGCCAGCACAAGCTCGCTGTCACTGTCACTCTGGAAGGCATATTGATGAACCGTCTCACACTCATGTCGTAGGCGATCGTAGTCGTAAACCTCGCCATTCACCACAACATGAACCTGGCCGTCGCTGCTGTGGAGAGGTTGTCGCCCGGCAGATGATAGATCGTTGATGGCGAGCCGACAGTGGGCCAACCCGACCTGCTCGGTCTCGTTGATCCAGACACCTGAATCGTCCGGGCCGCGGTGGGAAATCATATCGAGTGAAGCTTGAAGCTGCGTCGCAAGAGGATTTGCTACACCGTTGGTCTCTTTATGGGAGCTGGTGTTCCCCTTGCAACCAACGTCCGCATGTTTCGCGCAGCCATTACTGGTCTGATTTTCAATGCCAGTCGGAGCAACAGAGATGCACGCAGAGATTCCGCACATTATGGATGCTTCTTGGGATCACCTCGAAAGTTGGAAAGATGCTCCAGGCACGCGCACCTTTGACCGATACCAGGGCGGCCACATGTAGTGATCACACTAACGCCCAGAGTTCAACAATGCTAAAACGAACTAGGCAAGCAGCCGTTTGCAATCTGGTTACTGGACAAGCTCAATCCGAACCTCTTTCGCACGCCGCCGGCATAGCAAATCGGGGCTGCCGACGGGGTCATCCAAATCTGGCCACCGCTACTTAGGGTTACAGTAGGGAACCGGGCAGGTCGCAAAGAATACAGAAGAAATGCTGACCAGTCAGAGCATTATCAGACGCATTTAATTACAGATCAATACTACAGACGTCATTTAGAATGTAACAGAATTACAACAAAGTCTTAATTGTAATGGCAATCAATGCATGCGCCTTGTTATCCCCGCGTAGAAATTCAGTGGCCGCACGACCAGGAACTCAGGATCATACATGACTGCCTCTGGCGATGAGTCGTCGAATTCGTATCGATAGGCCAACTCGACTAGAACCATCTTGACCTGTGTGAGCGCCAAATTGAACCCTACACACCCGCGGCCCCCTGCTGCGAAGGGTGTGTACGACCCCTGGCGAGCCATTTGCGCTGCAAGACCTTCTTGCGCCCACCGGTCCGGATCAAACCGCTGCGGATTCTCCCAATGGGCTGGGTTCTTGTGTAAACTAGGAAAGCACGCAATGACAATGGATCCCTTTGGAATCAGGTACCCCCCGGGCAGAACCGCGTCTTGTTTGGCGTTGCGGGCTGTCTGGAAACTGGGGCTATGCAGACGGAGAACTTCTTTGACGAAACAGTCGAGAAATTTCATCCCGTGGATCTCGTCATAGGTCCAGCGACCATCGTTACTGCTGCGGTGTCTGGTAATCTCCTCGAAGAGACGTTGCTGATTCCCAGGATACCGCACGAGGGAGTACAGAGCCCAGGAGAGCAGAGATGAACTGGTGGTGAACCCCGCGCCACAGCTCACTACCACGTTTCCTAGAACCAGCTCATATGGCATCCCTTTGCCTTGCTTGTCGCGAGCGCGATACAAGAAGTCAGCGACGCAGGCAGCGCTCTGGATGGCATTTGGCTCGGATAAAGGCAGAGGGGGACCGTCCTTGCGAATGCTCTTCTTCATGGCCTCTTCGGTTGTGTCCAGCACCTGCTGCCGGACAGTTTTCAATTTGGTCGTCTCGTTGAATGGAAGGTACTTGAACCACTGGGGCCGCATTGACGATTTCTTCATCAGCGAGAGATACTGGCCAAATAGTCGAACGGGAAACGAGGGGGGCGTCTGGGGCGACTCAAACTGCTTCAGGTCCTGGTTGAGCATGACTCGCCAGACAATCTGTGATGCAAGCTTGAACATGTATTGGTAGACATTGATCGCGAGATTGGCGTCGGCCAAGTGATCGAATGCTGGGAAGATGGATTGTGCCGCATCCTGGATCAGCGGCATAAAGTGGGCTATACCGCGTGGCGACATGGTCGGGGGTACAAATTTATGGCTTGGTGCAAACGCTGGAGATGCGCTGTCGCAGGTAAAGAGGCAGTCCTGGTCGGCCATGTAGTGCAGTGGGTGTGATGGGCTGGATGTGGCCTTGGTGAACAGTTGATCCTCGCGCAACACATGGCGGGCAATGGCCGGATCATTCGTGTGGTAGATGGTCGTTCCCATGTTGACTGTCTTGATCATTGGCCCGTAGAGCGAGAATAACCGGTCATAGTTTCCGAGGACGTCTGGATATAACTCGTAGCGGTTGCCAACGAAGGGTATGAGGCGGGGCCCGGGGGGCTCACGGATGGACTCATGCGGTGTTGCTCGCACTTCCACATTGTGCTTGATGCCCTGTAAGTCTGAAATTGGGCTGCCCTGTTCGTTGACGAGCCATATTGCTGTCCTGAGTTAGCCAGGTCTACAGGCGCCCTCGTTGTTGGGAAATGCACACCTTTTGTATCAGTAAATCCAAACACCCCAGCCAAGGTCGCTCTGAGTTGCTCTATGCTGGAAAATTTCGAGACGTCTAGACTGTGAGAATAGACATCGTTTTCCTGTCCGATATGAAATTCCGGATGCATTTTTGCGGCCGCAGTACACCCAATACCACGAGTAAAGTCAACGATCATCTCCCTTGGGAATTCTGCACACTAAACTGCCTGGCAAGACGTCTGCGTATGGTGCTCCGGCTTTGATCCATGCTGACAAGGTCGCCGATTTTGGCAGCGCGGCCAGAGATTCTTTTGGGAAGCCCGTCCGCGGCTGTCCACGTTGGGATGGGCACAGTGCCCGATTGGAAGATTGGTTTCAAGTAATGATAACCTCTGGCCCCAATGAAGCCTCTTTCGCTTATTCTGAACTTTCCTGTCTCCTGGCACGCGGCGACCATGACAGTCTCCCCGCTGGGCAAAAGCATCACACTCGAGCAATTGGCGGACCACAATACTTTACACTCGTTATGGATCGCGGTTCATGGTGTTGGTAGACTACCACGAAATCCCTGGAATACCTTAACGTAAACCTGACCAGCTTTCCAGTATACGATCTGACAGCCTTCAGCTCCGACCACCCCGGCGGCATTGATGCACTCGAAAACTGTGCAGGGACAGACGGTACAGAGGCGTACGAATATGCCGGTCACCGCGAAGAAAATACGGCCAGAATGCAACAATACCGTGTCGGCAAGCTGGTCGGAAGCCCCGGGCGAGCTCCTCCAAGTGCCCACGATCCCATTGGAAACACAAAGCAGATTGGTAGCAACCAGACTATCTTCTCTCCCAGGGCAAAGCTGGCAGTGAGTCTATTTACTGCGTACGGTGCAATGGCTATGACATACCGCCACGTTCTCCCAAGACTGGAAGTATCGCAGCTACTCACTACGAAGGTTGACTTGAGCTCTGGACATGGGTTCTTGACAGGCATAGTCATTGCTTCGTCAATGAGCTTTGTTGGTTTTAGGTACCTTTATAAACTGTTTCTGTCGTCTCTTGACTATCAGAATGATGTATTTAGCTTTCCACCCACTATACCTAGAAAAGCCCGAAGATAGGCAATAGACTGAACCGACACCCGCACACTTCCCTCTAGCTTCTAGTAGTTGCGGACATCCTGCACATAGTGATGGTTCTCTTTCTCCTGGCTATGCCCAAATCTTGTCATTTATTGAATATATATCGCAAAAAAAGCCAAGTTTGATCCTATATACATCGGATAGAGGCATGAACCAGCAAATTCAACTCCCGAACACTTCAGCCCCCCTCGGATCAAGTCACCCAAAGCCACGACCCAATGGTTCATTTGTTCCGCTTCTCCAGGCAAAGGTATAGTGGGCCAGCCTGCATTGCAAAATGCTCATACATGCCTTTCTCGAAACCAGCCACCGGGTCGGTCCGACTAGGGGCAAATCTCAGATTGTAATGCATGACCAGCCTCGCGATAGTGACGCGGATGTTGGTTAATGCTAGATGCTTTCCAGCGCAATTCATGGGACCCAATGAGAATGGTGCTATTGCATTCCTGTCCTTGATCAACTCTGGAAGACTATACCATCGTTCCGGAATAAACTCATTCGCTCGCGGGAAGATGGTCTCGTCTGATCCTACGTTAATGGGGGTATGATCAATCATATACGGCACAGTAGGATCTACTTACCTCGTCCAATAACGTACTGGGGGGCTATCAGTTGTGTTCCGCCGGGGATAAAACGACCAGCGATGATGGTGCCCTCGGGGGGAGACAACCGCGTTGGGTGGCTGGGACTTGGTGGCCACATGCGAAGTGCCTCTTGAACAACCCCATTTAGCAAGTCAAGGCTTCTGATTTGATCGTCCATCACGAGTTCATCCGGAGACTGCGGAACATATGGCTTCAACTCGTCGCGCAGCCTGTCTGCGAGCTCGGGTCGTTGAGCAAGAATCCACAGGATGCAAGACATGGTGATTCTGGTGGTATCACTAAGCGGGGAATCAGTGAATTACTCTGTGCCTGATCAATATCTTCCCAGGACCACCGTACCTTCCGGCGTTGATCAGTAGGTGTGATTCTCCAGCCAGGAGGTTTATTGCTTGCTCGTCGAATACTTTCTCCTTCCTGCGGTATGGGGCAAAGAGGGCACTCATCACGTCTGGTATCTTCGGCTCATTCTGTGTAGAGATTGTGAGCGGACCTCCTGATCATAACCCTAAAATAAGAACAAACCTCCCATCTCGTACGCATTTCTTCGGTGCAGTACTTCAGCATAACCTTCAAGTCCTTATTGCCACCAGGGAGTGCACGCAGGATGTGGAAAAACCACATCGGCAGATGAATACCGATAACGCTCATTCCATTGTCGAGGATGTCCATTGCCCAGTGGTGCTCCTTGGTATCTAGCATGCCGAATGGATGACCAAACGACAAATCACTCAAAACATCCCATGAATATAATCCCAGCCAGTGGTTCACATTCACTGGCTGTCCGGCGTGAGCATCGAGTTCATGTATGAGTCTGGCCCTATATGGATGGATCCGTGTCTCATAGCTCCTGACAGCCTTTGTAGAGAATGCTTGACTCCAGACTGAACGCAGCTCGGCGTGCCCCTTAAAGGTCCGGCGAAGAAGAACCGAGTCTTGTGGCCGAGTGAGGTCGTACCAGGGGCCCTTTTGGCACACCGAATCGGCTCCGAATATTTGTTGGACTGCCTTGGGGTGTGTAATTGACAGCTCTTGGGTGCCAATACGCACAAAGTAGCCATACTTTCGGTGCAGCTCGTGTAAAGTATTATACATCTGCATTCGCCGAATGGAAAACGTCATGTAGAAGCTGCTGATTCGTGCGATCCATGGTCCAGGAAAGATGTTGAGTGGGTGTCGAAAAGCACGGTAGAAGAAAAGACTCGCATATAGGCCCAAGAGAAACATGCCATCATACAAGCATGACTGCTTCAAAGCAGCCTCCAAGGTGAGGCCTAGTCGATATTGCAGGGCAGCGAGGACTGCAAATGCGATGGCGTGTATTTGGATGTATATTATACCATGCAAGTGGTGCTCACCGCGGTTGAAGTATCCCACGTAGCAGGTGGCCCCAGCAGCGAAGGCGAACGCTTCTAATGCGAATTGCATCTTGTGCGAGTGGATGGAGCTGGAGATGTCTGTCTCAATGGAGAAAGTATTGCAATTTTAAGCAATCGCGACCTTGTATGCGCAAAGCCTTAATCGCACGAACTAGCAATTTTGTATACCTCACCATCATTCTGGCTTTACTGTACGCGGAGAAAGCCGAATTTGGAAAGGGCCGCGCTCAACTGAGTGTATTACTGTTCCCACTTGCAACTCACCACACAAATAGGCTTGACGTGTGATGTAATATTAATAGAAGTATTTAATTTATATGTATACCATTTAAGCCAAAATATCTGAACATAGACTGATTTTAGAATGCTTTAATATTACACTTGGAAACATGTTGACATTAGAATATATAATCATGTTAAGTTGCTCACTGTCCCACGTGGTTCAAGTATAAAACAACAACAACCTCTATATTTTATTGAAGAATCAGAAATTTGTATAAATATAACTTATAAAATTAACAGTCCTCAATTTTTATAAGGCTTAATAGCAAATACCAAGCCAGCCAGCCCCTGATGTAGTCTGGTCCCTAGTCCTTGACGGATCGCCCCTGATTGGTCACTGCCGGGTGCGTGCTCCCATGGTGTTGGGTGCGTGCCGTCCATGTCTACCACTCTTTTCTTCTGTCTCTCTAGATTAGATTGGTCAGCTTCGCTCCCTCCTGCCAGTACACGGTAACCCCTTCAACCTTACTCACCCACCTCCGCGCCCGCCATGACTGACGTGATCGTGTAGGACTCACCAAGGGTGCGGTGCCAGTCCACAAGATAGGACATTGCGGGTATGTGGTGAAGAAGATGGAGGAGTCCACAGAGTTTTATTGCACAAAGTTCAACTTCAAACCCTCAGACGTGTTCCTTGGCGATGACAACCAGCCCAACATGATCTTTCTCCACGTCGACCTGGGCAAGATGTATCCTGAACACCACTCCTTCTTCCTCATCCGGCCCACTGGCCCACAGCACGCAGGATCGCCGCACCATGCCGCCTTCGAAGTCGAGAGCATTGACACGACGTTTGTTAGCCATGAGTATCTCAAGTCGACGGGCTATGCGAATTTCTGGGCAGTTTTTAGTGTTCAGCCGTCGATCGCTGATTGGGATAGATAGTGGCCTGTGGGAGGGCTATGTGAGCCTTTTTTGCCTGTTCCCGGACGCGCTGCAGCATCTGCGCTGCTATGGGTACTCGCGCCACGAGCGTATGGAAAATCATGAAGGTTGCAGCAAACATGTTACTACTTTCAACATTTTCTAGGTCGGCGAGTAACGCAGATAATGCGAGGTCTGCGTACCGTACAAACGTGATTGGCATATACTTTTCGGACCACCGTGACGCGAAACTTTGCAGCAGGGAACAGGTTGTTCGCGCACATGAAAGCCTTTGGGTTGTGGAGTTAAACGCAAACAGCCCATTCATTTGGCTGATATTCTCAGCTGCGTTGCATAAACTTATGATGGCGCTGGAATAGCGCAGACTGGTGCAAGGGATCAGTAATGACAGAAAGCGAAGGTTTGTCAACTCACCGTGCATCAAGAATTCCTAACGAGTACTCGTCGTTTGGAGTCACCTCCGAAACACACCCTGGAAGGTTCCCTGCCCACTTTTGCAAGCGCTCATAGTATTCATTGGCTAATTCATGGGTGAACCAGGCATATTCGGCGGAAATCGCTTTTGAAATATCCCAAAGTATGAGTTGCAACTCGACCAGCTCAAGTGCCACACAGTCGGCATGCCCCGGTATCGATTCCGCCATCATCGGATACGGATGCCAAAGGTCTGCGCCACCATGGGTGTCACAACTAGGCCTGTGCGCCGGTTCAGGTAGAATCAATGACTGATGCATGGTTGGCAACGCGACACTTGTGCTGTTAGATAGAGCCGATTTCCCCACTAGATGCACTTACGGAAGTAGGCTTGACACACCATTAACGGCCGTCTCGATGGCCGTTACTAGCTCCTGGGATTTTCCATCGCCCTTTGCTTTGGCTGCATTTCGCTGAGCGAGCAGCTGGGCCGAGCAGCTCGCAATTTCAACAAGATATTGCCAGCCGGCCATATGCTTGCACATCGCCCATAGGCTGTGGCCACAGTCAGAAAAGGAAGCCCGAGGGGTATCAGTTCAAGTACCTGATGTATAGTTCACATCGACCCTGGAAGTTTGTGAGAGAAAGCCTACCATGGTCCTGGTCCAACAATCTCCTTGCCTCGGCAACAAATGTCGATGCATCAGGGGTGATATTGGCTTGTGGCAGACTCCCTGCTGGCGGGTCCAGGTAAGACTAGGACAGTCAGCCCACAGCATTCGTGGAGAATACCCGGTACATACACATGCAACTGCCAGCATTGCATTGACAAGGAACGGAGAGCAAAAAGAGCACTCTAGACTGCCAGCCTCCATGTCTCTGAGGAACAGATCGCGCTCGATCCACTTGTGCACGGGATGGTTCCACGTGAAGTACAAAGATATCAGATGAGAAACATAGTCACTATCATCCGTAAGCAACGTCCACGGCCGTGCGGGTACGCGATACAGGGGACTATTGTGAGTCTGCTACCATTAGCCCAGGTTCAAACTCGTACGTCCCCCAAGAAGGAGGATGCTCACCCCTTCTCCAGGCTGGCTCTCCGCTGGTAGGTGCTGCTCCAGGAAATCTCGGATTTCATCGAGTGAGGCGTTGCTCTGAATGACATTCAAGATGCTACTGGATTCATTATCGTTATCAGCCAGAGTCCGCACCAATCCATGTAATAGTGTACGATCTCGCCTCAGCACATTCACTCTGCGGTCGAGGGCTCCTTTCTTGCGACCGTCGCTGGCCGCGTCGACCACGCACTCTGCATTCGCCCGACGGCAGGGGTCGCATGGCACTCCCCCGACGCACTATTATCTGATCAGTGGCTGAACACGAACAAGGAGCAGTGGCAAGTGCCTTGGATTTGTTCTTGCGGCATTCAACACAAGCGATTGACGCCTTTGTCCCCCGAGGCCGCGCGGTGCTTGGTGGTTGCCTGGAAGTTCCCGAGGGCGCGGGCTGGATGGGCCGCAGGGGACGCGATGACATGTCCACTTGGTGTCCAGCGCAGTGCGGTCCCAGGACGAGGCGGATTTAGTCTCCCGAATGATGACTCAGTAGGGACTAGTATAGCCCTAACCCGGACATCCTTTCCAACCAATCGCTGCTCAGTGGTGCGCGTGTGACGTGGTTGTTTTGCTAAGCCCTTGAGGCGGGGTCTTCTTAATGATCGAGGGGAGCATCAACAAGGCATCTGCCATATTTTACGGTCGCTTTCAGCCCTCGTGTCCAGCGCGATGCCTCGTGGATCACACCGTCCGCCCTCTACGCCGGCCTCTGGCCCTCTCTTAGGCCGTGGGCCGCCGTCCAATGTGCCCCCTCCGACCAGGAAAAGAAAAATCACTCACGCGTGTGTCTCGTGTCGGGCGCTGAGGACAAAAGTAACCGCCCTGCCGCATTGTACTGAACACTAATAATGTAGGATCTAGTGCAGTGGGCATCCGTGCACCACCTGCCTGCAAAAGAATATCGAGTGCGTGGTTGACCGGGAGAGCGACCAGCGCAAGAAGATCCCCTTAAGGCGGGAGATGCAGGAGCTTGAGGAAGATCAGGCCCTCTTCATCCGTCTTCTACGAACCTTGCGCCATCGCCACCCGGATGTCGAGGCGCTTCTGGACTACATCGCTGTTCAAAAACCCTCGCTGGCTGAGATTAAAGTGTACATGGACCGCCATCTCAGCCGCCAGCTAGAACAAACGCCGGAGCTGTTGGAAGCGTACAACGAGCTCACCCAGGCCCAGCTGCCTGCCACGACGTCGGCCAGCCGAGCCTTGGACATCGCCAGGCTGTGTGATATTCCTCCTTTCTCGGGACGCGCTGATGTGTGGACCACTGTCACGAATGATGATCAGTTTGTCTCGCACCTCCTGTCCCTCTTTTTCACCTGGCATGCCCCCTTCTTCAACTATATCAATCGAGAGCTTTTTCTACGTGATCTACAATCTGGCAGCACGGACTCGACGTTCTGTTCCCCGCTGCTTGTCAATGCCGTCCTCGCTGATGCTTGTGCATGTTTCCCTTTTTGCCCTATGTGTGGCGGCCGCTAACCGGCCCTATCCAGTCTTACTCGGATTACCCAGAGGCATTCGCTGTTCCTGGTGACGTTACCACAAAAGGGGAGCACTTCTGGAGACAGGCCAAAGAGCTTCTGGACGCCGAGGAGGGGGAGCTGAGTCTGACTACTGTACAAGCAATTGCACTCCTATATTCAAGGTGAGCGGCGTAATATTGTAACTTCAGCGCATGTTAACTGTGCCCAGTACTTCGATCATGGGTAAAGACCGCCTAGGATGGTTGTATGTTGTCCGAGCGTCCAAAGCGATTCCACTTCTCCGGTCTTCGCATCGAAAGGGCGCCCTGACTCCAGGAGTCACCTCAGAAATGTTGGATCGTTTAGAGTCGGGCTTCTTTGGCGCATCACTGTATGTATAATTCCGTGCTTTAAAGCCAGACAGTAAGTAACAAGAAGCAGGTTCAGCTGTCTGGCCATGCAGAAACCCCCAGAAATGGAAGTCCCGAAGTGTGATCGACTTCCAGAGCATCAGCACGAGGACACCTGGTTCCCATATCCGAGGTTACTCGACCCGGTTCCCAATCTGCACACCAACTGTGTCACCAACCAGAGACGAGGGCTGGGAGAAATTAGCTGGGAGATTTGCCAGGGGCTCTTCGGCGATGAGGGCCGGCCACCGGTGGCCGACATGGAACAGACAATCAACAAGTCTTACGAGCGTCTCCAGCGCTGGGCTAAAGACTTACCAGATTGTCTCCGACCTAATAAGGACTCGCTTCCCGAGGTGTTGAGTCTCCAGTAAGAACCGCGATTCTGCCGCGCTCTCTTATTCCCCAGGGTCTTCTCTTTACTAATCTAACCAGCATGCAATACCACACGATCATAATGACGGTGTTTGCATTTCTCAAAACTCCAGACCCAGCGGACCCCCCGCGAATGCTCTCCAGGGCCACCGCACGCCATAGATGCATCTCCGCCGCCCACGCCGTCAGCAGGCTAGTTGCCACTCTGAAAGCTCACTGGGGCGCTGACCGTCACGTATACAGCGACCATCACTTCATCTGTGTAGCCCTGTTCATGCTCATCGACGACTTAGCCCAGAAGCCCAGCCACGATGCCTTCCTCATCCTCGCCACGGCCGCTCTCCCGCTGAGCTCTCGCTCTCTGATTCTGAAGGGAATGTTTCGGCAAGTACAGGTCATGACAATCCAGGCGAACGCGTCGCTATCTCCGCAGATTACGCGTGTCTTCAAAAGGTTTGAAAGGCGCTTGTGGCGGCCTGAAGATAGGCGACATTATAGCAGCGCATATCCGAATTTCGCGGCCGCATTGAGGCAGTAGGACTCGGGTAATCAAGAGGATTTTGAGATGGATGATTTCTTGCAGACGTGGAATGACTTTACGATTGGGCAAGCGGAAGACTCTTCTGCGAGTGAGCGGGAGATATAGGGAAATCACGTCCGACTACAGAAGCGGGAACTATATTTATATTCATTTAAAACCGGGTAACAGATGTAGACTTGATGAGTACGGAAATGTGAGGTGAACGCAAGTCATGAGCCCTGAGTTTACAAACTGTGCTCAAAGCAGTCTAGCACTCGATAAGTCTTTGCAGTGGGAACTCATGTTTATGAATCAGGTAGAATATAATGATGATGGTATTCGACAGGCGTAAGCCACTCAAACATTATGCCCTTCTCGTGGGCAGCCTTGCGATCCAGCTGGAGGTCTTTTATCGCAGCAAGTCCATCTCCGATGAGACGGTGCGCTTCTGCGGTGTGTTGACTATGCCACCCAAGTCAGCCTGCTTAGGGTTAAGTAAATAAAACTCCTTCGCCAAGTATGTTCATTCTGGAGTATAGATAAGATTCCGGCTTGACGGTCTATATATATCAAACAGAGCACCTCTCCCTTTCCTACAACCGGAGCCTATACCGAACACATTTAGGCAGCCAATAAAAGGTCAAGAACTGAAGGTATAGTCCAACAGCAATCCTTCTGTATAGTAGTGCAAAGTAACCTTATCCTCAGAGTTACTTATCGCGTGTCTATCCAATCATTCTACAGTCATCATCGTTATCACACACAACGTGTAAATCATAGTCGCCACACTTCACTTCCTTTCCTCCAAAGGCGGCATTGATAGCGCTGCTGATGTCCTCACCACTGCAAAAAAGTGATGTCTTGAACCCGGCGTTCATCGTCTTGTCATCGTTGGCGTAGTGGCAACCCCAACCTGTTGGTGCGCAACCTCTGCCGTTGATATTGTCGAGAAAGCCAGAACCGCAGGTTTCGTCCGTGAAATCGCTGGCATCGTTGATGACGACATTCCAATAGCCGAACCCAGCTTCCCACTTCCACATACATTGCTGGTCAAGGCTCATCTTCGGGTGCTTAGGGTTGATATAGATGCCTTTGCTTTCTTCACGAGCGTGCAGCACTTTAGGATTCGGCTGGGCGGGGGATGCTGCTGCAAGTGCAATGACAAGACTAGCAAGGCTAATCTGTTGGAAATGCATGGTTGAGGTGGAAAATAGCAAAGCAGACAATAGTTGTAGGTATAAGTTTAGTGGCAAGAAAAGTGTGTAGATGGTTTGGTAAATTTGATACTGAATTATTGGGAATGCCTCCGCCTTTTATCTTTTGGAACGTCAATCAAGTCTCCCAAATCCCCAGGTCTCGACTGTCAGTCTTTCCATCTCGGTTTCGCACCGGTTGCATAGCTGCCATGTCATCAGAACGTGGCGATGAGCTTTCTTGTTGACAAATAATCTCGAGCATCACAAGAAAAAGGCCCCGGGCAGTGCTCTGGGCAACATGGGTTCGAGGAGGCTGTTATAGCCCTCGTCAGACATACGCCCCGTTCTTATGTTTCAGCTGGGCCTATCCATCAGCCATATCCTCAATATGACCGAAGAAACGGCCCGAGCCGTACGCTGGGTACTAGAAAATGGCCCCCGGCAGTGCTCTGGGCAGCATGGATCTGGGGAAGATCAAATTATCTGTGACACTTCTACCCCGCACTTCTTAGCATTATCGTATTTTTATTGGCTCTACTAGTGTCCTATGTGACCCTGGAAGTGCTCTGCGCAATGTGAATCGAGGGAGGATGCCCAATTGGCCCTGCGGGCACCCAGTATACAACACCCTGACAGGGCTTTGTGGCTATATATTATAGATACATGAAAAGATTCTATAGTATATCCATATTGCAACTCTGGTCCATAGTCCTGTTGTCCTTACACTCTTCTCAAAGCCATGTTCGGTAGGTATTTTTAAAATATCAGCGAGGGGCAATGCTGAGTGGTTGACTCTGCAAGTTGTATCCTGTCGATGTGGCCAAGTCGCCCAGGCAGTGCGGCTGCCAGCTCGATGCCTGTGAAGCCTGCACCGCAAACCACCACGGCGTCGCGACCGAGGCTTGGAGGAAATGAGGGAAGCCCGTCAAGGTGTGATTCTAGCTTAGAGGCCGCACCCAGCGAATCGATATCAAAGGCATACTATTGCAGACCGGGGACGCTCTGGGACTTTGCGACAGAGCTCCCAGCTGCAAGCACAAGGCGGTCGTATTCGATGATTGACTCGACACTTCCGGCATTTCGCGATTGCAGAGTCAACATCCACAGTGCGCAGATACGGAATAAAACCGACAACTTTGGCAGGCTTGTTCAACACCTGCAAGGGCGAGGGCAATTAGACGCCGTGTATCTCGCGAGTAAGGACACTGCTGAATGTAATTGCACCACTGCGAGACCAGTCAACGCCCCAAATAGTCTGAACGCAACCAACCCGCCCATCACCTGGAAGCTGGCGGTCGCTGCGTGTGAGGAACCGCGGCCCCAGAGAGCAAAGATTCTGCTGCCCACAACAAGAAACACCCAGCCAGACCAGATTTCCCACCGGTACTTGCAGAAGCAATCAACAACGAAGCGGGCAATGCCACTCAAGACAAAGACGACGCAGCAGAAGATGGCCAGAAACAGGGCTAATTGACGGAATATTACCACACAAATAGACTTACCCACCTTGACTTGGCTTTCTAATTCTTGACGCAGCCTTAATAGGTTCCATGAGCCAGCTTTGATAGATATCTGTTGGGTTGTCTCGTTTTGAAGTAAACCAGACGATTTCAAACCCCAAAACATTTCTATGTGCCGGGAATTCAAATGAAGACACTTTCGTGTAGTCGGAATTTCCAATGTAAAATGAGTCCGCTTCAGACACGATGACACGGTGGCCCCTGTCCAGCACTTCTTCCGTGACACCATCGTGCCATGTTTGAACAACCCAGTCCTTGGAGATGTTTAAACATTTTCCCTTATCCGTAACGGGGTCATCCCATATGATCGACATCTTGCTGGGGCAAAGAGACTTGAGCCACCCAAGAAACATCTCAACAAGTTCGTTATCATCATCCGTCTGCCAAATATAGGCCACTTCATCTCCCCCAAAGTGATGGAGGGAGGACCCGAAGTATCTATCAACTGTTCCAATTAAACTACCTATATGATCGTATGTCGCATCCTTGGTAATGTCGAGCTGGGCGTTCGGGTGTTCTAGGTTTGGTTTCCCTACTACCAAGTCCTGCTTCCATACACCCCTAGGTGGCCGGTTCGATCAGCAGTTCAGTGCGCAGGCGCAGGGTAAACACTTTCAGAACATACCATATGTCACTATGGCCAGGCATATTGGTCTCCGGGTATACGTGGATGCGCAATCGCCGAGCATGCATTATCACATTTTGGATATCCAAGGGAGTGTAATATTCGCGGGTGTGGCTTTTCTGAATACTGGCATTTGTCAGGCCTCGATTCCGCCAGAGCAAGGGGAAGCTCTCTGCATCGTATATGTGCCAATGAAAGATATTAAAGTTGTATTGATTGAGCACGGTCAGCAGATCAATTATGGTCTGGACTGGAAAGAATCTCCTGCCCGTGTCCAGCATGAATCCTCGGTGTGGGTATAGATCTGAATCCATTCTTTGCACAGTGCTACCAAGCAGCTGGGCTCTGCCTATGAGCTGTGCGTCCAGTTATTTATAGGCCGCTTTGCGTTAAGGGTTCGTATCAGTGATGACGAATTTCCTACATCATACTATTAACGTCTTTGGCCAATGAGTGTTACTTCCAGATAAACGAACAAGTCTAGATTAAATACATGAGCTCCTTCTATGGGTTTTGATCACGCGTCTTGCCCCATTTGATGTTGTCTTGCTTCCACATTGAGTACAGCGGTATCCAGATACTAAAGACTGCGATCATGGGGAAGAACGGGATGTAAAACGGAATATATCGCCAGTCATTGCAGCAAATACATAGCACCACGGGTACGAGGCAAAACCCAAGCAGTATGGCCCATGTATACGGAGTTAGCAATAGTGCGATTACGGCGAGCACGACGCCCGCGGGCAGTGCCAGAGGCAGGACAAACACCATGAAGAGTTCGCAGCCGATGACAAAGATCAACATACATTGAATCCAGACTGATGCTTCGAAAGGGAGAACGTTAAGGTGAGAAAAATGGCAGTGGATCAGGGAGTTCGTCCATCGCCGGCGCTGATCAATGAGCATAGAGACGGTGTGAGGCACAGTCGTGGTACATTGGGCGGCAGCAAAATATCGCAGTCGACAGTCAGAGCCAAAGTACCGGATTGCCAGCGTTGATAAATAGCGATCTTCGCCAATCGATAGCAGGTTGTGCTCGTGTAGGGTCTTCTCATGGCTTCCCGCATAATCCTTGAGCAGCGTCGCGAGCAAGATAGCGGGCTGGTTGTTTGGCCATTTCAGTCGGTAGATAGTGAAGCAACCGCTAAGCACGAGGACATTCGAGCAGACACTCTCTAATGCCTTCAGCACAGCGTGCGTCAGCCAGTACTCGAACACTTGGCTGCAGGCGACAAAGCTGTCTACCGGGTTGTTCACTCCGGTGTAGCCGCACACACCGACGAGTGTTGGATCTTTGGCGAGCTGGTGGACGAGATACGAAATGCCCGTCGGTTGAATTTCTGTGTCGGAGTCGGCGACGAGCATGTACATGGCATCCCGAGCATCCATGTCCAGATTCTCGCGGATTTGGTACTCCATGTTCTCGAACAGTGGGCTCCAGCCTGCACGGTAGTTGGCAAAGTGCAGGAAGTTGTACACAAGCAGTTGCGAATCGCGCTTCCCTCTGTTACCAGGCTTTGGCTGCCCCTGTTCATCGTCTCGTCCAATCTTGACGACAATCACGTAGGGCACTTCTCGGAAGAAGCCTGTGAAGCAGGCAGCGAAGTTTTCCGACGTTCCGTCCTCGCTGAATGATGGATACGGCCTGGATCTGGTCTCAATTTCGGCTGCTAGCTCTGCTTTGTGGTCGAAGATATCCTCCAACAAAATCTTGTAAGTCGCCTTGTGCTCAGGGGTTGTCACTGTCCCGTCCGCCACAATAAAAAGAAGCTTCCGCTTTTTCGCATACGTCGACGAGACACAAGAGTCGATTGTTTTTCGGAGTACGTATTCGTTCTCATTATAGCAGGGTACATGCATAATAACCAAGTCGTCACGCTCTTCGAAAGAACGGCCTTTATAGCGAATGCGGGCAGCGCAGAGCGCCACCAGCAGCATAAACATAGCACCCATACCGACATATATGTATATTACATGGCGCACAATATTACAGAATTGGCCGTGGGCAGTAAACATACCGATGTGTACCTTGACGACGCAGCTGGCCACGGGCTGGATGATGAGGAAATAGCACAGCACCATGTAGATGACCGCAACGAGTATGCAGACGAATACTTTCTGTCGGAAGGCAAGACGGCGACGGAGATCGTTCATCTTCAGGGCCTTCTTGAGAAACCAAGAAGGGATGTAAAAGGTCAGACAGCGCGCAATCCATTTCCAGAATCCACGATATTCTCCAGGATTTATATACTCATTCGTTCGGTGCGGCTTTGTCCAGGCTCGGAACGCAGCGACTTGGGACTCGACAGTCTGGGGGCAAATATCTTTTCCAACCTTGATCTTGTTGCGAATGTATGCTAACGGGGGTATCTTGGGTTCGCGAAGGTTCTGGCGCTCAATGCTGGTCTCCTGCCTGACAGAGTCACCCAGCCCATCGTTATCAACGCAGCCATCCGATTGGCATACACTTGGAGGTGGGCACTGAGACTCTGGAAGCTCGCAGCAGCGAGCCCATTCATCAACTCCGTCAGGAGGTGTCGGGTGGCTGGTTTCCTCGAAGTCTGAGGAATATGTATCATGGCCCGCTTCAATATCGACAGATCTGCCGTCTTCTCGCGGGATATTTAGAGAGTGACTAGAAGCACTGTGACACGGGTGGAGAATACCTGCAGACCTTTGCTCTGTCATACTTGTGGTCGTATCTAGTCTTAATCTGAAGCTCGTTGCTGCAGTACAAGAATGGGCCGCAAGGGAAATATATAACCATGTAGGCATGTGGATGCTAGAATTTAGAGAACGTCAGTACCTCATCCAGACCCGTCGAGACCTGCCGGGGCCTTATCTCATCTTCTTTAACGTTGACGCTTTTGTTGTTGTTCATCTGCTCTGGTGGCACGCCAGCGCCGAACCGTTGACAGGCCTCCGTGTGATATCCCCTCTGTCTAGTTCGGAAGAGGGAGATAGCGCCTACGAGCCTCTATGACAGTATCCCTGCTGTCACGAACTGGAATTGCCCTAGTTATGCCCAATGATATGGCCTGCGCGGTAAGTTGGTACGTGGTCCAGCGAGAGATGCGGAACGAGGTCATGCCAAACCAGAAGCCTCGATTAGCGAGGTCGGCGAACATAGAGCATCCCCGCTTGGACTATGGTCTAGATTCTATACCAGGCCAGGGCGACAGACTATACTGTTTATGGATTTGGAATAGCTATAGATGCTATCAAGATAGTATGCATAATGAAGTTTGGCTCGTTTGCTACCATAAGGTCAGAGCATTCAGAAGTCTAGAGTCCCGAACGCTCCTGGTCATACTATGCAAGACGTTGCATATTCAATTGGTTGGTTATAATAGGACACCATCAATGCTGTAGCATTTGCCGTATATCGATTTAGGTTTGAATAGTCCGATTGACGTCAGTAAATATCTACGACTTGACAAGCCCTGTTCTCGGCTAGAGCGATGATAATACCGTTGATAACCGTCCATCAAGTGTGAGCATCATTAAGAACAGCACGCCTGCCCATATTATGCGATTGTTATGATGAGACCCGACAGACGCCATCGTTAGGGCAGAAATATACGAATGAGTGGGAGCATGTGGTGGCGAGTCCCATGTCGCAGGAGCCAACTGTTCCAGGGTACAAACGAACCGTGCGGAGATACAAGCGTCAGCCAATAATGCAAAACTGCTAGGCCGTGGCAAAGGTATGTGCTTGAACCTGCTCACTCCATAGAAAAAAGATCGTCGTGGCTGCTAACTCCGCCAGGGGATCGGGCGCCATTTCCGACGACGAATTTAGCATCAGTGACACTACGATCCGGGCCAAATCTGCACGGGCTATCTTTGAGTTGTGCCTCCGGGGTGCAAACCATGGTTTAAATATCGCGTGGGTATTAAAAGGGTCGATTTAGACGCGACAAGGTTTGGCAACAATGGCCGCCGTATGCCAGGTTCCATGGATTAGGCGGCATGCTCACCAGAGCACCAGAACTAGACTAATCTCGACCATTAAGAAGAGCTGAGCGTCTATTCAGTGACGCGGTTTGACCCAGAGCCATGAGACCACTTGATGATGAACGATCGATTCCCTAAGACAACTGGGTAATGGAGTGGGCAGCTCGGCTCCGAGGAAAGCGGGCATGTCCAGACCCGATAGAAAAGGCCTAGGCGATGAATAACAGGCCAGTCCCAGGATAGATCCGGCAGACATGGAAGGAATGAAGCTCTGGGTCGTCAACAGACAGAGACAAGACGTATTTGATGTGCGGCCAAGACTCAGTGTTGATTTGGGCATGTTATCTCAAAATTATAACAGCTGCTATATTAATCAAAATCTTTTGGGAATGAATGAGAGATATATCTCGTATCGAAGTATTCCTTCGCACAAACACGTTTTGCTTTCTTCATCAACGAGCAGTCTTGCGACTGTGGACACAGGTTCCAAATGTAACAGTGAACCGCCAGGATACTTGGATCAACAATTAAATCTCTACATAACGGATCGCTCTGAAGGCCTGATCGGGACATGACGGCCGGACTGTCTATAGCAATTTCAGCCATGTTTGGCCTGCTCGGTACTCAAAGAGCCTGCCTCGTCTCCCGTGGCCGAACCAGTTCCACCAGGCTGAACAAGATCGTGTTCAATTCGGGCTCTCTCTTCATCCGTTGCCTCTGTCAGGTTGACTGCAACCTCTTCACCAAAATTCTTCGCAATCTCCTCGAGGGTAAGGCGGGCAGTCTCGGGGAAGAAGAAGTAGATGACTATACAGTCAGCGGAGGATAAAATGCCTTGGGAAACAGAGCTTACCGGGAATAAAGAATGCTGACCACAGGATAATCACCAGATAGTATTTCCACCCGGAGTTGGCAAACCCAATGGGGGCAGTCTGCAGCAGGATGAGGGTGGCTGGCACCGTCAGCTTCGTAGCACTCCCAGATAGATGGGCCAGATCAAGATCAGACTTACAGGCAAACTGGCCGAACAGAGAGAACCCCATTCCAATGGGACGTATCTCAGTTGGGAAAATCTCAGACACGTAGAGATACATGGTGGTGTCGCAACAGGTGCTATTTCAGGATCAGCAAATATGCACTAGCGAGGATTGGAAGGTGGTGGTACATACCCCTGGAATGCAAGATAGAGGTACATCATAAGGATTCCAACGGCGTTCCCTCCTCTGTTTGTAGTGCCAGCATATTCGGCAGTCATGGCAGCGAGAATTGAGGTGGTGACGATGATACCAGCAAAGCCGGTCATGTACATGCCGCGGCGGGAGTTGACCTTGTCGTGCAGCCAGGCACCGAGGGGGTTGTAAATCAGACCTAAAAGCATCAGCATCTGCGAGCATGCAAGGTAACAAGTGCAGTCCTTACCAGCCGTGGTCAACCAAACGGCACTGAGAAGCAGGGGCATGCTGCCGGTCTCGCCGAGGCCTTGATACAATATAACAGCGTAGTTGTTCTACTGATTGTCAGCTTCTTGAAATATAGTAATGGCACCCAAAACTTACAATAATCAATGGACCGCCAAATTCAGCTCCCCACTGGGTGAGGAAACCAATGGCCATGCGCTTGCGGTACGATGGCTTCTTGACGACTGCGTTCCAGACATTGCCGTACGTTGAGAGTCTCTCTGCCTCCAAGCGGATCTGTTCCTTCATCTGATAGTATTCCTCCTTGGCGACTAGATTTTCAGGGTCATCGGGAGACTGGCGCAGCTTCTCCAGAGTCACTCTGGCCTCGTCCTCTTTGCCCTTGGATATCAGCCAACGGGGCGATCGAGGGAGGAATGGCGAGCCTGCAAGCAAGATGAGGGGAGGTAGACACTGTAGACAGAGAGGGAATCTCCAGCCGAATGTGCCCAGCTTTCCCTCGGCGTAGTAGCATGCAAATCCGACCCAGCCCGCCAGCATATATCCAAAGACCAGGAAGATGGCGTGGTGTCCCACAAGCCAACCACGACGGAATGCGCTCGACATCTCTGAGAGGTACATGGGACACACGGTGACAAGGAGACCAATGCCTAGACCGCAAATAAATCGACCTGCTTGGAACATTCTACCGCACGAAACATTGGTTAGCATCGCTTGATGGTACATCAGCCGTGGGAACGTACTTGAGTGAGTTGGCGCCGCCCTGGAGCGCGCCTCCGAACAGGGAGAAGAATGCGCCCAGCTGGATGTTGGCTCTGCGACCGAAATACTCGCATGCCCACATCAGAAAGAGCGTGCCAACAGCACCTCCAGCGCTGAAGACGCCATTGGCGGTCGCAATGGTAGGGGTGGTGATCGAGTCATACCCGGCCTCGCCCTCGGCAGGAAGCTCGAAGTACGTGTACCAGCCTGGCTGTCCGATCGTGCTGCTGATGATGGACGAGGAGTAGCCGTATGTCTGCATTGGCATAGTCAGTATCAATAAACCAGATCAGGTAGAGCTGCTCACCAGGGATCCAACAGCGACGAAAATGGACACCAGCCTGTTGTAGGTACTGGTCTGCGAGCCAAATCGCCCCATTATGAGCAGGCGCCTTTTCTACGAGAGCTCCAGCTTGCGATAGCAATGTATTAATGAATTGCTGATGCTATGAGACGGGTCGCCGAGACAACCACGCATGGAATGCAGCAGCGATTACAACGGAGAGAAACAGAGTTGGAGCAGACAGAGAAGAATTCTCCGGTTGATGTATGACGAGGTCGCAGGCTAGTGCATTTCACAGAGGCAACGCACAGCGGGCCTGGATTTCTCGTTTCAGGGAGCTGTTCGTCACACTGCTGGGCCGGAGGATGGCATGGGCTCAGGAGAGCTTCCAGACCCCCTTCTGCTCCCTAGTTCAGGCCGAGAGAGAGGCCGAAGCATCGCGAGATACGCATCATTGGCGAGAGTGGACCAGCAGCAGCGAAGGGAGAAACAGCAGCTCCACTGCAGGAAGACGCCAGATGCAATTTGCAGCCAGTGGAGGGCGAACAGGCCGCCATTACGAGCGATCGGCGCGTCACAAAACAGAAAATAATATTAAATGCCCTAAACGAACAGACTGACAGGGGTCCAGCAAGCTACGGAACCTAAATCGCTGTCAAATTCTGCAGGCGTCAAGCTTTTACTTCTTCGGGGAACAGTCGCGGTCATCTTTCTCTCCTTTGGCAGTGATCGTTCAGTGAATAGGATCCTTCTCCTTGCTGTGACAGACTGCGATCAGCACTCGGGCGAGCTTTCTGTCTCTCGTCCTGCTGCTTGGCTGCACCGTGCCAACGCCTGCTCCACCCATCACTGTTCCGACATCGATCGACCGTGCCGGGTGCGCCCCGATTCCCTCGGCGGTTGCCCATGCGCAGGCTAATGCCGTCCTTAACGGGCTGACTGAAGGTGATGCAGAGTAAGTTCTCGGAGAAACAGGACGGCTGTCCGGCGATTCGTCCACGTCAGCGCCGTCGCTCCCATTTGCAGGTCCAGATTACTTTCGGAAGACTGAGCCAACTGGCAGAGATTGTCGCGCTGCTAGGCCGTCTTATGGTGTCTGTGCTCGCTGCTCACTGTTCACTGCTCACGGAAACGCTGGTACGGTGGACAGGCTCGCCTGCTCAGGAGCCTCTAATCCGACGATCTGGGTCGTGCAATTCCACTGGCGCGGACTCCATTCTGGATACTCCGTCGGTGGTTGATTTAAAGACGAATGGACCTGCGCCACCCGGGGACCCCAGAAGCCATATCGAGCTGCGTACATCCCCTGCGTCATCGCATCGGCAGAGTTTATTCTCCGTCCTTGAACAGTAAAGACGCAAGACATAGTTGAGCCGGCATGGCAGCCAAGTCCGTTTTCGACACGCCGTACGATGAGCTTCCCAACCCCAGGCAGGTGTGGATGGGACAGCCTGGAAGCCGCGAGGAGGGACTGGGAAAGCTGGCCCTCCTCACCCCAGAGGTCGTCTCAAAGGCTGCGGCCTCTGAGATTCGCACTGGTCGGCGAGTCACGATGGGCTGGGAGATGACCAAACTGGACTATCCCAATCTCAACCGCCAGCCGTGCCAGCATCAAATCGTCCCACTGCTGGGCGGCATAGCCTTTGACGACATCTACCACATGAATCCTCGTAGGTCCTCTCCATTTCGATGGTGTCCCTTGCGTTAATGGTTTTCTAGAGCAGAGTAGCCAATGGGACGGACTTCGCCATTTCTCCCAGACGGTCCCTGGCCAGAGCGAGCGTCTCTTCTACGGAGGCACAACCAGTGAGGAAATCAACGATCGAACGAATGACCGAATTGGTCTGCAGCACTGGGCCAAGGAGGGCATCGCAGGTATGCGTCTGTCACCCCGCAAGAGAAGCACAAGTACCGTTAATATGCTCTGTGTATAGGCCGCGGGGTGTTAATCGACTACGCCTCTTGGGCGGAAAAGAGAGGGATCAAGTACAGCACCTTCTCGACTCATCAGGTCCGTCTGTCGGACATCCAGCAGATCGCCAAAGAGTGCGATATCACATTCCAAAAGGGCGATATCCTACTGGTGCGCGTTGGAGTGACCAAGGAATGGGACACCGTCATGACAGACGCTCAGAAGCAAGATTACTCCGACAACAGCAGCCCGTCGCACGCCGGCGTGGAAGCGACTCCGGACATGCTACGGTGGCTGTGGGATACAGGGTTCTGTGCGATCGCCGGTGACGCGATCAGCTGGGAGGTGAGTTGACCGTTGATATTCGGTGGCTGCGTCGGCGTCAGACTAACACTCGGCAGGTTTACCCGCCTCAGTCGGAGTTCTTCCTGCATGAATATGTCCTGGCCGGCTGGGGAATGCCGATTGGTGAGTGTGCCCTAAAGTGACCTGTCAACTCTGGTGCTTATCGTTCTGGATACACCGTAGGCGAGCTGTTTGATCTCGAAGCCCTTGCGCAGATGTGCACTGAACACAACCGTTGGAGCTTCTTTGTAGCGTCGATCCCACTGAACATGCCAGGGGGGGTCTCATCGCCGCCGAATATAATGGCCATCTTTTGAGCGTCTGTGGCGTCTCATGCCAGGGATGAGATCACCATTTACTCCGATTGGCAGGGATTGTCGAGGGCAGACATATCAAATGCGATCTGTTAGACATATAATAAATGCAGCGATTCATGACTCGTACGCTATTAAGCTTCTTTGTTGCAAATTATGCGTGTTAAGGTTGAGTTGTAGGAGTAGGTCTGCCATCCGCCCTGTATGCTGTGGATGTGATATTCAGCTTCACAACACGATTTTCTTTCTTGCAAGACTCAACAACCTCTCCACTGTATCCCTGTCACTTGAGCCACATTCCTGCAAGAAGCGGGTCAGCTTCCCACCAGAAGCTCGGCCAAGTTCCGCCGTCAAATATAAATATCCCTGCCAAATCCTCCGCCCATCGTTATCTTCCACGAGCTGGAACATCCCACGCCCGATATTAACCTCGAAGCTGTTGCAAATCGGGCCTGAAGCCCCGCAGAGTTTCGGATTGCCGCGTGCTGGCCAATGGCTTTATATAGTGCGCTCGTAGTGGGGATGGAACGAACCTTGAAGAGTGGAGGACGAGTGGATCTCTCTCTGACAGCAGAAGAAAAGAAAACATCGTAGAATGCACCCTGAGCAGTTAGCTGCAACCTTGAGTTTCAACCGTCTTTCACTCGCCTTGCCACTGCAGTATCGACTGATGTGCAGGCGAGCAATGCGATTGTAGCCCCCTCGCAGAAGAAATCGAAATGACATGATAGTTCAGACCTGTTCAACAGATCAGCTCGAATCGTTGATATCTGTCATTGCACAGCGGTGGCAGTCGCCCCCCAGTCCATCCCAGCAGCTGCAGCATCCATGTCCGCTGCCAGTCGATCACTCGGGACAATGTTTCCTTTTGCTCCCCGATCATCGATGCTGGGAGATTCTAACGGTCCTGTCTCATTCGGCAGGATTAGCCTTTGCAGAAGTACGGGTCCCTTCCGTCTGTCCGTCCATTGCTCTTTGCCGTGTGAATACGATGTGCCTGCTCTACCCGAGCCCTCAATGTATGAGCCCATGTAACGGAGCACTCAGGGGCTTTGCCATTGCCTGTCCAAACCCTAACGCCGCTTACGCCTCCAAACAGGCCGATTGTGCAGTTGATGGCTCCGTTATTTCTGGCTTAAACTCAGGCCGATCCGATCCATCGGGAGTGGCACCCCCCCCCTTGGTCTGATCTTGCATAACTTGCAACATATTTGACCTTCCAAGCCCTCGCCCTGAATCCTAGTGGGTTGCCCCATCATACAAGGTCTCACTCTTTTTTCCAAGGCCATGTTCAATATGGCCGTCATCCACCCCCTGGTCGCCCGTGAGGCTTCCCCGGATCACCATGTGGATAGGTCGATGCAGACGTGGAACAAGGCTACACAATCACTCTGCATAATTTTCATGACTGTCTTTTTTGGTCTCCGAGTTTATACCCGTACTTCCCTGCTGAGAAATTGGGGACAAGAGGACTGTGAGTTTCGGCCTGCCATTCTGCATCCCAATTCTAACTGGCATGTTTAGGGTGCTGCTTGGGCGCATGGGTAGGACAGCCCTGCTCAACAAGATGCAAAGGCTAACATTATTCCAGGCTCTAGGTGTTGCATACTCAGCAATCGCCTTGGCCAGTGAGTTAACCGTTGCTCTTTCTATTGACTCAACTAACAGTCGTCCAGTGGGCCATTTCGGTGGAGGCGTGCATTGGGACGATGTCCCTGAGGCACACCACATTCCATTTCAAAAGGTACCAATTACGATGGATGAAGACGGAAAAGGGAAGTACATTGCTAATGATCTCCAGCTTACCTACGTAACGATGGTCATGTACGGGCCGACCGCGTTTCTCACCAAAATGACCCTGTTGTGGATCATGACCAGGGTGTTCAGTCCATTCAAGAAATCCGTCATCTTCATCTATGTCTTCCTCGCCCTCATGCTTCTCTACTACATCCCTGCCGTCATCGTGAAAATCCGCATCTGTATGCCAATCGCAAAATTCTGGGAGCAAGACCTGCCCGGATCCTGCCTCGACCAAAGCGCCATCATCATGGCTGATGCCGTCGTCAGCGTCGTCAGCGACCTGATCGTTCTCATCCTGCCTCTTCCCCTGACGATGCGACTGCAACTACCACACAAGAAGAAGATGAGAGTGATGGGCATGCTGGGGGCGGGAGGACTTGCTTGTGCGTCGAGTGTCATCCGTCTTGTTCTTATACAGTTGACTGGCAATTCGAAGGATGCCACCATTGCTTTCATGCGCGTTAATATGTTTGGGTATGTCATAATTCGTCCACTTCTCTGGTATGCTACTATGGCCTCAAGCTGACCCTTCAGAAACGCCGAAATTGCCATTGGGGTTATCTGTGCATGTCTGCCCGCGCTGTCGGCGTTGATCACACAGAAGTACAACGAATACAGCAGCGGCAGATACAACAGCCACAACTCAGAATACCAACTGAGCAAGGTGCGTAACCAGACCAAAAGCAGTCGTGCGGACCGCAGCAACAACCTGAGTGTCAACGGCCACGACTCAGACAAGGACATCCTCATGACGAACGTGCAAGCCGTTCCCAGAGTCGAGACAACCGTCCAAGGGGACTTCAATCGGAGCGGCCAGAACCAGCAGGGCATTATGAGGACGGTAGACGTGTCGACGTCGGTGGCCTCTCGCGACTCATAAAGGGGATGGGATATTGGCAAGCTTAGCGGGTTCTGGTATGAAGTTTTCTGTCCATGCAGGTTATGGCTATGTAAAATAGACTCTCATGCTTCATTTCGGTCAATACAATCTATATGAACATCCTTTCGAGCTCCCTATTGTGTCTATCCCCGGACGACAGGTCGCAAGTCAACGGGGGACAACCTCTTAGAACGTTTCCCTAGGGCTTCAGTATTCCGGTTGCTCTGCTGTTCTGATTCTGTCTGTCTACACCTCGATTCTATGCCCCTTGCTGGATTCAATTATTCCAGCCCTGACGGGTCAGAAACAAACAGAATATCATTTCAAAGAACTACCCACAGGCAAATACATACTGCAATCACATAGCCTTTCTAGGACTCTTCGGCCTGCTGGTAATCCCGGCTTTGCACGGTACTCCTCCATCCGATCGGGATATGACCTAGTGTCCTATGCTTGAAGCTGTAGAGTCTTCCAAAATCTCCAGCGCGTTTTCTCTGCATATTTCTTCTTCTGCCAGTCATTTATTGTGGCTGGATAAAACTCGATCTGATCGAGCAAGGCCTGATCATGCGCGACAATCACCCACACATTATCGGCTGAATCAAGGACTTGAAGCTTCTCAATAGACTCATGAACCTGACATATGTCCACCGCGTTTACCTCCGGCATTCGGAATAGCGGCTGGTATGGATGTAGCATCAGCCTCTCCATGATTGCTCCAGGGCAGGGGGGCTGTTGAAGACACTCTGGCACCCGTTCCGCTGAGAGCGGTCGATATACGCTGGGCCGGAACTGTCCGATGAAGTGGCATGTATCTCCGCCCATTAAAACGAAGCTGCTGGAAGAGGGCAGTCCATCAACAGTGACGCGAGCAAGGGCCGCAAGGTGACCGACTGTGTGTCCCGGCGAATCCAACAAGTAGAAGCTGCCATCGCCAAAATAGTCAAGGGCTTTGAACGGTCCTACATCTAAAGGTGAATCATCAAAGGAGATCTCCTGTAGCTCCCGGCCTTCCCATGCTGTCTCCCAAAGCGGCGGCTCCGGGTTGGTGGGAAAGGCGTGTGCGTGATGCGTCTTGAACCCTGGGCCGACAACGAGCTTCGTACTGGGCGGAAAGGCAGTCATGTCACCAACATGGTCAAAGTGATGATGGCTCCAAATGACGGCCTTGATATCGGATAAAGATACACCTCCTTCCTGCAACACCTCGCTGACGTTCTTCGCGGCCTCCACCTGCCATCCTGCTTGTTCAAGGAACCCAAGCGTGGCTGGGGGCAGGTGGCCCCAGTCCTTGCGCAGACCAAGATCAAAGAGCAATTTACAGCCGGACGGATGCTCAATAAAAAACGAGTACGAGGGCAGGTCCAGAGTCAGAGAAGAGAGTCCATCAGGAGGGGCAAGGGGTTGCTGTCCGGGGATCGTCATGCGTGTGCTGTGATCATTATACAACTGCCACAACTGCAGCTTGGGTGGTAACTTACGTGTTAATCACACCGACATCAATGGCTATTAATCCATCGGGCAGTATAAGCGACTCCATGGCGTTCAATGCTGGTGGATGAGGACGTTGGCTGAAATGGTTGGCTGTATCTTATATCAAGGCTCCTCGTATTCGGCTAAAGATGAGCTGCACACCTCATACTTGATCGGGTGTACAGGTATTATTATAATGCGTATCGTTCGCTTTAGCATTATGTACAGACGACAATGTCAAACTCCGCGCCCTCCAACATCTCATATGACCGGTTGCTCAACAGCCCCCTTGATGTTAGGAAGCTCAGATGCCCCCTCTTCGATGATCTTGAGCGCCTTCTGGATCTCCTCTTCGGTGATTATCAGCGGAGGAGCCAGGCGAATGATGTTCTGATGAGTCGGTTTAGCCAGCAAGCCTTTTTGCTTCATCAGTAAGCACAGTTCCCACGCGCTGTGGCCATTGGTCTTGCTCTCATCGATGACAATCGCGTTCAGCAGGCCTTTGCCTCGGACAATCTGTATAATCGGGTTCTTCAGAGCCAGAGACTCCAGTCCTTCTCGGAAGATCTGACCCAGACTCTCCGCCCGCTCGACCATCTGCTCATCACGTACCACTTCAAGCGCGCGAATTGCCACCGCGCAGCCTAGAGGGTTACCACCATAGGTTGACCCATGTGTCCCTGGTTCAATTGTCGCCATGACATCCTTGCGACCAAGCACGCATGACACGGGGTATAGCCCCCCTGAGATAGCCTTGCCTAATAGCACCAAATCAGGCTTGATACCACTCCACTCATGACACAGCATCTTTCCCGTCCGGGCGATGCCTGTCTGAATCTCGTCGCAGATTAAGAGGACATTATGCCTATCACAAAGCATGCGGGCCTCGCGGAGGTAATCCTCATCAGGAACGACAATGCCGGCCTCACCTTGGATAGGCTCGACGAGGAAAGCCGCAAGGTTGTCTCCAGCAGCCTTGAAAGCGTCTTGAAGGACTGCTTTGTTGCCAAAGGTTATAGCCTTCTTGGTCCCCGGAATAGCGCAACCAATCCCAGGCAGGAAAGGACCGTAATGTTCCCGCGATTCGGGATCAGAGGATAGGGACATAGCGCAGAACTATATTGCGCGAGGGACTGCAGTCAGCCATATATTCAATGCATCCCGTGAGGATTTATCCTAGGTGATCAGGGTATGAATTCTACTCACAGTGCGGCCATGGAAGTTATTTTCGGCACTCAGGACAACAGCTTTGTTTTCCGGGATGCCCTTTTCCTTATATCCCCACTTACGGGCAATCTTAATGCTTGTCTCAACGGCCTCGGCTCCAGTATTCATAGGCAGCACCATGTCAAATCCAAAGAAGCTGGTAACAAATTGTGCAAAGCGAGGGAACACATCGTTGTAGAACGCGCGGGAGCTCAAGGTTAAGCGGGACGCTTGGTCAACCAGTGCTGCGACTAACTCCGGGTGGCAGTGGCCTTGATTCACAGCAGAGTAGGCAGAGAGGAAGTCAAGGTAGTGACAACCTTCAGGATCCCAGACTGAAGTACCCTGTGCGCGGGCAAAGACAATAGGGAGCGGATGGTAGTTATGGGCGGCGAATTCATGCTCAGCATCAATGGCTTCCGCGCTGGAGGCGGCGTGGTAATCGGCTGGTGTGCCGTTCATGGAGACGGTGCCCATGATAGATAGTGGAAACGAGGAAGCTACGGCAATTGATTGAGTAAAGATAAATATAGCTGAGCCGACAGACCTGAAGAGACGACCTTCCTGTAATATATACAAAGAAGCTATAACCAGACAATCGCTGTAACCCTAACGGAAGGTCGTGCCGGCCTTGGCTGCTCCCATCCGAACATGTTAAGATCGGTGACACGTCTCCTCTCATTGCTAATGCCACCCGAAGCCTTGTGTCCTGTCGGTATCTAATGGTATGCAGCGGATGAGCCGTCTCAGTCGGCTTATACCTGGGTATCGGGGGTTAACGGAACAGGACAGATTCCTGGAAGGACAGCCCCAGGCTGCTATGTTTACCTTTATATACATTCATATTGCGAAAAAGGCTTCATGATTCTGATTTTACATAGTTCTAAGTCTCGATTCACCCGAGACTTTGCGCCCGCCATACCATGTTTCTATAAGTTTCCTCTCTCGGAGCTCGCTGGCATTCCACCGCATATCAACGATGATGAAGTCAGCCAGTTTTCCAACTTCTAAACTACCAGTCCGCTCCTCGGCAAATACACTTCGCGCTGCCCCTGTAGATGCCGCCACAATAGCGTCGCAGATACCTAGTTGGAAATGCTTGTTTACAGTCTTGGTGTATTCAGGATCTCTCGCTGACTGCCGTGTGGTAGCAACATAAAGATTCTGCAAGGGCGCATAGGGCGAGGTCGGACTATCGCTCCCAGGCGGTGATCCCAGAGGAGCATATGGCGTTGAAAGATAAGCTGTGCATGCATCTATAATTCCGTCGTAGATAACTTTGACCCCAGCAATGGAAGATCCGGCTCGGCAGCGCGCAAGGTCACAAGGGCATCCCATGCCTCCTCGTCCATAGCCATTTCCACAACACCTGTATACCCCTCAGAGTTGTACTCACGAATAGCTGCACGGATGGCCTCAATTCGCTCCTCCTTTGGGCTGGAGGAAGCCTGGTATGGCAGTGATTCTCCCCTCTTCAATCAGCATGCTATCGGCGAACGTCCGTCCAGTGCATTTCTTAGGGCTGCTGGTTGGTTCCTGGTGGGCCCGGCTCGACCTTCCCTCCCAGTTTGCTGCGGGATGCCCACTGCTGTTTTCCTACTGTTTCTCAAGAGGGAAATAGGGAAAGAGAGCCAATATGGACGTTTGGGGCGTGCTCTCCTGGGGTCAATGGATCCATGCTGCCAATGAAGAACAGTTACTTGTCACCCCAGGGTTGCATGCCCCGGCTGACCCGACCTCGTGGAAACACCGAACAACCTGGGGAATATTCTCCTTGCGTAATATCGCCGCTTTGCGTGTTTTATCATACTTGATTGCCTCCATCCGCAGGTCTCTCTCCTGTTCTCTTCGGTTTCTTTCTCTGAACACGTCCGCCTAGCTGGTCTTTCCTCCAGTCCCTAACAGTATTCCAAACCCCTCTCCCAAATATGCATCAGAATACTCTCCATACCAACGATGCCCATAACTTCAGCAAAAAGGAGCAAGACGACATGATCGAGCCGGAACAATATGAAGGCGAGGTCCTGGGCCAGGTTATCCCGAAACACCATTGCGCAAAAGCTGTCGAAGGAGACCAGCACTTTCATCGCCTTGGTTGGAAACGCTTGACGATTGTATTAATTGTTCAATCGATTGCTCTGGGCACCTTGAGCATTCCCTCCGCATTTGCAAAGCTGGGAATGGTTGCTGGTATCATACTGACAGTGTCCTTTGGCCTCCTCGCTATCTACTCGAGCTATATCATTGGCTTGGTGAAGCTTAAATATCCTCGTCTCCCTCACTATGTGGACTTTGGTCGACTTTTGATAGGTGATATCGGTGATAAGATCTTCGCTGTTGCCTTTATTGCTTTGATGACCCTGACGGTGGGGTCTCACTGTTTGACTGGGAAGCTTGCTCTTGCGACAATTACAGGCAGCTCCGTGTGTGCTCTCTTATTTAGTGTGGTATCAGCTGTGGTGCTATTTGCATTGGCAGTGCCACCCTCGTTTGCTGAGATATCAATTCTCGGGTATGTCGATTTCGCCTCCATTCTCGTGGCGGTGGTCATCACTATGATTGCAACCGATGCTCAGCAGGCTCCGTCAAGTTCAGCCTCATGGTCTCTTTGGGCTAAGCCAGACCTGACTCTAAGTGAGGCTTTTGTTTCCATCTCAAACATTGTGTTCGCCTACTCCTTCGCCCCCGCACAGCCATCCTTTATGGATGAGATGCACACGCCGCGAGATTTCACAAAGTCAATTTCCGCCCTGGCCATAACCCAGATTACGATCTATACAGTGGCAGGAGCAGTCATATATGTGTTCGTTGGGCAGGATGTCGAGTCCCCTGCACTATTGTCGGCAGGCCCTCTGTGGGCCAAGATTGCGTTCGGCCTTGCTCTGCCCGTAATCTTTATATCTGGATCTATTAATACCACTGTCGCTTGTCGCTTTATCCACGGTAGATTCTATCAAGACTCTGTTGTCCGTTATGTCAATACCGCGAAGGGCTGGATTTCTTGGCTGGCAGTTGTTGCGCTGGTCACTATCATTGCCTGGATTGTCGCAGAGGCCATTCCTTTCTTTTCCAGCTTACTCGCCATTGTCGGCTGTCTTCTTACCTCTGGGTTTGCCCTTTACGTTCCTCCGATCATGTGGTATGTTCTGCTCAGGGAAGGGGAGTGGTTTGAGAAACATAATATCTGGCACGCAATCTTCAACCTCGTCCTGTTCGTTGTCGGGATCGTTGTGCTTGGGTGTGGCCTCTATGCAAGCATCACCGGGATTGTGAGTTCTTGTCATGAATTATCTTCGTGCGCGTACTGACTGGGTAGATTTCCGAGTTCCGATCAGGGGCCATAAGCCGGCCGTTCTCCTGCAGCGCTGGCAACTAAGATACGCGGTAGCCTTCCTTATATCTTGCTCGCTCGTTCCTCGTTATTGGCAGTAGCAGTATTTGAGCCGAGGGCTTCAGCAGGAGTGACATTTATGCTCTCCAGTTATGCTCTCCAACTAGCATTAGATTCCATAATCCGGCACATAAAAGATAACTAGCTAGCGAATGAATCGGTTGCTGTTGGGGCTTCTCCATCATTTACGAATCAAGTCAATTGCTTCAGTCATGCCGCTCGAGGTCCCAGGGTGCTGGACCTGGCGTGTCCGCCATCGAAAGTGTGGTCTAGAAACTCCCTCCTGTAGAGAATGCACCGACCGCCATGTTCACTGCCATGGCTATGGGCCCAAACCCGCGTGAATGGACGGTGGCTCCGAAGAGCTAAAGGAACGGGCGCGCATCAAGGCTGCTGTTAAGCAAAGCTCGGAGATTGACGGCGTTGGTTAAAAATCATTGTCTGCGCCTTACGGCTCTACAAGTGCGCCCTACGCGCCGCCGGGTCAGGGCCCTGCTAGAGTAGCTGCTTAAGTCACTTGGCAAAAAGCAACACGAGACGAGTCTAACAGAGAAAGGAGCCCTGCTAGAAAATCAATTACATATGGTATCAATTACATATGGTATCTTTTCTTCGTAATATAGTACAGGGTATCTCTCTACGTTTAGCCGCGCAGAATGGCCTGCAACTCTGGCCGCTTCACTGGTTTGATCAGGAACGTGTCGATGCCTGAAGAGAAGGCCTCTTTCTGGGTGCTGGGGCTATCAAGGCCGGTCAATGCAGCAATTACAGTGCGCGGGGACGCCTTCTGCTCGGACTCGCTCATCTTGGCTCGATGCTCTTGTTCGATGCGGCGGATCTGTCGAGACGCTTCAAACCCATCCATGACTGGCATTGAGATGTCTAAATCGTCAGTGAATCGGCTTTCTACAGACGGGAATGAAAGCATACCAATGATGACAAACTGGTACTTTCCAGGATCAGCTTTGTACGCCTCCACTGCCTCTGCCCCGTTCTGGGCTGTCATATAAGGATGATTGTCCTTCTCGGTGTACGCACAAAGCAGCTGCAGGTTGAGGTCGTTGTCGTCCACCAGTAGGACCGCTGTCTCGGGAGCTTCCTCCGGCGATTTGGCTGCAGACTCCTTTTCAGATTCATCGCCCATGGTGTCCGTCGTTGGGCGTTTGCTGATCTTCATTCTATTGCTGGGGGGCTCGCTGGGCCCAACATCCAGGGGCAGCCGGGACGAACCAGGCATTTCCACCCAGTGAGTTGTCTCGTCAGGTTTGATATCACTCGGGCTCTGCTCTGCCTGTCGCTTGACGCAGATGTCCAGCGCACGCGCCAGCTTCCGGGGCCCGCATGGTTGGCTGATGAATTCAAAGTAGAGCATCTCGCTTCTGCTCTTCGCCGCCACGAACATACTGTGAGCTTCTTCGGGCGACTGGCAGATTACTACAACTGGTGCTAGGCGTCCATTCCGGTCTACCAGACGCTGGCTGCGGCCAAACAAGTCTCTTCCTTGCGTGTCCTCGCTGTTGAGCTCTGTTTGCACCGCCAGATAGAAGTCGAACTTCTCCTCGTCACCACGTACAGATGTTCTGGCAACCTCGAGACCAAACCAGTCGTGGCACAGTCGTTCCAGGGACGAGTACAGGGATTTATCTCGACTGGATTGCAGATCCGAGCCGAACCCAAGAAACCCAATGGACTTGTCCTGGGTATATTTCTGCATGGATCTGAAGACGGCACTGGACGAGGAGTTGTCGGATGTGTCGGACAATAGAGCCAGGGGCGTGCGTATTGAGAGCGTTGTCCCGACATTCTGCGTTGATTCAATCTCGATCGAGCCACCAAGGAACCCCACGGCCTGTCGAACAATGCTGAGACCAAGCCCGCTTCCAGAGGCCAGTGGATCTTCCTGCGAGAACGCGGTGAAGAGGCCCTCCTGGAGATACTTCGGCCCAATGCCTTTTCCAGTGTCTTTCACCGTCAGGGTAACTTCGAACTCGGGCTCTTCTTTGTGCTGCGAGTCCTTCGACAGCGGGTCTGGGTCAATCTGTTTGGAGCTCAATCCGAGATAGATAAACCCAGACTTGGTATACTTGAGGGCGTTGCCAAAGATATTCATTAGAATCCGACGCCACGCGCCCGCATGTGTATAGAAGTGCCATTCTGTATCTGGCTGGATGTCGAATATGATGGTTACCTGGCTCGCACGAGGTCCAACAGGATCAGATTTGCTTGTCGGGCCACCCCAGCGCGACGACGAGCTGGTCATGGCCGGTGGTGGTGCGCTCGGGTGCGTATAGAAGCTGTAACCGGCAAAGACACACTCGGTGACCTCTTCCAATACAGAGTCCAGCTGAACATGCGTAAACGAAAGGTTCTCTCCGCGCTCTTTACTTTGCAAAGCGTCTGGGCCTTTCGGAATCCCAGGCGTAGGCCTTTTCTTTCTAACTTTGTTCTTCCCTGACTGCGGTGACTGTCTCTGATACTTGTCGATGACGGTAAGATCGAGAAGGTGGTTGATGGTATCTAGCAGGGTGCGCCCACAGGATTCAATGGTATGAACCATGCCATGTTGCAGGGCATTCATGGCGGTGTCGCTGAGGATCTCCGATGTGCCCAGAATACCGTGGAGTGGATTGCGTAGCTCATGAGTGATGCTGCTGACCAGGTTTGTCTTTGCCTTCTCTGCTATCTCGACATCCAGCCGACGGATCTCCGCCATGATGCTGTTGGCAAACGCAGAGATATACGTGACCTCATCCTCGAACGTGAAGACGTGGCCCGGGTCGTTTGTCCAGACCAGCGTTCCAGCAAACCACCGACTCTTGTCGGAGTCCCAGATCGGCAGCAGGAGAATGTTCCTGGCACCAGCGAAGATGCTGATCAGGCTATGGGCGTCTTGCTCAAACGTTGGCTTGCGCCGCCGTCTGCTGGATGCGCGCTTCTCCCGACTGCGGCGGACTTGCCCTGCTGGGGTCGTCGATAAGCTGTCGCTGTCTTCTGAAACAGACCCGTTGTTATTGTAAGAGAAGATCTTGCCTCGCGGATATCGCCGGATCAGCGAGCTGAACAATGGCTCTGGCACGACTATCGCTTGACCAGCGTCTGCCTCGGCGTCAATACTCGACTGAGTTGAGCTCGAGAAGCCCAGGCACTCGGACACCGGGGTGTTCTCCGACTCTGCCTCTGTATTACTATCCCAGGATGCCCCCGACGAGTCCGTACTCTCGTCGTCATCACTGTGCTTTGGGTGCTTCGCGGCGGGGCCAGACACTCTGCGAGTGTTGCGTGGGACGAGATTCCCGAATCGCACACTATCGGCACTGAGGAACAGGACGCCCTCGGCCCCAATAGACTCTCTGATCAGATTCGCAGCGCGCGAGAACGTTTGCTTAATGCCATCCGAAAGGGTATGGTCCTGTAGGGTTTCGCCCGCGGCCACCGTTCGGACCGTCTTGTTCTCTGTCTCGATCCGTGGCGTTGGGCCATTCGTCGACTTCGCAGGTCGTTCGCGTACAGGGAGGTCCTTCTTGCTCTGTCCGTTGCCAAACTGCTGTAAGTCTTGCTGCTGAATGTTCAATTGGCCCTCTCTTGGCTGCCCTGACTCCTGTGAGGCAGCATATTGTGCATCTGCTTCTTTCCAGGAGTCACGAAGCGTAGACCTCCCCTCGATGAAACTCCCAAGTCCCACCATCTTACGCTCGGCCTGGGCGTTTCTCAACGCTGAGTGCTCCATTTCCAAGTGCTTCATCACCGTGGCCGCCATGTTCTTCATAAACTCGACCTCGTTCTGACTCGGTGGTGTTGTTCTCGGCTTGCTGTCGAGTACACTGTACGCCCCTATCGTGAACCCCCGCGGGCTGACGATTGGTACTGCCGCGTAGAAGTGTGTGTCTGATATTGCCTCGATCAGGTTGCTGCCGCTGAATCGTTCGTGCTTACTCGTGTCCATCACCACAAAGGCGTCCTCGCTTCGGAGCTCATCATGTTCGGCAGTTCCCCGGGATTTCAGCCCTTCTACATGGTGGCAAATTCCCTTTTCTTTGGGCAGGACGCAGCATCCAAGCCGTAACCGATCTTTCTCGTCTTGACATCGGCCGCCGACCAGGTCCAGCGTCGGGGTCGCTTCCGCCACTACATGCTGGTGGGTGCGGTCGAACAGGGATATCAACGCTCGTTCGGTCCTCAGACGGATAGCGCCTAGTTGAGCAAATGACGTTAGTGCCGCATCCTGTGATGCTTGAGGGTCGAAGGTGCTCTGGCTGCCAGGGTCTGAAGGGATATAGTAGGACTGAGAGTCGTCGGGGGGGATGTACCTGGAAGGCCATGAAAGTCAGCAACAGTCGATCTTCAGGCGCGGGGGGTGCACGTGCTTGTGAAATTCCCTTTCCTGGGCCAGTCTGTAATTTGGGGCTGAATTCATGGTGTCGAATCTAATTGCCAGATGTGGCCTAAAACTCCTCCTGTGCTTTATACATCAGGGCCCGGTGCGGGTATGACATCACCGCCACCCACTGCTGCCAGTGACGTAGCTGGGGCTCGCATCGTCATTGGAATGGCAAAGATAAAGTTGGAACTAGGCCAGCCTTATATTGTCTGTTTATATTACACAAAGACTTGCTCTACGGACACCATCCCCCGTCGTCCCGCGCCACTCCCTGCCATATTCCCGTTGTCCGGCCTGCCCACCAGTGAGCCACCAGAGTCCACTGCATTTTTCCTATTTAACGCTGCGGCTCCACCCTGGCGGTGCTCTAGGGGATCAGAAGCTGGGCTGTGGACAAGGTGCTGACTGCTAGACTCCCTTCTCGACTGACGCATCCGGTGGCAACGAGACCAAACCAGCCGCACCAAAGGCATTAGGGTTGGCAAGCAAGCACAGATAATGGCCACCGCGCATTCAATCACAGACCATATTGTCGCCGGTGCGATAGTTCCTAATCCAACATGTTATCGGGGCACTTTGGTCAGTGGCCGAGGCACATACCAGACACATTGTCAGACGAGTACAGGAACAGAAGCTTGAATCGATAGATGCTCACGCCAATTACGCTAGATATATTGATTAGGACCAGCTTCAACAGGGCAGTATATAACTCACAAAGCACCCAGGAGGAAGATGCCACTGATCGACAACCGGTACAGCATACTGCCGGCCAGCTGCCAGCAGACCTGCACTGGCAACGTGAGAATGGCGATATCTGTGAGGATATTTGGTAGCGCTACGCAGAAGAATCCCACTCGCAGATTAATGCAGTGGCCTTCTTTGTCAGAATCCCAGGCCTTTGACACTGGGGTGCATTGGAAGGTTGCCGCCGGTATAAAAGCAATCGCCCATAGCACCACAACACCGCCGCATATTCGAGCTCCCACCCGGAAGAACCGCGACATGTCAGTAAAGATGCGTCGGTACATGAACAGGATGGAGAGCTTGATGAGCAGCAGGTTGATCACGTAGAAAATCTCAAAGATGTACAGTAGCTGTATCTTATCAACCTCCACCTCCATTATAGCGGCTTCGGACTTACCTGTTTCACCATCAACGCTTGATGCGCCGAAAGGTCAGGTGTAGCATCGCGGCCCAGTCCATAATGGATCACTGGACGGTCGGTCAACGTCCATATCTGCTATCTAGGCATTCGAACTTACTGGCGAACGCAATTGCGGATAAAGCACAAAGCACAGCCCGTTCCGAGACCTCGTTAGAACACTCCGGTTTCCTGTCGGCCTTAACTTACCAGACTGGCAATGAGGAGATAGTCATCGACCCCGAGACCGACCCGGCGTAGGTGACGGGCACTGAACCTCAAGATAGTGAAGGTCCAGGCGAGCACAAGGACCGCTATGGTGCTCGCCTGCAGCTGGCTAGGTGGGAACCTGACTGCCATCGCTGGAATGATATGTGGAGGAATGAATTCAGACCTCCGATCTGTTCATCCCAATCAATGACGCAGGTTACCATGTTCTAGAATGCCCGACTTGTGACAACCAACTTGGCTATATGAACCGTGGTTCGCAGCCGTCATGTCGACAATCCATGACTGAAAAGGGAAATACAAGAGCACTAGTTGTGAGCATAAATTCGGCTGTTCCACGAATATATATATATTCAACCGAGATTCGGCCGAACGCCAGGACAAGCTCGTCAACTGCTGGTGCGTGGATTCTATACATATCCATCCATTATTCATCATCATCTACCATCACATCGATCGCCTTTCTGAATAGCCTGTAACTGTCAACTGAAACTTGCACCTTGGATGGACTGGCTGGCCAATGACGACATCGATTACTAATGACATAATGAAGATTCGGTCACGTGATAGCTTTCCCCGCAGAGTTCGGAGTCCCCGAATTCTCCCCGCGTCCAATTTCTGCACAGCTGCATCTTCGTCAACTGCCGCGATGCGATGACAGACTGATCATGCAGGTGGACCAAGACTCCGACTCCGGGAGCCAGACCGGGCCCCCTGACCGACAAACCTCCCGGTCGGCCCGCAGCCATCGCGCCAAGAGGAGTCGCATAACGAGGCGGCGCATCTGTCATAGCTGCCAAACCTGCCGGCGGCGAAAGGTCAAATGCGATAAGGTAAGCCCGATTTTCCGTCTTCATTGCATTGAAATACTGACAAATTCAGGTGCATCCGATATGCGGGAACTGTTCGAAAATTGCTGCCGCGTGCACCTACGACGACGAACCACGCCCGAATGACATCCGAGCCAGTCCTGCCAAACCGCAAACACCCATACCAGACGCGTTGGAGGAGGACGAGAGTCGGAATAAGGACAATCTTTTGCGCTCGGGACAGACGCCAGATCTCTGCGCGATTGAAACCCAGCTGGCCAAGCTTACATCGCTTGTTGAGCAGTTGCAGGAGGATCGCCGTGCGCTGAGACAGGACACGGTCAACTCCAAACCGGTGGCTGCTTCGACGACGAATGGTGATTCTGGACCCGAAAAGCTGTCTGGCGCTGCTGTTGATGGTGGCAGCGACGAATTTGCCATCCCGACCGGCCTCGCCACCGACCCCGTTGACCCGCTGAGCGGTTCAAACGTAGGACACTTGAGCCACGCAGGTCGGGGAAGCTCGAGGTTAGTACTATCAACGTGTGTTAAGGTCACAGAGATACCTAACTGTTGCTTAGATATGTCGGCACAACCTACTGGGCCTATGTCTCCCACGAATTGGGAGAGCTCAACCAATTGCTTACCAGCCAGGACCAGACTCGTGATTCCGCGAGGGCTGGTGATGCTTTGGCAGACCCTGCTAGGGGTGCGCAAGGCCAGATCCTGCGCTCTGGAATCCCCTCGGAATTTCCTGGCGTCGGCCCACACGCGTTCTCTCTCCGATCGGGCTCCTTTCCCTTGGTAGATGGCCAGGTTCAGGCGGACACGCTTGGCAATGTTCCAACAAAAATGCAAAGTGACATCCTTTACAAAGGGTTCATGTCCGGCGTTCATCCGCTGAGCCCGATCATCCATCCCCCGACCGTCCTGAAACTTTACACTGACTTCTGGGCCTGGTATGGTAGTGCTCCGTATACCAGAGAGCCGTGGACAGAGCCATCGTTTATCCCTCTTCTATATGCCATCTGGTTTGGAGGCTCAGTCTCGATCTCGTCTAGCACCATCAAAACTTCGTTTTCATTTTCACGATCAGAGCTCTCGGCAAGTTACGCTGATGAGGTCACTTGCTGGCTGGCCAGGATATCCTTTCCTCGCAGTGCCTCACTTTATGACCTGGCTGCTTATCTTATTACACAAACAATTCTATCGCGCGAGGAAGAGCCCTTGAGAAGTAGCTTGTTCATTAGTCTTGCAGTAAGGGTAGCTCAGACCTTGGGACTGCATCGAGATCCTTCGCAGTTCAACATTGAACCATGCGAGCGGGAGTTTCGACGGCGAGTGTGGTGGCATATTGTCCACATGGACTCTGTCATTGCCATGTCCAGTGGACTCCCGCCGCTGCTTAGTGAGGACACCTACTGGGATGTCCGCGAGACCAGCGAGGTCAAGGATACTTTGCTAAGTACTATTCAAGCTGAGCAGTATGAGCACCTGGTCTCCACCGGCCAGCGACCGCCCGATAACCCGGATGACCCAACTCTCTGCGGTGGGCCATCGATGGTGAATGTGTACTACTTGTCTGCAAGAGGCAAATGTATCATGGCGCGTGAGTGAGCCTCTGACACTTGAATTGACCGTCCGTCTGACCTTTGCAGAGTCCGTCCATCGGATACTGAAGATTCAGCTCGGAACGAAGCCCGTCACCAGGGGCGATATGGAGGAACTCCGCGCTGCGCTTCATGATCTCCAAGAGAAACTCAATTCCATTGTCAACAGGATTCCCACAAGCGACAATTCTGCGACTTCATCTGCGCCCGAGTCTGAGACGACAGCATCGGCTCATTCCTGCGCGGCGGCCCTTCCTGGTGACGACGGCCCATCTGGCTGCCACGAACAATATCATTCGGCAGTTCTTGTTGCCTTTCACAAATGGACTCGGATCCTTTTATCGCTGTTCATTGATAAGGTCCGTCTTCCCGGCTACTATCCAGCTCTTCTGCTGACAAGATTGCAGGCCTTCTGCGTCGCCTACCAGCCGTTTCTCCGGAATCCGCAGAGCCGAATCTGGCCATATGCGCGACAGTCGTAAGTGCCGTTGCTCAAAAGCAGTTGTCTGCAGTGTCTAATCGAAACAGTGCGCTGCGACATTGTTATGCATTCATGGAGAAGTTCATCCAACTAGCAGCAGACCCTGATTTCAAGCCGTTCCGTTGGGGCTGGCCTGGGTGAGTCTTCCACTGGTTTGTGAACGGAGCGTCCTGGCTAATTCAGTACTAGAAATCACCAGCCCATGCATGCAACGATGTAGGTTTATATGCGAAGCTTCTAGTAGTGGCCATGCTGACTATATCAGGATCCTTCTCATCGACCTCTACAAACGACCTTACAGCCCCGAAGCGCCCGTATCGCGATCGTTTATTGATCGAATTCTAGCACTTGCTGGACCGGGCGAAGGCATTGTGGGTGCGCGTGATGACCTTCCCACTCTTCGTCCGTTGGGGGATGCAGGCCGCGAGGCCTGGAACATGATCCATCGCCTCCGCCACAGGGCCTGGCAGAAAGCTGGTCTTAATCCCAACTTACCCTTGCCTTCCTTGTCTGGCCAAAATCAAAGTCAGGGTGAAGTCCTCGAGGCAGCAGGTAACCTCAAACGACAGCGACGTTCTAGCGGTTCCTCTACTCGTGTATCGCCGGCAATGCCTTCTACTTCGGCCATGGCATCTACCGCTCGTAGTCCTGCATTGCATGTCCCGACCAGTGCAGCCGACTTTGATTTTGTCTCATCGTACCCTGACATGAACTCAACCAACCCAACAATACCAACGCCCGTTCCCGAGTCTTGCCCCAGTTCCGCAGGTGACCCAGCTGTCGCCTTTGACTGGGGTGAATGGGACGCCATTTTCGGCCATTCCCTACCGGTTACAGACGAACTGATGGGTCTTGATCCTGCTACGGGACTAGCATTCGCCAACCTGGAGAATGACGACATGTGAGCCGAAGACATCAATGGACACTGGTATTCATTTCATTTTCTCATCGTAGACTACTTACTTCCTGGCTGCATTGTAGATTATTTGACTGTGATAATATATAGGTGGTACAGTTCATATCCTCTGGCGCAGATCAACCAATGGTCTGTAAATTACTTGGGCCTCAAGGTGAGGATCGAGGCGTTCCAAAGGATTGAAGCACATCGCCACTCTATATACAATAGATGTCCCGTAAACGCCACCTACCGCCGGCAGGGTTAACAGCTTTGGGAGCGCATAAAAGCCCCGAACGGCGCCCCTGTCTACCATGATCGGGGACACAATACTGCATACTGACTTTGTCCTTTGATAGCATTCGGTACGATTCGATCATAGCATTGTCAGATCTGCTGGCCTTGCATTATTTTATAACATATATAATTCAGTATAAGACTCTTCTATAAAGAACACTACAGAATATCCAGGTAATCATAGACACTAAAATAATATTTCTCTATATTATCGTATTATAAATGCGTTGTTACTGCGGCAGATTTCGGATGGCCCGGGAACACATTAATAATACACACAATAAAACTGCGTCTTTTGTGCGAGTCCCATCCAAGCTTCAACAATCAGACTCTTTCTAAATTACAATCATGGCCCCTCCATCAACCTTCAAAGCCGCTCTCCTCCATGAGGGAAGCAGCAACCACACAATCACTGGGCGCTCACTGGGCGCCCTCGGCGACGAGGAGGTGCAGATCAAGATCACCGCCACAGCCATCAACCCTGTCGACTGGAAGATCCGAGACACTGGCTTCTTCCTAAAGACGTTCCCGGCGGTCCTGGGGAGCGATGCCGCTGGCGAAATCGCGGCCGTGGGTTCCAAGGTATCGAACTTCGCGGTCGGCGACCGCGTCTTCTTCCAGGGCATCGTTGGCAACTACGATGCCAGCACTTTCCAGCAGTATTGCAAGATGCCAGCAGCTCTCGTGGCCAAGACGCCCGATTCCATCAGTGACGACCAGGCCGCGGGAATCAGCCTTGCGACGGTTGCAGCCGTGACTGGTCTCTACGACAAGACGGGCCGGGGCCTTGCACCACCCTGGAGCGATGGTGGTGACCGTGCTGGGAACGGAAAGGCCATTGTCGTCCTCGGTGGAAGCTCATCGGTTGGTCAGTATGTGATCCAGCTTGCCCGGCTCTCAGGCTACTCGCGCATTGTAACCAACGCGAGCCTGACGCACGAGGAGCTCTTGAAGAAACTGGGAGCGCACGTTGTCTTGGATCGAAAGCAGGCAGGCCCGCAGGACTACATCGCCGCGGTGAATGGGCTGCCTATCGATTTTGTATATGATAGTATTTCGCTGGCTGAGACCCAGGCCCTGGGAGTCGACATTCTCCATGGGGCCAACACCAAGAGCTGCGTCGTGACTGTGCTCGGGGCCGATGCGGATGCTCAGTCTCGCGGTGCATCGAAGGAGCCCAAGGTCGAAGTGCGACAGATCATGGGCCTGGGTAGTAAGCCGGAGCTGCGGTACTTGAGCGAGCCTCTCTTTGAGCGTTTAGGCGGCCGTGATGGATGGCTGGCAGCTGGGCAGTTCGTTCCCAACCGGCCGGTGGTGGTGGACGGTGGTCTAGATAGCATCGACGAGGCACTCGACAAGAACAAGGCTGGTGTTTCTGGTGAGAAGGTGGTAATTCACCCATAAGCAAGTACAGACTGTCCGAGTGAGTCTCGATAGGAAGAAGATCGCGATTCAGCAACACTTGAACAGGAATTGAACTATGGCGTATCATTATTAATGAAATACATGATTGAATGACAACTAGTGAAATGCATGTGCAGCTCCCTACTCAGTCTCTATACATTTGCTCGCTCCTTCAAATGAACCATCAACTTGCGCTTCTCCCACAGTAAAAAGATCTTCTGTTTATCCCATCCTACAGACTCTGGGGCCAGGGCGAGATCGAAGTTATACAGCACTTTGGCCAGTATAACGCGCAGTTCGCTGTATGCCAGGCTAAACGTTGTTAGCCCTAATCCTGCGGCGGATCGAAATTACTTACTTCTTCCCCAGGCAGTTTCTCGGTCCAAACGAGAACGGCTGGAGGGCGGCCTTGTTGTCAGTGACAAATTCGTCGCTGATCCATCGCTCGGGGATGAACTCATTTGCTCGCTTGAAGTTGGCAGGATCTCGATATGTGGCCCACTGGTTGACTGATACTGCAGTCTGGACGCATTGTTAGCCGAAGTCTTCACCAACTGAACACAGGAACATGCATACCTTGCCAGGGATATGCTCCCCACAAACAGACATCCCCCCCTGTGGAACAACTCGCGGCATTCCCACTGGCACTGGGGGATACATGCGGAGCCCTTCCTCGATACACGCATTCAGGTATTCCATCCGCATAAGAGATCCAAGGCTGATGTCCGAGTCCTGTTTAAACGCGCCTCGGATTTCACGGATTATCTTGTCCATTTTGTCCGGATTCATGAGAAGATGATATGTCAGTCCGCTGAGTGCAGTGGCCGTTGTCTCGGTGCCAGCAACCATAAATACCTGCGAGTTCGCATACATCTCACCATGGCTCAGTCGGAGTTCCTCCTTCTGACGCATCACAATGCCCCAAATATCTGGCTTGTGAGAGTTTCGTGCTGGGTCAATCCGTCTATCTACCCGCTCCTGACACGCCTTGTAGTGCGAGATGGCCTTGTCAATCAGGGCTTTTGGGACGAGTCTCTTGGCCAATAGTGCGGTCCAGGGATAGTAACGGCCGAGTCGACGCAGAGAATTTGCCTTGATGTTCATGAAGATAGCAGATACCCAGCCATCGTCGCCAGTCCCGGCCAGTAGGTCCAAAGGCTCACCAAAGGTCAGATCACCCATAATGTCAAAGGTTGTGAGGTTATACAGTCGAACTAGTTCAACCGGACTTTCCGGGCTTTCACGCGCCAGATTAGAGAGTTTGTCAGTCAGCATGTCGACATAGTGGCAGATGAGCGGCTCCTGTTCACGCAGAGCCTTCTCAGAAAATGCATGGGAGAAATTGCGGCGGAAACGCGCATGGTCAGGGCCAGAAGCACGGATTATATCCGGAGAACCGTTGAACGAGGGCCCGTAGAACCGAGCATCCTTTTCCGTTGGTTTCGCGCCGCCAATTGCATGGCCGTAAATGTCCTTCCATGCTTTGGCTTCTGAGTAGCTCAGTTCATTGGGAGCCACACGGACGGTGCTGCCGTAGATATTATGGAGCTCGGTGATCCAGTCATTGTGGTCGCCTTTGAACGTGTGGTACAGGTTTGGAATCCGGCTCACGACGGCATATCTAGGGCCGGGGAATCGGGCAAGGGGGTTAAAGCACAGCTCATAGAGGCACTTGGCTGCGATGCCCAGTATGATCTAGCATGAGTTTAGTGCCTAGTATCCAATGTTTCGAAACAATATGAGGTCACATACTGAGGTAACAATCACAGCAACATGGTGCTGGGAAAAAGCGTCTGCTGTAGACTGTAGCAGCATCCTTCAAACTAGTAATATCTTTGCAAAGGTTAACAGTCAAGAGAATGCTGGCGAACCGGCTTTCGCTAATCTTAAGGTTGAGCTATGGAAAGCTGACAGCTATATGTACTCCAACCCCCACAACATGCCATCGAAGATCTGCACTGGTGTGTATCAGGTGTGCAGAGTCGAGCGGTATAACGTCTCCAACTCTGCACGGACTGGAAGTAATGCAGCAGTTATGAAACAAGCCTGCAGTATAAGGCGGTTAGTGTGGGATATATGCCACCCCGCCCGCACTCGCACAGGCCATTATGCAGTCATTCGATTGAATAACCGTTGAAATGACGGCTGTTAGTCCGGTTCCAAACGCTATGCTGAGCTTAAGGGAAATAAGCTGCATACTGTTTTCCTCCGGCTCATTCCTAGGAATCCTTTACAGGGCCAAGCAATATAGACAAATGATCCTTTCAATTTTAACAAAATAAGCATTGCTAGTAACGAATGGAACCCTGGTTCACCGTTGAACCATTACACCCTTCCGTCAGAGGTACTGGTGAATCCTCAGTCAGACATCGCCAGAGATGGTGGCTTTGCGCAAGACTCAGCACGACCGGTTGATTGCCAGTAGATGCCTTCAAGGCTTTCGTAAAACATCAGGTGTTCGGTGACAAAATCCTCCCTGGACGTGGAAACCGTCTCACCGAGCACCATGCTCCAGCCCGGTCCCATGAGAATCTCCTGCCCGTCAGACGCCGCGAGGCCATAGGGGCGGCAGCCCTAGCAGACGTGGCCAAGGCAACGGCAAGAGAAGAGATGCTGGCGAAATGCATGGCGATTGCGTTAGGTATACGGAAGCCGAAGAGATGATGGTTGAATGAGAGACTGGTTGCAGGAACAAAGACTGAAGAGGCTTGATGCTTACCAGAAGAGCAGCAGGTGTTGGACTGGCTTTTGCCAATATCCCCCTCGTCCGTTCACCCACGGCTGTCCAGATTTACTCAGAATTCTCGTTTATGATATTCAAAACATAATGAAGAAGAATAACATCTTTCTAGCACTCAGGTCTGGGTATATTTGCTAATTCTGTCTAACAGTGTATATAGGAATGAGATTCCACAATGATACATTCAACATTAATCAGCCCCTTCATCCTTCTTTACTGCCGACTGACTCTTGTCCGACCGATGGAAGACTGCGCCAAAGAGGGAGAAGATGTTGTTGACTCGCAGCCACATGCAGTAGAACAGCGTCATTCCAGTGACGACCAGCTCGTCGCGCGCCGCCTCAGTCAGTTCCAGATCGTCCATAAACTCGATGTAGCCGATTTTCTTGATCCCCCAGATCTTGGCCGTGTACTTTGCCACCGGTCGCTGTCGCTCGTCGACGCAGACAAAGTCCCAGGTCGTGAAGCCGCTATCGCTGGTCCAGGTCAGGGTGACTGGCTCGTCAGTGTCGGACAGGGCATATGACTGGTGTGTGTAAAGGGTCTTGAATCGCTTCTGCGCAGCCAAGGTGCCTTTCCGACCGGCGACCTCATAGTCTGCGTTGATCCTGACTGTGTGCAGCGTGCCAGTGCCGACTGTGTAGTCGTCTGCTGGCCGTTTGAAAACCAGGTGCGGGGCCTTGACAGCATGCCAGTGGACAATGTAAAGAGGGTCCGCGTCAGGGTTGTTGGAGTCTGTGATGAGGCCCTTGAACTTCTTCCAGGAGAAGTCCACCTGCAGGCGCGGTGTGTGGGCTGTCATGGCGAGAATACTGAAATATGAGATATGTGCAGGTAACTTTCAACATCAACCCGACGGTCGCAACAATCTTTATATCGGTTTTGTCTTCAGCCTTTGGTCTGTGCTTGCTGCTAATCCAAATCCAGTTGGATGCGCCGCCCGCTGAGCTGCTCAGCCGCAATACAGCGATGGACTGCCTGAAAAGAACAAGTACACGGACAATAATATCGTGAATCTCTCTGGGTTATCAGATGCTAACCCAGTAACCCTATTGTCCAGATGTCGACTGATATTATTTATCAGGATATTTGGCAGTGCAGGATTGTGGAGGCTGGCCATCGTGAGACCTCTCGGTGTTTGAGGAGTGGCGGTATGCACTGGAAGGAGTAGATATGAATAGATAAGTAGTAGATAAATAGTGGATATGAGTAGATACGAGTAGATGTACTTGCAGTCACTGACACTGGAGATGCGACAGAGCTGGCTTTGACTCGATAAGCAACTGCCAAGTTATGTATCGATGCCGAGTCTGGATAAACGCCAAGTCTGTAGACTGTAGAAGGCTTTCAGGACGTGGGCAATGGTCGCTTCACTGTCTAAATATTAACCGACCTCGTCATCTCGCTTAGAGAATTAACTCGAGATCGCCAGCACCAACACTGTTGATCGCTGGCTCGGCTAGACGTACTGTGTTGGGCATGTTCCGTGTCCATCAGTGGTTCGCGTAAACGACCATAAGCACATGGAATGGTGCAATTCGGCAATCTCAGCTCTACAAATAACCAGCCTGCCCCGACTCGTTTCTCCACTCACCCTTGTGTTTCACTGCATCATGAGGCTCCTTGAACTCGCTGCTGTCGTTGGCATTGCTGCCTCTGCTGTCCAGGCGCGCAGTCCGCTCGCGACCCCAGACCAGCGCGATCTTGACGAACTCGCCATCGAGATCTTCCAAGACAACGCCTTCGCTTTCCTCAAGGGGGAGGCAAAGGGTGCTTACAAGGTCGCTCATGGACTGCCCATCAGCGACGAAGCCTCTGCCAGTCTCGACCAGGCGATTGAGGAATTGACCTTCAGTGCGGTGCAGAAGGCTGTCAACACCGATCCATACTATCCCAAGGTCTACTGGTACGATGCCGGTCCGCGCAGCTGGTTCGGCCTGGATGTGCCTGGTGGGCGCTATTCCTACGACAATCCGGACTGTGTCTATCGCACCATCCCGATCAGCTCCAAGGTCGACTACATTGTGACTGGCCACCGCCACTCTCCAGGACCATTGGACGTCAGTTTCTCTCTTATCAGCAATCCCAACTCCCAGAATACCGTTTCGCATCTGTCAGGCGATGATCTTGTCGTCAACAGCGATGGCTCGTACACCATCACGATCAACAGCACTGCTGCCGAGGGCCAGACGAATCATATCCACTCGACCCCTCTGGCAAAGCAGCTCCTCATCCGCAACAACCGTGGCGACTGGCAGACCGAGCAGCCAGACGAGCTCACCGTCAAGGTAGTCAGCGATACCGAGGGCCAGGACCCGATCAGCAAAGACAAGATCATCGCCACCGCAAAATGGAACCTCCAGGAATCCGTCGCCGACTACGGCGTCGGCGCTCTCGGGCTGAAGACGATGATCAACAAAGTAAACTCATTGGCGAATCCCAGTCAGTCCAGCACGCTGGGTACCCTGACCAGCCAGGCGAGTTCGTTCGGCCATTACAACCTCGCCGAGGACCAGGCTCTCGTCGCGACCGTGACGGCCGGAGACGCGGACTATTTCGTCTTCCCAGTAACAAACCCGTGGATGGTGTCCGTCGATCCTGGGAGCAGCCAGGTCAGTCTGAACAACAAGCAGGCCGCCGCCAATGCCAACGGCACGTACACGTTTGTGGTGTCTCTCGCAGACCCTGGTGTTTACAACTGGATCAACACCACGGGGCTGCATGAAGGCACAATCATGGTCCGCTGGCAGGGACTGGATACCTCGGAATCCTCTACGGACTCACTTTCGGTGGTGACGCAGTTGGTGCAGCTGGCGGACTTGCGGTCGGTGTTGCCGAAGGAAACCCGTTATGTGACGGCGGAGGAGCGGACAGCGCAGGTTGAGCAGCGGGCAGAGGCGTACAGGGCCTTAACCGTCACTGAATAATAGTGGAACAGAGTAGAAATGAACAATAAACAATGAGAATGAAGAAACAAACAGATCCACCAATCACAGGCAGCCCGGACTGCCGGTTCGGCACGGGTCGCGATCCGATCGGGCTTAGCCAACAATGATCGATTTTGTCAGATCGGGTGAACTACGTATTATTATTATCATCAATGCTTTATTGTACTCAGAATGGCATTGCTGGCTATGTTTCTCTCCCCCCGCTGGCGATGGTGTCTCTGCATTGCCCCCGCCTCTCTGCTTCTGCTGTTTCTCTACCTCTCGTCCCAAACTACACCCACCACTCCAGGCACCACCGCAGCACAGTCAGACTCGCCGTATCCTCAATCTCCAGCTTCAAATTCTGCAAGACCCCTCTGGAGTCCCGTCGGTGCTGGAAACGCGACGTTAGGCGTGAGTTTCTTGCTGTTTGCTGTTATCCACTACTAATTCCTGTCTCCTCTGCCTCAGTTCGAAGCCATCGTCGCGCTCTCCCCCTATTCCTCTTGGCGGACACGAGGCCTTCAGGCAGCCGCCGACGCCACCGGACTTGATATCACAATCCCTCCCCAACCTCCCATCCAAACCGATATAGTCACCGCTTTCACCGGCCTGGGCACCGAAGACAGAGCTCACCCTAACCAGGGTTCCGCCCAGGCCTGGATATCACATCTCAAGCTCATTGAACACATCATCCAGTCCAATCTGGAATCAGCTCTAGTCATCGAGGACGATGTCGACTGGGACGTCTCCATCCGCGAACAAATGGTTGGCGTTGCGCAGGCCGTCCGCCAACTGACCAACGCCCCTCAGAGCGAAGCTGAGGTATACCCGTACGGCCGGTCCTGGGACGTCCTCTGGCTCGGTTCCTGCAATGAAGCCTGGGACCCGGACGTCGAGTCGGTCTATATCAATGATTCCACCGTGTGCCCTGCCGAGTCGTACGTTGGCAGCGTCGAGATCATCAATTCCCTACCCGAAGGCCAGCGCGTCGTATTCCATTCGCGCATGCCCATCTGCACCTTTGCCTACGCCCTGAGCCGGCAAGGGGCCAGGAACGTGCTACTGGATATAGGCGCGGGCAATGACGAAGCCTTTGACATCGCATTGATGAACGGCTGCCGCGAGCGAGGCCTGAACTGCATCACGATCTTCCCGGAGCTATTCCACCACTATAAACCGTCCGAGAAGCTGGGCGGCACGAGTCTAGTCAATTCAGATAGCAAGGACGGGAATAAGGTGGAAATCGAGGTGGAAATGGGACAGACGGATAATATAGTGCAGAGCGCACGGTGTAACGCCTTATGGGGGAAGTCGTGTCTCCCTCCAAGACCGGAAGAGATATAAATATATGACAAGTATAGTTTGTCGAACCTTATTAGAGCAGCCAGGGCTGAGCCAGTGAGTGGATCCTTGGTTCTGGTGTTTGAGCGATATTACCCCTTGCAGCGATGAAGTTTATTTAAATTCCATTCCATTCTATACATTTTTATACTTCTGGACCCACATTCTTTTCGATATTAACGGGCACGGTCCACTGTGGTCTGTGGTGCCTTGACTGATGGGGCAGTTCAGGCGCCTATCCAACTGCTAAGAAGCAACACTCTAGACTAAATTACTCGTAGAGTAAACAATATCTCAGCTCGTGGGGATGACAGACGCCTGCACCACCTTTCTCAGCCTTCACAAGCTACTCACAGATTCCACAATCCCAGCGGCCGACGTAATCAATGAACCCAGGCATTCTGAAGACGAGGCTTGAATGGGTGACGAATATTAAAATAAAGCAGGATACGTGGAGTATGCGAGGAAGCTGGGGATCGATTTGCTTGATGGTAATCATGGTTAATTGCTCGATGTACATAGTGGAGCACTCTCGACATATATATATATATTGCTGGCGATTGACGCCCCATCACATATCACACCCGACGACTCGAGTTTCACATCTAAACCGTTTTGACAATAAATCAATCAAAGCAAGACTTTTTTTTACCACTGCCATAGCATATGCTGTAAGAACAAAAAGAAAAAAAGAAAGCCCAACGCGGGGCTCGAACCCGCAGCCTTGAGATTAAGAGTCTCACGCTCTACCGATTGAGCTAGCCGGGCTAGTTCATATCTGCACCCGCCAGTTTTGACATCATAAGCGGCCGTCGGGTCAACTGTTGACAGCCACTGCCCTACTTATACTGCGTACCCCGCAGCTCGTCGACTGAGGCACATCTTCCCCAGAGGAACACTTCCTCGTATACAATCATCATGGCGGCGGCTGAAACGCTCACTATCCACCTCCCCGGCGGTGCCATTTTAGCTCGACGCCGGGACAACCTCATCCATGCCAGAGGCATCAGATATGCACATGCCACAAGATTTGCGAGGCCCCAAGCCCTGCCAGATTGGGAGGGAATCTGGGATTGCACCGGGCCAGCTTCAGTGTGTCCCCAGAATGCCTCTCGGCTAGCGCGGGTTACCGGGGTTCTGGAGGGAAATAGGGATCAGAATGAGGATTGCCTCCATGTCAGCGTTGTGGCTCCGACCACAGTGCGAGCAGCCCCTGTTATGGTCTTTTTACATGGCGGGGCGTATGTTACTGGGGGTGGTGATCTCGACGCATACAGCCCTCACAAACTAGCCAAGGAGGGTGTTGTTGCTGTCACCATCACCCATAGGCTTGGGGTGTTTGGGTATCTCCCCATCCCCGACCTGGCCCCAGCAAACCTTGGTCTGCTCGATCAGATAGAGGCGATGCGCTGGATCCAGAAAAACATCAAAGCATTCGGTGGGGACCCAAATAACGTCACTGTCTTCGGCCAGTCTGCTGGTGCCGACGCGATATATTGCCTTTTGGTGGCTGATAATACGGACGAACTCTTCCATCGGGCAATACTACAGAGCTTGCCGCTTGGTCGACTGTATGATGAGAACCGTGACAAGATGACTCGTGCCATGTCCCAACACGCCAGCAATGCGCTTTCCCCTGCAGATTTGGTAGTGGCCCCTGTATCCCACCTCCTCGACCTACAAAAGCAGCTGCTAGGCGTCGCCAGATCCGTTTCGCCCGCTCTCCTGCCCTTTGGACCGATATTCGGCGAACACCCATTGCCGCCCGAGAATATCCTCTCTGATCGCTTCATCGCTGCCGCTCGTCGCAAGCCACTATTCGTCGGCTATACGGCAAACGAGGAAACCGCCTTCACGCACATTGACTCGAGGGAGCAGGCCCCTGCATACCTTTATAACCTGTTCCAAGGTGAAACCGATCACCTGCTTCAGCACACCTCCACGGCACTTGGCAGGGGTTTGCCCAGCTATGAGATTCGGTGGTACACTAAAGGAAATGGCGATCTTCAAGCAACGCACTGCATAGAACTACCGTTCCTCCTGGGCGACTGGCCTGCATGGAAACATGCGCCAATGCTTCAGGGAGCGGACGCCGAGGAGGGAGTTGAGAGAGTAGGTACTTCCGTGAGGAATTTATGGGTTGCATTTGCTCGTGGGGAGGACCTAGGTGGCAGGAAGTATATCATTGATGAAACCTTCAAGTTCCCTTGATAGCCTTGTCTATCATATTGTCTGTTTAACCACGCACTCGTTAGATAGATAGGAACTCTATATATCATCCAGTTATCTATTCAACCAAATGCTACCTTTCAAGATATCAATGACAGCTCAATCATCCAACATATGCAACACACTTGATTTCCACCAGAATCTCCTCCCGTGGCAGCGCTCGCACTTCCACCGTTGTCCTTGCCGGCGCAGTCGTACGATCAGACCAAACCCGATTCCACTCCTCATTCATCCCAGCATAGTCGTCCTTCATGTTCGTCAAAAACACTGTCGCATCGACGACGTCGCGGATCGTCGCGCGGCCGTCGGTGGCGCCTTGGATGATAGCGTCGATATTCAAGAGAACCGCGGCAGTCTGCTGCCTGATGTCAAGATCAAGCGAGATATTTCCGGCATCATCTTTTGTTTGAGTAGCGCCGACGAATGTACCATCGCCGCGTCGTGAGGAGGTGCCTGAGACGTAGATGTAAGAATCCTTTCCGTCGCGGGACTGGACGATGCGCGCGTGCGGATAATTGGCCAGCCCTTGGGCATGAGCTGACGGGCGGAAATACGGTGTACTCTGGGACATGGTGATAGGGAGCAGCAGCTATTATTGTGGTGAGGTGTTGAGTAAGTGGTCGTTATAGACAGTGTGAGATTAACTGTTAATGTCCGGGAGATGGCTGCTCGCCCAATCACGGATGTTTCCGCGATTAGTCAGCAGCCTATGCACAAGCACAATTATGTCGGGTGCTTCCGTCTATACTTGTGCAACATATTGGTATGAAGAGATTAATTCTGTATATTGGCTATATATGAATAGTACGGACATTGGTAAAGACATCGCGACTGTGGACTCCTCCCTCTCGCCCCACGCCAGACGCCTTCATGCCCCCGAATGCCGTCCCCAGTTCGCGCACCAGCCAGCAATTCACCCATACCAGACCGGCATCAATCCGTTCTCCAACTCGGCGCATCCGGGAGAGATCATTAGTCAAGAGGACACTGGCAAGGCCGCTCGGATTATCATTTGCCAATGCAATTGCCTCTTCTTCAGTTTCGAACGGTGCCACAGTGACGACGGGCCCAAATATCTCTTCTCGCATAATGCGGCTATCAACGCCAACACCACTAAGAACCGTCGGTGTGATCCAGAAGCCATGCTGTGGATGATCCGTTGGCACTTCTCCAATATGGAAGGTTGCCTTCTCTTCTTGTGCCTGCAACAAATAGGACCGGACCTTAGCATAATGCTGCAACGAGACGACAGGCCCGACAGTTTCTCCACACACGTAATGCGTTCGGACATATTCCACAAACGCCGCCAGGAACTGTGCATAGATAGCTTGATGGACGTAGATACGCGAACCACATAAGCAAATCTGCCCGCTATTCTCAAAAGCAGCACGGGCAGCCAGAGGCACCGCCTGAGCCAGGGCGACATCATCAAAGACGAGGGTTGGATTCTTCCCGCCGAGCTCAAGAGACAGATGCTTGCCTATATCACTCGCAGTGTCCTGTCGGATGCGGATTCCTGTGCTTGTGCTTCCTGTAAATGACACTCCGCGCACACGCGGTGATTTCACGAGCGCTGAACCTGCACCAGGCCCATCACCGAAAACGATATTCATGACGCCAGGTGGAAGGCCTGCTCGTTTGAAGACTTCACCCAGCACTGAAAGACGAACAGTCAGAGGAGGAAGTTACTAGGTTGTGGGATCACGTACAAAAGGCAGTTATGCTGGTTACCTCGCTTGGTTTTGCTACACCGGTACAGCCAAATGCGAGACAAGGTGCGATTTTCCATGTCAGGAGGTAAAGGGGCATGTTCCATGGCGAGATGAGTGCAAACACACCGACAGCTGATCTGTGTTCGTATGTCAAGGTGGATGAGCCCTGGCCATCGGCAAAGCGCACTGCGCCCTCGTCGTGTAGGATATACGTTGCAAAGTATCTAGCCCACTCAACATTAATGTCATCTTACAGGAGCCAAATTCGACTCAATGGGGAACCAACCGGAAATTCGAAATAGCACGATCAACCTCAACTCGGGCCCGAGCTAGGGTCTTTCCCTGGTCTATGCTCTCCCAAACTGCAAACAGCTCCTTGTTCTCGCTCAAGATCGCAGCAATTTGCAGCAGGATGTTCGACCTCTCCGTCCGCGAAGTTTGCGACCAAGATGGGAATGCTCTCGAGGCAGCATCCACCGCGCGGTCTACATCAGGTGGTGTACTGCGAGGGACATGCACCAAAACACCGCCAGACGAAGGGTTGAAAGACTCAATCCCTTGTTCTGTTTCTGAATGCGCAAACTGATTGTCGATAAAGTCCTGTAGACGTAGAGGGGTATCTGGATTGCCGGCCAAATAGTCTTTGGCACGCTCCAGGGTATCCAGCTCCCACAGCGTAGAAATCGTATCCATCATGAACTGGAGAATATGATGAACTAGAGAACACTATATGGAAACAACTGAGTGTATAGTATTGTGTTTAATATCTTGTCCTTAACTACGCCGGATAGACATCCGATTCGCCTGTTCGACCATCGCTGATCCACTATTCATATCCATATTATAGAAAGGGCAAATGTGAATTATATTGTATATTCAGCACTAATTTGGAACGGGCATCCGCTGAGCTGATACAGACTTCGAGTTCTGCGCAAACATATCCCCCAGCCCCAAGAACTCAATCGCGTTGCCTGCCAGCATCTGCGCCCTATCTCGATGCGTCAAAAAGGCGTGAACCTGCTCGTCGCTTGTGAACATCTTCCCCGGGACCGGCATCTCGCCGAGCGGGAAGGGATAGTCGCTGCCCATGACGATTCTATCGGAGCCGATCTTCTTGCAGATATACTGCAACAGATCCGGGTCGTGCGCCAGGCTATCAATCCAGACGTTGGACTGGGACGCCTGCAGGTAGTCCTGTGGAGCCATTCCCTGGGAGTTGTGTGCCACCAGGTCTGGGCGACAGTCGTACCCATGCCGGATATGTCCGAGTAGTGGCAGGTAAGCACCGCCGGCGTGTGCAAAACAGAATCGCAGCTTTGGATGCTGTACAAGAACGCCGGAGGAGAATATGGCGTGCATTGCCAGGGCAGTCTCGCTAGGCCTAAGACATATCAGCTTGTTAAGCCGGAAAGAAAGACAGACGTAACTTACATTCCGATCAGCCACGCAGACCAGTAACTACCCCATCTACTTTTGTTCTCTCGCTGGTATTCATATCCTAGAGGGTGGACAAAGATCGGGACATTCAGATCCTCGCAGGCTTTCCAAAAGGGTTCGAATTCAGGACTGTCCAGGGGCCGTCCGTTAATCTCAGTCCCAATCTCGACGCCCTTTAGCCCTAGGACAGTCTTTGCGCGGCGCAACTCAACAACAGCAGTGTCGACATCCTGCAGTGGCACGGTGGCCAAGCCCACAAAGCGACGGGGATAGTTATGGCAGATGGACGCGATATGGTCGTTCAAATGCCGGGCCATCTCTGCAGCAGGGCTGACGGGCTTCTCGTATGCGAACAGAATGGGCACTGTACTAAGCACCTGGACATCCACTCCGGTGGCATCCATTTCTGCAATGCGCGCCGCCGGATCGAAGCAGTTGGGCTCTACTGTCCGGAAGAATTGATCGCCCACGAACATATCCACTTTGCTGGATATTGCGCCACCTTGCTCGTTCGTGTTTGGAGGATTATGTGGACGAAGGTTGATCCATCCTTGACTTTCTTCCTTGGTGTCGTTTTGGTATTTGGAGAAGTCGGGCAAGGATGGCGGCATGATATGCGTATGCATGTCGATTCGGAATGGGGCATCATGGCCGCAACTGACACATTGGGGTTGAATAGCTGTAGAGGAACAGCAATATGGCATGGCAACCATTCTGGATATATTTAATTCACCAAACACGTAAATGAGTGGTTAACTGTCTGCCAAATAGCCGGCAAGGAGTAGGTAAATGGACACGATAACAGCAGTAATAAGTACACTATCTTCCGAAGTACATATCTAGATAGAGGCGTCAAGCGTGCCATCTCGTAACCGGATGCACCCGATGGCCAATCGGTATGCCATCCGACTCCTTCATGCTGAGGACGCGATATCACCGGGTCGTTCCTCAACTGGAGCCATTTAACTGTCCTGTCCTCGACCCACTGCATGTACAATTAGCTGCACAGATCCATTCTATCCCATTCATAAATAACAGTTCTTGCATGTGCTTAAAGTTAAACATGGGCTCTATATCAGACTCTCAGCTCACTATCCCCGGACCTATTCTCCTGTCGTCGTGGATATCTGCAAACTCAGACAGCCTGCGCCCTCCAGTGAACAATCGCTGCTTGTATGCAGGAAAGGATTTTATATTGATGGCAGTCGGAGGCCCGAATGCCAGGAATGACTATCATAGTAGGTCTGTCCAGTAAGCATGCGAAGTAGCGAGTGCTAACGGGAGTAGTCAACGAAACAGAGGTAAAATACATTGATAGAAATACAATTACGTTCACAAAGCAGTTCATAACAATGAAACTAGGAGTGGTTCTACCAGCTCAAAGGTGATATGTTGCTCCGAATCGTCGAGAATGGGAGCTACTTCCGCGACATTGTGATTCAGGAAGGCGAGACATTTCTTCTGCCTGGTGCGATCTATTCCCCGTTACCTCATTTCTGGATATATTGCCGTGCTCACTGTTGAATATCTGCAGGGAACACACCCCACTGCCCAGTCCGGTATAAAGACACCATAGGCCTGGTTATGGAACGGACTCGTCCACCAGGCAGCATAGACCGTATCAGGTGGTATTGTCCCAATAAGGAGGCCCATAAGGGCATTCCTACCATTATCCGTGAAGAAACGTTCTACTGCGAAGACATTGAGTCACAGCTGAAGGAAGTTATCGAGGACTGGATGGGAAACGAGAGCAGCCGAAAGTGTGGCAGTTGCGGAGCGATATCACCGGCCCAGTAAGGCTCAATAGCCCATAGGAGTATATTAATCAAGGGTCGATATCAGGGTCGCGTCATCGAAGAAGCTCCCAGATAAGTCTTCCGATGATAGGGCTGGGAAGTCGGGCAGGAGGAACTGGTCAATGTCCACTGTTGGACTCGTTGTAACATAATTGTTTGACTCGTCCAGTATAGGAAGGTCAGATGTAAAGTCTGCAGAGAGTGTATATGGTTGAGAAGAGTTCAGTCTTTGCTGTTTTGGCTCCCGGTCATCAGATCCATCGTGGCCACGCTTAGATGATAGGACACCCTGTGTTGCCTTTGCTGAGTCCATCTCAGCTCCATAGTATTTTCTGTCAGTTTCGCTTCTTGATGAGCCTTCTTGGCTGGTTTCGGCAGTATCGGCAGTGGGTGGCTCATCATGCTGGTGGGCCCTCTTATCACTCCGACAGTATTTGTCAAATACTCCGTGGAGCAGCTCATGCCTGTTGAAGTCCATCTGCGTCTGGTGCATATCCTCCTTGGTGAGCTGCAGATATTGTTTGATCTGAGGCCACTGGACGTTAACCTTCTGCAGCATATCAAAGCCCGCCTCGACATCGGACCAGGCCGTGCTATTAAAACTCGCATTCCGGGCCAGTCGCATGCAATGCAAAAGGGCTTTGGCACTCGCATAGACAGCGCGACTTTGCTGTACCACAAAATGACTAGGGGGCACGGTAGCAATGACTTGCGGTGTGGCTCTTATACAGTTAGATGCGGCTTCAGCGCAGCGTAGAAACGACTCGGGACCAGCGACGTCAAATCGTTCAATACACGTGCGGTAGAGAAGAACGACGCCGATATAGTAAGAAGACACAGCAATGGACTGCAGCGCCAGCGGCCGTACTTGTCGACTGGGGTCCTCCATCCTCGGCACAACCTGCTTGGTGTAGTATTCTTCCAGCTCGGTATCATAGCCCTCAACGCATGTCCGCAGTGTATCCCACATCTTGGAATCATGAGAAGAACGGGACCTGCGCATCTTCCGCACTGACTTGTAAATGCGGCCGATAGTAATATGGAAATCTGCGATGACCGTGAACCAGGGGTCTGTGCTTGTCTCGAGTGCCAGAGTCGGCCGATCATCTTCAGCAGCATCGATCGCTAATGGCTTGGAAAGCGCTGTTGATAGAGAGCAATCCAGAATATACAAGCACCACCAGACATTTCCAGGTGCTGAAACAGCGTCCATATCAACCGGTGTATCCGCGCCTTCTTGAAGGTCCAGGCTTTGATACCGGCGAATTGCATTTCCCACGATGGTCCAGGCTTCACTTACCCTGCCGTTCTCGATAAGGTAGATGCTGAGTAGACCGAGTGCAACGACAAGGTTGATTGTATGCAAACCCCGCCGGGCAGATAGCAGCGTAGGGCATTTCGAAGTCGCATGAGCGTACAACAGACCACCCAAGTCTTCATGCTTGTAGATCTCCAGCCCTGGCTGATTGAATACCACATGGTCTGCCGGCATGGCCGATGCGGACACTGCGAGCAGCGCGTACAAGAGAAAGGAAAAGTCGTCGTCATTGTCACCGGAGCCAGTGGATAGCCAGCGGTCGTATGACTGCTGAAACTCACACCGATGGATTATAGGGAAGATTGGATAATACGAGGAATAGAATATGTCAATCAGAGCCTGCAGTAGAGGCTCCGGCAGTTGGGTGACGTCTGCTTGTGCGGGCTGAGCTACAGGAGTGACATCCTCGGGCAGCTTCCCAGCGCTGTCAAGAACTGTTTCGAAACTATTGTCGTTTGTTTTTGGAGACTGCTGTGGCATATTAATTGTATCTATAAACTCTGTCGCATCATGGGCAGGCCCCAGTTGGTCTAAGGAAGGCTGGTCACAGTCCCTGCTGTGTTGGCTGGCGGACTGCTGCTGCAACGTCTGTTCCATTCTTCGAATCCGGTTTTCAAGCTTCCAGACGTATCTATAGCGGTCAGATAATTGTCATATAATTTAAAAGAAAGGACTCACTGGGGATCTGCCAGCCTGATGTTGCTGCCGGGCTCCACATAGACGCATTCTGCCTGGTTGCGACTGCAGCCCTGGCAGGGATGCTCTCCATCGCATTTGACCTTTTTACGACGGCATGCTTGACAGGCACGCCAAACTCTCTGCCGCTCGATCATGGGTTGAATGTCTGCAGGAACGAACGAGCAGGAATGAGTGATAGACGAGATCCCCGCATTGGAGAACGGAGATGGAGATGGAGACAAATGCCGGTGGCTCAACCGAATATTAAATAAACTAAATCTAATTGGGTTTACGGCATATTAAAACTAAGTCTCATTGGGTTTAAACTCCGCGGAATACTCCAACTCCGCGTCACTAAATCCCCAGAATGACTCGCGCTGTATTAATTTGTTCCTGGGGAACCCAACAGCATCAGCCTCCAGAAACCTTTATACGCACTATCACTAACTTCACTCCTTTTCCTGCCAGTATGGAGTGTAATAATGGATCTCGGTGAGCAGGAAATGGCTCCAGGTGGCCTTATAAAGAGCGGACAAAGTCCTCCATTTGAAATTTTAATTCTTCAACCTCATTTACTGGTCGTGAAGGACTATTGAGATGCGCCTTTCACTTCTTTCAGTGTTTGCCATTGCTGGCTACCAGGCCAGTGCCCTGTCTAGTCTACGCGTTGACACAACCTCTGGTAGAGCTTACGGGCTTGTCAACGGTTCAGCTCCAGATGTTGCTCAATTCCTCGGAATACCGTATGGAGAGGCTCCTGTAGGCGAGCTGCGCTTTCGCCCTCCCCAGAGGAAACGGCGTGCAAGGGTTATTGATGCCACCAAGCCAGCCGGTCTGTGCCCCCAGTATCATGAGGGCAAGGCGAACTATCCCTCCGTTTACACCTACGACGCGCCGTGGTTGCAACCATGGGGAAACTGGACTGAAGACTGTCTTAACCTCAATATCTGGACCCCGTATGACCTGAACTCGAGAACGGCAGAGCCCCTACCTGTCATCATTTGGATCTTCGGAGGCGGATTCTACGAAGGAGGCCTGGATACTCTAGCCATGGATCCATCGCAGTGGATACAACGGTCCCAGTCGCATATAGTTGTTGCTATAAAGTAAGCCATTCTTCGTCCACAACCTGCCATTAGCTAACTGAAAAGCGCACGCGTGAACATATTCGGATTCCCTAACAGCAGAGGCCTGTACGAAGAAGGCTCTAATCTGAATGTCGGCCTCCTCGATCAACGATCTGCCGTGGAATGGGTCCGCGACAATATCGAGGCCTTTGGTGGCGACCCATCGAGAATGGTTCTCTGGGGTCAGAGCAGTGGTTCTGCCAGCACAGACTACTACAACTACGCGTATCCGAAGGACCCTATTGTGGGTGGGTTTATCCAGCACTCTGGGAGTGTATTCGCAACGGGCGAGAGCAAAGACGCCCAGATGCTGAATTTCTCGACTGTTGCGCAGAATGTCGGCTGTCCGGATCTATCAGCCAAGGATGAGCTGCGTTGTATGCAATTCAATGCCAGCGCCGCCGATATCATTGACTTCTGGCAGCAGTATAATCTCGAGCACTCGGATGCGCAGTTGTCCTTCACAACTATAGTGGATGGCGTCACGAAATTCCCAGACTACACCGAGCGAGCCAACGCTGGAAATTACTCGAAGCTGGTAAGTTACGCCCCCAGCTCTGTGGAAAATACTAATTTATTTCAGCCAGTGATATCCGGCACAAACTACAACGAGATGGCATCCCTTATAGACTGGCCAGGCAAGGCAGGGCCTAACCTGACAGAGCTCCATATTGAAACACTTGGCCACCAGCAATGCCCAGCTACCTACAACTCGCGGTGCGTATACTCCGTCATCCTATACACCTGTCTAATCCATACAGAATTCGCTTTGAAACAAACTCCACCACGTTCCGCTATCTCAACAACGCCTCTTTCCCGAATATTTCGCCCCGGCCATGGGAAGGCGCCTACCACACGTCAGAGCTGCCTCTGCTGTTCGGAACGTTTACACAGTATGGAAGCTCGCCGCCATCGAAGCTCGAATACAATACTTCGGCAAGATGGCAGGATCTCTATGCGGCCTTTGCACGCGACCCAGTTGGTGCTCTACCTGCAGCTGGCTGGCCTGCGTGGACACCCACGGGGAAGGTCTTGATGTGGAATCCAAAGGACAATAATGGGACGACTGTTGCGGTGTCCCGGCTTATTGATGCGGAAGAGGTTGCTACGCCTTGTAATGATATTACCTGGAGCATTCAGACACCGTAAGCAGTCGTCTCCTGGCATCATACATATACCATTTATGTATCATATATTCACAGCGAGTATAGTAAAGTCCTACTGTTATATTTTATACCAAGTCCATCTTAATCAAAATTGTTTCTATGCGATCCCCAGAATGCGGGGAACCCCAGGGGCGAAGGATCGTGGAGACACCAGATGCAGCGGGCGTGTGTTTAGCCAGAGACAGCTGCTGCTAAACGTTGAGCCGGACGCAGTTCAAATAGAGCTCCGGCTCCAAGTCCATCTCAAACTGCTTTGTATCCCTAATATTTAGGCATCATGGCTCAACTTCGTATCCTCCAGGTGCTGTGGCCAGCCCTAATCTGCAGCTTGTTTATAATAGTCCAAGCCAAACAACCGCCACAAGCAACTGTTGAGAATGGAACATACGCTGGCATTCATAACAGCCACTATAACGTGGATTACTTCCTGGGAATTCCCTTCGCTCAGCCACCGGTTGGGGATCTGCGATTAGCACCACCAGCACCACTGAATCAGTCCTTTTCTGTTGTGCGCAATGCCACAAAGATGCAGCCTGCCTGTGTTCAGTTCTTGGTATGCTGATATATTGTGAATGCCAACGGATGGTAGACTGACTCAACAGGCGGCAACCATCGATCGTCCGGTATCTGAGGACTGTCTGACTCTCAATGTCTATAGACCGTCTGGCTACGAGAACCAGACCCTTCCAGTTCTTGTTTGGATCTACGGGTAATTCACCCTTACAACCATAGCAGCAAGATCTAACCGTTGCAGTGGGGGCTACGTCCAAGGGAGCAATAGCGACCCAAGGTACAACCTTACATTCATCGTGAACAATTCAGTCCGGATGAACAAGCCCATCATCGCCGTGGCCCTCAACTATCGCCTGAATGGATTTGGCTTCATGGGAGGTCCTGTCATCAGGGAGCAAGGCCTTGCAAACCTCGGACTGCGCGACCAACGCCTCGCTCTGCAGTGGATCCAGGTACGTACGGTGGGAATATTATGAAGCGCCGCTCACTGTGTCCAGGAGAACATCCATTCCTTTGGTGGCGATCGTACAAAGGTCACCATCTGGGGCCAGTCTGCCGGAGCAGGGAGCGTGGGATCCCAGCTGCTGGCATACGGAGGACGCGACGACTCGCTATTCCGCGCTGCAATTGCAGACAGTGGCGGTCCCTTGGGATTCCAAGGGCCATCCAGCGATGCACAATTGGACTCGTGGAACGCGGTCTTACGCCTTACTGGATGTTCGGGCTCTTCTGATCCCTTGTCCTGCTTGCGGGGAGTCAGTTCGACCAACTTCACCTCTGCAGTCAATGCCTCCGGAGCCAGATTCGGACCATTCTATGATGGTGACTTTCTGCAAACATACAGCTCCGCACAGCTATCAAAAGGGCAGTTTGTCAAGGTGCCGTTGCTGACCGGCAGTAACACGGACGAGGGAACCGGATTTGCAGGAGACTCGCCCTATATCGGAGCCTTACCAGAGACTTCATATCCCAACGAAACATCGTTCCTCGCCGTTGTCAATGGTTCAATCGTAGATTCCTCACCTACAGCACTGGCAGTCATTTCAGCTCTGTATCCTAACATCCCAGCTATCAACGTCCCCCACACCCACCACGGCCCTTTGAACTCAACATTTGGATCTCATTACGGCCGCGTTGCGACATTTTCAGGAGACAACTCCATCCACCGAGGCCGTCGAATGGCCTCCCAGATGTGGACAAAATACAATACCCCGGTATATTCTTACCTCTTCGACCAGTGGCCGATCGGCGGACTCCCCAATACAACAGGCACCACGCATTTTACCGAAGTCCCCCTCATCCACGACAACGAGGTTGGGAATGGCTTCGAGGCACCGTGGTATCCGGCCGGCAGCGAATTCGCAGGGATGGATCAGGACTTTTACTCCCTAGCGCGGCTTATGAGTATGTGTTTTGTTTGGAAAAGTCCGCGTTAAGAATGCTAATTACTTCCAGGCCGCATGTGGATTTCCTTTGTGCATGATCTCGACCCGAATGAGCACGGTGTTAGTGAGTACAACAGTCATCCAATTCCTAGGTGGACCCCATATGCAAATAATGAGAGGGATGCGTTGGATGGCTATGGTGTGAATCTGCGGTTCCTCTCGACGCTCCCAGGACTGGCAGAGCTGCAACCGGATACCTGGCGGGCGGAGGCGATTCAGTATCTGAACGAGAACTCATATGCTCTTTTTGGCGTTTAGTATTCAGGGGGGACATAGCTAGGTAGAATAATATGAGATTCCCCAGTATTCCAGTCTCCACATTCCAAGACATGAATATTTGCATTTCCCCGGATAATCACTCTACCTGTGCTTAACCGGGGAAATGCTTTGCCAAATTGCAGTGGAGTGCGGGGATTGTACGATCGAACAAATAAAGGCTAGAGTCAGACTATTGGAGTGCTAGGCTTCTTCCCCATTTGGCAGTCCGGGGCTTCTCCAACTCGGCTTGCTGCTTGGGGAAAGACTTTCGTTCCCCGTTATTTCGCTGTTTCTGAATATTCTCACTGTGTACAGACATGGAGGCCGAGCACAGCCCGCTGAGAATCGTCCCCTACCACAGCCCCTCCCATGCAAATCCAAGGGGGCGGTCATCATGGAAACGCCCTCGCCAGTCAAGAGGCAGCAGGGGGTCGACAGGCAGTACGACGAAGATACGGACGGCCTGTACTGCCTGTCGCGAGAAGAAGACGAGATGCTCTGGACACAAGCCGTGCGTGCGCTGCCAGCAGCAGGGCCAGGCCTGCCAGTATATGTCGACTGCCTCAAACTCGGACGATGATCCTCGCATGCCTCAACCGGCCATATCCAGGCACTTGTCACCCTCTCGCCACTCAGAGGCACCCAATTCATCTATTCCAGAGCCACAGACACATTCTCCAGCGCAACATAATCCCACGCTAGAAGAGCCACCCCAGGAGGACCAGTATGGCCATTACCACGGAAGTGCCTCGGGCTTCGCCTTTCTGCAGTCCGTCAAAGACCGACTCGCCAGTCTACCTTCAATGTCACTCGACTTCTCTGATTATCCCCTTGCGGTGCCGGGCAAGCGGCCAGGGATTCTGCCTCCCAAGGCCATTGCGGATACTATAATGCGAGACTACTTCGACTTTGGGCTGACTACTTCGCGCTTTGTCCACGAACCAACGTTGCGCATGGCATACGAGAGACTATATAGCACTCAAGGAGACGACAGCCTGACCCAGGACGAGATCGCACTGGTTTATATGGTTTTGGCCATGGGGTCGCATTACTCGCAGACCAACAACACGTTCTGTGGGTTCTCTGCAAGGTACGTTCCAGACATTAAGTGGACAGGTCTTTCAAATAGAGACTAAGGTGTATAGTCTGCAGTTCTTCGATATGGCCCGGCAGGAGATCGAGAGGGAGTCGACCAAGGTCACCCTCAGCTCCCTGCAAACCCGGCTCCTGATGATCCATTACCTGCTGAACCATTCAAGGATGCACGATGCCTGGTCCTCGTTTGGCATCATCGTTCGACAGGCCCAGGCATTGGGATTGCACCGTCTGTCGACAGGCCGGCCGAGCAACTATGTCGACCACGAGTACCGCAAACGTGTTTTCTGGACTATTTAAATCTACGATCGCATCTTGAGCAGCATATTCGGTCGCCCGTGCGCTCTTCATGACGACGACATTGACCAGGAAGAATGCGCCTTGGTGAACGATGACGACGTCTCCATATCCGAATGTCGAGTGCACGACTCGGCGGACACCTCCTTCTGCACAGCTGCAGCTCTGATTCACTACGCCAGGCTGGCTCAGATCCTAGGAATGGTGCTACGCGAATTCTACAGCCCCAGAAGACGGAATCACAGCCTGTACAGCCTACAGGCCGCGGCGTTGGATCTCCAGGGACGCCTTCTATCCTGGCAGCGAAGCCTCCCAGCATACCTGAACTATCTCTCTCTTCCCCCACCCGCCATGTCGACCATGATCCAACGGCAGATGTGCACACTGAAACTCACCTTCGCCCATACAAGCCTCCTTTTGTACCGCCCGTTCATGCTTTACTCCATCCGAGCCAACGCGCAGATTCCACATGACCTCGAAGTCTGGTTCAGGAAATGCGGCGATCTCTCCGTCGAGGCAGCCAACCTCGTAGTCGCCGAGTGTCAGTACCTCTACGAACGCGGTCTATTCTCTCGCGTGTTCTGGTTCGTGAACTATGCCCAGTTCGCGGCAATCGGGACTCTGTACATGCACTCCTGTCTGGGGCCAGACCCGCGCAATGTCCGAGAAGTGGCCGACAACGCCCTCGCCCAGTTTCCAGTTGGCGTCGAAGGAGACCTCATCGGCCAGCGGTATCTGGAGATTCTCAAGGAGCTACAGGAACTCACCCTCGGATTCAGTCTACTCGACGTGGGGCCTAATTCCGCACTGCTAGAGAGCATACCAAAGGAGCTATCCATATTTGACGACCTATTAATGAATTACGGTGATCCATGGGGGACAGGTCTTGGCCCGTGGACGAATACGGATAACGATGAACTGCCGCAGCTTGAGTCGTAGACTATATAATCTTCAAACGCCATCTCCATACATCTCCTGGTAGCCTAGTAACAGACCACCTCATACCAAGTAGCGATATCCACTTGCCAACTGCGCGGGGGTCGGACCACTCCTGCCGGTCGATTCTCCCCGATCCAGCTTACGGTTCTGTCGGATCAGATAGATGCGATTCACAGTCGCCATAAGGATCGCAAGCACAGCAGCGGCAAGATTCACCGCAAACGCCGCAAGATACCGCGGCGCCCCGTTGTAAAGATACGGAGTCCACACATTCGTCGTGTTGCAAATAGAGATAATAATGGCAATGGCGGATGCTCGCTTTGGGGCCCGCTGGCTGAGTGTCCCTGACATCCAAGAGTACAGTACGGTAGTAGCTGCATAGAAGGAGGATGGCATAAGCATCATGGCTGTATAGCGCGCGGCTGTATCCAGCGTTGCCACAGCAATGACATTCGCGATAATAGTCACTCCGAGCGGCAGGACGATGTGGTAATAACGTCCTCCCGTTCGGTCTGAGTTGTACCCTGTAGCCATCATGGCGATACAGCAGAGGATGAAGGGCGGGGCACTCAGGGCATAGGTGACAGTGCGTGAATAGCCCAACGTCGCAACGACAGGCTGGAACAGATTCGTGACACCGGCCGATATGAAGACCGGGTATAGAGTCACGAGGAGCAGCCATGTTTTGATATCGCGGAGAGCAAGAACGAGGCCCTGCATTGCGGTGATTTCATTGCGGTCGTCCTGCTGGCCTTGGTCCTTCTGGTAGTTCCAGGTGATCCACTCTCGCTCCAGCTCTGTCATTCTTGGGACACCTTTCAGAGAGTTGGGGAGTATGAGCGCAAATACGAGAGCAAGGCCAATGGTGAGCACTCCTTCGACAAGAAACAGCCATCTCCAGCCAGCCATTCCATGGTCCCCATCCAGCTTCAGGATCCCGATAGCAAATAGTCCCCCAATGGCGTTTCCGAGCTGCGATCCGGAGTAGAATAGAGCGGCACGGAAGGCGTACTGCTTGCGGTTGTAGAACATGGAGAGATAATAGAGCGAGCCGGGGAAGAAGACTGCCTCGACAAATCCAACCATGAATCTAGCGACCATCAAGCCTGCGAAACTGTGGACGGCCGCTTGGGCAGCTGAAATAACACCCCAGACTCCCATCGCTCCGCAGATATACACGGCAGGCCATTTCAGCTTGCCGAGTATCATGTTGGACGGGACCTGCATTATAACTGCGGCTGTCAGTCTCGAACACAAAATAGAATTATGGTCACATACTGTATCCCGCATATAGAATGGAGATGCAGCTCTGGAATTCTGTCTCCGAAAGACCCAAGTCCTGCTGGATATTGGCAAGCTTCGCAGCAGCGATGTTGTTCCTGTCCAGGTAGTTTAGGATGTACATCAGCATCAGAGGCGGGAAGACCACAATGTCCATTTTAAGGGTTGCCCTGCGGCCGAGTTTCTTGTACTCTTCTTCGGAGAGCCCTCGTAGACTATGGGGCATCTGCATTTCAACGGATACCCCTTTTGCGGGGGCATCTGCGATGTCTTCGCAGTGCGAGGGAGTTTCGCGATTGTCGTGCTTCTCGTCCATGGCAATAAGGGAGTGCAATGAATATCAGGGGATAGAGAGTGAATCTGGGGCATATTTAAGGATATGGTGTAGATTAGAGCGTAATATAAATATGCTACGGAGCCCCGATCCCCGGACTTCCTGTTCAGGAGTATATGTGGGGTAGGACACTATGCTGTAGTAGGTATCAACACAACTCCGGTTCTCCATTTATTGCAAGGGGCTTACTATCTAGAGCGCGGTTGGCAGAGCGCTGAGTCACTAGAAATTGCCAATAAGGGCACTCTCCTCTATAATGACATAATGGTTACAAGGAGAATGGATTGGAAAATTGACATATGAGTAACTACAGCAATGCATCTACATCTGATTTATAGTCTCTCCATCGACGACTATCATGCAGCTGGCTTCCTATTGATCTTGCGTGCCAGGTTAGAGTCGTCGTCACTGAACGCCGTGACAGTCCATCTTCCATCGTAAGGTTTGGACTTATCCACAAACCGGAGGTCTGTCGATACCCTGATGCGTCCTGTCTTGGATTCATTAATGGCGCCAGCATGGACCATAAAGGGGTTGTGAAGGACAACATCTCCTGCTTCGTATGCACCCTGTATGCCGTTAGCGACGCCCAGAAAAGCGTCATTAGAGCACCTACCACTAGCCAGTCGCGTCCCCAGTATTTGCCAAATTTAGACAAATTCCTGTCTAACCATCCGCCTGCGTTCATATTCTTGTTAACAGCCGATATCTTGTCCGCGTCACTTAGAGTCTCGTTCTGTCGCGAAAAGTCCTCTTCATATTTACGGCCGATATCCTGCGAGCCGTTGAGATAGATCAAACCCCCTCCTTCGACCTCAATATTTCCTATGGGCACCCACACCGTGATACTGGTAGGCGGCGCAGCCCTCAGAAAGATCTGATCGTAGTGAACAGGCGTCGATTCAGCGCCAGGAACAGCACACCGCAGCAGCGAGCGAGGCAAACACCACGAGTCTTGGAACCCGCAGAGCTTAGATGCGAATGCCTCGATGTCTTTTGCGATCACATCCTTAAATTGCATGTAAAATGGCGCGACGTGGCTTGCGATAGCGTTGTCCACGAACGGGCCCTCGTCCTTCAACCCTATCGCCAGCCGAGTTCCCCCAGGCAGAACATAGTTCCTCCAGTCGTTCCCTGAAAATATACCCTCCTCCGGATCTGTATTTGGCTTCAGCATCTCGCAGCCTCGGTTCATGAAGCTGAAGTAGTCTTTTCGGAATTGGTTGACAACTTTGCGGCTAATAAGGCCTTTGATCTGGATTCAATGAGCGGGGTCACCATAGAAATTTGATATGATATCTTACCCATAATACACCATCTTCCTCGTATCTCTTCCTTAACTCTTCGATTGGAGTATCCGGAGCGAACGCCGGGAGTGGCTTCACATTTTCCAACTGCCCGCCGTACGCACGCAAGTTGACTGACGGTGTTTCAGTGACTGTGTTAGACATTTATAAAGCTGATTGCACTCTCGCAGTAAATCTCAATGAACGATAAAAATGCTTGACTTTCCTTGGTTTGGACTGATTTATTCGCCTTATAATACTAGCAAAAAATGAGAGGTGCCTCTGGCCGCGGGCTTTCACATTTCCCAAATAGGAAATACTGTGTTGTTCCCCGGGCCTAGCCATCTCGGAGTCGACACTCCCCGGGTGCGATTGAGCATTGTCATCAATTCTGATTACAGAAGTGTCACTATTGATTATTTACGCGCATTTTTATCATCCATACCCTCGCTCTGGCTGCTCTCATAATGGGTGGGAGGTGCTACGGCTGACAATTGCCCAATTCAGACAACGCCGTTGTTGACCTGGATATTTGTACGTCCACAAAGAACCCCCAACAGATTTCACAAGAAAGAGCAATGCTGGCAATATGCAGTTTCTCATGCTCTGCAGCAACCACACAGAGTACGGCTTCAACAGCTCCTTCCCTAGCATTGTGAAAGCGATGACCCTGAGTTCGGATACCGTGACAGTTGTCCTAACCGCACCTCCCCTACCTCTTCGGTGCCGTAGATTCATTCCTGGTAGCTTAATTCGGGAATATCTGGAGTTTATATTTCTTTTAGGAGCAAGATGAGCCACGATATATTCTGGCGAGGAGTGTTACTTTAGATACTATTTGAGAGTTCCAGGCCTGTTTCCGCTTTCGACGCATCAGGAACCAAACCAGGAAAATGATGAGAGCCCGTCTAGCACATCCGCCGACGACACCACCAGCAATGGCGCCCTTGTTGATAGGCGTTGGTTAGGCAGTGCCTGCCCAGAAATATCACAGTCAGCTCTTCATTCTCGCAGCTAAACACAGGGTATGTATTTCATTACATGAATCTCACCATATAAAACTAGATATATAATATTATTTTCTTTTTCTGTCTAGAATCCTGTTAGTACAGGCAATGCCTGTTATACTACTCCTACTATATACCAGGCCTCTAGCGCGGTAGATACTTGATATACTTAAAAAGTAGAAGAAATTACTCTTAGTCTTATAGAAATCTTAAGTCTTATTATTTATATAATAAGAGTCTTCTATAAGAAATTCCTTGCACCCTGTCTCTCTTAAATAACAGGTATTATACTCTCTACAGTATATACTTTTAAGGCAGCAGTTATACTAGTTATTCCAGGGATTCCTATATATTTCCTGATCTATACTACACGTGCTGCTTTTCTAGAGTATATATCTAGCAGGCAGGATATAGACCCTGTTATCTATATCTTATTAAAAATTAATGAGAGGCCGGTAGCTTCCAGAAGAGAATACTACTCCAAAGTAACTTGTTATTGGTATATTGTTTTTAATTATTAATAGGGTTAATGTGTCTGATAACTGAAATAGCCATTCGATAGGGCTACCGTATAAGTTCTGTTGTTCTGCCAGGGCATCAAAGGAATTTAATAACAATCACTAATCAGCTTGTAAAAATAGATATACTTCACCTATACAGTTTCCAGTCCCAGCATGGATAAGACAGGAATGCATACAGCTAAACTTAGGTCATTCCCAACACCGCCTAGTGGACGCAAGTGTTATCCTTCGCTAATCCGCAAGACAAGGGCTGGGACCGGTTGGTGGCCGCAAATTGCGTGTCAATATGTGCGGTGCGAACTTGTATCAACATCAATAACTGGAACTTCGGTGCGTATACCGCATATGAGTTGCTTAACCTCTTATGTGCCGAGGGTGATCTTGTATTCTTCGACAGATCGAGCCAATTGCTCCACGGGCATCACCATCGATAACTCACCGGCCTCCAACAGTGCGATATCTCCATGGCGGATGTGATCATTACCAATCTCCGTCGGGGTGATCGCCCCCCGGAGTACATCCTGGATAAACCTTTGTGTCCGCTGCAGCAGGGGGATAGCATCTATGCCAGCAGTTTTGTGACCACTGGCTGCGATCCACGGTCTTTCGCCATCGGGAACCGAGTGGTCACCGGTGAGAATCCGCTCAACCTTCTTCAGCGAGTTGCAGTGCCGGGCCACATCACTACCGTGTGCGTAGAAAAGGTATCCAGACTCATAGGCTGAGTCGCCCAAGAAAACGACTCGCTCCATGTGGTCGAGGATAACAATACTGTCGAGAGAATGACCAGGCACCGTCACGACCTGAAGACCCAGATCGACCGCGCAACCATTGGTAGGATGGACCCATTGAATACGCTCACCGTCCATTAGCAAGCGTAACGGCGTGGGGAACATCGGTGGAGGCAAATTCAGCTCCGCATGTAGCGAGTACTGGTGGAGGTGACCCGGGGCGATGATGTCTGACTGGAGGGCGCTGCTTACGGCCGTAACCGTCGTCGCTGCGTCGCCAAAGTTGACCAGGCGACCGATATGATCGTAGTGACAGTGTGAAAGCAGGATTAGGTACGGCAATTGACCACCAGGGTTGAGTGGCTCGCCATTGTTCTCCGGAACCGGGACATTTTCCAGGAATTGCCGCAGTGACGATACCTGCTGCGAATCGGCCTCATGAGGGGCATTGCAGCCAGTGTCAATGATGACAATCACGTCCGGGTAGAGCTTGATGTATATGAACGGATGTTCGTCAAAGGAATCGTGCTCGACAAGTCGAAAGATATTTCCTGTCAGTTGGTGCGGCTCAAAGGTGGCCGAACCGGCCCGGCTTTGACGCGGGAGAGCTGGAGCTTGCCGGTGACTAGGATGGGAAGACCGACACATGGCGGTTGGTTGGCACAAGGATGTTCCGTCTTGATGTCGTCGTTTACGTAGGTTATAACTGCATGACGACCGCGGCTAAGAGGAGGCAACCGTGCGCTTCGGACAATGAGCCCCTCCATCTCGGACCGGCATCCGCGTAACCGTCAGTTAGGGATCTTAGCGCTGACACAACGAGATCCAGGGCTCCATATTTATGACGATATGCTGGAGAGAATATAGGATTCAGAGCGGAAAGGTATTTAAAGATGTGTGTTTAAAATTGAGTTGCTATGTCTATACCTGTTTTAATAGTGGCTTGCATGCTTAAGAAGGGGTATTCAAATGTGCAAATATATTTTCCAGCCTGCCCTGGGTTTAACGTTGCGTAGTTATTACCCAGATAATCACTTGAAATAAGAGCTCCACCGGTACAGCTACTTAATAAAGCGTTATTAATTCATTACGTCTTATATTCTTTAATAGGTGCATGCCTTCTGTAGAAATATTTGGTGGAATTGCGGGGGATTGAACGTTCATTTGTTACAAGAAGCAGTACTCCAATTCGGGTATTTTCTCTATCCACCGCCCCGTTCGGGACATATTAGAGACGAATGGTTGGTTGGCTAAACTCGGATTGGCGAGGGCTCCACGACTGAGTCTGAGAATGGCCGCTGTAACCGACAAACAGACCCTCCAGTCCAGTCCAACAGAGAGCCAGTCAAACTACTTGCAGATGGACTAGGTCGCGGCCGTTGCGTCGGTTCTAAAGAGACATTACGCACCAGGTGCGGTGGTGGGCATGTCTATTTACCCGGGCACGGTGGCACGCGTCTTTCATATCTTTGTGGAGAGCACATTCAAACTTCTGGCTACAGAAGCGAAAGACAGTCAGAATCAGCAAAGATAAGGTTTCGCGACGGTAAGTGGCAGTAGTATCCCACAAGAGGTCTCTACTTGTAAACTCGATTCTTAAGATACTTAACAGGAATGTGGCTGGTCAACCAGTCTAAGACGCTTTAATATACCGAGGATATCTACTCAGTTAACTTGTTACCTGATAACTGGTTACTGGGCCTGCTCTACCTGACACGCAGTATTCTTATATATAGTAATACCCTGAACCTCAGCACCCTGTATATTAATCTCAAGGTGTACTTTAACAGTGTAATCTCCCTGGACTTCTAGTACTGGCTGGATGCCTAGAGATATGGTCCTAACTTTAAGCTATTTCCTGATAGCAAGCGCCCAAAGCTAATAGAGTAGTAAGTAGGTATTGCCAGGCCAGAGCAAGACACCATATTAAAGTCAGGCGCGCTGAGTGTGATTGTCAGCCCAGACCAGCACAACTTCTCGATTCGCTTCCGCGCCTCGGACGACCATGACCGCGAAGTCACCAGTCTTAACCCTAAATCTTATAGAGTAGACCATAATAAAATACTTAATAGAAAAAATAGTACTAGATATCCTCTATTATAAAAAATATTATAATCTAATAGATTATAGTCCAGGGAGATAGAAAAGAAATTAATATTAATAGACCACAGAACTGGGCTATTAGATAGGAAAGCCTAGAAGAGCCGTTACTACTCAGTCAGGCCTGAGGGGCAAATGTCAAGTAGAATACCACGCGGTCGAGAGCAGGAACATACCAGATTTAAGGAGCTTAGAAGCATAAACTTGGCGCAATTCCATTACTCATGTAATAAAGGTACTTTGCTCTGAAGCAGAATGTTAGTTTCGATGGCGGCTGGAAATGGGTTGATTTCGGCTAGTGCCAGGTGTTAGGCTTGCTACTTACACTTTGAATCTTGTATCTGTTGAAGAAACCCAAGCTACTAATAAAGACCTATAGAAGAGAGCAGCTGAAGTAGAATAACTTGTGGATGATGAAGGACATGATACCGGTGGCCAGGATATTATTCTGCATCTATATATACCATGTAACCTATAATTTCTCTGCCACGCTCAGGTGGGCATTGAATTTGGTGATATCCTGATATTGGCCCCAATAGGTGCCGGGGGGCAGCACGGTAGAATTCCTAGTGGAAAAAGGGTCAGTATGCGACAAATTCCACAAAAGAGTATAATTCAACCACCCAGAGGGGTTGCAAAAAAGCGGAGGGGAAGCAGACAAGACCCCAGCATACGAAGTAGCCTGTCCTGAGAGCTCGACCGAGAGGGAAATTCTATTTCCCACCGGTGATGACGATAGTTTCCCTCTTCGAATTGCCGCGGCGGTTGCGGCGGTTCCAGTGGTTAATCTGGGCCTTGCTTTGCTGCTGAAGGCGGGAAAGATTTCTGACACAAAAACTGCAAAAGTGACTCATAGATACTGTAAGAGTTGGTGATCTAGACGTTCAATCTATGGAGTTCCAGATTTATATCTTGGATTTCTGTCGCAAATCTAGGAGCAGGATTCTTGCTCGAGACCCCAACCTCAGGATATTTAACCTCTTCCTGTAAAGCGATCATTCGTCTTTGCCGTTACACATATCCCCTGCCCTTGAATTATACTGTGATCCTTTTGTCGACACTTGAAACTTGCAAACATAGCTTTAACCGCATTCTCCTCGCCACCAGGCCCCGTGGGCCGTCTCTTCACCGAAATGGGAATCTCCCATGCAGCAATTGTTCCAGCTTCGGCTAAGATAGTCGTTACCTCGGGGGAGCCAGGACTAGATCTTAAGACCGGTCAATTGGTGACGGAATCTCTTGAAGCACAATTCCGTGCCGCATTTGACACCGTTGACGTCGTGCTAAAGAATGCTGGTGTGACCAACGGCCTTCGTGGTGCATACAAATTCACTGTACTACTTCTCGATATGCAAAGGGATGAGGCGCTTCTGATGAGAATCTGGAAAGAACGCTGCCCCGGTCATACTCCGGTTTTTTATGGCCTTTGGAGTGAAGGAGCTCGCGATGGAGGGAATGAAGGTGGAGATTCGTGCGGAAGCCGTCATGGAATGAATTCGGACTGCCATATTCAATAACCGCCAAATGGTCTGTACACACCCGGCCATCATTCACGTCGATTGGTGATTCCACTGTTTCATGTGTTTGAAATCTTGTTCAGGGTTCAACAGTTGTATGATCATTGTGGATGTGAGACCTCAACTGCACCTTGCCTCAAAAAGAGTTTTTTTATCAGGTCATACATTCTGATACATGAGTTATACTGTATATTGCATGATTCATTGTACATACGTTCTGAAACTTTGGATCTGGGGAAAATGTGATTTCACCAGGTATCTAGTGTTTAACCATTAACTCCATCGGTTAGACTTAATCCTTCCAATAGTCATTCCTATCTCGTCTGAGCTCCATATCTATCTTGTGGTCGTAAATCTGCAAACCATCTACTGCTGAAATCATATCACGAGGTATTATTTGTAGTCTCTTTCATCTTGTCATTTGGGTTGTATATCATGTAAGTACATACACATACAATGATTCTTGCTCGATCCATTTTGACCACATTCCCCCGACTATTCAAAGAGAAATCTTCCATAACATCCCCCACGGGAGTTTGAACATGCTAAAGTGTCCGCATGCTTTGCAACTCGAGCTGATCCTTAAACAAAGATCCCCGAAGCGCTGCTGCGGATCCCTGGCAAGGCCATCTATCAAGATGTGTTGGACAGAATCATCAATCAGAGCCCCAGATTCTAGTTCTGGTAACCACCACCCCCGACGTCGCTGACAGATGTGGTTCGTGGTGGAGCCTTTTTCGGCCTTGCTGGTAGCAAAGGCGCTCTAGTCCATTGACCAGCTTAGATCGGAAGGGTTCCACTTGAGCGCGGCTAGATCGTTCCGCGCTAGTCGCTGGACAGTCGATTCAGGGAGGTTGGAGAAGTGGAAGAAACTGGGAGAGGTCTGCAATCACCAATGATGCCTCGCAGATCATACCAGTCGTGGCGCACAAAGTCCTCGTCGATCATGGCTGGTAACTGGTGGTCCAGCACGGTCAGGCTGAAAGCATACCCCTCGTTACTATAAGGAATGTGCTGCTAGAGTACCCTTGCTCTCCCTGGCCTCTTGCAGCTCGGTGTTATTACAGCTCAGTGCGAACGATGTCCGCTTTCAATGTCGGCAGCACACTCATCCCCTCGGCCCTCTTGGTCACTAGCATCTACGTCGTCAAGCCCGAACTAGGCCCTTATGCTATCGCTACGGCCGCTGCCTTGGTCTGCCTATCCTTCTTCACCGGCAGGAGCAGTGCGTATCCCCAAATTACCCTGATCGTGCGATACCGGTGTAGCTGACAGCACTCGCTAAGTTTCAGTCGCAGAGCCTCGCAAGGTTCTGAAACCGAGCGAGTTCCAGCATTTCGAACTAAAGCAGGTCAATAAAATCTCCCATAATGTCGCCATCTACCGCTTTGCCCTGCCCCGTTCCACCGATATCCTTGGTCTACCTATCGGCCAGCATATGTCGCTCGCAGCCACTATCGATGGTCAGCCCAGCGAGGTCATTCGCTCATATACCCCTATATCTTCTGATAATGAGGCTGGCTATTTTGATCTACTGGTCAAGGCTTACCCCCAGGGTAATATCTCCCGATATCTTACCACACTGAAGATCGGCCAGACTATAAAAGTCCGGGGCCCTAAGGGCTCCATGGTCTATACTCCTAATATGTGTCGCCGTATTGGTATGATTGCTGGTGGTACTGGCATTACCCCCATGCTCCAGATTATTCGGGCTATTATCCGCAACCGACCCCGTTATGGAGGCAACGATACCACCAAGCTTGATCTAATATTCGCTAATGTTAACCCGGAGGATATCCTGCTTCAGGAGAAGCTAGAGAGTCTCTCCAAGGAGGACGATGCCTTTGATATATACTATGTCCTGAACAACCCGCCCGAGAACTGGGCTGGCGGCGTCGGTTTCGTTACCCCAGAGATGATCATGGTAAGTCCCCGGACATATGATTGACTCGTGCCAATGTGAATTTAACCTCTTAACGTTTGAATACAGAAGCGCCTGCCCGCGCCCGCTGCGGACGTCAAAATCCTGCTCTGCGGACCTCCCCCCATGGTCAGCGCCATGAAGAAAGCCACCGAGTCTCTTGGCTACACCAAAGCCCGCCCTGTCAGCAAGCTCGAGGATCAGGTTTTCTGCTTCTAAATATGTGCTAAGATGGTTATCTGCAAAAGTCATTCGTTGAGATAGGCTATGAGTTTGTGATCTGTCGCGAGGGAATACTGGGGTTAAAGAATGCATGTGGTATACAACGATTAGTTAAATTTGTCTATAGAGCCTGGCAAAGCCCAGGCGTCAATGGATCAAACAATGTTTTTTTACTCTTGTTAACCAGTATATATATTGACTGAACTATGTCGAGCATGTCCGGGTTGATGTGGATATAAATCTTTAGATGGCAGGACCTGAGCATGTTTGGTCGCCCGCGAATCTCGTGCGTGCCAAGATTCTATACCCTGTTACGGTCTACTTTTAAGACAATAATTGTCTAATAAATGCTGGGAGAGACTTGGCTGTGTATAGAGCCACTATGTGTGGTGCAGAAAATAACACGAAACCCCAGCCAGAACTCTATGGTATAATGGAATGGAATTAAGTCCTGGGTCCATTTCTAATACTACAGGTATACAACTGATCATAGTAATAGTAGTCTGGTTACAGGTTCATTCTATATAGTCTATATACGAATTTATCTTGTGTTTAGAGTTTCAGCACTCCGATCAGCAGAGGGGGGGTTGCCTTAAGAATAGAGAGCACTACCAAGCTTCCGGTTTAGCACCAGTGAGTTTTTGTAAATACGCCAGTGCAAGTACAGCTTACTTTGTGATTAGATTCAGGCTTGAGCTGCGTGCTGCACTTAATCGTGGACTGGATTGGGTAGATCTGAGAAACTACTGTTCATGTTGAGCTGCCTCCATCGACTGTCTATTATTTGCACATATCCATCGCCTATTTCCCTCTTTGCTATAGCAGGCTGTCAAGGCCAGCAGACCTCCACATGTAGGCCATGAGAGATCCAGGTCTATCTAGAATGTCTTAGGCGAACATTGAAATATCGAAGCCATACTAGTGTCAGAAAGTCAGCCCAGGCCGTTCAGAGGTCGGAATAGATTGAAGTGATTGTGCACTTACATGAATAATATCATTGAAGCGTAACCCCTTATCCAATCCATTGAGATACACCATGTCACTCTCTTCAAGAGTGAAGGAGCAACACTGCAGATTCTTCGCCATCCGTTCAGGGTTTTTACTCTTTGGAATGACTGCAATACCCCTCTGTGTCGCCCACCGTAGCATCACCTGTGCCGGTGCCACATTGTGCTTTTTGCTGATCGCGATAATAGTCTCATCTTGAAGTAGCGGTACAGCATTCAGAGCTGCGCTGTTCTCAATTTCGGTAAAGGAACCTGGTCCTAGCGAGCTATATCCTGTGACTTGGATACCCTTTTTCTTTGCCAAATCCACGAGCATCGGCTGTGCGAGGTAGGGATGGTGCTCGATCTGGAGGGTTGCTGGCTTGATGCGCGCATAATGCAACAGGTCGATGATCAGCTGCGCCTGGAAGTTAGAAACGCCAATACTTCTGACGAGCGCCGCGTCAACTAGACCCTCCATTCCCTCCCATGTGTCCCGCATTGAGGCGTTGCTGAAGACGATATCACCTTTCTCATCCTCGAATTCGGGTGGATATTTAACGTCGAACGGAATGAACTTAGTAGCGACCGGGAAGTGGATAAGGTACAAGTCGAAATATTCGAGGTTCCAATCTTGGAGTGACTTCTTGTAGCCCTGCTCAACACGATGCTTTTCGTGATATGTAGCCCACAGCTTCGAGACGATGAACAGGTCCGATCTCTTGACTAGACCATCTTTGATAGCCCTGGCAACCCCATCACCGCATTCCTTTTCATTTCCGTAATCTGAAACCTTAATTAGTTGCCATGCTTCGGTAAAGGAGAGGAGAGGACTAGGAGCACACACCAGCAGCGCCGTCAAAGAGGCGATACCCAGCTTTAATGGCGTTGTAGATCGTATCGGCGCAAGTCGCATTGTCAACTTTCCAGCAGCCGAATCCGACCAGTGGCATGACATGGCCGCTACTCAGTTTCACAGTTGGACAGGTGGTAGTCATTTTGGAGGATTTGGAGACTGATTTTGAATAAGATGTTTTCTCGTTGCTCGTAGTAGGCCAGGTTAGAAGCAGCAAGACTACTGAATTTATGGTGTCTACTCCGTAGCAGGTACGGTACAGCGTGGGTCTCGCACGCCTCCAACTGGGGTGAAAACGCGCGAAACGCCATGCACCGCCCGTACCGCCCAGTGTGATGGAGATATCAATGTCTTTTTGGGGTAGTTTTACTCGTGTCAGATCTAGAGCTGCCCCAGTGAACTGATTCCATTATATTCAAGGCTTTCTGATGAATTCTTCATGGCACGAGATGGTTTTAGAAATTTGTGGATTGTATTTATGATTACAGGCGACAATAACAAGTCATAATCTTGGCCTTCAACATACGGCGAATATGGATGATGAAGATACCATCTCAAAAATCGGGCGATGTCCCAACTACCGCCCAACACACCTTATGTCTACCACCAACACACCTTATGGGTTGTACGGTTAAGCCTCACTGCAGGGCCTCTTGACCGAGACTACCAGTAGGCAACTGGCTTATGTTAATGGTATACTTATGCGGTATATGTCCATCTGCTGAGTCCAATTCCAACCCTCATAATCCCCGCTGTCATAGTTCGACCACCACTGGTGAGCCACATCACGCGCCAGCCGAACATTTCCAAAGCCACTAAAGCCGATGAGTTTCTCAAAAAGCGCAGAGACTTGTTGCCTGGTCTCGTCCTCAACGCAGGCGAAGCCAATCACGAACACAGGAAACAACAAGACTGGCGAGATCCTGGAGTCATCGATTTGACACAGATCATTGAGTCCTTGCCGGACCATTTTCTGCACCTCCGCGTTCGGCATTTTGTGTGGATATATCATCGCATACAGCCATATGAAGAGGGATGATATATATGCCGAACACGCCAAATCCTCCGGCGTACCGTCTTCGGTGAATGGAACGTTTGGCTGCCATTGTTCAAGTTGTGACCAAAGCTCGAGAGCTTCACAAATGAGGAGCCCGTCTATCTGTCTTGATTGATTAACTCTGTATTGGAAAGCAGAAAACTTGGCAACCAATTGCAAAAGTCCATCGTAGGCACCAATCAATTGAGTTGTATTTGGGCGCGCAGACAAGCTCAGGCGGGACAAAAGGTCTTGCTCGGAGTCCAAAATGGAAACCCCAGAAGGACTGGTAACGCTCGCAAGAACAAGGTGATACACAAAGAATTCCGACAGCCACTGAACCGTCGTGAGAGGATTTGCGTTTGGAGGACACGAACTAACGGGATTGTAAACTTGGAAGGGTTAGGGACGGGGATGGTGCTTACTGGATAAGTTGCCTTAAAGTATCAAATCTAATGCGCCAGCACGCATCACCGGCTCCTTCGGAGATTTCGTAGAGGAAAAGAAGAATTGTCGCGATCGTCACTGTCTCTCTATCGGCGTCAATGTCGGGGCTGGAATTTGTTGTAATTAATGCAAGCCGTGTCACTTGTTCCTTCTCTGAAGCTTCAAGACACTAATACATTTGCATGAAGTGAAATGTAGTACTTAGTATACATCCACGTGCCTGATACACAACTTCAATTCTGCGCGGCATGGGATTGATTAAGCTGTTAATCGCTCTCTTCAGTATTGCTAACCATACTACTTGGATAGTGTCTTCAATATTGCTGTAATCCTCTTGACATCTTTAGGGGGTGCTGCAGGCCTGTCTTATTCTCCACATCATCAGGCTAAAGGGTAAAGACATCTGCACCAGACTGCTTGCGGCAGTTAAAATGGCAGTTTGGAGTGCAATAATTGGGCCTGCTATCTTGAGAAAGCGAGCCCTCATCAGGTAGGCGGAGGGATTTCCGGGTTGAAGCAGGGTATTTTCAGCAACACACAGTCCCTAGATCTGGAAAGTGCCAAAGAGGCCGACGCAGGTATCGATGGGAGTAATTTTGAGGTTAGTATGGAGGTTGAAGACGGAATTTAAGAAGGTTCTCTCCTCATCTCCTGCGTCAGTAACCGGAGGGGCAGAAACCGAAATTGACAGGAGTTGGTGGACGACATCGTCCAAGAGCTTTTATAATCAGATAGCGCGGGATACGGGGGTTAATCTATTCTCATTTAATCTTTACCTGTAAAACAAGCCTTTATACTCCCCTCCGGTTCCCGACGCTGATCTGGGGTACAGGCTCGGTGTTACTACGGATTCTGATGCTGCTCCTTCAAGATTCTCCATACCTGTAAAGGTTAAGCATGGATTCCGCGGTCTTTACTCGGTACCGTAGCGTGCAAACAGGGTTGGTAGGCTGTAATATGCGAGTGGCCCCAGGTTTGGCTAAGCATAGGATCGACAATCGTGCGGCTGAGATTCTTCATGATATACACCCCCTACTCCGTTAGCCCTATTAGCGAGGAGCTCTGCCAAGCCTTGAAGGTCGAACGTTGCAGAGCGCGGAGGACTCTGGTGGAAATCTCAGACACTATATACATCGTATACACTAAATGGTACAAGCCTCGCTTGACGTATCAATGCCCTGCTTTGCCTTCCACGCCCACGTCTCGGGGGAAGTTCTTGTCTTGACAACGTCAAAGCAAGGTCCCAAGCTGCCATTAACCGGGACAAGTAGCGAACTTCCCGACGTTATCCTATTGTACTCTGTAACAGCCGAGGCACCGAGATAATCTGCCGTCACGTTTACCCAGCGCGCAGGGGTACAGGCGGAGGGAGAATCCTCACACAACTGCCGCATGTGGTGTGTCAAATCGTCGAGGCCCAGCGTGCCGTGGGACTGGTTCCGCATCGCAGCGTCAATGTTGGCCAGCTCAATCAGCCCCCGGCCGTAGGGGATCGTCTGCGCATCTCTCGAATCCCAGGCATGCTCGTACGCCTCAAAGTCTGTCGCGTTGATGTACGTATTAGCATAGTACGAGGCCAGGCGGTTGTTCATCCCCTGCACATACCGCGACGTGGAAAGCAGGTGTGCACGCCACAACAAGCGCAACGAGTAAAACTCGGCCATGCCTTCCGCCCACCGCGAGATCAAGGCGCTTGCCCCCGGCATCACAGCCCAGTTGTGGGTCATTTCGTGCGCGATCAAGAGTCGCAAACTCGTCTGCTCCGTCACATTGGTGGGGTTCCAGCCAAAGCTGAACGACCGCGTGAGAGCAGTACCCCCGCTTCCGTACTCTGGGGGTCCGTTACGTCGGACAAAGACGCGATATGGTTGGTCTGTGTGGTCCCGCCAGAAGGTGGTGCTCACGTTGAAAAAGTCGTTGACAAAATTTCCCAGATCAGTGGTGTTGAAGGAGGGCTGATCCATCCAGTACATTCCAAACTCGTTCCGTGAGTTCGTGGGAGGTGCACCAGGGGCGGGAAACCGACTCAGCCGGCCCACCGCAAAGTACGTGTAGAGGATATCGTCGCGGGTGCCACTTCTGTAGAAGGGCCCAGTGTCCTCTCCCCAGGTCCATGCCACGGTGGTTCCACCAGGGGCATCCTCGAGGTCCCAACGAAGGGAAAACTGGTAGTCCAGCGTTGTGCTTGCCACACCGGGGAGCCATGCCCAATTGGCGCCGACGATGCCTCCGCCGTTATTCTCGCCCTGCTGTCGGAGGTCAAACAGCGGCCCGATGTGCGCAGGGAAGTCCGTGTTGGGCTTGGCCGTGAATCGCACAGTGACGGGGCCTTGCGTGGCTCGAGTCGTGCGGAAGTACCGTGTAGGCTGCCCATCCGCGTCCGTCGCCTCCGATGTCAGCAGCCTGAGACTTCCCTTCCCATCCGTTGCTGTAAGGGTTTTGGTATCGTAGCGGGCTGTCGGTTTGCCGGCGAGGCTGAGAGGGATATCAACTAAGGTCTCGTTTGCCTTGGTGGCATAGTTGATTGTGTATTGGCCAGAAACGCCGGTGATGATGCCGTGAGTCACGACAGGTGCTAATGTGATGTTGACCACGCGGGACTGATCGATTGAGTGATAGGATGCAGCGGCACTAAAGGCCAGAGTAACAAGCAACAACGCGGAACGCATGGTGCAGCACTTGAAAGTTGGTCGTCAAAGTGGCGTCCCGGGTGTATTGTCTGCTTAAATGCCTTGGCACGACTGTTCAAAGCTTCTGCCTACTCTGTACTGCTAGACCACATTGCAGGGGACCCACGCCCGCTTAATCGGGTGCGCATGAGCGCCAGCCTATACCACGGTTGGTAGGGGGGACCGCAACACGCGTGGACCTCATGACGATCTCTCGATGCGCATTGCGGATTGTTGATTTGATTTAGCTCGGCGATATCATTGTTATCGTCTTTCCGCCGTCGTATCGCAATTATTGTTTTACGATTAATGGGCCCGTGACATCCTTCATCTAGTCACTGCGTCGTCCTCCACCAGTACATCCATCCACCATCATTTCCAGTCTATTACACCACCTTTAACGGCTTCCGCACCCACATATCTCATGCATCTAATATCATCTGCTTCCTGGAAATGGGACCTATTGGCTTTAACAGCCACAGCGCTCATCCGCCCATTATCGGCAGCCCAACCATGCGGTACTTCATGGAGCATCGCAGCGACTGGAGACTTTCTAGGGGAAGTTGTGCTGTCTGAAGATCCTCGGACAACGGCCGTCTGGGACCTTGTCCGCTCGGCTGACTTTGGCTTCTTCAACATGGAGGGGCAGATCTTCTCCAGTCAAAACTTCACGGGCTACCCTGCTTCCGAGAATGGTGGTGACAACGATTACGGCAACATTGGCGGCGGGCCGTCCTACGACCCCATCAACGCCTTTCATCTAGCGGAGTATGGATTCTCTCTTGCCTCGCATGCGAATAACCATGCCTGGGACTATGGCCACGAGGGAGCCATAGCCACGTCGCAATACCTCAACCAGGCAGGGATTACAGTCGCGGGAACGGGTGATTCACTGGCGGAAGCCCGTAGCGCTGTCCTTCAGGAGCGCAACAACAAGCGCATCGCCTTCATCGCTGCTGCAGGATCCCATACCCCGCAGTCGGTGGCTGGCCCCGGTGGCGGCTCCAGGAACGACCAGCCCCGGCCGGGTGCCAATGTCCTCCGCGCCCCAGTGGTCACCCGCGTCAGTGCCCCAGGCTTTGAGGTAATCAAGGATCTCTCTCGGGCGCAGGGGCAGCTGGTCTCGGACGAGACGACGGACATCACCCTCTCCACGGGTCAGCACCCGCTCGGCTGGTCCAGGTGGCAGCTGTCCAGTAACGAGACGGGTCTCTCCTGGGACATCAACACGGACGATTACACCGGGATCGTAGAATCGATCCGGGCGACCAAGAATTCATCGGATGCCACCGTCTTCTCGCTGCACGCGCACGAGGCCGACTCCGGCGCCGACGACTCGTACATTCCCCTCCCGCTTCCAGCCACGGTGCCTGCCGCCTACACGCGCAACATCAGCCACGCTGCCATCGACGCTGGGGCAGATATTGTCCTGATACATGGCCCGCACCATCTTCGGGGGATCGAAATCTACAAGGGCCGACCTATCTTCTACAGCCTGTCGAGTCTGACCTATAGCCTCGGCCTGCACTTTCGAGGGGTCGACTTGCCCATCGAGGGGTCGACTTGCCCATCGAGTGGGACGATAGTGTCGTCGCCATTACCAAGTTCAACAAGGGCAAGCTGCACGAGATTGCTCTGTATCCGATTGTTCATTCGCAGTTGACAAACGACACTTCTCTCCCCGACAGCCACCTGCCCAAGCTCGCTCCGAGCCCGCAGGCGCAGCGTATCCTGCGACATCTGCAGAGAGTGTCAAAGCCCTTTGGCACCGAGATTGTTGCTAAGAGGGATGTTGGATATGTCAAGCTTGCAAAGTAGATATTAGCGCTCTCTATGTATGTTAGAGTCGTTGGCTGGAAGTAGGAAATAGGCCAATGTCTACACAATCCGTGGACAGGCACAAAACGGACGGCCAGCCGACGGAAGCGCCCTCCAGCAAGCCCACAGATACCGGTAGTAGATACAGCCCTTTGGCAAAACTTTCCGTGCACTTTTAGACAACCAACTCACCAACTTCAAAGTTTCAATAACAACGTCGCGAAGCCTGCGGCTAATCTCAATACAAATAGGCGCTTCGGAACTAGGCTAAGGCTTTATAGAAGAGGTGCCATTAAAGCGCTGAAGGCTTAGGGTTAATCAATTCACGTGATTGCAGAGAAGTTGCAGATTCGCGTTTAACAATCCAGTACCTACACCGTACACTGCTTCGAACTATCATAGGACCCGGATTAGGCCGTGACATAGTGGCGGATTAGTTTATTCCTATTCAGTGACGGGTGCAGCATCAAAATCGGGCGCGGGGAGCGACAATGTTAGTGCTTTAGGCTCCTCCACCATGGCAAAAAAATAGAGGAAGGAATATATACAGCCGTTATAACAAGTGTAAAGGCTTTAAAATGATGGTCTGGGCAGCAATTTCGGGAAGGAGTTAGTCAGATATCGCAATGATAGAGGCGGACAAGAACTTGAAGCGCCAGGGTTATTTAAAAGTCATATGCCTCAAGATACTGGAGGAGCAACTCCGTACAATTTAGGAACCAGGCTTATTATTCATGCAAGACACTACTTCTATACATACAGCGAAAGTAGTCAAGAGTTGGATAGATAAGGAGTCAATCCCTTTACTAGAGGGGCAGGCGATATTACCCAATTTGAACACCATCGAGCGCGCGTGGAATCAACTAAAAGAGAAGATAAGCTAATATTATTTTATTCCCTTGAATCGCACGTTTCCGTACAGGTTTTTAAATTAATCTTACTGCCTAATCTACACTCGTTGTGGCCAAAATGCTTGAGCTGGGGCAGATATATATTTAGATGTCGTGGTAGAGTGCACGGACACTTTTGTCCCAGAACAGTACAATTGAATAATCGTCAGGCCCAATTCGTCCAGTCGTAATACAATGTGTACGCCCAGACACACTTCAACTCGTCTTTAGATTTGTAATTCGCTTCCGCCATGTATCTATCTAGTGATTCCTCCTCATCATATGGCATCTACTGACAGAGGTCCCTGAGGTCCGTCTGCGATATCTTCCACAGCTGCTCCGACAGGAACCAAAATCTCGATGAAGACGTATAGCTCAAAAAGCTGGCCTAAATGCCATGGAGTATCTTTCCCGTGGCTGTGCCGATCAAGGGCTTGCTGCGGAAGTGTCGTTATGTATGGATTATATGTCAGTACATGAGCACGAATCATAATAAGATTTGGTAGTGATGCAAGAAGAAGTGCGAGAAGTGGTCAACGTTTACTTTGGAGAAAGGCCGAGGTAATATCTAACTTGATATGCGCAAGGACTTGACTTACAGCCTTAGACCGATGAGCTGTAAATTCGGGCCGTTCTGGAATGCTACACTGTATTGACCAGCGCAAAGTTGTATAGTTGGCTGCGGACCCGATTGCCAGATTTGGTACGCTAGCTTCATCTGGGAGCCAATCGGAGGCCATGATACGACTGCTGGGTCCAACGCGCGACTTCGACTTACTGACCTCTATCTCGGGGTATCAACTGTCAATGCGCCATCAACGGCGGATTGATGGTCACATTGCCACTGCATACCATACAATGCTTGGTACATAAACGGATATGCTGTCGCTCTGCCACCAAACAGTCAGCCGGCATCCACCCCCACCCCGTCTGAATCTTTCTCATTATGGCTTCAGCAGACGAACCTGCAATGGAGAAAGCCGAGCGCATAACCATCGACATGCCCAGCAAGGGCGAGAAGGATGACGCTGCCAGGCGGCTCAGTGCTGCGAGCAGCACTCTCGGGCAGAGCGAAGATGAACCCTTTGCACCGCTGTTGGGTGTGGCGCCGTACGATGGCCGTAGGCTGGTAACCATCCGCGCTATTTTCACTGGCGGTGTGCTTGGGTCTCTGATTGCCTGCTCCAATCTGTATCTTGGTGTGTTTCTGGCCCCATGTAACTTGACCAGCTCAAACCCTACTGACCGTCTCAGGCCTCAAGACCGGCTTTGGCGCGGACGCAACACTCTTCTCTGCGATCTTTGGATTCGGAATCTGCAAGATGCTAGAAAAGTCCCATGTATGTCTACTACAATGGTCAATCTCGATCAACTACTCACAACCGGCAGATCCCCTTTCTTGCTGGCGACTTTGGTCCCCACGAGAACAATATTATTCAGGCCACATCTCTCGGATGCATCGGCGTTGGGTTCATGTTCATGAGCGGTGTCCCAGCCATGTATCAGCTGAAGCTGCTCGGACCAACCGCGCAGTCTGACTATGGAAGGATGCTGTGTCTGACGCTCGTTGGTGGCTTCTGGGGCCTTGGGTTTGCAGCTCCCCTGCGACGGCTGTTCATCCTGAAACTCGCTCGCCAGCTCAGTCTGAATTTCCCGCTTGGCACCGCATCGGCCTTCACAATCCGAGCCCTCCACGCAGCCACGAGCGAAGCTGCAGCTGCGACGGAGAAGATCAAGACCATTTCCATCTCGTTCTCGGCCTCTCTGGTATGGTCTGTGGGCTCGGCCTACGCGCCGGGGATCCTGTACCAGTGGAACCCATTTTGGTGGATTTACAAATGGGGGGGCCACAGCATCATTGGTGCTGTCAACTGGGGCTGGCTCTCCTGGCAATGGTCGCCGTCTCTGATCGGGATGGGGATGCTGATCGACCTCAACGCCTCACTGTCCTATGTCTTCGGATCGATCCTTGCCTGGGGCATCCTTGGGCCGGTCCTTGTGGCAAAAGGCGCGGCCGTGGGGGTTCCCTCTGACCCTACCAACCCGGATCTTGTCACATACAACGCGTTTGTCGCCGGCCAGTTCGTCACGAGCCCCTCGCCGCGCTACTGGATTCTTTGGCCGGCGGTCTTCACTATGCTCGCCGCGTCAATCGCCACGATCGTGCTAGAGTCGAACAACTTTGTCAAGCTGGGCAGATACGGCCTGCAGCGCATGCACGGCAAGTTCACACAGTACACGGGAAAGCGCCTGTTCAGGTCCCGAAGCAGGAGCAGACCCTCGCCCGACGGCTCTGTCATCAACCACACCCCCGTGCTGGGTGAACTGGAGATCCCCGACCCGGTCCCGGCCGAGCACCAAGTGCGGTGGTGGGAGTGGTCCTCAGTGACAATCGCGGGCTTCGTCTTCGCAATGGTCGCGCTCAAGTATACCTTCGGCGTCCCGCCGACCCTGATCCTGCTCAACGTCTTCCTAGGCTTCCTCTGGGCGCTCGTCGTCATCCAGGTCTTTGGCGCGTCCGGGACAAACCCCACGGGCTCCGTCGCCAAGGGCTCGCAGTTCATCACGGGCGCCGTCTCGCGAGACCGGGTCGCCACTGAGGGCTTCGAACACGCTGCGCGCGCGAACCTCGTCGGCTCGATCCTCTCCGCGTCCGCTGCCAACCAGGCCGGTGAACTGTGCCAGGATTTCCGAACGGGGTTCCTTCTCGGCACCCCTGCGCGCGCACAGTGGCACGCGCAGATGCTAGGGACGTGCATCGCCGTCTTCCTCTCCCCGGCGCTCTTCCTCCTCTTCGCGCGTGCATTTCCCTGCATCACCGACGCCTCCGCCACAACGTGCCAGTTCGCGCTCCCCTCCGTCACGGCCTGGCGCGTGATTACCGAAGCAATCCTCGCCCCCGAAATCCCAATCGCGCAATCCAGCTGGATATGCTCGATCGTCATGTCCGCCATCGCAATCGGGATGGTCGTGCTAAAGCGACACCTCAGCAAGAGCACAATCCCCTCCACCCAAAAGTGGCAGGTCTTTGTCCCGAACATGTCCCTCGTCGGACTATCGATGGCAACGCCCGGGTCCGTGGTGGCGCTGACGATTGCAATAGGGTCCGTTGGCGCCTGGGTGTGGAAGACGCGGTGGCCTGAGTCGCATCGGAGATTTGTCTATGCGGTTGCCTCAGGCGGGATTGCGGGCGAGGGCATTGGGAATGTCGTACAGAGCATATTGCAGATTTCCGGCGTTGGCGGAGGCGATCTGGGGACTATGCTGGGCTGTCCTGGGGGTGCGTGCTGAGCGGACCGGCCTTTGCTTCTTGTGTGTGTTGGTTAATACTACGTAGAGGCCATACTGTACCTAATCCTGATTAGGAAGTGCAGTGCGCTGGTAAAGCCTCCAGCTGATGGATTATTTAAGAACAAAATCTTCCCACAATTGCTGTCTAGTCTCTTTACACACACACAGAAAAACACACAATCATGCCCGGTCAATTCGCACCCGTCTTTACTTCCTCGGCACCCAGGCCCCTCCCCCAATTCTCGCAAGCCGTCGCGTACAACGGGCTGGTCTACTGCTCCGGCAACATCGGAATCAAACCAGGCTCGGGATTCGAGCTAGTCGGGGGCACGGCCAAGGATCGCACGGTGAGTAAGGTGGCCACTGCACTGGAGTTATCCGAGCCTTTCAACCTTTGTTTACCCCTTCGTTCCGCCAGCAGTGACTTGCGGGACTGGAGACTGACGCCCAATACAATTCTATTGTCGCAGCGACAAATCCTCACGAATATCCACACTATCCTCCAAGCCGCCGGGAGCGGCCTTGATAATGTCCTCAAGATGAATATCTTCCTCACGGACATGGACGACTTTGGAATTATCAATGAGGCGTACGACGAGTTCTTTACGCAAGGGATTAAGCCAGTGAGTATATTCCCCTTCTACACCCCCGGCCCGGCGAGATTAGAAGAGGATACTAGTACTGATGCTCATCACCAGGCCAGAACCTGCGTTGCGGTCTACCAGTTGCCGTTCGGGACGGATGTAGAGATTGAATGTATAGCACATCTGGAGAGGCAATAGTGAGTGAATGGTGGCGTCGGTGGAGACCAAATGCTGCAAAGTAAAGGAATGTTATTCAAACCGCAAGTGGGAGGTTGCCCTTTACATACTGAACTGTAAATATACATATTGCGTCGTCCATATACATCCTCATCTTCCAGCAGCAGCCAATGGCGGCCAGAGTAGTTTCCCCGTGGGCGACTTAACCAGCAGCCCACCCTTCCACACATACCTGACATTCTCCGGCGTATCAAAGAGATGGATATTCTCCAGAGGATCTTCATCAAGGGCAATCAAATCCGCATCCCACCCAACCTTGACAAGCCCCTTACTAGGCGCAAGCTCCGCCAGTGTCTCAGCCGAGTTCACCGTGCCCGCCTCAATCGCCTGCAACGGCGTGAGGCCCGCCTTGACAGCATACCCAACCTCGGCACCATTCCTGCCATGGGCCGTCCGGCTGGCGGGGTTCGACCCGGCGATGTCAGTGCCCAGCGCAATCTTGACCCCGTGCCGGACGGCCGTCTGGTATGCGCGCAGATGCGACTCCGCGATGGCGACCATCTTCTGTGCTGTTTCTGGGTTCAGCGTCTCAAGGTTGCGCAGGCCTGCTTCGATGACGTGCCGCGTCGCGACGAGGGTTACCCCGTGGTGGGCCATGAGCTGGGCCGCTTCGTCATCGATGTAGCTTCCGTGCTCGATCGTGTGCGCGCCTGCGCGGACGGCTGCCATGATCCCGTCCTTCCCGTGCGCATGCACAGCCACCGAACGGCCCTGCAGGCCGGCTTCCTCGATCATCGCTGCGAGCTCGGTGTCGGAGTACTGTCTGTACTGCGGGTTGTCGGTAGTGCTCAGCACGCCGCCTGTCGCAACGATCTTGATGCACCGCGCCCCGCGCCGGATCTGTTGCCGCACGGCAAGGCGGCACTCTTCGACCCCGTCTGCTAGAACGAGACAGCTCACCCCCGGCCAGGGATTCCGTCCGGAGGTGGAGGAGGTGCCCTGCCGCGAGTACACGTAGTCGGAGGGTAGAGTACACGCGTCGCAGCTCCCACCCGTTATACCGATTGCGCCGCCGGCGCCGAAGATGCTTGGGCCAAGGATGATGCCCTTCTCAATTAGCGGGGCGACCTCGGTGGCGTACGAACCGACGTCGCGGACGGAAGTTATTCCGGCCATGAGGGTGTCGTGCAGCCTGCGGGTGATGGCAGCGCCCATGGCCGCAGGGTGTGTCTGGATGAAGTCTGGAAAATCGACGTTGAGCACGCCAGTGAAGCGCGTGTGGCAGTCCCAGAGGCCCGGGAGGAGGTATCGAACTGCCACGCGGGCCGCGGAGGCGAGGGACGAGGGAATCTGGGACTGCAGGCCGACAAAGGTGATGGTTCCGGTTGTCGTGGAGATGCCGACTGCAGCGTTGCGGATGGGATCGCCACGGCCGGGGATGAGCGTTGAGGCCAGGATGCAGACCTGGTTGGGTTCTTGGAGGGGAATGGGCTGTTGTAGTATTTCGTGCGTATGGTATGTCGTTGTGCCGAAGTGAGGGTGTGGTGATGCCAGTATGGCGCTCCAGCTACCCAAGGAGATATCGGGCTGGGGACTGCCATGTCTGTCTCTATTGTGCGGGCTGGGCGCCGGGACAGGAATGTGGCAACTGTACTGAGTGGCAGGCCCGTGGTAAGTGTAGGCTTCGTTTGGATCCATGATGGTGGCTGGGCCCTTGACCGTCATTGCTGTGCTTTCGTTGAGTGCAGACGGGGTTAGATGACTTAAGGTTGTGGTCACATTTGAGGGATCAGTCCATTGATCAACTAGCTGCAGAATCTATTCCGTCTGTCTAAATAGAATACCATTGCTATCTCCAATATTGATGCGCCGGAACTGGCTCGTCTCCGGGTCTTTGGGTCGATTGCTCTGGGCCACCTGCGCTCCCGATTACCCGATTTGGAATGCTGGTGCGCGCCGACCCCTCTTGGCCCACTCCCGCGATCACGGCTCGAGCCTTTCTATCCAGCTCGTCAATTGCCCACCGAATTTGCTGGATAGCCAGCTCTGTCGCCGCGGGGTCCTGGGTAAACACGAGCCGGAAACAGCCAGGGCGGTCGTGGCCCGCAAACTAGGTCATCCGTCAGCAGCGATTCCTCCAAGGGCAGATTGGGTGCACCATGGGTATAGCGAACCTGTCCCGCATTTAGAAAAACGCCATGCTCAATCAGCCACTCGCAGAGCTGGATCTCGGGCTCTGGTTGACTATCCGCGAAATGATGGATCCACCCGTGGAGATCGATGAAGATGAACAGGCCACCGCTGGCCTGTTCAAATGGAATGTTGTACTCGTCCAATGCGGATACAGTGCGGTGGTAAGCTTCTGCGAGCCTCGGTAGGTACGTATTGAGGTAGTCTTGCACCAGGTCTAGTTGGCTGAGGAAGCGCGAGACGAAGACGTCTGAGAAGACTGTCAGCCAGGAAAACCACCTGTGTCTGTCAGCGCAGATCGAATCAAATCAAGAGCCGGAGATAGACAGACGTCAACTTGGAGACCACAGCACGAATCTGCGGGTTCCTGCTGACGAGGAATGACACGCGCACACCACCCATGTTAAAGTCCTTGCTCAGGCCGTAGAGGCAGTGTACGTTCTGCCGCGCGGGAATCTTTAGAATGCTTGAGAAGGGCGTACTTCCCGACTTGGCTTTGTCGTGGAATGTTGACATGGCGTATATCTCATCAACGACAATGTGCATCTTCCGTTGCGCGCACCACGCGGCCAGTGCCTCCAGGGTTTCTGTAGAATAGCATCCTCCCTGCGGATTTGACGGATTGCATAGGAACAACATGCGACAGGTGACATTCGCATGCCGCTGCATGGTAGATTCGAGGACAGGGATGAGACCAGAAGCCTCGAATGGGCATTCGACCAAAGTTGTCGACACCGGGAGTGTCACTATATCATTGCGAACACCCAAATCGTAATCGAGCATGTAGAAATTGGGAGTCGTATAGAGGATGCCGTCGCCACTATCACACAGCACCCACGCCATCATGTTGATAAGCGAGGTGACTCCATTGGCCGCAAGGAGCTGGTCTGCCAGCACTGGCTCTGCTGGATCAAAAAACCGGTTGAAAAAGCCAGCAGCGGCTTCCAGAAGGTCGTTTGATCCGCCGAGCGGGCCGTAAGACAGCTCTCTGCTGGTGAAGTGCAGAAGATGGCTGGTATGCTTGCTCATCCAGTCGGCCATGAGATTATTGATTGCGCCAGAGAGGTTGATGAGCCCATCTGGGTGTGATTCAGGGTCATACCGTGGCCGCCGCTTGACTTGTTGCATGAGCTTCCAGGCGGGGCCCTGCTGGAGGGTGGCTGATGAGCGGTCGGAGGGTGGGAATGTGCTGGGTTCCATTTTGACCACTGTTGACTGTTGAGGATGGGAATGGTCGATATGGTGGTAGATAAGTGTTTGGCCACCCCCCGACTATAGCCGCTGCCCTTATCATGTTAGGCGGCAGTGCCAGTGGCGCCATGCGGGGACACTTGGCCGCTGCAAGTCGCGGGAGCTCTTCCATTTCCCTCTTCCACCACCCCTGGCCAAATGTCGTTTCCATCCCAGACCCGTTCCAAGAAGACAGAAATCACCCGCAGCCGCAATGGCTGTGTGCGCTGTCGCCAAAAGCGAAGAAAGGTAGGCACGGCCGGTGGAACCTCCACACAGACTGGCTGACTGGGAAGCGCCGCAGTGCGACGAAGGGAAGCCCGACTGCCGGCGTTGTATCATGGCAGGGACAGACTGCCAGTACGATGGTGTCACCCTCAAATTCAGAGAAGCGACTCAGTGGGCCGCCCACAAGGTTGAAGCGCGTAGATGTCTCGCTGAAACACCGCCTCCCAGTACCAACGACTCCTTGGAGGAAAGATCTGGCTCGCTCACAGAGCCACAGCCACTGCTAGCGGCTTCGTACGACGACACACTGAATAATGCTGCGGCAGATGAAGAGAGAAATGGCGGCACAGCCGACACGTCTCGCACCCCGGTGACCTTTGAGGAGGACTCGCCCCATCACGCCATGTCGAATTCCCTGGCCTCGCCGACGTGGGCGGAGGTGCCCCTCGACTTTGATCTACTCCCGTCTGCCGATGCGGACACCTTCAACGAACTGCTGTCGCAGCTTTCCTGGGTCGGACCGCGGAACCAACCGTGGGAAATCTCGCCCCCCCCGTCTTCCAGCCAGAGAGAGGCTATCGCCCAGCCTAACACTCCGGATGACACATTAGTGTACGATGGTTCTACCACAGAGCAACTGTGTTCTGGAATGATAACCACACCACCACCACAACAACAACAACAAACGCGGCGGCCACTGAAAGGAGATGTAATGGTTTCACATCCCCCGCTCAAGGCCAGGAAACCTCCGCCGACCAAAGTCCCAGTCAGCCACCGAGTCTACCTCGCGCATTTTCGCGTAGCGGTCCTACATGCATTCCCGCTCGAACTACCGTTCCTATGGGCATTGGCGATTGACTCGCCGGTTGTCCGATGCGCTGCTCTGGCACTTGCGGCAGCGAATCTCGCAAACCTTCAGGGCAAGCAGAAAGATCACAGCACCTGGGCGCCGATGTCTATCCATAGCGCCAAAGCGGCGGCATTCTCGACGCAGGCGAATCAGATGCTCGAAGGCGGATCCGATGTGGCGCTGAATGCAAGATTGACTGCGATGCTTCTCCTGGTCTACCACGAACTGGAAGCCGGCTCGTTCAGCGACGCGTTTCACTCCCTCTCCATACTCAGTGCGGCAATTCTGGACCATGCCAAAACTATCTTGTCTCTCCCCGAGGGCCCCGAGCTCATCCGCTGGTGGCTTCACGTACGGTGCCTGACAGGTGGTGCGCATACGCCGCTGAACCCATATGGCCACGAGAATCCTACAGAACCCCTCGCGTCCAGACTCGAAATGAGCGTTGCAACAGCGGCACAGGTGATCGACCTCATCGGAACCCAGGGGAAGCAGCTGTGGGAGCGGGTCCTCTTGGGTAGATGCTTCCGGGCGATTGGCGATACTCCAGCAAGCACGATGAAGAAAGTGGCCGATTGGGTGGGGATCCTGAAGGGAAATTTGCTGTGCGACAGGGGGGCCTTTGGTCTCTCTGAAACCTCGGACTACTTCCTGACAGAGGAGGAGCTGTTTGCGGAACTGCGAACCCTGAAAATGATGCTCGCCACCTGCGAGACCCCGAGTGCACTGCGGAGGACAGCCACCACGACAGCCACCAACACCGCGACAGCCCGCGAGGGAATCGTCGACTTCACCCAGATAACAACACACCGCGAAGTAATGGAGGCCGTGGACTACGCATTTGCCCAGATCGTCTGCGATGAGCAGCTTCTCCACGCTCTAGCCACGGATCCAGCCTCCCTTCCTTGCCAGTTCCCGCGTGACAGCGACAGAGATAGAAACAGCGACGGCGACAGTGTCCCCTCTCACCCGCTGAAACCGGCACGGACGCGGACACCAACACCAACAAACCCCTGGGCGGCGGCAATCCTGCGTCTGGCGGCGCGCGTCGACGCCTCGCAATGCGGCCGCGAAAACGCCTACCGTCGTGGCGGAATCCTCAACACGCTCTACTACACGGGGCTGTTCTGCCCGGGCCATGTGCCCTCGCGATCCATCCACGCGACGGTGCAGCGAATGCTAGATGCGCGCGTCCACGCCGAGAGCCCGTTCTTCCCCGTCCATGCGTTCCTTGGGTACCAGCGGGCGCTCGAGCGCGAGATTAGACAGAGCGGCCGTACAATCTTCTTTGCGTGCCTGACCTATGATGAGTGGACGCCCAAGGATAAGCTGTTCTCGAAGGGGGAGAATGAGCTTGTGATTGTGGTTGGGGCTGAGGCTGATGGGCGCTACTTTCATGATTTGGTTCCCGCTTGGACGGAGGTGCGAGAGGCTTCAACTCCTTGATGTGTATATTCTACTACTATGCACGAATGTATATCCATTGATTGGTCACCTTATACAATGTACCTCGCTTACTTGCGAAGCCACGACCGCAGGACGGCGCCGATGGCCTCGGGCTGGTGCGATGGCGAGAAATGCCCGGCTTCATCTACAGCATAGAATGCCAGACGCGCCGTTCCCTTCCAGAAGCCCCCCTGGCGGACGCCATAGCCCGCACCATCATGGCCAGAAGTCAGCTCCCCATCCTTGAAATACCAGTTCTCATAGCCTAAGCTTCGATAGACAGCCTGTTCTTTCCAGGGCAACTCATCCAGCATGCGCATCTGGCCCGGAGTGTTGCTAAGGTGACATTAGCAGACTGACCCCCGCATGTGGGAAAGTAGAGCACAGATTAGATTCTCACATGATAATATCATTATTTCCATTGATAACCAGGACACGGATGTCCGTGCTGTCCAGAATCCAGCTCAGCTCGCGTGTCACGGGAAGATTCACGTACTCGGCGGCTACCCAGCGATTGTTCGTGTCGAAGTCGATCAGTTCAAATGGGTAGTTTCCAAAGCCGAGTCTGTTCTGCACCCAGCGTTGATTGAAGAATTGCCATGTGGCGCCGTGCGCCAAGTTGGAGCATAGAGGCGGCGTTTCGCAGGCGTGCCGATCTGATAACAACCAAACTGTTAAGGACCGTAGACTGGCAGCAGGAGTTGGGGCACAAGTAAAACCAAGTTATCCCAGAAACAGAGGGAAAGGGAAGGGGGGAAATTCAAGAGTAACAAGACAAACCATCATACGGATCCCACCCGCCAGGCTGTACCCCCTCATCAAAGAACCGGCCGACAGTCCCATTGCACACCTCCATCGCAGCCCGACACACCTTGGGATCATAGCCCTGTCGGCAGTGCATTCCCATGGCCTCACAAGCCGGCACACCAGCCGCCATCGAGGCACAGGCACTATCATTCATAAGTGGCTCGTGCCGCCTATCGCGCCTCCAATTCGTGCAGAAGAAGTCATAGTACCCGGCGACATGCCGCGTTGCGTCAATGTACCCGTCGACGATCACCACAGAGGAGATGTTGATCCGGGGCTGGATGCCCAGTGCTGCATTCTCGCGCTCCCGACGCGCAATGTACTCCGTGTATCCCGTGGCGTAGTGGCCGCCCATGGACTCGCCAGCTATGTGCCAGGGACGGCCAGCGAGGTGTGGGAAGACGTCCGTGGAGAGGCTGGTGAGGAAGCGGTAGATATCTCGGGCGCCTTTTCGGAGGTTTACGACGATGGAGGAGCGGTTGGTTATTTGGGAGAAACCGACGCCTATGGGCTGGCTGATGCGTGGGTTGAAGCGTTAGTTGGGGATGCCTTGCGGTTTGTAGTATTGCGGAAGACTTGCTCGATGTAAACTACATTGGCATTATCTACCCAGGAGTATTCCAGGCGTCTCGTCGAGTTTCCGTCCTCATTGACTGCGCAAGGGCCGCTGCCGACGAAGCAGCCTAGTTCTCCTGTTGCGCCTGGTCCGCTGTCGCCCATATTAGAGATAAAACCTCTGCAACCATGGTTTTCGAGGTTATACACACCCGCTCAACCAAAGGACCAGCGGGTCTGTGTCCGGGCTATGTCGGCTTTCAAAGTACCCTGTGAGAGTGAAGGTTAGCTTCTGGTCCAGCCATTGCAAAGGGACTGAGGGAGGAGTCCTACAGAAAAACATAGACTTCTCAGACGTGATATTCAGTACACCTGTGAAATATTTAGATCCCGCATCACAGAGCTCAGGCGTCTGTTCCCTGACATTGAAGGCCACGGTAGACGAGTCGTGGGCTGCTGTGAGTGGGATTTGGAGCTGGGCGCTGGTGGGCCGTAAGGTGCTGGCGAGCAGTAACCATCGTGCGGTGGTGAGGTATTTCATTTTGGTCAAGGAATGTGACAGGATGTGGCTTCTCTCATGGGCGCCTCGAGGATAAAGAGGCTTCCAGAACCGACATCCCAATCGTATCCCCCATGACCATTCTAGCGGACCGGAGCACCTATTTAGGGTTAGTCGCAGAGGCGATGATCTAGTGTTTAATGGCACCGGCAATCACCCAAGTCCAGATCTGTCAGTTTTCCCTGCAGGTGCAATGCTGGCTCTACGTTTTGCACTCTGGGCTTTTGCTGTTTGGTCTCTGGGTCTATCTGGAGTCCAAGGTGCGACCTCCTTGTCTCCCAGTAGTACTCCATTCATCTCGCCACCCCTCGAGACCGAATTCGGCAAACAGGCCGATACACCCTCCTTCTTACTCCGGCTTGGCCCTGATACTGCAAGTGTGTGCAACAGTTCAACGCCAGGAACAGCCGGCTCCATCATCTCCGAGGATGGCCACGGGGGAACCAGCTCGATGTTCTTCTGGTTCTTCGAGAGCAAGAATGATCCCAGTTCCGATCCGCTGATTCTATGGATGACGGGGTAAGTTAGCTTTATAAACCAGTTTTTATAACTGTACTAATCACTATCGTACAGCGGCCCCGGTGCGTCGTCTGTCGGCTATGGAAATCTCATGGAACTGGGCCCTTGCCGCATCGCCACAGAGGGCGGGAATACCGTTCCCAATGAGTTCGGATGGAATGCCAACGCGACCGTGCTTTTTGTCGAGTAAGAGTACTCCAGTGCATTTACCAGCAGGGATGATATTTGTGCTAATGCTTTTCAGCCAACCGGTGGGTGTAGGCTACTCTCGGGGCGAGCACATCCCGCATGGCCTAGCTGAGTCCTCAATCGCTATGCATCGTTTTCTCCGCCAGTTCATGACTGCCTTTCCGGACCTTGCTGAGCGAGACTTCTATATTGCTGGCGAGTCCTACGGCGGCTCGTGGGTTCCTGCACTCGCTCGGACGATACTTCAGTCTCAGAATGGTGGCAGAGAGGAGCCCCTCAAGGTGCAAGATCCAAGCTACAGCTCCTCATCCATAGCCTCCTTCCAAACACCCACAATTAGCCTCAAGGGCATAATGATTGGGAACGGTCTCATCCGCCGCTCATTCCAGAATATCGGTTTCTTCGAGACGGTCTGTTCGGGTCCGGACAGCGTATTCAACTCATCCGAATGCCGTGACTGGGCACCCCGCGCAATGTGGTGCGAGAGAGAGCTCGGGATCTGTGAAAGTGACGGGATGATGTCCCCCCCGTGCAAGGCTGCAGAAGACAAATGCGCTGCAATTTGCAGAGTAGTCGTTGAGGAGAAGCATCGCAACCCTTACGACTTGCGCTTAGAGTGCCATGACCCGGCCACGTGTTACACGGAGATGCAGCGCATCGATGAGTATCTGAACCAGGATTCTGTCAAGGAGGCCCTTGGGGTCCCGGTCAGCGACAAGTTTCAGGGAATTTCATTGGATATTTTCGAAGAGTGGGAGAGGTTAGGGGATCTCTGGCGAGCGAGCGATGCGTACGTGAACTATTTACTGGAATCTGTAAGTCCCACGGCAACCCATTCCTTGTGCCTCTCTTTTTTGAAGACAGTTTACTCACTAAGGAAATCTCAAACCAGGACATCCGCGTTCTCATCTACGTCGGTGATAAAGACCTCTATTGTAACGCGGCAGGGATGCGCCAGCTCGTCGACCACGGCCTAGATTGGCACGGGCAGCCATTCATCCGGTTCAGGGAGTTGATACCCTGGTACGTTGAGACGAACGTTGCCGGGAGGTGGAAGGCGTATGAACCTTTGACGTATCTTGAGATAGCGGACGCGGGGCATCTAGCTCCATTTGATAAACCGCTGGAGTCATTGACTTTGATTAATGCGTGGATCTGGGGGAGCATGCCAGTTTCGTGACGGAGCTGTAGATTTACGTGGATATTATGTTGTACATGGTTAGCCACAATGCCAATATACGCTATATAACAGTATTCTTAACATTCCTTTGCACGGAACCATGTACATCTGATCCCTCAACACCTGTAAGAGTTACATCTCATCAGCATCACTCGGATATGTAGGCTCCCAGACTTCAGAGTGCCCAGTAGCTGCCCTCGGTGATCTATCGGATAGCGCGGCCAATTTGACTCGAAGCTCCATATTCAGTATCTCCGATCCATTACCAAATCATAAGTGCACGGGTAAGACACAGGTGCACGTCACCTCGTCGAATGTGCCGATCTGTCGATAAGAACCTCCAGAGAGGGCTCCAGGGCTCAATCCTCTGGACCCGGGGGCGCTCTTCCCTACCCATTTAGGCAATGCCGAGCGCCAGAATGTTTGGAACCTCCTTGGACCAGCCTGTACTCTGACCATCCTGAAAGAAAGTGGGAAGCTCCCCACCCATATATCCATGTCAGGCATAGGTCATTGAATACCGGATAGCTTCTCAGCCCCAGTTTCGGTTGACTTGGAAACCGGGTCCTATGGCCATCTTCAACTCCATGTAAACTCTGGGACGCGTACATACATTTTTTTCCAGTATTTCTGGCCAATCCGTTCCTTTATCTGCGAAACGGTCGAAAATGATGTTCGATGGCATGTTACGGTAGGTACCCTGCGGTTCAGAAACTGTGAGATACCAGTACTCATCATCCATCCTCGATAGTCTGGCCTTCACTGCGGTCACTGCGTCGCATTTTCTTTTTGGGCTTTTTCGTCTTGTCTTGTCACGACCCAATAGAGGGTTCAAACACTCTTGCGGTACTATTGCAGCAATATCAATTGTACATTGAAGCTGAAAGACTTTCAATCCAAAAGCTGACAGACATCGCAGACGACAAATGCTACCCTCATCTGCATCGCCATCATCGGCTGTGTGAGATACCCTCAGCTTGCGAAGGATGCCTTTACAGTGACAGGCTCCCTGCCCGCTACCGCTGGTGTAGCAGTCGGATCCGTCATGAACATCCTCCTAGAGTCCTTCTGCCAACTTGATATTACTAGGGCACTATACGACCTGTTTTCGTGTATTATCTGGTCTCTCCTTGCCATCCGGACGCCTGGTAACTGGACTGTTGCTGCTACGCCGATCCTGTACCTTGTTTGCTTGACTACAACACTAGCTGCGCCCTGGGCTCCTGCCCTCCCTGACGATGAGCGACATCCTCTCTCAGGAGCACCGTTTCTGCCAGCCTGTACCCTGTCATGGCTGGATCCCCTGATGAAGCATGCCGCCTCTAGAGCTCTTGCAACCAATAACATTTGGCCCATTGACGACAGGCTATCTACACAGCGCGCGTTTCAGCTCCACGGCTTGCAACCGCATGCACTAAACAAAAGCCTTTCTAGTGGACTCTCGTCCATACTGTGGCGCAACTTTCCATTCGAGATGGTCTCAAGTGCGGCACTTGCCCTTGTCAACATCGCAGCCGCAATCGCCCAGCCGTTTCTGCTCCGGTCATTTCTCGAAACCTGCCAAGTTCTTCCAGTTCTTGGCCTCTTCTCAACAAGTGTGCTGGCTGGCGCGACTGAAGCGCATATGCAACTTCTTCTCAGTAGGGCCGGGGTTCAGTTACGATCCGCACTAACTGCCGTTCTATGCGACGAGTGTATGGTCCCTGCGAACCGTGGACCATCTACCTCTGATCCCCTTGTTCTAGTTGAGGTCGATTCGGCCAAGGTTTTTGAGTTGGTGCAGCAGTATCATCTGATTTGGATGGTTCCCCTCCAGGCGGGAATCAGTATCGCAGCGCTGGCACAGATTCTCGGCTGGGAGAGCGTAGCTGCCGGGTTTCTATCACCGGTACGTATCTTCGCCTTGTCGCATTAGATATGCCGCTCACCTTTAATGCGTTCAGGTAATAGCACTGCCTCTCATAACTTATACAACACGCCATGTTTCCCAACGCATGATGCACGTCATGCAAGCAAAGGACTCGAGAGTCGCCCTGGTCATCGAAGTCGTCAAGCAAATCAAGCAGATCAAGCTCGGCGCCCTGCAAGTGTTCTTCAAAAGTAAGATCGACCAAAAGCGCGCGGAGGAGCTGGACAGGTTCAAGGATGTTGCGATGTTAAACGCCTGTCTTGTATTCCTTGTCTATGTCTCGCCACCAGCTTTGATCTCACTGACCTTTGGGACCGCCATCTTCCTGGGCCAGTCTCTGCCGAACGATGTTATTTTCTCGGCACTGGCATTTTGCTTCAATATTACAAGATCGGTGTCGCTGCTTCCGAAGCTTGTCATGCTTTACCAGGGGGGTCAAATCTCTTTTAAACGCATTCGCGATTTCCTCGCTTCTGGTCAGAATGGCGTGACACTGGCACCTGAAATCCGTCTACAGCAGCCAGGCTTGGTGACTGAGTCTGTACAGTTTTCCATGCGAGGCTGCGACATTGGATTCCAGGATTTTCCAGGTGCAGATTCAAAACCTCTTCTCCACGATTGCAACATGCAGGCATCATCAAGCTGCCTGCTCGTCGTCTCCGGTGCAGTTGGCTGCGGCAAAACCACGCTAATACGGTCCATCATTGGCGAGACTGAGCCTGCTTTTGGCGACATCGTGGTCAGAGGCCGGATCGCATACGCACCCCAAAAGCCGTTCTTGATCAGCGGTACCATCCGCGACAACATCCTGTTCGGTCTTCCGTTCGATGCACCTTTCTATGCAGAGGTTATTGACGCCATATCCCTCCGCCCCGATCTGGCCAGACTGCCTGCCGGTGATGGGACAAGCTTGGGAGGCGCAGACGCTACTCTCTCGGGTGGACAAAAGGCGCGAATTTCCCTTGCCCGAGCCATCTACGCGCGAAGGGAGGTTGTTCTTCTCGATGACCCTCTTGCAGCTGTTGATGCCAAAGTGCAATCGCATCTCGTTGAGCGCGTCTTCGGACCTAGCGGTATTTTGAAGAATACATTGCGGATTGTCACCACTTCTTCAGACAATTTAATGTCACAGGCGAACATGCTCTATATCCTCAGAGATGGAACGCTTTCGGAGGCTGTAGGTCCGCAGCCCGCATATCAGGAGGCTGTCCATGAGTCCCACGAAGTTCTATCGCCGACCATCCCACATATCCAGAAGGCCTCGCCTCCACCTTCTGCCTATGGATCGATAGCTCCAGGTCCGTCAGTACAGGTGTCGACTCGCAACCTGGAGTCCAGCGAGGTCACGGCGGCCTCACCCTTGCTCGCAAAGCCTGATGCAGCAAGCCAGAACACAGACCTTGGAGCATCACCAGTAGCTCTCGACACATACATACAGTTCCTGAAGCTTGCGAAGAATGGCGGTTGGCTAGTCGTCCTTGTGCTGGCCGCTGTATCCAAGCTGGTGGATATACTCGCCATCTATTTCCTCAAGGTCTCAAGCCAGGAATTCGAGACGCAGGGCCACTCGTCCAAGCTAGCGTACTATTCCATCTGTGCCCTGGCCGGAGGCATCCTCTCTGCAGTCTTTGTGCTCGTCGCCTATTCCATCTGCATCATCCCGACTTCTCGGTCCATCCACAAGAAGCTCACAGAGGACGTCTTCGAAAGCAAGTTCTCGTTCTTCGACACAACCAGTCTAGGCCAGATCCTCAATCGCTTTACAAATGATATCAACAAGATTGACAGTTCTGTGAGCGGCGGACTGATCAGCATGGTTGCCCTTTCCGTGACTGCCACAGGATCGATTCTGGTCATTGTCGCTGCGACTCCATTAAGTGTGCTCTACTTGACTCCTATCGGTGGTGTTTACTTTGCCATCCAAGCATACTACCAGCACGCCTGTCGACAGCTCCGGCGCCTAGAGATTGTAGCCCGAGCGCCCATCTTGAACACGGCCAGTGAGATGCGCGTTGGGGCTTCGGTGATCAAAGTGTTCAGCCAGCAAGATACTTTCAAGCGGCGTGCTAGAGATGTGATTGACGACCACATTCGTGTCTGGCTCCCGTTTGTAGCGCTGGACTCCTGGCTGCTCCTTCGTCTTCAAGCTCTCTCAAGGCAAGCTTTCTGCATTTTTTTTTGTCCACAGTCTGCGTTGCTGACCCTCCGGAATAGCATAATCCAGCTCCTCTCCGCCATCCTCCTCATATACCTCCACGCACCCCCGAGCACCCTCGGCCTCGTAATGAACTACCTCATCCAAACGACCTCGCAATTCACCAGCCTCACCAAGATGCGCGCAGACCTCGAAGCCGACATGACCTCCGTCGAACGGGTCTGGTCGTACGCATCCAACATTCCCGAATATGACCCCGACTCCGGGTACGACATCGGCTCTACGGTCACAGCAACCTGGCCACAAATCCCCACCATCGCTTTCCGGTCGTATACCGCGTCCTATGCACCCGGTGCTCCGCCGTGTCTATCGAACCTGGCATTCACTATCCATCCAGGGGAACATGTTGCTGTTGTAGGAAGAACGGGCGCCGGGAAGTCGTCGCTTACCCTTGCGTTGCTGCGTGCTTTGGAGGGTACCACTCAAGGAGGCAGCCTTACAATTGACGGGGTCGACATTGCGACTGTGGATCTGGTTGACCTGCGCAGGCGCGTCATTGCGCTCATGCCTCAGCAGCCGGCAATTTTCGAGGGCAGCGTTCGGGAGAATCTAGATATAGAGGGGACGCGGACTGACGAGCAGCTGAGGGATGCTATCGATATCTGTCAGATGGGTAGGGTGTTTAACATGCACCCTGGGGAAGATGTGTTGGAGTATCGGATTACCGAGTTAGGGTATGTGTGTCGCGTTAATGCCAATACCCTTGCCTGCCTTGCGGATGTACTCTTCATGCTAACGTAGACTCTTCCTCAGAGAGAACCTGTCAGGCGGCCAGATCCAACTCCTCGCGCTATCGCGGGCTCTCCTAGCAAAGGCCAAGATTGTGATTCTTGATGAGGGTAAGTTTTATCCATACCTACTACCGGGTTTGCTTTGGCCTCACGACATTTTGACTGACATGGTCCAGCAACCGCTGCAATGGATTCTTTAAGAAGAACATTCATCCACAACGTAGTCAAGCAGCATTTCCGGGCCCATACCGTCATCACAATCACGCACCATATTGAGTTTGCTGTGAGTATTTCATTGCACCATGCATCTTATTATCAAAACAGGATTCATGGTCCGTGCTGACCTTTATTTTCTCCTTTTTCGCGCTAGCTCGAACATGATAAGGTCCTTGTTCTGCATGATGGGCGGGTAGCTGGGTACGGTGCGCCGAAGCAGTTGCTCAAGGATGGAAATGCGATTTTCTGTGATTTGGTGGCCGAGGCAGGGATTGGTCGGTTGAAGTGAACGAGTGGCTTTCTTAGGGAGACTTGGGACGTTTTCTCCAATCCTGTTTAATCCATCATCCACATCTTTCCTGTCCCGTGAAACAGACCAGTACCGTGTCGTTTTACAGACCTGCGTCGAGTTCCCAGATGCAATGTACATAGTGCACCCAATCCTCAGATCGGCTCCACTCCCCCATCCTCCAGTTATATAATATAGGAAGATATTTACCGGACCCAGTATGCTGTTCCATAATGTTACAATCAACCAAGTCGGCCAGCGCGGAGGCCAGCGCCATCTGCCCACCAGTACCCGGAGGGGCAGAAATCGAAATTGCTCATAATATACATCCCCACTCCAGTCACACACGACAAGGGCAAGATAGATATCACTGCGTGAGAGTTCAGAGCGAAATCTACTAATCCTATATCCAATAAGAACAGGGGAAGTATGAGGAAACATCTTCGCGTACTCCAGATAACGAAGATCCTTGAATATATAGCTCTATATCTTTAAATCAGTGTTTAGCAAGTTCCTGATATCAGGTAGGCGTAGGAAATATTTTATACATAGCTAGATATTGCATGGTAGATCCTCAAAAGATTTATATTCACCATCCATGATAGGTCTTGCTTTTCTAATCTAATCAAGGATCTGTTCGCTATATATATATAGGATTTGTAGACTCTGTGGAAATGGCTATTATGTTTATACTCAGATTATGATATATATATAGCTTTGTCACTAAAACAGCACAAACCCTACTCAGACTTGAATGTCCAGACTTTAAATTAATATTAGAGCTAATATTCAACGAGTTCACATGATTACCTGTACCTTAAGTGACCTAAAATATCCAACAGCTTGATTAACCTAAATTAGTTCTAGAAGGAAGGCATTTTAGAGATTGAAAGATATATTACTATGCTGCTTCTAGAGAGCAGGATCCGGAGGCTATATATATACTATAATTCTATCCTAGGCATGGCGCCTCCCAGCAGGAGAAAATATCCCACTAGGGCGTGGATATGACACCCCTGGAGCAACTGAGATACATCACTTCCTACCAGCTGGTTGCCTTTCAGAAAGATTATTGGCATGGGTAGATAGGGACTCGCTCGGGGGCCCAATTACAGCCCAGGCACCATCTACCCTGAAAGCGAAATCTCTTCGATATTCACTAATAATATTAGAAGATGGACGAGCTAGTAGTACTATAAGACAAGTGCCAAGTTAGACATCTTAGCAGATCCTCTACCTCCCATATATAAAGCGCATGGAAAAGACTGCCACAGCTTTTACATATATCTGTATCTCCTTCAATTCATTTTAAATACCATCCCAATATAATATAATCCGAGTATAATCTTGCCTCCAGCCTGAGTCCACATTTACCCATTCTTTAGCCACATTTAGGAGATAGTCTGTTCAGTATATCTGGTTTAATAGAGCCTTATCATATAATATATATAAAAGGTGACAAACCGTGGGAAACATTGTAAAGCGTAAATCCTTCTGCGCGGCCATGCGTTTGACTAACCAATGGAGATCTCCCCAGAGCCGATTCAGGAGATAGTAAGCTCCTGTTATCTGAGATCTCTTTCTTAGTGAGGGTTTATCTCGAAGTAGTAAAATCAATCCATAGCTTGTCGACTAAGCCTATAGGCACGGGAAATAAAGAAGAGTAATTACATATCTACTCTGACTCTAAGTTCTAGTTTGCGTCCCACCCTATCTCAGCAGGCTTAAAGAACGACCGGCCTGGAGCGTCCGCCAGCAGTTTATTAGGCATCTGTGCTCACCCAAGACAGCCATTAATTACGAGATTCTCCACTTATTATAACAAAGACTATCATATACTAACCCATTTAGTACTAGTATATGGCCAAGTGGTGGGCTAAACCCCATCTGTCTGCTTCAAGCACATTGACAGAATAATAGTAAAATAGTCCATGGTTCACAGAAGCCTTCAATAACTAAAACATAACTGCCGCTGTGGTAGAATGTTGAAGTCCTGATCTCAGCAGAAGGTTCCCCTGCTTGAATAATTAATTTTAAACATGCTACTATGTGACCCAACAACATATCTAATCACTTAAATTCATATCAACATGCATAATACCACACTAATTCGTGATTTTCTGAATATTCGACCAATTGGTTGCGCCTCGGCCAGGGGATATCACAGTCCCGCTCGGATACGCGGTCACCTCGCATCGCATAATCATGCATGATACTCGAGTGGCTGATGAAAATAGTATATAAAGTTGCTGATATCTTCCCTTGCCATTCCCTTTAATTAAAGTGTCCATAGAGATGTTAACCTGACGATGCTGGAAGTAACAGGGTACAAGCATCCCTGATCGCTAAGACGCTAAATCGCCTCCCAGCCCACTCTGGCACAACCAACCAAATTATCGACCAACCTCAGCTGACCTGATCTCTTAGAAATCAAGGCCTTTCATTATGCCTGGCCCTCGGGTAACATGATAACATGAACATAGCGACCCCGACCTGTCCCGCATCAAATCTGAACACACTTCCGATCCAAGGGGCAGTAATGCTGTCTAATAATAATAAAGATGAGTCTGTCACACACTGCTAAGCGGCAGAAGAAGACGTTGCTGGCATGTGTGCCTTGCAGGACCAAGAAGATAAAGTGTGATGGCTTGCGTCCAGGTAGGAAATGCGGAACAAAATGCATTAATTGCGCACATGGAAACTGAGCAGGCTTTTTAGTCTGCGGTGCCTGCTCTAAAAACAGGCGGACTGAAAGCGAGTGTATCTGGAAGCGTATAAATGGCAAGGAGGCGACTGTTCCTCAATATGAGCAGTGAGTTTTCGGTACACCTGGTAGGCTCTTGAATTTCCGAGCTGATAATGCTTGGGCAATCGGGCAACTCGAGCTCTTCAGGATCGGATACAGGAGCTCGAGAAAAATCAGCAAGCTTCAGATGTTGGGATGACGTCGGCTTCCCCTCACATACGTGATGAGATGACATCCGTGACTACTGCCAGTCCGCTCAAAGGGGGTCAACTCCCCACAGGGAACGAAGGAAGAACTGGGGTTAGTGCTCTTGTGGCTGCGGTTACCGGCGAGCCGCAATATGAAGGATTTCAGGGTCCCTCTTCCGCCGCCACGTTCATGTCGAATATCCGACAAGCTGTCAATGGGGACACACAACCGCGCGACGCACGGTCCGCCGTCAGTGGTGAGTCTGAAAATGGGCCATGGTTCAGCCTCTCCAGCCCCACTGAAAAGGCCGTACTCGGGGACTATGTCGTGCCACCACGCAGAGTGGCTGATTCGCTGTTGGAATCATACTGGACCTTTATCCATCCCCTGTACCCTGTCCTGAACCGCAGCATCTTTACCCAGTCCTATGACGCGCTCTGGATAGGGAGATCCCTTCCCCTACGTGCACCGCCTCTAATGGTTATAGACGAAGCCACTGTCTTGTGCATTCTGAACCTCGCTTTGGCACTTTCCTGTCAGTACTCTGATGAAATCGCCGTGGGGAAAGCTTTTACTTCGGCCGAGGTGTTCTTTGCACGGGCTCGTGGATTGTTTCGATTTGACCCGGTGGGATCCGCCAACGTTGGTCTACCTCAGCTGCAGATTATGCTTCTGATAGCCCAGTATCTACAGGGTACGGGAAGGGCATATCAAGCGTGGGACATCGTCGCTGTTGCAATACGCAACTGCCATAGACTGGGGTTTCACCTCGCCTCGTCAACAAGCGAAGAGCTGATACCAGATGTTCTTGAAAGAGAGCTGGTGAAACGTGTATATCACCTCTGTGTTATGACTGAACGGTGAGCCTGCCTGCGAGAGCCCCATGATATACATCTAATCCGTGGTTGACAGAATGTTGTGTATGACACTCGGCCGCCCCATCATGGTATCCATAATTGAAAGCGACAGGGTGCCCCTTCCACTCGAAATAGATGACCAAGCTTTACGTCTATCCTCCAACTATAGGAGTGGCCAGACAGAAGGAGCCACTCCCTCCATATTATCTTTTTTCGTACAGTCAGCAAGGCTCTACCGCATTGTGCAGCAGATCCTGTCCCTAACCCCGATGGAGGAGTGCCGAGTCTCCGAGAGCAACACAGAACGATGTCTCGAAAATCTCCAAGCGGCGCTAAAGGTCGATAACGAGCTGATGGCTCTGCGCGACGGACTGCCCAGCTACTTTCGGCATGTCACAACCAGAGCCCCAGAAACCGAACCCGGAAATGAACGTTCCTTGACATTCCATCGTCAATCAGTCGTTCTTTATCTCAGGTAAGCTTGCCGTAAGAGGCCATAGGACACCATGCTCCATGGGGGGATCCACCTTCTAACCACGTGCATCATGATACCCAGGCACCTTCAAGCTCGTATTTCGTTATTCCGGCCCATTCTCGTGGAATTCTGTTCTGCTGGCCTGCGATATCAGGGCGGCCACGGTGAATCTACCGACCTGAGCTCTCCACCCGTAACAGAAACCTTGACATATCGAACTGCCTTGCAGTGCTCCTTTCTCTGCGTTCAATCAGCTCGTACTCTGATCAATGTTATGTACGAGGTTTTCGCAACCGGCCGGGGTTGGGGCGTGAAGCCGAAATGGCTGTACGGAGTTCTACGTAAGTGAGCCCGATGATCTCCCTTCCCGACAGCCAAGAGAAATGCTTAGCATATATAACTCAAGATATCTACATTTCGACCACTGTGCTCATAGCAGCCCGACTTCATCCGGCTATCCAACTACACGAGATCTCAGAGGCTGATATTGATGAGGCGTGGTGCCGCGCGCTGAAGATTCTGGAAACCTTCCAAAGTGATAGCCTGGGTGCTCAGAAGTGTGTGGCGGCTCTGAAGAGGCTGCACGAGAAGGTGATGAGTAGAATACCATCATCATTGGCCGACATGCCGAATACTGGAGATGTCAGGGACAGTAGTTGTGGGGGCATTGGCCTCACCCCAGAAGTGGAATTTCACGAAGCAAGCGGGGCAGATGGTCAAGTGGCAAGGCCTTTTGGTCCCCGGATGCTGTGAGTAGCTCTGCATATCAGACTCAGTTGGAGACAGACCGAGAGCCTACGGCGGATATGCTGGACTTTTCCTGGGTAACCTTGGTGTCGGACTTTCCGGAAAACCTTATAGACCCTTATAGTACAGTCATCTGAAGCTACATCTGGATACTGATGCACAGAGCCAGCCAACATTTCAGGAGTCTAACAATTGTCGCCTTAAAAAAAAAAAAAAAGACTCACTATTTTATGGGTGGAGTGGTTCAAAGGAAAATTGGCTGTGCCACAATGATGCTGCTCTGAACTTGGACGGGTCATAGCTTTAGTTACTAATTGCTGGTTACACTCCACAAACAATGTCCTTGGTCGTATCTTCAACATTTACCTGAGTAATTCAAGATATTGGCGGTGCGGCGGGCAGTTTGGAAGAATCTAGAAACGCCCCAGCCGCTTTAAGGCACTCTTGAACATCTCGCACTGTCCAGTCGGTGCCCTTCTGAGCCACAAAGCTGGCAGCAACTCCTGCAGCTTGCCCCGTTGCCAGTGAAGTACCCATGACCCGAATTGCGCTTGCAGCATATTGATCTCCATCCGCACATCTACCAGCAACAAACAAATTACTCGTATCTGAGCTCTGCAAACAACCCAACGGAATCTCGAAACATCCGCCAGGCGGCAGTTCAAATGTACTGGCCCAGTTTGGATCGTCCTCGTCATGAAACTCCGCGGCCCACGCGCCCAGCGCAACAACATCTGTGAATTGGGTCCTTGTCGTGATATCTTGCTTGGTCAATTGGTATACCGCATTAACATGTCGACTTTCTCGAGTGCCAAAGTTTGGACCAGTGGACACAATGTACATATCCCCGTGTCCAGGAAGCTGCTGCAATACTCGGCAATATTCCTGTGCCTGTCTTCGTGCAGACATTTCCGCCTGCGTGATACTCGCCGTGTCTGTCGTATCGTAACAAGCAGTTGGTAAGAAGCATACAAGATGTCCTGACCGGGGCAGACGGATCAGGACAGAGTCCACCTTTTTCAGTACTGATCCACTGCCCTTGGTATTCAATTTTGCTTCGACAAGAGCTTGCCGCCACATAGCAGCCGTCGGGTTCGCATCTGCCGCCACGCCACCAAATCGAATGGCCAATGAACCGAGATTGACTCTGCCATGGTTACCGTGTCTGGTTGATGCTCCGCCGTGGTAGGCCAAATCTCCATCCCCCGAACAGTCGACGAACGCACGTCCATACACACGATGCGCTCCTCTTCGATCCTGCACATCGACAGAAACTAACGTGTCGTTGACCGCTGAGCGTTGCGCTCCAACGACGGTTGCATGTAGGAGAACCTCGATATTGTACTCAGTGACCAGATCGTCCAAGACCAGTTTCAGGCATTCAGGGTCGATTACCTAGAATGGCAGACCAATAAACACAGTTAGCAAATGTCCTCAAACCTCTTTTCACCACGGCAGCAGTAACCATAACATTACCTGAAAAATCCCCCGATGTCGAACGGGCGACTCAGCGGTACCTGCCACCTCAAGCAGCCTCCGCCGCAACTGACCCCAGATCTGCCCGACGGCAACGCGCGCATTCTCCTCCAAAGTATAAAGCCCGCAATACGAGACCACGCCTCGATGAGTGGCTGCTCCTCCCAGGCACGCCTCGGACTCGACCAGGAGAACCCGGGCGCTGGGGTTCGCTTGTTTCGCGCCGACTGCAGCGCCGATTCCGGCGGCACCTCCGCCAACGACTATAACATCGTAGGTTGATGAGATCGCCATTCTAAACAAACTAGAACGTGTCGGTGACCGGACTTTTTTTGGTAATACAGTGAGTTGGTCTTGGTGGGCGGAGGAATCAAAAGATAGCAAGGGGTGCTTTTGGCACAATGATGCAGCGAGTCTTTGGTTCTTAAGGACTGCATTCGGGGCGAATGGCTTGTTAAGCAGGTGTGCAGTTTCGCTCGTCTCCCCTGTTCACGCATACCTGGGATCTGATCTCGGTGGGCCTCTTGGGCAATTCGGATCCAATGGCGATCGATCCCGGGGCGCCGGGTTCGAAGTCCTCTGGGAGGGGGCCAGCCGGAATTGATCCCGCGCTTGGAGAAAGGCGGGGGATGGAATCTTACTTACTAGCCTCAAAGCCCAGTTCCGAGGACTCGGTTTGCTCTCCACGCAACATTGAGAAGTCATCCCGTTATGCGCAATCTCCATGGGGTTAATCATGGGGTAGTGGGTTCCGGGCACGGTGGCTAATCACTGTGCTATAAATGCCCATACCCGCGGCCGTCTTTGAACCCATCACCATTGACCACCATCTAAAGCTGAACGCAATATGAAGGATACAGCCTCAATTGAACATGTGGCAGATGCCAAAGCCTCGTCTTTGACAGCTCCTGAGAAAGCCAGCAGCTCCAACGATGAGAATGTTGCGGTGGAGGCCCGCATCAGACACAAGTTCGACAGGCGCATTCTGCCCCTGGGGACTCTGATTTACCTCTTTGCTCAGATCGACAGATCAAACATGAGTAACGCCGTGGTGCTTGGTGAGTGTGATCCACGAACGTGTTTTTTGTGTCAGAGTCTGTGACAGCGCTAACGATACCTCGACTCAAAAGGGATGGACGATGAGATCGGGCTCCGTGGAAATCAGTTCAATATCAGTCTTACGCTTTTCTTCATCACGTATATTGTGTTTGAAATGTGCGTTCTTAGCCAACACCGTCTTCGGCCGTCTGCTCTCTCGCAGCTCCAGGTACGTGCTAACGGGATCTCGCTAGACCAGCCAATATGGCCTGTCATCGGCTCGGACCGTGCGTGTGGCTAAGCGTCATCACATTCGGGTTTGGAATCATCGCCCTCTGCACTGCTTTCATCAAGAACTATGCAGGTCTAGTCGTATGCCGTCTGCTCTTAGGCGTGTGCGAGTCTGGGGTCCAACCGGGCATCGTCTACGCATACTCGCAGTTCTACCGCCGACATGAGATGGCCAGTCGCCTCGGGCTGAAGGCTGTGGGTGCGTCGATAGCCGGGGCCTTTGGCGGGCTTCTGGGGAGTGGACTTGGCAGCATCCCCCCGCATGGGATATTGACTAGCTGGAGGTGGATATTTCTTGTCGAGGGAACTTTGACGGCCCTTTTGGCGGGTGTTGTATTCACTTGCATGCCTCGTGATGTGGAGAACTCGAAGTTCTTAACAGATTATGAACGCGAGATTGCTTCTCGGCGGATCGCCGAGGAGAATATGTCGACGGATGATGAGGGGATGGGTCTCGAGACGTTCAAAAAGGCGTTGTGGAATATCAACACGCAGATGGTTGCCGTCGCGCTGATCATGTCTCTGCTTTCATTGACGTCGCTGTCATTATTCCTGGTGAGTGCTCTCTACGCAGGCCCTTGGAGAAGTTGCAAGGACATTAGGCACCAATATCTGACGTGCGATCCGATTACCGCAGCCCACCCTCCTAAAAAAAAGCATGGGCTACGGCGCAACGCATGCCCAGCTCCTCTCAGTCCCCCCTTACGTCGCCGCCGCAATATTCTGTATAATCGGCTCCTTCCTTGCAGACCGATTCCACGCCCGAGGCTACATCCTCCTCGCTTTTACCCCGATCACCATCACCGGGTTCACCATCCTAGCCACAGTCAAATTATCGAGTGTCCGCTACTTCGCCCTCTTCCTCGCCACCACCGGCGCATTCACATGCTCCCCTATCCTGCTCGCCTGGGTAAGTGGCAACGCAGCAGGCCCTGCGGTCCGCGCCGTCGTGACGGGCTACGCGGTGGGGATTGCGAATGTGGGATCGATTATCGCGACCTGGACTTACCTTCCTTCTCAGGCTCCGTACTATACCGCGGGCCACTGGATGAACTTTGGAGCGGCTTGCATTCTGTTCGCAGTGGTGGGTTGTAATGTGGTGTATTTGGTGAAGGAGAATCGGTTGCGGATGGCGGGCAAGAGGGATTATCGAGTGACGGGGGCGGCCAGTCAGGCGGAGGTTGAGAGGTTGGGACATTTGCATCCGGAGTTTCGGTATACCCCGTAGTCTTGTGGGTGGTTGCTTGTTTTGACCATAGTGTGTTTGGGGCAAAGGCTGCTGTAAAGTTGAGACCAGAGGATTTTGAGATTGCGTACAGTAGTGCGAGTGGCTTTAGATTCTTGAGGAATGGACTTCTTGAGAATGAGATGGATCCCGAGCAGGATCTTTTGAGTCAATTTATTCGGTTATCCTTCCCTTTCACTTTTACGGCTTCCAATGAATAGGCTGGATCCATAGGTGAGTCGCGATTGAGAAGCTCTCTGGCAAACTGCGTATTGTTTCGGTTGATGGCTTCTAGCATTACCGTAGAGAAGTCGCATATATCAAACCCCTCCAACGAAGAGCATTGCGAGTCAATTATCTTCCTTAATTCCTCAATATCACCTCTGACGCAAGGAGCATGCAATCTGTCGAGTGCCGCTAGTGGCGTTCGTGGGAGGAGTTGAGGGTACTCGGTCGGTTTGACAGGAGGGTAATCCGGTGGAGGCAGGACGTCCATGGTGGCCATGATCAGTACCGAGTAAATGGCAATCTGACTTTGGGGCTTCAACGAAGTGGAAGATATGTACATCAGCGCGAGGTACGAGGTGAGAGGTAGGAGGGTATTTCAGGTATCTCGAAGCTGATGACCAACCCCAAGCCGGATGACCGAGGGAAGCCAATTAGGAGTCACGACAAACGGGGCAAGTCGAATTCGAAAGTGGACATATCGCTCGAATGAAGAAAGGAGTTGAAGTCTTGGAGGATTCCCGCCGGGCACAGAGCCCTTATTCTTTACGGCTGTGTGGCTGTGGAAATACTAGTCAAGAACTCGACTGACTAGCAAGACCTGAACACTCCCAGTTCTCATGGGTGAACTATTCCCACCTTTGTAAATTCCACTTCGCTTAGAAGTTAACACGGTTCAGGCGCTATGCATCATACTGATATTGCGTTGGTGGACGACATCGTCCAGCAGTTCTTCCAATCAGAAGGCGTGGGGTACGGGGTCGATCCATTCCCATTCTATTCACAAACAAGCCTTATAATTGCTTGACTGTTTCCCGTGGGGTACAGGTACAGGAACAGGTTCGGGGTTGCCACGGATTCAGAGGCCGTCGGCCGTTCCTTCGAGATTCTCATACCTGTGAAGGTCAAGGATGGATTCCGCGGTCTTCACTCGGTACCCTGCAGTGCAAATGGGGCTGGTAAGCTGGGATACGCGAGGGGCCCCAGGTTCGGCTAAGCATAGGATCGACGATCATGCGGAGTAATAAGCACTATGGCCAGTGTGCCTCGGTGTCATGCTCTTGTTGTCAACCCGTTTTCAAGAGGGGCTTCAGGACGTAGACATATAGCTGGATAACTCCCATACCGTATCTCGGTTTTCTTTTGGAGTGCAGACTGGACTGCCGTGCACTTAACATCTACTCTCTCAGACCATGCATTCCCCACAATTTTCCCCGGTCCGTGCGTTGGCCGTCATCCTAGCAGCATGGATGCTGGTCCTCCCTGCAACTCTCGCTCGCCCAGCCCGGCGGGCATCCGACCCCAGCTCTGATCCCTTCTATCAACCTCCCTCAGGGTTCGAGTCTGCCCTCCCAGGAACCATCCTCCGCCAGCGCCAGGTTGTATCCTCGTTCTTCGGTCTGATTCCAGACCCAGTCGAGGCACATCAACTGCTCTACCGCACGACTGCAATCAACGGCTCCGCAATCGCAACAGTGACCACCGTTTTCAAGCCACTCATCCCCAAAAAGGATCGCTTTATTTCCTTTCATACCGCGTACGATAGTTCCGCTATTAGCTGCACCCCAAGTTACCAGTACCTGCTTGGCACACCGCAGACGGACCTTATTTCCTCGGCAGAGTTCCTGATTATCCAGGTCTATCTACTGCAGGGGTATATCGTGGCTTCACCCGACTATGAAGGCCCAGATGCAGCATTTGGCCCAGGCCATCTTGAGGGTATGGGAGTATTAGATGGGATGCGAGCTGTCCAGAACTTTGCCGATACGCTCGGCCTGTCGACCGATCAGCCTGCGATTGTGGGAACAGGATACTCTGGCGGAGCAATTGCAACAGGGTGGGCGGCTAGTTTGCATCCAAGCTACGCGCCTGAACTGAACGTCAAGGGCTGGGTTGCTGGGGGCACGCCGGCTAATCTCACTGGCACTCTTCTCTTCATAGATGGCACCTTAAGCAGCGGATTCATTCCTGCAGCCATAGATGGGTTGTCGAAGCCGAGTGCGTACGGTGCCGAGCTAAAGCCAGTCATCGATTCAATCATTACAGAAAAGGGGCAAGCGGCGCTGGACTTTGCGAATGAAAACTGCGCGGTTGCTGACCTGATTAACTTCTTTGGACAGTCGGTCTTCTCGACCGATATTCAGACTCTCGGCCATGGTCTGCTCACTCAGCCAACAATTAAGTCCATTCTGCAAAAGAACATTCTAGGACTGAACAAAGACGAAACTCCCACTGCTCCTATCTTCGTGTATCACGCTACCCAGGATGAAATCATCCCGTATAACAATGCGAGCACAATGGTGGACTCATGGTGCAGTGACGGAGCCGATGTCAAGTTCACAACCTATGCAAATGGCGGACATCTGACGACAGAAATAGTGGCGCTACCAGCTGCTGTGACGTTTGTTGAGAACGCCTTTGCCGGGACTACTGCTAAGGGATGCTCTTCGAACACGGAGCTGGACTCTGTCCTCAACCCTATAGCGCTGGGTGTCGAGCTAGAGCCTATCCTTACACAGCTGATTTCTGCCCTAGCAATGGCTGGTAACAAGGACTCTAATATCAAGGAGGACATTTCAGTCCTGTCGAAGACTGTTTCCTGAGGACATGTACATATCCCAAGGTACGGATGTGCCGTATCTAAATTGAAGTTATGTTACTCCCCAGATCATGAGCGGTTCGCATACTCATACTCAAGCTGGAGACGTTTATGGTAATCTTCTTAGCCAGGATAGGTGTGTGGTAAGAACACCGCACTGAAGCATAAATACTCATGACCTATGACAAGGAAGTCTAAACACTAATCGCCGATCTATGCTTCTCGGATCCTGAAGCTGGAGTAGTAATACTAAATTAAGACACACATTATTGATCTCAGAACTACTGCAGGTATAGGATAACATGCCACTGTAACTAAAAAGGGCTATTTTACTGGTGTAATCTAGAATAATAGACAATTCTCGCCCTCCTATACCAACGAAACAAGCCTTATTCCCCTGGCTAGATGTCTATTCTAGCTGGCTACACCCGACCCTTCCCGGGCTTAATAGATTGTCTCTATTCACGCAGCTTGTCTAGAATATAGATGCAAGCCGCAGCTTGGTGTGTTCATCTTTCTCTTATACACATTTTCTCTTGAATAATTAATATTAGCCAGCGGCTAACATATTTGCCATGGACTGGTCCTCGACGGTGAGCTGCGGCCACTGACCAGCCTTCCAGACGTGCATGCGTCATCACCAGGGAAATGTTCTCTATGCAGATCCGATCGAAGGATTTATCAATGACGTCGCTCGTTCATACACGAGCCAAGTGATGCATATTATTTGTCCGTGGGGGCAGGATTGCATCTGGTTTTGTGCCAAGCACGCCAGTGTTTGGCGTGGTTGACCCCGTAGCCAGTTAATTTACGACTCGTAAGATGGCGGAGAGACGAAGGTATCATTCGCTCCGTCGGTCATTAGTTTCAGAATTATCCGTGCTTAATTAACATACCCTGGATCGGCGAGTGCTGCGTACTCTGATTCCCGATCCCCTGAGGATCTCGGCAGATAGGTGGACTCGCATCTGGAGACTGGAATGTGTCAATGATACTCAGGTTATGATATGAGCCTATGATAAGTGCTAGAAAGACGTACCTGCACCTTGTATCCTCCACCGTCTGCGTCATAGGTTAACGCGTTAACGGGCCATGTGGCCATATTGTGGCCTGACCGGAGCTTCCGAGATTAATTTCCAGAAAAACATCTTGAGTTGCATCGCAGCGTCTCGGTCCGACAAGGAACCAATGCCATGACTTTATCCTGTCAGGGGAGCGTGATTGACGCTTGGCTAGCCAGTTGAACTCCAACCTGCGCGCCGATCCCCGCACTCTGGGCTCCAGCTGCAGTCTCAGAGCCTGTGAGTCTCCACACTGCTCTGCTTCTTCTCCAGGGCTGTCGGTCCATTATCGGGGGCGGGCTGGAGATCTGCAGGATAGATGTGACAGGGAAGCACATCAGTGAAGGATTGGCTAGCAATCTCAAGATCTCGGAGCGGCCGGCTGCGAGAGATCCAAAGATAAAAGGGGCGAGCATCCTGCGACGGAATTGCATTCAGATCCTTCAGCACAAGCCTGCTCGAGTCCAACAAGTCGATACATCACTCTTGCTGGAATAATGAAGCTGGCCCGCAGCCTGACAACACTTCTACTCCCCCTGATATCTATACACACGGTATCAGCGGCGGATGTGGAAGCATGGAAATCCCGCAACATCTACTTTGCCCTAACTGATCGCATTGCTCGTGGAAGCGACGACACAGGTGGAGATGCTTGCGGCAACCTTGGAGACTACTGTGGTGGAACTTTCCAGGGCTTGGAGTCCAAGCTTGACTACATTCAGGGGATGGGCTTTGATGCAATCTGGATCACCCCTGTTGTTGCTAGTGAGTTATTCATGGTTCATCAGGGCGTTCTGTTCTCGACGACACGACGTGGCTGATCGTTATCATTTCTACAGATGCGCCAGGTGGATATCATGGATACTGGGCGCAGGACCTCTACAGTATCAATGAGAACTATGGCACGGCTGACGATCTTAAAAGTCTAGTCAATGCTGCTCATGACAAAGTAAGTACAATTTACAGTATTCGCTCGAGTGGGAAGGACTAAGTGGCGTCAATAGGGAATATATGTCATGGCAGACGTGGTTGCCAACCACATGGGATCGCCCATCAGCGATAACAAGCCCGAGCCATTGAACCAGGAGAGCTCCTACCATGCCTCCTGCACAATTGACTATTCAAGCCAGGATAGTGTTGAGACCTGCCGCATCGCAGACGACCTACCTGATGTGAACACAGAGAGCTCCGAGATCCGGACCCTCTTCCAGGAATGGGTCGCCTGGCTCATCGAGGAATACGGGTTCGATGGCTTGCGCATTGATACTGTCAAGCACGTTGAAAAGGACTTCTGGTCAGCCTTCTCTAAGGCCGCTGGGGTTTACACTATCGGCGAAGTCTGGGACGGCGACCCTGCCTACCTTGCCGGATACGCAGACAGCATGGACGGCCTGCTTAACTACGCGGTTTACTATCCCGTCAACGCCTTCTACCAGCAAACAGGCCCTTCGCAGGATATAGTTGACATGCACGAGCAAATCGATAACTCGTTCCCCGATCCCAGCGCCCTGGGCACGTTCATAGACAACCACGACAATGCGAGATGGCTGAGTGTTAAGAACGACCAGTCCCTATTGAAGAACGCACTCGCCTACGTAGTTCTCGCCCGGGGAATCCCCATCGTCTACTACGGCACGGAACAGGGCTACGCGGGCGGAAACGACCCCAAGAACCGTGAGGACCTATGGCGCAGCAGCTTCAGCACCGAGGCGGACTTGTACAAGGCCATATCACTCCTTTCGGAGGCAAGAAAGGCTGCTGGCGGACTCGCTGATGACGACCATGTCCATTTGCACGTCGCGGACACGGTATACGCGTGGAGTAGGGCGGGTGGTGACCTTATTGTTGTCACGTCTAACGGTGGATCTGGATCTGACGCTGAGCCCTGCTTTGACTCTAAGAAGCCCGGTGGAACGTGGACGAATACCTTTGGAAATGGGACAGTCACCGCTGATGAGAGCGGGCAAATCTGCGTCTCTCTTTCCAATGGCGAGCCTGCGGTGTTGGTTGCGGACGCTTAAGCCAGATAACGCCTATAACATCACGGTCCTATGAGCGCAACGGCATTTTGTTTGGATATTCTTGTCATCTTGCTATAGGAATCTGTTTTTGATCCCAAAGGGTTCACTTCATGTATTTAGTGTATCAATGTCCTACACAACATCATATGCGTCCCCTGGAGTATAAGGGTGTCAGGTTTCAATTGCATCAATGCCCTTCCAACGGCAAATGAATAAATCGGCGACTGACCGTATCAGTTTATATTCGTTATGTGCCAATTGCCGAATGTCTTCAGGGGTCAGCCTACACCAACCAGAATCATCCTTCTTGATTAATCTCCCGGGTTGAGTTTCAGATATAGGGTGTGACGTGGTGGGGAAACAACCATCCTCCGTGCTCTCCGTGTCGAAATTTGAGGGCCCTGTGTCTGGGCATGGCCATTTGTGGATTTATCGTTTGAAGCTCTCTTGGTATACCCTTACTGGACTAGCGTTGAGCTTGTTCCCAGATAAAGTGGTTTTATCCGGTTTGCCTTGGTGGAGCTATGCGGAGGATGCTGCCGTGTAATCTGCGTTTAATCCACATAAAACGTCGCGGTTCAAAGGTTATATAAAGGCTCTTGTTTCTCTGGAAGATATAGTCGCAACGGAACTATCATCGTGTGAGCAATAACATAAAGCAAATGCCTACGATGACTCCTCTTGGTCGCGTACTACTAGCCCTCGCGGTGCCCAGGGCAGTTCTGTCCGCAAGCTCGATCGAGGTCGATACAAGCTCCCTCTTACAAGAGATCCATGGTTTCGGTTTTTCTCAAGCCTTTGGGCGCGCCAGCGAGTTCGAGGCTGCCAGCGCTGATCTTCAACAGCAGGCCCTGGACCTCCTCTTCAGTACAGAAACAGGGGCTGGGTTCAGCATAATCCGGAACAACATCCCATCTAGTGTTGATAGCACCATTGAGCCAGAGAGCCCTGGTTCGCCGTCAGCTACACCCAATTACACATGGAGCGGCGATGATGCCGGACAGGTATGGTTTACCAAGCAGGCTGTGTCATATGGCGTGTCAACCATCTATGCGAATGCTTGGAGCGCACCGGGGTTTATGAAAACCAGTGGTGATGAGGCGGCGCCTGGGTATGTCTATCTCCAGGTTTCTAAAATCGTGGGCTAACTCTCTCAAGCTACCTTTGTGGAACGACCGGTCACAATTGTACTTCCGGAGACTGGAGGCAGGCTTACGCGAATTACCTTGTCCAGTATGTCAAGTACTACGTGTCCGAAGGGCTACCCATTACCCACTTAGGCTTCCTCAACGAGCCTGACTACGAGTAAGTATCGTCTCAGCCATACCGAGGTGGCATGCTGACCTCCACCCAGGACTAGCTATTCCCAAATGCAGATCAGCTCAGACGCAGCGGAAGCCATCTCATTCATTCCAACTCTATACCAAACCGTCCAAGACGCTGATCTAGACCTGAACATCACATGCTGCGATGCCATCGGCTGGGACGGCCAGGAAACCTACACGACTGCCCTCAATGCCGCCGGTATGGACGAGTATCTCAGCACAATCACATCCCACATGTACACCAGCGACGCCACCTCTGCTATAGACACAAGCCTGCCAACCTGGCTCACCGAAGCCGGCGTAGAAACCAGCGACGCGCCCTTCACCACGACATGGCACGACTCTGGCGCACCCAACGAGGGCATGGTCTGGGCTAGCAAGCTCGCCACAGGATTCATCGACGCGAAACTCTCGGCTTACCTCTTCTGGGAGGGCTTTGAGATTGACGAGAGACAGTCGGCTAGCCACCTGGTTGATGTGGGTTCTAGCGGTGCCGCCGAGGGCTCGGGGATCTTCTATGCCTTTTCCATGTGGTCGCGCTTTATCCGGCCTGGGGCTCATCGGGTAGAGACCAGCGGATCAGTGGACGATGTTGCAACGGCAGCGTTTGTTAATACTGACGGCTCGGTTGTCGTAGTGCTGACGAACAGTGGTGATGTGACGCAGACTGTGCAGATCGGGGTGTCGGTGGACTTTACGGCCGCGGACGCTTGGGTTACGGACAACGACCGTCAGATTGCAGAGACGAATGTTACGGTCAGTGGTGGCAGTGTTGGGCTTGATGTTCCGGCGCAGGGCGTTGTTACTGTGAAGCTTGCCTAGGGGTAGTCCTTTGCATATGTTCATGTATATATTCATTCCCTTTGGCTTGAAACTGTTACTCGCTGAGTAGCTTCTGCTTCTCGAAGAGGTGATATAAGATGCATTTCTTCCTTTAACGCATTCGCTCCTTCATATGACATATATACATATGTAGTGGTTAGTCGGTGTCCTTCTCAAGCACGTCCTCCTTCCCGTAGTATAGCATTTATTGAACCAGATGCGTGTTTCGACGGTTAGCTTGTTCTTCTTGGTATGAATCATACCTATTATTGGGCCACGCATTAGGTGGAAGCAAGGGGGTACCAAAACGAATATAATGGGATGGGAGTGTGATCCCAATTAGCATGGTTTATAGATGGTCCCTCGCTGGCAATGGCTCAGTGCAGTATAGCCTCATCCATTCGAAAGTCCAATATCCGCAGGCATAGCCTGAAGAAGGTCCCGAGCATATTGAGCCGCCGCCGCAGCTGCGTACTCCATCCATATCTCGTTCTTGTGTGAATCAGCGTAGTCTGAGATTCCGCGAATGACAAGACATGGAAACCTTGTGTTCATCAAGCCCGCGGCTTCCATCTCGCAGCACAGAACACCATGTTTCTGGATGAGTGTCTCCCTTATCTTCGAACTCTTGACTACCGAATTTCCGGAGGCAATTGTCCCGTAGAATACGTGCGGAGATGTGGTCGTCCGGGTCATTGGTCGTGGCACGACCTGCTGAGCGTCACAGGAGATGCAAGTATCACCATCCCCGGTGTGAGCATAGGATGATTCGAATAGCTGATCTAGTTCGACCCCGGGGTATTCGATATCAGGGAGTCCAAAAAGGGGGAAACCGTGGCGAGGCATAAAGTTAAGGACCTGCAATAACTTCTCCGGGGGAGCTTTGAGAGAGCCAGTTGTGATAAAACCGTCACTGGTAAACTTGCCCATATCGTATTGCACAACCCCTCCGTACTGAAGATGTGGAATGCTCACAACCACATCTCCAAGCCGAATCTCATGCTTCGCGCTCGGTAATCCTCCTCCGATGCCGACCATCAACCCTATAGCGATCTTAGGGAACCGATTCATCATGCGCGTGGCTACCACAGCTGCGATGTTATTCCCATATTGGCCCATTGGAAGGCAGGTTAGCACGACATTGAGCTGGCCAATCTGCCCTAGAATATAGAGGTTGCAATCCATTCCGTGTCCAAAGCCCTTGGTGTGAATCCGGTCCAGCATTCTTTGCGCGGCATCCAGCTCTATTTGCAGTGCACAAATCCAGCCAACTTGGTATTCCGCCGGGTCCAGTTCAATATCTCCCTCTTGCACTATGAGACGGGGGATGCCGGATTCAACTCGAGCCTCGGAGAGGCTGCCCCCTGATGAACCCTGGGATGATGATCCGGACGTCACGAAAGACTCATTGCCGGGTCGGCCGCCGAAATCAGACGCTCTTTCTGTGCGATGTATATGATGGATATCGCCGCTCGAGTTTGAGGAGCCCCGACGAATCCGTTTCCGAGGATTGGTACTCCAGTCGCTCGCCGGCCGCTTCCCTTCAGCCTTGGAGGAACTGCTCTCTTGGGTGCCGGAACCAGGACTGTATCCAACACTGATCGCACTGTCGTTGGCAGGGCTCTTGAATCCGCCCCAGGTCGAGGAAAACGATACCTCCGGAGCTGGGGACTGGCCGTTTACAGAAGAGCCATCGAAGATAACAGCACCGTCGGGTTCTAATATGAATGGACTGACAATTTTAGAAGCGCGTTTGGTCATTTCAGGGCCGGTTAGTAGTTCTTGAGCGTGACTGCAGCGTTCCTTCGAATAGGCTTCAATGCATTGGCAGTTCTCGAATAGTTTGTCAGGCGTATGCCAATAGACGTGGTCTATAACACGCCATGGCGAGCCCGAGCTGTTTCCCCTTTTCCTCATAATTCTCTGAATGTCTTCAACCCTCGCAGCAAGGTAATCTTTTCCTGCTGGGGCAGTGGTCCAGGAGGAGCAGACAGGAACCATCTCTTTTGGTTTCAGAAGGTCACCAAAGCCCGCGCCGAATAGAGTAATGGCATTTATTGCTCGAGTGAGTCTGTGCCATCTCGGAGGACCGTCAAATGCGCTCATTGTACGAGCGTTAAAGTGATCCTCGTCTGTAGCCAGGTCCATAAAATCAAATCCTTCCAGCAGCCTTCGGGCCTGGTTGCCAGGGTGTATTCCGCCACTCTTTTGGAGATTGGCGCGGGTTTGATATGCGTATGCTTGTTCCAATAAATGGTATATCGCATCTACCCTATCTTGAAATGTCTCCGGCATGTTGCGATACAGCCGCTGCTTCAGATTGTTTTCACTTTTCAGAACGGATATGGCAGAAGCAGGCCCGCCCTCGGGACTAGGATGTAGTTCAAGCACCTTGGGATCAAAGACAAACTCCTGCATTGGGTCCTCAGAGGAACTGAACATTAGGGAAGCCCGGACTAGGTGTAGCAGAGCACTCGCCCCATCGACAAGCCAAGCTCGTCTGGTAGAGACATCGTAGAAGACCGCATATTTCTTGGTGATTGACAGGATTCTGTGGAGGAACTCGCCGAACTCATACCGAGGAGTCCTATCTTTCTTTCCTATCGCCAGAGTTTCATAATTTGGAATTACGGTACCGCGGGAAATGATGGCATCTTGAAGATCGCATCCGACGTCGGCCCTATTCAGTCCAGACCAGTCGATGCCATAGTCTGCCCTTGGGGATCCTGCACGTTCCGCAGTGGTTAGAATATATACAGAGTGAAAATTCTCCATGTTTAATTACTGCATACCTGTAAGGACTTCAGCTTCCGGGCACCAACCTACAATGTGTCGAAAGCCTGTGAGGTTGGTGTCAATGCCTGCAGGGTATAATCCGGGAATTGTGTCGATTCGACAGTCGGTATAATCCATATAGTGTCCATTATCATTGCATATCATATGCCACATCACAGCATCATCTACGACCCTCGTTGGCACGAGGATCGTGCAATGCCCCTTGATACAGACCTTTCCCCCAAAGAGTGCAATGCGACGCGATGGCACAAGTCGGCCTAAAATATCGAGAGGGATATCCAAGCCAGTATTCACCATGTGCCGCCGTCGAATAGGAAAGCCATAGACGACAACGGGGTTACTGAATAGACTGTGCCAGCATCGCCCATTACGTGACGGCTGCCCACCTTCTCGATGCCGGAAAATGAATTTGAGCTCATATCGCAGGTTTCCCATGGGGGTAGGGGCATAATCTAAAACTGGTTGGCAGTATACAATTCTATTGTCGGGTGCTGACTGCAACGCCGCGCCTAGCCAGGCCAATTGTTGTGCTATTTCGACGATGGCGTGCCGGAGTCCCCGAGCACGAACCACGACTTTGGAATCATTGAAAGCTCCTCTAAGAACAGTGCCATCTCGGAGTGAGCCTATTAGTAGAATCAGTCAAAGGCGCCCTGGTTCGAGGAGGAATCACACGGACCTGAGCTAGAACAGTTTTCTCTAGCTTCCAGCAACTGGTGCAAGAGACTGATTACACAGTCCGAGCTCTCTGGCCATGTTTGACGCATGTACTGGGCACATTTAAGTGCCTGTGCATTATCCAGGGATCCAGTCAGAGTGATGATATGGTCGAAAATGTTCGCCGGGCTACCCGCATATTCCTGCACACGCAGGAATAGCCGCGGATCCCAATCAAGTATGAAATCGGCATCGACCAAAGTTGGGGACCGGGTGAGGTCAGCTTTCAGTAATAGAGGCTCAGGAGGAAATGCCCGAGCGATATCTTGCATCGCATTTTCGCCTGGGGTGTCCAAGGTAAAGATCTTCCGAGCACAGCCAACCAACCACCTATACGCAGGGAACTGGTCTAGCAGCTCTGAATAATGTAAAATTTGCTCTCCACTCGCCGCTGAGCTGCTGACATCGCCTGAGGCTGTGAAGTAAAGAGAGGATCCTGGATGAGGAGGGCCGTCGACGATTCCGTGAGTATAGTAATTGCGAACGGCCTTGGTGATATCCCTGGAAAGTATGTTGTCAATATTTGATCTGGCAGGCGTTGGCCCTGGATGCATACCCTGAATGGCTACAAACCATCCATCCAAACCTTCTGCAAGCTTCGGATCCCTTGAATCTCAGTTTTTCCGCGAAATCCCAAAGAATATCATGTAGGTCCGACAACCGCCCGACCGCTCCTTTCGCATCATGGCCCCGGGGGTGCGATTTCCTGAAAATGTCCAGCGAAAATGTGGAAACAAAATCCGAGTGGTCGATATAGCTGTTGAGGAATTCATGACAGGCCAGGTCGCCGCCATCCGTTTTGACCATTGGCTCATTTATTGGATGTTTTCGCATCTCCCGGGGTACATCTGATGGTAGAAGGGTATTTGATACATCTTCAAGCTCTGCCTGTTCTTCGGGGATGGATTTTGTCTTAGAGCCCATCCCCTTTATCTCGCAATGCTTGAACAAGCAGTTGTAAAACTCGTCCCAGCATCGTACAGACTCTCCGCAGAGAGCACAGGATTCAGGAGCTTCATATGGTACCTCCAATTCTCTCAGTGCGGGCAACACTTGGTCTGAGTGTGCAGATTTAAAATGCCGGCGCATTCTCTCTCTACTCGTGCCTGTCCAATCCCCATATGGGCAACTCATCTCGAATTGTGGATGATGTTGCTCTGAGATGTGTCGCTTGAGGCCGTTAAGGGCTCCATAAGTCCTCCTGACTGTCTCCGAACATAGCAAACAGGTAAACGCTGGCTTATTTGCTCGCCGTCTCAATTCAGACCCAAGCATCGGAATAGCTTTTTCATCATCGTGGAGAGGCGATGGGCGAGGAAGGCTAGGGTTAATATTGTGCTCTATAAGTCCTATGCCACTATCGTAAATGCTATAGTCCCATGAACTACTGGCGGTGTCAGCTGTCTGGAAAACTGGTTCGAAGATCGGGTTTTCTAATGGAAAATCATCCCAGTCCTCCAACCCCAAGGGGTGCCATCCTGATATTTGGTCCTCCATGGTCTGGGGATTCGGATGTGTCCACCCGGCGCAACGGTGTATCTGAGATGGAAAGTAGTGTCCTGAGCACGAAGAAAGAATAATGGACGAAATCAAGACTCGGAGGCGGCTGGTGCTGGGATGTTGGTGAGGCTGAGAAGGAGGCGGAGCTGATCTTGGGGCGCAGGCCTATATGTCCTCTACCTTGCCTATAACTGTAAGCAAATGGGCCAATCTTACAGTTCAATGATACTGAATGTGGATATTCCCTACACACCACATAGCTTAGTAGACATTGTGGCCATGCCTTAAATATAGATGGTGAATAATTATCAGCACTATATATTCCACTTACAAGTAGTCAATTGTCTGCTATTGGACAGCAGCATAGCATCTAATCAAGCACCAAGGCTGGTTCTGAGCTTAATATCTTTACAAATAACCTTGGCAACTTCTGTCTCAGTACGCAACTTCCTTTGCGGTGTATGGTTCCTCCAGATACGCCGCCTCATCATCAGATAGCTGAAAAGCCACAGCCTGGACGGCTTCATCAATGCGAGCAGTGCTTCCCAGGCCGGTGACTGGACACATACCTTGCCGCAGACTCCAAGACAGGGCAATTGTTGACATCTTAACTCCTCTCTTTTCTGCAATCTCCTGCACTCTGCTGACTATAATCCCATCAGCGGCAGTCTCGCGTCCTCGTACCAGGCTATTCAAAAGCGTGTCTGTCTGCTCTCGCTTTGTCTCTCGTTGCGCCCAAGGATGAGCCAGGACACCGCGTGCGAGTGGACTCCAAGGAAGAAGACCGACGCCGCTATCCCGGCAGAAGGGGATCATTTCTCGCTCCTCCTCCCAATAAAGAAGGTTGTGGTAGTTCTGCATGGAAATGAACTTGTGCCATCCATTCTTCTCTGCAATGTACTGGAGCTTTTGAAACTCCCACGCTGCCATAGAGCTTGCTCCTAGGTAGCGCACCTGCCCGCTCTCCACAACGTCGTGCAACGCCTTCATTGTCTCGTTTAGATTGCACTCTCGGTCAAGCCTATGAATCTGCAAGACGTCAATGTACGTCCCGAGGCGCTGTGTGCTCTCTACAACCGCGGCCAGAATATGCTTGCGTGATAGCCCGACGCGATTTACCAGGTGGCGCTTGGTCTTGTCGTTCAGGGAGGAAATTGGACACTGGCCGTCCGGGTCAAGCGCGTAGAATATCTTGGAGAGGATAACTACTTGCTCGCGAGGAATGCCGTACATTTTCAGAGCCTTGCCAATAATCTCCTCGGATCGGCCATTTGAGTATACATCGGCCTGCAGAGTTGGAAGAGTCAGACAAATTGAGGTATCTCTAGAGGCGACATACCGTATCCCAAGTATTTATGCCCACGTCAAATGCATGTTTTAGTAGAGGAAGCGCTGCCTCCTCTTCGAGAACCCATTCCTGCCAGCGAGAAGATCCATAGCTCGCTGTCCCGAGAATGACCTTGGAGACGTAAAGACCGGAATCACCCACGCTGCGGTAAAAAGTTAGTTGACAATTTCCTCTGGCAAATAAGAAACTGAGGGTGTACGACCGTGTATACTCCATGCTGGTGCAGAGGAAAGCGCAAGGCTACCCAAAGATTAGGATATTAACTGTACTGGACGCGCGTTTTAGCTTGGGCACGCCGGGAACCGGGCGATTGACCGGCCACACGCCGGTGATGTCTGACGGACAATCAATGGCTAAATTCGGAATGGAGAAGACATTTCCACGCCCTGTGGTCGTATGTACTATATGCAGATAATGAAGCTATGGGGAGATAGCTCTGAAGGAGGAAGTTAGAAACCGTCTCGTCGGCGAACACTTACCGGCCGGAAGCAAGGAAGAGGGCAAAGTCTAGACTTAGCTTGAAATGAAACCTCAAGGTGAGAGCGGAATCAGGGGATCCTAAAATGCTAAATAGTAGAGATAAATATAGTAAGTAGCAGCAGTGTTGGGGTTAATGTTCCGGCACAGTCCTCGTGTGCCTGTTCATGTATATATCTTCGGATGGAAGCCGGTGTGATCCAATGGTGGGACAGCCAAAGCGATGGGCATTGCCTCTAACCTAGTGTGAATTCCAGTCAGTCGCAGTCCAAGTGGAATTGAATTCCACAGTTGGTTGGACATTGCAGCATCTCGTTTCCTGCGTAGTTGGCGGGGTTCAGCCTGTTGTCTCGGAGTTACGGAGTCCCAATTAGGAAGGCCAGCTGCAAGTCAACATACTTATATCTCGCAAATAGTACCATTTCATCTCATAATACGCTGTTCTACTTCACTCACCATGTCTCAAACACTTCAGCTCAACGGTCGCACCATTTCCCTCCCTACCGGTCTCTTCATCAATGGCCAATTTGTCGATAGCAAGCAAGGCGCCAGATTCGACGTGGAGGACCCTGCCACAGGACAGACCCTGATCTCCATTGTGGAAGGCCGCGAAGACGATGTGGATGAAGCTGTGCGTGTCGCTCGTGAGGTCTTTGACAATGGGGCCTGGAGTAACTCCAACCCTGCGCACCGTGGTGCTCTACTGAGCAAACTAGCCGACCTCATCGAAGAACACAAGGATGACCTGATCGCCCTTGAGTGCGCTGATACTGGCAAGACTGTTCCGCTCTGCTCTAGCCTCGACCTTCCAGCTTCAATCGGGACCTTGCGGTACTACGCTGGCTGGGCGGACAAAGTTCGCGGTGAAACCTCGTTCAATATCCCAGGAACATTTGCATACACTCGCCGGGAGGCAATTGGTGTTTGCGGGCAAATCATCCCCTGGAAGTATGATTCATTCTCCCCGTATAAGGTCTAAGCTCACAAAATCCAGTTTTCCCATGATGATGTTTATCTGGAAGATCGCGCCTGCTCTAGTGACTGGAAACACTGTAGTGATCAAGTCCGCCGAAGCTACACCTCTATCGGCGCTGAAGATCTGCGAGTTGATCTCCAAGGCTGGGTTCCCTCCAGGCACAGTTAACCTCGTGTCAGGGTACGGTAAGACAGTGGGAAGCGCCATCGCACACCATATGGACGTCGACAAGGTTGCCTTTACCGGATCAACCGCCACAGGTCGGGCCATAATGCGAGCATCAGCAAATTCAAACCTGAAGAAAGTGACTCTCGAGCTGGGTGGCAAGTCTCCGGTAAGTTACACCAACCAGTTATATACTATGACTGACGGTGTAGAACATTATCTTCCCCGACGCCGACCTTGACTCGGCCGTAGACTGGTCAGCGTGGGGAATAAATATGAACTTCGGCCAAACCTGCCATGCCGGCACAAGGATCTATGTCCACGAGGATGTCTATGATGAGTTCCTGTCCAAGTTCACCAAAACCATGGCCGGTATCACAGTAGGCCATCCATTCGAGAAGACCACCAACCAAGGACCCCAGAACAGCCAGATGCAGTACGACAAGATCCTGGGATACATTGAGTCCGGTGTCCAGGAGGGTGCGACAGTCCACCTGGGTGGCAAAGCTATTGACAAGGGAAGTGGCTATTACATCCAGCCAACCATCTTCACCAACGTGCGCCCAGAGATGAAGGTATACTCTAGCAGACTCCCTTCAATACCAAAGCTAATAATTTCAGATCATGCGCGAAGAAATCTTCGGCCCAGTCGTCGCGATTGCCAAATTCTCCTCGGAAGAAGAAGTCATCAAGCAGGCCAACAACACCACGTATGGACTGGCAGCGGCCTGCCACACCAAGGACTACGAGCGCGCCATCCGGGTGACTAATGCACTCCGCGCCGGGACAGCATGGGTGAACATGTACAATTTCGTGCATTGGAGTATTCCATTCGGTGGATACAAGGAAAGTGGCATTGGGCGTGAATGTGGCGAAGCGGTGCTGGAGAACTACACGCAGACCAAGGCTGTGTTCTTTAACATGGGCGTCCCATGTCCGAAGGCGTAGATAACTCGACTATGGAACTTGGTTATAATGACTTATTTAAGTAGATTGCCATAACTTCCAATATGTTTCACATTCGGAACTATATTTATATATATATAGGTGGAAAACTACAAACTCAATACAGAAAGGGTGCATTGATTCGCATTAAACACGGCTATGTAAGGCTTATCTATACCTCTATCGCAAAGCTAGTGATAAGCGAGCTTTCTTTGTGTAACGCTGCAGTGAATACTTCGTTTGCACAGCACACGGTCAATGTCGACCTCGCCACTTTGGTAGTGATGGAGGTGAGGAACCAAGGTCGTCAATGTCGACATGTAAACTCAGTCAACTTGGTACTCCAAAACCAACAAGGCTCAATTGTAGGCGGACTGTTCCTCAGCTGCACTTTCGCAATGACTCGAGGGTAGCTTCCCAAAGAGGAAGGCACTCCGCAACTCCGAGCTTACCCAATTCGGCATTCCGGCCCAAAACCTGGAAGGATAGATAATTACTAATCAGTGCATAGGAATTCATAAAAATCATAATTCATATCATATATTCACATTCCGCCTCGAGCTGTTGGTCTCTGTCGCTCCCGACGGCACATATCCAGAGCCCTCATTCCCCGTCCCCCCCGACCCCAAATCCTCCAGCCCAAACGCGGTGCCCATAAACTCCGCATTCTGCGCTCCGAGGTGGATCCGGGCCCTGCGCAGGTTCGTGAACGCCACCAGCCGGCCCAGGATCGCAAACTCCAGCTTCAGCTTGATGCTGTACACCAGCGGCTTGAGGGTGATCTGGAGGTAGTTGAGGTTGATGAACTGCAAGATGATGAAGGTGACGTCGAGTCCTATCGTGATGAAGTTGATTGCCAGCAGCTCGTACAGGATCTGCTTGATCCGGGGTTTGCCCTCGGGGCTGTGTCGGAGCAGCTTGGCGGTGGCGTAGACATAGAAGATAGACAATGAAATCTCGAGCAGAGAGAAGCCGGTAACTTGGTAGCGCTCGATGATGTTGTATGCGAGATTCGCGGGTGGCGTGCGCAGTGCGGCGGCGACGTAGGTTATCACCGTATCAGGGGTGAGCAGGAGAACCAAAGCGATGATGATGAAAATGAGAAGACCGCGGAGGACTTTATCATTGTAAAAGACCAGGTACAGCCGGGAATAAAGAACAAGTGACTGGGGTGGCACCATGATCATAAATCCCGTATACAACAGTGGCAGACCCAGCCACAGAGGACCAAAGTTGAAGTAGTGGAGGATGGAGCCGATTGAGTTCAAGATGACCCCCGAGACAGACACAACCAGAGAGCAGAAGTAGAGCCCTCTGTAGCGGTGGAAGGTCCAGAAGATGAGGACAATCAGCTCTATGGCGTTGGCGAGGGCGATTGTGAGGAAGACGGCCACGGCTGCCTTGGTGGCGGTGCCTTGGTGCTCCAGGCCATGGACCAGGCCTGGGGGAATGGCCTCAAGATCTGGCATTGGCGAAGTCTAACTATGCGACAGCCCAGTAATATCGAACTAGGGCAGCCATGCTTGCAGGGGCGCATCGCGGTGTCAGGTGTAGAAAGGCATACCGGTGGGTATGCCGCGAAGAGTCGAGAGAGAAATTCAACCACGCGGGGATTTTGGGGCGTCAGGAGGTTCTTCAAGGCTTATTACCCTTGGCCCAAGGACCAATCACTGCTAGCATTCCAAGGTGGGCCTCCGTTTAACTTTGAACAAGCGTGGGTGGACCCAGAGTTCCTGACAGCAGACACGCGACATCGGAGGCACAACCGTCTAAAAGGCACAAAAGGACTGGTATCCCCCGTCCTGGCACTCCTTCACCTTCTGCAGATAAAGACTCACGCCTCCCAGAAACACATACGCAAAATCAGCCTTGTCCTTGACATTCTTGCCGAAAAAGTACGACTGCGCTGTCCTGAACAGAGTGGCGTCGCTGATGGCCTTGGTCAACCCAGCCCATTCTTCTTCACCTTGTTGCGTCGATTCAATCGCAATTTGGGCAGACTTGCACATGCTGTTCTGCTCTTTTTGATGTGCTTCGGCCAGCGATATAGCCCCGGCAACGAACTCAACCTGCGCCTCCATGACGGTCGGCACATTGGCCAGAGGAGACTGGGGGCCGTAAAGCAAAAACATATTAGGAAATCCTGCGACAGCGATGCCCATGTTAGTCGATGGGCCATTCTTCCAGTGCTCCTTCAAATTGAGCCCGTTGCGACCGGTGATATTGCTCCTCTTGTAAGGGCCGTCGAAGGCATCGTACCCTGTAGCGCAGATAACCACATCTAGCTCATGAATCGTCCCATCGGCCAGCTTGATCCCGTTAGTAGTGAACTCGACCATGGGACTCTGTGCTATATCAACGATATCAACATTGTCGCGGTTGAACTGCTCATAGTAGCCCACATCGCAGACCGGCCGGCGCACATACAGCTCGGTCGGGGTTAGCTTGCGTCGCTTTCCCGGATCCTGCACGATCTCGCTGATTTTGCGTTTGATAAAATCACAGGCAGATCGGTTGGCATCCTCGTCCATAACTAGGTCAGCGAAGGTTCCAAGGAAAAAGCGAAAGGCATTTCCTTCGTCCCACGCTGTTTGGAACACGCCCTCTCGCTCCTCGGCGGAAACACTCATCGCGGGAGTCTTGCTCTCGAGGACTCCCATTCCGCCGATACTCTGTCTGGCTTGCTCCAATAGCTTGTCGTAGTTCTGATTGATCTCTTCTCGCTCGCTCTGGCTGACGGCGCGCCGGCCGGCAGGGATGGTATACTGGGGATGTCGTTGGAAGCAGAGCAGCGACCCGACAAGCGGTGCGAGTCTGGTAATGACTTGAATGCCAGTAGACCCGTTTCCAATAACGGCGACCCTTTTGTTTTTGAAATCATAATGTTCAGGCCACCGGGCAGTGTGATATAACTCGCCTTGAAAGTTATCACGACCCGGCACATCAGGCCAGTTCGGGTCGGACAGGATCCCAAGCGCTGTTACCAAGTAGCGAGCCGTGAATAAACCGTCGCTGGTCTCTATAGTCCATGTATGCTCGTCTTCATTCCATTGCGCCGAAAGCAGCTCCGTGTTGAACTGCATGTGCTTCCGCAGGCTGTGACGGTCAACGACATGCTCCAGGTACGCGAGTACCTCTTTCGCCTCGAGGTAATTATTCGACCAGGGATAGGACATCAGATCTTCTTTGTCCCATGAATATCGATACAAATGGGAGGGAGAGTCACTCATTGCTCCGGGGTAGCGGTTCCAGTACCATGTGCCTCCAGGGCCACCAGCCTTGTCTATCAGCTTGACAGTGAGACCCAGCTGCAGGAGGGAATATAACTGATATATCCCTCCAAACCCGGCCCCGACAACGAATGCGTCGTAGGATTTCTGTTCCATGATGAAAGTACTGTAAAGAGGTGCAGGAATGGAGCAAAGACTAATACTTTGAGGACAACCAAGCTCCAGCTACCGCTCTTTAAATAATACGGTGTTGGGGCCAGATTGGGGCTCTTATTCTCCAAATTTAGGGCCAACAAGATTAATAAATTATTGGTGCTTGTTAAACTGCGGCTGAATCCTGTCAGCACTGCCACCGCCAGACAGGCCATTGACATTAAGTTCGGGCAACGAAGCCTCGGAGACCAGACTCGAGTTCAATCGGCATTTTCTAATACGTGAGTAGTTATATCTCTATATACAGCTCAAATCATCCATCAGTACATAGAGGCCCATAATCCTTCCCGGGCAGGGTCTGCTGGAACCAAGACGAGCTCCCAACGCAGGTTGGACAATAGAAGATGCCCTCTGGATCGTATTTATTCTTGATATCAAGGAGCCGATCGTAGTTCTCGCCATAGAAGTCTTGTTCCCACCACGGATTATTCCGATCAGCCTAAGAAAGTCAGCAAATATCACAGGATTGAAGATAAGTGCTCCATACCTCGTTAAGATAACTCCCCATCGACGGAGTCAACTCGCGCATAGCCTGGTACTTATTATAGGTAATATCAGCCTTGACGGCTTCCCCAACAAGCGATCCAGCTGTCTCCTGCCATCCACGCGCGACAATGTGGACGAGATATGTCTTTCGCCATGCTGGGTTTATGCCGCTGTACTCTGGCCCGTCGAGCACCTTTCCACCACCAACCAAGAGAACCTGATTGACAGTGCTCTCTTTGGGATGTCCTGCTAGTGTTCCAATAACTCCACGGAGGGCATCGCTATTTGAGGTCAGAGAATTCTTGTCAAACATGCGAGAAGCGAGCGCAGACTCAGGGACTCCAGTTGGCTGGCGCACGCCGGACAGGGCGCGATAATACGCCGAATACGATGGAAACTCAAACCACTGGATGGAAATATTGATAGATTCATAGGAAGAAAGCCTATCCAGAACCGGTTTGAAGGCTGCTTTGGCAGCTGGCAGGGGTTTATCCAGGGCTGCAAGGGCATGTTGGTATCCGGTTGAAGAGTTCGCGTATGTGCCGGCTGGATCGTTCACTGACCAGGAGCCATACCCTGAAAAACCGGCATCGGAAATAGCAGGAAAGTATGAATAAAGATCCGCAATTGCATCTAGGAACGAGTCCAGCTTATGTGGCGACCGGGGTGTTATGACGAGAGAGTGCGCAACGACCGGTTTGGACGGAAATGCCTTGATAGTGACAGAAACAACCACGCCATAGGTGCCTCCACCGCCACCACGGAGCGCTGTGAAGAGATCTGGATGGGAGCATGAATTTGCAGTGACCATAGTCCCATCTGCTAGGATGACCTGCGCTTCCAGGATCTGGTCGCTGGCCAGGCCAAAGTCGCGGGCTGCTGGGGAATGGCCGCCCCCTTGGATATAGCCACCGATGACGCTGACTGTCTATACAAGGTCAGTAATCTCAATATTGAGGATGATAAGGAGCTTCTGACCGGGTCTCCTCCACCAACGACAATCAAATTGCGGGCGAATGCTTCCTGGTAGACATCTTCCCAAACATACCCCCCTGCGACCGTCAAGGCAGCACCAGTCCAGTCGCACTTGGAGCAAGAAATTGAGGGCTTAAATCCCTCCTGATACGCAATGCCCTTACGCAGATATCTCATCCAGATCTGAAGCGACCCGTAGCCCGTGGACCTGACTCTGTTAACGCGGGTCAAGATACCACGATTCAAATACGCACTTGCCCAGCAAATCATGTCCAGTGTTTCGAACAACCAGACACACGTTATTCTCTCGTGCAAATGCAATTCCTGCCACTAATTCCTCCGGCTCAGAGGCATTGATGGTGTACACTGGCGATGGCCCAAGACCACACTTGCGCCATGGTACTTCCCCAGCTGTCTGGTTGACGGCAGGACAGGTATTGACGAGCGGATTGCTGTACCCGATGGGTTCATCTGCCTGAAAGGTCGTGTTGGACCATTGCGAATTGACGTATGCACATTCCTGCTCGTTGTGCTGCGGGCCAGGATAGCAAGGGAGGGCTGGCGGCGTGTTGTGAATGAGCTTACCAGACACGGTCGCATTTAACGCATTCCAGTCGAGGCTTTTCCAGCAGCTGTCAATGGGAGTCTAGACCTAATCAGTATATTTCAATATGCAAGATCTCTGACGGAAAATGACAGCGCGTACACATCTACACTGTGCCCCGAGCGCGGGCACGATGCTGAAGCCCAATACAGCCACGAGTGCCAGGAATTCCATAATTTCAGAACTGGCCTTCGATTAACGTCCTTGAAAGAGGGGGCTTAATAGTTTAATTATTTTACAACAGCAACCCGGAGCATGGGCTGCATGGACCGTTCGTCCAGGGCACTAAGCGAGGTGGCGCACGATCTCATTTTCAAGAACTGTTGGGGTTCACGAACTCGAGATCGTCGAAAAACCTTGAACAGCCCAGGCTGTGCGCTGGCCTGGTCAGCGTCTGATCGGCGTGCGTGGCTGGCGTCTGTGGAATGCAGCGAACGAGTCGCGCATTCGCGATGGCTTCACCTGATTGAATCGAGAAACTCTACGAGGTCTGCCTGATTGGTTCGTACTCTACTCGTGTTACCCCTTGCTGTCAGAGCACCAGCGTGTTTGATTGCCGAGTCCTGGGGTTATCCCTGGCTGACTGCGTTGAGCCCAGAGTCTGCTTTGTTGTCACTCAAGCGCGGTCAGGCGTGTTAAAATGGCACGCTGGTCATCAGAATGACTCTTTCGACTCTTTGAGATACCTGCACTATGGACTCCAGCCTGGCGGACCTGCTAAACCCCCAGGGCGTTGCTACACATCTATCGGAGCGAGGGCTCATCGCCGTCACTTGGACCGGCGCCGGTCTGGCAGCAGTCTTTACAGGCCTTCGTCTGGGGATTCGTCTGACGCGACTGAAGCACCTGCTAGCAGACGATTATTGCATTCTTCTGGCGCTGTTCTTCCTGGTAACCAACGCGGTGCTCCAGACCCTCCAGGCGCCGCATCTCTATCACATCGCCTTGACGCCGTTGACCGGCGATATCGTACACCATGTGAATATGTATACCCGCTACGAGTTTGTCGTCATTGGACTTTTCTGGTCGGTGCTCTGGGGCGTCAAAGCAGCATTCCTGGCGCTGTTCTGGACGATGACCGACAACCTGCCTCACTATCGCCGCTGGTGGTGGGCCATTGTGGCCTTCTGCTTTGGCTCTTATGCTGGCTGCTGGCTGACCTCTGCCTTTACGTGCCATCCACCGTCTGATTACTTCAAATTTGGTGTGTTCTCCGACTCTGCAATACTGCTCTTCTGACGGGCTAGCCAAATGTGCGAAACCGATTGACCAGCAGGGGTCTGTCATTGCCATCTGCTACAGCACCGCCGTGGACATCCTGACCGACCTGATGAGTATGTCTTGCACGGAGCACTTTATATCTTCTAACAATAGCAGTCATGGCCTTTGCACTGCGAATGGTGTGGTCGACAACAATCACCCCGAACCAGAAAGTTGGACTTGGGATTGTCTTTTCCCTCGGGGCCTTCATCATTGCCTTTGCAATCGTGCGCGCCATCAACATCACCGGCCGTGCCTACTCTGACCAGGCGGGACTTGCTGTCTGGAGCATCGCCGAGTCCTCTATCTGTATGACATCTGTCCCCGATTTGAGTAGAGCTGATGATCGTAGCGGTGATAGTCGGCTGTCTGCCCCCGTTCAAGACGTTCCTCTCGCGCAGCAACTCAACGTACGAGTCTCGATATCCTCCTGTCTACGGAGGAAGTGGTCTCTCTCGTCGGAAACGCTCAGTAACGCAGACGACATCCTGGAGCGAGACACAGCTCGAGCAGGAGTACGAGCTGTCTTCACGCCAGGTTCTCGTTTCAGCAGGCAGGGAAGAGAGCCCATCCAGACAGGGCGAGATACTGGTTACCCAGGACTTTGTAAGTACCCCTTCGAAGAAAGTGAATTTATTCTAACTGAGGCAGACGATATTGCGAGAGCAGCGACCAGGCAGGGATTAATCAATATTTATGTAAGGATTTAATGAGAGACGCCGTGTGAATACTATAGATAGCATTCTAATAGCAGCGACATGGATCGACAAGCATGCAAGGGACTACTGGATTGCAGTCCAAGCGCGCCTGAACGCCTCGTCGTGTCGAGTGCTGCGATTTCGAACCTGATATCCAACGCGGAGCCCTAAAGAGCACACCAGGAAGCGTAGAACTGAGTATCAACACCTGCGGATTAACAGAGCTCACAATTCCAAACACCCATAGCAGACTGCAATAGTAATCGCTCCAGTATCACTAACAACATGCTGACCGGACAGGCCTCCGCCCAAATCCAAACGACGCAAGGGGCGTCCAGGACTAAATCCATCGTTCAGGCCTGGATGTCTCCGGATCCCACACTGCACGATCCATATGGAGCGCCCACATTTCCCAGAACTGCCATACTTGCCGGAATGGAATAGCCATATATTTGTCGCCCTCAGTCGCGATGAGGCCCACCCAGCGGTGTGACAACGCCAGCGAAAGACCTCCGCATACTCAAAGGTACGACAGGACCGATAAATCCCAAAATCGGCACGCAATCAGGCATGATAGCGCACCGCAGCCGATCGGGGAAATTTCGTCGCACAGAGTATCAGAAAAGCCCCGAGCGTGGAGGATGTCGGGGCGAATGCAGCCTCGGAGAATTCTCCACTGTGTAACAGAATTGTTCCCATGACAGATTATCAGCCTGCTTCTCGAAGACTGGACAGATCAATATCATGCCCTACAATCCAGCGATTCCCCTTCTTTATCCAAGTCGGACAGCATGCTCCCGAACAGCCTGTGCGTGGTCGACTTCCACGGCGAGAGAGCATCAGGCAGCCAGTCACAATCTGGTGCGCTCTCCATAGGTTTGGCACACCTCTGTTTCACGCCAACACGACAATAAATAAAGCTAATGATAAGCCACGCTACCTGGCAACTCTTATGTACGGTCGGTACTGCCGCAGATCGTCCTGATACGTCGATGTTTCAGCCCGAAACAGGCTAAATGAAGACATTCCCTGCCAATTAACTTATAGGAATATATTTACGGTGGACCATAGTGTTAAAAGCACTGTTCCGTTCCTAATTGTAAGTTTATCTGGGGCTTCAGGCAAGAAGACAGCTCAGCGGATATCTAGTTATCTGAATCCTTTACACCTGCTGCTTCCTGGAGCAGGTTACTGTACTTCCTTCGCTCGCTCCCCTGCATCGTGGTATTGCGGCGTTGCCAGCCTATCTCAGTGGGCATGCGTTCGTTTCCTAACGATATTAGCGCCGACAACCAGAGTCGAATATCTTACTTACTGAACCAGTACTCAATGTACTTCTTGTCCACCGTGCCAGTGGTCCCATCGGCCATGATCTCAAAGAAAGATGCGCATTCACCCCAGCTAAAGCCATCAGCCAGCCACGACAACTCGAACTCGGGGTTGCTCTTCTTCGATGTTGCCAGACGGCCCATCCTGGCCTTTGCAAGCTGGTCCACCGTGATCATCGGGGTAGTGAAGTACGACGCCGTCTCAGCCCAGACGGTTTCATTGAAGGGGTTCGGATCGGCGAAGTACGCATCAGAGCGACTGTCGTTTGCAGTTAGAATGTGAATACCAAATCCAAGAGAAAACACACCTTAAACTAATGTCATGCTCCAATATACCGTGTCGACCAAGGTCCGCCAGGTCGAAGCTAAGCGTCAACGGCCAGTTGGGGCTTGTCCTGATCGCCTGGGTGAACAGGAGCTCCGCATCACTGTGCTCGATGTTGAACCCCTCGAGCATGGCATCTTTGAGGATGTCGAGGGTGATTCCCGTACCGTTTCGGGGGAGGTATCCATGGTTGGCAAGGGTGTTTAGACCTGGACAGGGCCCGCGGGCTGAATCGGATGAGTCTCACTGTTTGCTTCAATGGGAATGGTACTCACAGTCGTCAGGACCTGGTGCTATCCATTCCTGGGCCTGCCATTCTGAACGACCTTCGAGATATTCCGGGTATGCCACTGCACAGCCAGCGAGGCCTACAGCAAGAGATAGAATCGGCGTCTTCATGTCTGCTGTACCTCAGAATGATTGCTGATGAAGGCAGAGAAGTGCCAGAATTTATACCTCGTCGTCACGGCATTCATACTGCTCAGACAACCTAGCAGGCCCTGCTTCGAAATGAAGAATCTTTCATTCGCGAGCAACGACCGCGGCTGCAATTCGAGTTTCAGATATTGAAGCCGCGACATCGGGAGTTGGGACTGTATCAGACAACCAGCCGAGGCCACGTACTGGCGGGGATATATCCAAATTATGAGTTCGTCAGCCATATAAGATCCATATACCGGAGAAGCAGAACGGTATATTGCATCTGGATATCCCCCCGGTTGCACCTTGAGGCAGACAGCCTCGGCGAATTGTTTCAGGGACAGCCATCCAAGACGGTGCAAATCGTATCAGGATGCCAGATCTGCCGCATCTCGGTAGTTCTCTCGATAAGGCTGATCCGAGGTTACCAAGCTTTCTAATGATCGAATCTATTGCCAAGAATAACAGAGTCTGTTATAGTTATTCAGAAAGACTCCAAGTCAGCCGGACTCCATCACTACACAGCCACGAATCCTGCAGGACGTCTCGAGTATAACCAGGTCAACCCCGCAGTATCCACTCGAGACTTCGTCAATTTTCGTCAGTTTCTATCGCGTAAAATGCGGATCTTAAACTGTGCTGGCAAAGCAATTTCCCTGGCGTTCCTGCTCTTCGTGTTCGCCCTCCCTGCATACAGTCGAACATCCAAGATAGTAGACCTGGGATATGCCCGATACCAGGGAACTGCGCTCACCGGGGTCCACCAGTTTCTGGGAATGCGCTATGCAGAACCCCCCATAGGCGAGCTGAGATGGAGGGCTCCTCGAGATCCAAGTCCCATACCGGGCATCCAGCGCGCAGACACCGTGAGCATTGACCGCTGGGCACTCAGGGCAGTGATGAACTGACTGATCAGCTCCCCCCTATCTGCATTGGTCTGGGCGAGACCGAGACTGCAAACAAGACAGAAGACTGCCTGTTCGTCAACGTGTTCGCCCCGTCCAACGCAACGCCAGCATCCAACCTTCCAGTCTGGGTGTACATCCAGGGCGGCGGATTCGTGACGAATGCCAATGCAAACTACAACGGATCAGACCTCGTGGTGAAGTCCGATTCCAGCATCATCCTGGTCAATTTCAACTACCGCGTCGGGCCTCTGGGCTTTCTCGCCGGGGCGGAAGTGCGCGGAAACGGCGACGTGAACGTTGGCCTGCTGGATCAGCGCAAGCTGCTACACTGGGTCCAAAAGTATATTCATCTAGTAAATGATCCTGATTCGACCAGAGCGTGTTGATTGTCCCTAACGGCCGTTTTAGTTTGGGGGCGATCCTGGACATGTGGTGATCCACGGCGCCTCTGCAGGGGGCACGTCAGTCACACACCACCTGGCTGCCCACGACGGGCGCGACGAAGGGCTCTTCGTAGGCGCAATTGGGGAGTCGATCGCCTGGACGCGTTCCTTGACGATCAGCGAGTCAGATCCCAATTTCGCGCGACTCGCGGCGCACCTCAACTGTACCGGGGTGAGCCGGATGCACTGCCTACGATCGCTGGACGCCAGCACCATCCAGACACTCGGAAACACTCCGAACGAGCAAGTCATGGCACTGGAGAGCCAGCTGCTCTTCCAGCCAGTCATCGACGGTGACCTCTTCACGGCCCCGCTGTACCATCTCTTCGCGCAGGGCAAGTTCCTGGACGTGCCGTTGATAGCAGGCTGCGACACCAACGAGGGCAGTCTCTTTGCGCCCAACGCCTCGCATCGAAGCGACGTTTCCAGTTTCCTGCAAAGCTGGTCCCCACAGCTGCATGGCCCCCAAGTCCAGCATCTCGTTGATCTGTATCCCCCAGCTGAGTTTGCGCCAGTGCCAGGGCGCGCGCGGTACTTTCCGCCAGCGTCGCAGATCTTCGCTGACGGGGTCTTTCTCTGTCCCACCGCGTGGATCGCCAGCCGTCGTCGTATCCAACGGGTGTGGAACTATCGTTACAATGTCCGCGATCATGTCGCTGTCGCTGCAGGGCTGGGGGTGCCGCATACCTTTGAGACTGAGGCGATATTTGGCCCGGGCCAGGCAGAGAGCATCAGGCCTGGGTTTCTGGGAGCTGGGGCCTCGTACAGCACGTACAATGCCGCAGTGGTGCCGCTGTTACAGAATTACTTAACTAGCTTTGTGAAGGATCTAGATCCGAATTCCTTTCGTTCGTCAGGATCGCCGTTTTGGGCGCCATTCACACCAGACAGCGTAGTTCGCTTGAAGATCCAGACGAACCGCACTGCCATGGAGGTCATGCCTCACGATCTACAGGAAAGATGCGATGTTTGGTATAGTCTTGAGGGTATACAGAAAAGTAGTTGACTGCGGGAGTCTATCCAAGTTTATGGTTGAACAAGAAATCTTGATAGTTCTGCAGGTAGGCCTAAGCCAAGCTATTCACAAAAAATAGATACATGAAGGAGTAGTACTCCGTAGAAGTGAAATGTCCAAGCTTAGTTGCTCTTGGCCCAGTCGCGGACCTTGGTGTAGGGGCTGTCCCTCTTGGTGAGGACACCGCGCTTGGAGCCAGCCTTCAGAAGGTTGTGCGACTCAATGTCGAAGCAAGAGTCTGTAACAGTGGCGCTCTCACTGGTCTCACCGCACAGAGGGTATTTGGTCTTGGTGCCCATGTCGCAGAAGTAGTTCTCGGCCAGGTGGACAAAGTCGGGGCCCATGGAGGTGTCGGAGTCGCAGAGACGCTGGGCAGAGTGGTTGGTAGAGTTACTGACGACAAGCTGCTCAGCGGCCCAGGCAACACGGGGAACCTGTCTGACACGGTTCCGACGCTTGCTGATGTTCATATCACGGCGGGCCTTGCTGGCATCGGTCCAGAAGTTGATGTCACCGGGGTCCTCCTCGGTGCGAAGGCCAAAGTCGATGTCGTTGCAGATGTTGGAAGGGTCGGTGTTACCCTCGTCGAACTCCTGCTTCGAGTACCGGGGCCAGCGCACCTGGACGGCTGTGTTGGGCTGGTCACCGTCGGCGTCAATCCAGAAGCACTTGGGCTGGTAGGACTGGTCGGTGTCGGTCCACATGTTGGACTCGTACCAGGTGCCTCCGCAGGCCTCGCCGTAGTCGCCGGAGACGGCGAACTTGTTGCCACCGGCCTCCTGACTCCAGGTGGTGGTCACCCAGGCGATGCAGATGGCGTCGTTGTTGGCCGTGAGCAGGGAGTAGACACCCTGCTGGTCGTGGTCAACCTCGACGGTGCCCACAGTGCCATCGCCGACACTGCCGGGGTCGGCAGTCATGCCCTTGAACTCGCCGAAGTCGTTCCAGACGCGGCTGCAGGAGTTAGAAGAGATAATGTACGTTGGAGGAGCACATGGGGCTTACACGTCTGGCAGGTCTCCGCCGGCATCTTCAGTACCGCCGTTCTCGCCGTCAAGGCCAACAGCAACCTTGATGGTAGAGCCAGGCTCGGTGGTGTCTGCGAAGTTGTTCATGCCGAACTGGACAATACCCAGAACACCGGCAACAACGCCAATGGCTTCGACAACGCCGGCCATTTTGATCAGGGAAAGGTACGAAGATGGATTGGACTGGGGTGCGAAGGACTGCGAAGGAGTTTGAGATGCTTAAGCTTGAGATGGAGTTGAAACCCCAGGTACCGGAGCACCTTTATATACCTGTCTCCAGCATCATACACTCAGGCTGCACTCCAAACGGTCGGAGTGGACCGACTGGATCACGCAAGCCGATGTCGACCATCTCCCGGTCAATCTTGCCTTGGCTGAGGACCACGATGGCGCAGCAAGTTACATCGTGCAGGGGCCAAATCGACCTTCCCAATCACGGCGATGGTCAGTTTATCGCGATGAAGCAATCCTTCGTGGGGGCGGCCAATCTGCACCAGGCCTGAATGCATTGAAATTGAATGAAGACACGGATCGACAGGGTGTTCCTTAGCTCTCTGGGGGCCAGAACCCCACGCGACCATGTGCATCTGCCTATGGACGGAGAGGCAGTGTGCAACAGATCGGCACAGTGGCGATTGACCTAGCACATCCTTCGCTAGAGAGTCTACGTGGGTCAGACATCCAGAGAGGGCTGGGGTAGGGCACCCCCTGGCAGGCCGGTGGCACAGCCCGATCTGCAGACAAGACCACAGCCTGCCCACGTTGTAGCAATTGACACTATGCCTTGTCAAAAGCCCTAACTACCTGGTTTTTGCCATTCTGTGATATCATCAAGCAGACAACCTGATCCGTAGTTCGTACTGCAACATAAAAGATGCCTCTTTACCCGAAATCACCGCTGCTATCACTCCTGCTCAGCCCCCAGATACACCCACAGCTGTTCCCCTTTTGGCATCTTGCACGATTCTGTGACTTCCTACCCCGTACATCATGACCCACTCTACGCTCGGCTCACTCTACCTCTTTCTGGCCCCCATCCTCTCTGTCCTGGCGCAGGATCTCCCCGCCGACCTTACAGGATGCACCGAGGTCGACTGCCCCAACGACGGCTGGGACTCTTGCACGGTTGCAGACGAGACCTACGCTGGCATAGGGCTGTCAGGAATTGACAGCGTGCCCGACTCGCTCGATGGCATTTCCCTGGTGAAGGGGGTGCACGTGGAGGACGACGAGGATAGAGGCGACACCGACAACGGCGCCGACAAGACGCGTCCATTCCGATCTGTATACTACCTTGGTACGCCTGCCAATGTAAACGTGGACGACCTCTCTGGCTGCGCTGTTGTCTTCAATGATCCTCCCACCGGCCACTTCAATAAACCCCTTATCAACGACAGCGTCAATGTCAACACGCGTGCTGCCTACGGGACCTGCCCGGACGTTATCCAACCGGACTGCATCGACAAACTCACTGAGCAGGCTCGCAAGACCAAGTACAATGGCTCCAGCCCGTGCTCGACGCTCCAGTCGGCTCTGCAAGACAACCCTCCAGACGAGTGCAGCGACCTGACTGGCGGCGGCGACGGACTGGGCAAATTCGATGTCATCTCGCTGGGCAACTTGTCGACCATCTCCAAGTCAGACAACGCCTCGTCTGACTGCTGGCCTGTCCTGCCAAAGTCAAATAACCTGGCCCAGCTTACTGACGATACCGCAATGGTATGCCTATCGCCCTCTAGTCTATCCAATACTGATACTCGTCTTCTCCTAGGGAAACTACACAAATGAAGGACTGCTCGCCGAGATGTACAAAATTACACCAGTGCTCACGGTCTTCACGTCAGGCAACAACAGCAACAGCCTCGTAAACGAAACCTCAGCGTCCCTCACCTGCCTTAAAGTCGTGACGACTCCAAACATCGACAACGGGACTGATGCTGACACTGATACCGACACGGGCGCTGCTGCGTTATCACCAGCAAATATGGTTGCCGTTACCCTTGGGGCTCTTGCTACTGCTGCGTTTGCATTGCTTTGATGGCATCATCAGCCCCATTAATAGTCTTAGTTTCGATAGATATACGTACGCCTAGAATGAGAGCATGATTTTCTGATAATGACGATGGCCCTGGCAAGGCTGACTTCCTGCAAGATTCCCTGGCTGCTCAGAAAGAGCACCCAACGCTCTGTAGTCCTCGTTGCCATTAGAAACGAAGTGAGGGAGGGTAAATGAACCGGCCTCTGTTGCTTTAGGCTACGGTGTATCTTTGCTGGGCAGTGTATTTTCAGCAATTGTCAGAATAATGGAAATCAGTACATATTAGTAAACCTTTGTTCTAGAAATAAGTGTCATAGGAGTAGCAGGACTGTCTGACAAGGTTTGCTTTCGAAGAATGAAGCAAAACAAAACCAACAAGGACACAATAATATCAAGCAAAATAAAGAAGCAATGCAGGCACAAAGCCATCGCCCACTCATAGGTTGTCGAACAGCCCAGATACCAACATGCTCAACGCCCAATGAAGACCATCAGCACTGCAAAATATCTACAACACGTCAGATTTCGAGTGCTTTAAGAAGATTTCTGGTAGTACTTACGTAGCTGCAGCTGCCAGTGCCTCCTGCAGCTTTGCAGTTGAAGCTATCCCCACAAGCCCGAAGAACAAAATAGCAGAGCACGTACTCAACCCCAACCTCCCGGCTTTCGAGGGAATGTAGGCCAGGCCCCATGCCGGGCCCACTATCATCAATAGCCCGAGGATGGAAAAGAGCCAGGCACCCGCCCGCTCCTTGCGATCAGAAGAATAGTATCGAATATCCTGCGAGACGGGAAGTGGAAGGCCGGCCTTTGGTTTCCCAACCTCCCACAGTTTCAGGCGGCGGAAACCCTCTTTCGTGTCGAGAAACCGCAGCAAGGGGGAGACTTGCGGCTGTTTACGAACGGGAAAGAGGTCTCCATGATCAAGGTATTCCTTCTCCTCGGGAACTATGGCGTTCTTATAGTTCTCATGCCAGGTGTGGAGGCTCGTGATGTCATTCTGTTCGACCGGATCGCACGCGCAAAGCTGCAGATAAGATGCCATGTACTGGTCTAGATGCCAGATAATTGTCAGACTTCCAGATGAGCCGAAAAGGAACAAGAGGGGATAGACGTACTATACTCCTTTAACTGGGTCTGGGCGAGGCCGAGAACTGGCACGCGTTCATCCTCGTCGTGCAAACAAAACGTACCATTGTCGACCACATCAGACCCGCGCTGCATGTAGCGAGCGTCGAGCTGATCCAGCCTTTTCTCGGTACGCGACAGATTGTTCTGCATCCTCAAGATAATACGCGTGTTCAAGCGATCGAACCGACGGAAGAAGCAAAATGCAGAATGGGATGCTATGTCGTTGACATAGCGCGGGTAGCCTATCAAGGACATCGTCACGGTCAGGGTATGGAATCAGACGGTGTCAAAGTCCAGGGGACTTACCCATGTATCTTCGCGGGTCACTCTCTCTATCTTTCTCCGATAGCTCTTTTGGGGGTGATGGCACCGTTGACATGAAGGCCGTGGAGGGAGTATGGCGTGATGATGGACCTTCACCAGGACTTGCGGAGCTGGGAGTGGAAGCCATCTTGGTCGATGGTGCTGGGGAAATGAGAAAGCATGAGAGAGAGTAGATTCAGCCTTCCGGGGGGGGAGCGTTTGACCCTGACAGCTAGGTGGGCAATTGAGATGCTGGTTACACAGGCAGAAATGCTGCTGAGACCTCAGGCCTAGATGAGTATCAAACGCATTTAGGAGACTCTCCATTCGCCCAGTTCAGCTCACTGTCTCGGATGTCTTTCCTTCATGTTCTGCCCAACCCCTGAGTCTGTCTTTTGCAATGACGGAAAGCTGAATTTCTCTTCAATCTCTCCAATGCTCAACCAAACACCTACGGAGCATCTACCTTCCTTGTCCTAGCTATCCACGGTCTCAGACCACATTACTCGTACGAAAACCACCTAAATGACCGAAATCGAACCCATGATGCTATTGGGCCCACCGAGCCTTTCTAGCGAGCAGAGCGCACCCGTGGCAGGACACGGGTCGGTGACCAAAGAGCACATTGGCGGTCCCGAAATACACCCAAAGAAAGAACGAAGAAATCCACAACAACAACAACCATCAGACACTCGAAATGAGAGCAAGGGGGGGGATGCAAAGGAAAGGTGCGGAGGGGAGGGTGGGAGGAAGCTTGCTACGGGAGGTGAAGACAGCGGCTCTGACTCCGATGACCAAGGGAGTTCTAAATCGGAAGAATACGGCAAAGAGCACAGGGTCTCCATGGCAGGAATGAAGATTTTCGGACGGCAGAAGCCGAAAGGGTCTGTTCATCCCACGGGGGCGACCAGGGAAGAAGAATGCGATGGGACATCCAAGACTTCGGCCAGCGCGACGAAACGCTTTGTCGAGCAAGCTAATCGTCTCATGAGTTACCCTGGAAGACTCCTCAAGGTCAGACGTGGGAACAAGGCTGAGGGATCCGCTGCGTAAGTGCAGGTTTTGTTCGTTTCAGTGGGTGTGCAAATACTGACCAAGAACCTTCACAGCTCACAGGATAAAGGACCAGGCCCAGGTTGAGACTGAGTGTGTGCCTGGTTGTTTAGTTTTGTGTATTCTATGTCCTATGTCTATCCTATGTTTTGTTGATCTACCTTTGAGAACAGTCTGGCTCCCTTTGATAGTCTCGTCTCGACAGACGCTTTCTTTTTATATTGGTTTCTACTACTGCCTCAACCAAACTTAACCCTAAGTGAACAAGTGAGTGAACAAGACCAAAGCAGCCCGAGGGACCCTGTCATGAAGGGTATAAGAATGTCCCAGTTTGCTTCGATTAGCTGCATTCCAGATTCCACCGCAAACACGCGATTTTCTGCTTACTTTTAACCATCATGTCCAGCGAAGAACCCCACCTCCTTACCTTCACGGATGTAACAGACCCTGAAGAACTCCAGGAAAATGCGGATTTGTGCGCAGCCATGGCCTCTGCAGCACAGATTATGGACAACGTCGGCGTGTTGAACGTACTTTCAGGCTGGCCGGCTGTTTCCATCCTGTGTGATGTGCGATTAATCCCAGTATGTAATATCCCCCCCCGGCTAAATCGAGTGGTTGGAGCTAACTTAGAATTCTTCAAGGAAATGATCTTTCTCGTGCCAGACGACCAGGTCCAGCAAGCGATTGATGCACTTGCTGCTAACCCCGGATACCCTCGCTGCGTCGACCCCAGCTGTGCGGTCTTCAAGGAGGATCGATGTCCAAACGAGCCGCCGTCTGATGATCCCGTGCGATTTGGGGTTGTAGGAGCTGCCCATTTCCACGTCGTCCCATCGGGGCTTCCGCTAACGCTCTATCCAATGTCCAAGATGGTGTGGTCGCTCCGGGACTTGAATGATGAAAGCCCCCACATCACGCTCGCATCTGCGTGCATGCCCGAGCCATGGGCTGAGCTCTATCCGATCAGGGTCCTCACGCGGCGTGCCTTTGTCGAGTCTCTGATCTTGTGCCGTTGTCGAGACTACGGCCGCAATCCCAGTCTTGATACGCTGTGGTGTCGACTGCTTCTTGCTTTCGCTGTGCGCGGAGTGGATTTGTCTGATGGATTCGCACCTTTCTGGTCGGTCTTTGCTTACCTAGACGACGTCTATGATCCCGACGAGCTGTTATGTGAGCTCCGTGATAAACTGATCACTAGGGACGGTCTCCCGGTTCATCCTGACCACTGCCCCGACAGTTGGAAGTTTCGGTCCCGAGGACACTGGCGCCGGGCGTGCACTGAGATGCTTTAATTGACAAGTGCAGCCTGGCTCGTTGGATCTGTCGTGTAGCTGTCCACTCGGCGCCGGACAGGAATCTTCCATCAATCAGAATAGCTTCATAGAACAATGTACCCCGCTTGCTTTTTTCTAGTATTTCCATCCCCGCATGCTCGCCTTCTTTAAACTCTCCAGTAAACTGTCCCCATGTTTCGCACTGTCGAGGACCGGCCAACGCCAGAGGAGGTGTACAACTGGCGACTGTACACCGAGGCGACGATAATCGCCACGGGCTCGCTGCTGTACGCCGTCCTCTACAGCTCCAGAAAACGTTACTAACAAGTTCCAGGTTTGGCTATGATTCGGCCTTTATCGGAACGACCATTGCCCGCCAGAGCTTCGTGGATGCCTTCAACATCGTTGAGTCCGAGGCTGCGGATATCTCGAGCAATATCACGTCTACCTTCCAGGCCGGCGCTTTCTTTGGCGCAATTTTCTGCTTTCTCCGTGAGCCTCCACATGTTGAGTCAGTATAAACTCGCTGATTATGATCTAGTGACAGAGAAGATCGGACGGAAATGGGCTCTGCAGGCGAATACGCTTCTGTTTCTGATCGGAGCAATCATCATGACGGCTGCCACCCATCAGCTATCTTACATCTGTAGGCTGCTGGAGAATCATATTTATGCAGCCTGCGATGCGTACTAATACCGCAAAGACGCAGGACGAGCACTGACCGGGATCGCCTGCGGCGCAATCACAGCGACCGTCCCAAGCTACATCGCCGAGTTATCCATCGTGTCAATCCGCGGCATCCTCACCGGCTTCTTCGAGGTTTCATACCAAATCGGCAGCTTGGTAGGCTTCTGGATCAACTACGGAATCAACCAGAACATGGACAACTCCTCGATGGCGAGCTGGAGAGTCCCGATGGCAGTACAGATCATCCCAGCCGGTGTCCTCCTACTCGGAGGATTCGTCCTCCACGAGAGCCCGCTATGGCTGATGCGAAAGAACCGCGAGGACGACGCAGCGACTGCGCTGGAGGTGCTGAGGAAGTTACCCCGGTCGCATCAGTGTAAGCATTCCTATCAGTACTGGAAGCCTAACAATCTGACGAGAGCAGACGTGCAGGAAGATATCGAGATGATCCGCTCCAGGCTCCAGGACGAGGCGCGCATTGCAGAAAAGTACGGCCATGGCTCGTGGGCGTACTTCCGGGGCGCTCTATACGAGCTCTCGCGGCATGGAATGTGGAACCGCGTGCTGTTGGTGTGGTGTGCCTTTGTGCTGCAGAATATGTCCGGCGCTGCAGCGATCAACTATTACTCTCCGACGCTGTTTACCTCGCTGGGCATCACCGATGTCGCGCTGTATACAGGAATCTACGGTCTGGTGAAAGGTGGGTGCCTCCATCTGCTCATGTGCAGGCATTAACCGTTTGTTGCAGCGGTCGCGTCGATCATCTTCTACGGCGTGCTCATTGATATCTGGGGCCGCCGACAGCCGACCATCATTTCGTCTCTTGCCTGCTCGCTTTGCCTCTGGTTCGTGGGTGCGTATGTCAAAGTCGGGCATCCGGCCGATATCATCGACGCCGGGGGCGAGCTGTCGCCGTCCACAGAAGCAGGTGGAAAAGCAGCAACGGCAATGATCATGATCTACTCGGTCTTGTAAGCTACTCTTTCACTTTTCAGGCCAGTCACTAACTCTCTTAGCTGGTCTTTTGGCCTCAATGGGATCCCGTGGATTGTGTCGGCGGAGATCTTCCCAGGCGCACTGCGAAACCTGACAGGAACATGGGCTGCCCTGGTGCAATGGTACGCCTGAATCACTTTTTACAGTTCCCTCCTAATCCAAACAGGTTAATCCAGTTCATCATCACCAAGGCGCTGCCCTACATCTTCAACCGCTTCGGGTACGGCACCTGGTTCTTTTTCGCCTCGTGGATGATGCTAGCCACCTTGTGGTCGTTCTTCTTCCTCCCAGAGACAAAGGGGCGAACCCTAGACGAGATGGATGCGATTTTGTAAGTTCCTTTGCCAGGGATGCGACCCGTTGCTAACAATTGCAGTGGATACGATGCCGGGCATTCCTCCAGCAGCGAACAGCCCAAGATCGACCCACTCGGTGCAAGCCTTGATCGCCAGGAAGAGACTGTTTAGTTCAGTGGATACCAGATCTTGGTCCGCTTCCTGGGAAAGGTCGAGATTTTTAGGCGTCCGGTTTGTTTTTTAAGCTGTGGATCTGCCGGTGGCACACAATCAGATAAGGGTAGGGGGAAGTCCGATATCGTAGTTAAGTACGGTTTCATTTAATGTGATAACTTTCTGTATGTTTGCTATAGCCCTGTTAGGTTTAATATTGGTCTTCAATTCAGCTTATTATAAAAGTGTGGCATATCATGAAACTAATCTGGTACTCGTTTACAAGGGCAGGGTATATATACCACCCTGTGGACGAGATATATATCCGCAACTCAGATGTCGGTACGGCCACGTCAAGTAATTTTAAGCAATGACAAATGGAGATGTTAGAATTGATCCGCCATTTGCAATAAAAAGACCTTCCAAAGTAATATATCAAATTGCTGAAGGACTGTCCTGAGATAAATCCCAGCCGATGTTCGTTTACAATACCAGATTGGGAAGTCACAACCTCAACTATAATTGCCTAATTAGGAAGTATTTACGATACATATCCTCACTCTTGTTTAGGTTCACTGACTTCTGACAAAAGGATCAAGAGGAAAGATGGCATTCTCAGCGGAAACCCCGTCATACACATATTCCCACCTCGACTTCAACCCATCGGGCGTCTTCCAAGCCAGCTCCGGATCCCGGAGCCACAGCCGAACCAGATGACGGCGCTTCGCATCAGAGTCCGTGAACTCGGCCCGCGCGTGGAAAATCGAGAGATTATTAACGACCTGAATATCGCCCTTGTGGAAATCAAGCGACACTGCCGATTTCTCCGCGAGGTAGTGCAGCGCATCTAAAGCCTCTGCCTGGGCCTCAGTGATGGGCGGAAGGTTCGCGGAGCGAGGTTTCCCCCAGTACCCCGTGAAATTACGACGGGCATACTGGATAATCAAACGCTCAGGAGAGTCGCCATCCTCGGGTTGATGATATAGTAGTGGACGACTGATAGCCTCCTTTCCCTGGTCGGTAACCCACGGCTCAGAGAGGGTGTGGATGAGATCAGGTCTGGTGCGGGCCAACTCATTGTACACATGCCAGCTGCTAGAGAGGTAGCTCTGGCCGCCGCTCTCTGCCTCTTCTAGGGCAAATAAAGTAATAACGTCGCCTGCGTCAGTGTGGAAGACCTGTTTCTCGGTGGTATATGCCGGGGCCTTGATGGTCTTTGTGTCGACCTTGCGACTGAGGTCGGTGATGTGGGCGAGGACCACATCAGCTGGCTGGCCCTGCCAGTTGTTGTCTTGACGACCGCGGACTGTTGCGATGTGCGAGGTAATTCCTGCGTAGATTATAATGTTCTCTTCGCGGGTGTGCTGGTCGACAGGGACGCCGCGGATTACCTTGAACCCGCGACCCAGATGGATCTCCTTTGAGATGGAGCGGAGGGTCTCATGTAATTTTGGCAGGGGGAATGTTCCCTGGTTGACAAGCCCCAGGGGTAGATTTAGACCTGGCTCGTTAGTAAAAGACCCTGTAATAAGCGATGTGGCATACCCTTGAAGTGCTGGAGAGCTCCCTCCACTTCTTTCAGGTCGTCTTCAGTGAGATGGTAGTTCCAGTCGTATACCTGGGCCAGATCGGTTCCATCCCATGCGAGGTCAGAGTCGAGCCTCTGCGGAAAACCCTCTGGCAGCGCCCGGGGAAGGTCTTCCTGCTGGCGTCGCTTTGTGCGAGCAGCGTACTTGATGGGATCCGGCAGGTACTGAATATCAGGCTGGCCGGGCGGACCAACTGGCACGGGCGGAATAACTGCAACAGGAGCCATTTTACTAAGTGATAGTATCAGTCGATGGATAGCAGAGTTAGATGAAGAGCAGAGAGAAATGAATGCCCTCTTTCGTCCTGTTGCGAACGCAATCAGCGTCGCAGATGGCGTTAACGAGACCCCGCATGGTTTTGATCATCTGGCACTTCGATCACGACAAGCATTGCCAAGGTGATTTAGATTGATCAATATTTGTAAATAGAGATCTCACAGGCTCGGCTTTTCCCGCTGGTCGATGGAGTCTGTTGCTCCTCATTTAAGGGCTGATTGCGCCATCGCAATGTAACCCAACACAGCAGCTGTACAGAGTATGGATATAAACAGGTTCCCCCTTTAGTAAATGTTATTCAGGTACAGATATGGCTCCCCACAAAGACAGCGCGGTGGTCGAAACTGCCGTAGACAGGGACAGCGATGCCGACCATGTCCAGGCCGACGACGGCGTCCAATATGTCAAAGGCCACCCTGTGATACACACTGGTACGTTATTCTCTCTATACACGAGACAAGTCTAACTTTGTAGGCGCCGATGTCTCGAAATTCATCATCTCTGACCGCGATGACGGTGATCCTGCTCTGACCTTTCGCTCCATCGTGCTGGGCACCATCTTCACTGCCCTGTCGAGCGTGATCACTATTCTCTACGTGTTCAAGCCGTACCAAGTGCAGGTATCGGCGGTATTTCTGCAGCGTATGTAGACTATAATTTTTTTTTTCTTTGGCGCGCTAACATGCCCAGTTCTCGTCTTCGTCTTTGGCAAACTGTGGGCTACTTTTACCCCCCAACCGGAGCGATTCTCACATCCCTGGGTCCAAAAGAGTCTCCGATTCCTGAACTCTGGCCAGCACTTCGGAATCAAAGAGCACGTAGTCGCCGCGCTTATCGCATCCTCAGGAAACAATGGCCTTGCAGGTGTTGAGGTGCACGCCGTCGAGCGGCTGTTCTACGACGTCCACATCTCAGCATCGACCGCCGTACTGAGTACTTTCTCCATTGCACTCTGTGGATTCGTTCTTGCAGGTCTGTTGCGACCGTTGATCGTCTATCCTGCTGAAATGGTCTACTGGTCGACCCTGCCGCAGGTGGTCCTCTACCAGAATCTGCACTTTGACCCGCGCGCCAACAAACGCCGACTGACCAAGTTTGGCTGGGCCCTGGGAACTGCAGCAGTTTGGGAGCTGTTTCCTGCGTACATGGTAACCTGGTTTGGGGGGTTGTCTGTATTTTGCCTGGCATCGATGGGCGCACCGGAGAATACAAGGAAGATCTTCACGACCATCTTTGGAGGCGCCTCTTCCAACGAGGGACTGGGGCTGCTGAACTTTTCTCTGGACTGGCAGTATATCCAAAGTCTGTATATATCACTACCCCTGAAGCAGCAGATAAATTCCTGGATCGGGTATGCGATCTTCTACGTGGTGATGGCCGGGTTATACTACGGCAACGCCTGGGATGCAAAGTCGTTTCCCTTCATGTCGACCTCGATGTTCCAAAGTAATGGAGATACCTTCTCACCGGACTCAGTCACAAACGCAGAGGGGACAATCGACTACGACAAGCTCGAGCAAGTCGGTCTGCCGAATCTAACATCGAGCACCGTCTGGGGCTACCTGACACAGAATCTCGCCATCGGTGCCCTGATCACACATGTGCTTATCTTTTACTGGAAAGACATGGCCCTGGCATGGAAACAGGCACGAAGTAGAACCCAGCCTGATCCGCATTACCAGGGCATGCTCAAATACAAAGAAGTCCCCATGTGGTGGTACATCGCCTCGTTCGTTCTCGCCTTCTTCGCGGGCCTCATCGTGACAATCAAAGGCGAAACCACCCTCCCAGCATGGGGATACATCATCTCGCTGATCCTCGGTGCCTTCATTGCCCCCTTCTCCTGCGTGCTCTACGGCCTCTACGGCACCGGCGTGTCCACGAACCAACTCTCCAAGATGGTCGCCGGCGCCCTCCACCCAGGCCGGCCCCTCGCAGGCCTCTACTTCGCCAGCTGGTCTCATCAGGTCATTCTTCTCTCCGTCAACCTCGCCAACTGGCTCAAAGTCGGGCAATACACCAAGGTCCCGCACCGAATCATGTTCGCCACGCAAGTCTACGGTACCCTCCTCGGCGCCGGGCTCAACTACGCCGTCATGATCACAATCGTCACGAACCAGCGCGAGATCCTCCTCGATCCAATCGGGAACAATGTCTGGAGCGGCTCAACAGTCCAGTCCCTCAACAGCCAAGCAATCACCTGGTCCCTGGCAAAGCAAGTCTACGGCACCGAGGGCCGATACCTCATCGTACCGCTGGGACTATTAATCGGGCTCGCTCTCCCAGTCGCACACTGGGCAGTAATCAAAATCTTCCCACGGACCAAGAACTGGCCTCTCAACACGGCAATTGTGGCCTCATTCGCCGGCGAGCGGTACTATGGCAACACGGCATGGGTGTGGTCTGCGATTGCGGTGGGTGTGTTCTCGCAGTTCTGGCTACGGCAGCGCATGCCCAGGATCTATAATGAGTATAACTATCTCATTGGGGCGGCGCTGGATGGGGGGTCACAGCTTATTATCTTCGTGCTGTCGTTTGCGGTGCTGGGGGCGAGTGGCACTGAAAGGCCGTTTCCGACTTGGTGGGGGAATCCAGAGGGGAATCCAGATCATTGTTTGTAATAAGTTCGATCTATTTGATCATCTTTTATAAGTATCAATATTGATCTAATAATGGATAGATGAGAAGAAGAATACGGCAGTAACAGGCCGGAGATAACATACGGCCCTAACATGGACGACGTCAAGACTCCAGACTCCAGAAAAGAGTTGCTTTTCCTTCACTAACGGCCGATACGTTTAATACCAGCCCTTATTGGCCAGTCTGTAGCTCAGCCTCAGATAGACAGAAGAAAGTAAATGGAAACTGACACGCTGCGTAATCCGACCGGAGACCGACGTAAAGCCGGAGTCTCTATATAAGAGCCTCAACAACCTCGTTCACCCCTCACAACCAGTCCATCATCTACAATGTCTCTCTCTGGAAAAGTCGTCCTCATAACCGGCGCCTCCAAAGGCATCGGCAAAGCCACCGCCCAACGTCTCGCTAGCGAAGGGGCCAGTGTTGTGCTTAACTACAACACCGACGCCACTTCCGCCAGCGAACTAGTCCAGGAAATCGGCCAGGATCGAGCTCTAGCTGTTCAAGCTGACGCCTCCAGGCTTCCAGATCTCGACCGTCTCGTTGAAGCGGCCGTCGCTAAGTTTGGCAAGATTGATGTCCTCATCCCCAATGCCGGCATCATGCCCATGCGCGACCTGGAACACACCACCGAGGAAGACTTTGACCGCGTCTACAATATAACCGTTAAAGGGCCATACTTCCTTGCACAGGTACTTTTTACTTACTGAATCAAACTATGGGGCGTGATAACTAACCCCCGCAGAAAGCAGTAAAGCACATTCCACCAGGTGGGCGCATCATCTTCGTCTCCACAAGCGTCATCGGCCTGTCAAATATTGCCCCTCCATATCTCCTATACGGCTCAGCCAAAGGGGCCGTCGAACAAATGTCGCGAATCATGGCCAAGGATCTCGCCCGGAATGGCATCCTGGTGAACTGCATCGCCCCCGGCCCTACAACCACGGGGCTCTTCCTCGAGGGCAAGTCGGATCAGGTCCTCAAGGCTGTCGCTGGGAACAGCCCATTTGGTCGTATTGGAGAACCAGATGAGATTGCGAATGCGGTTTACTTTCTTTGTGGAAAGGATAGCAACTGGGTGTCGGGGCAGGTTCTGAGAGTAAATGGTGCGATGGCATAGCTTAGCTATTAACTAAAGGGATACCTATTTGACAATATACAAAATGCCACACCGTATATTAAATAACCCGTATGGTATCCTGAATTAAGCTCGGAAACATCACGACTGCTTCTTCTTCACTGAGCGCCACTCGATCAAAAGACTCCCTACAATCGTCGTACACCCCAGCGCAACAGAAAGATACCAAGTCCTCGTCAAGCTTCTATCCATAGCACCCAAAGCCTTATCCAGCATATGCACCGGAACCAAATCCTTAATATCCCCGAGCCCCGTCTCTTCGATATGTTTAGGCGTCAATCCCGGAACAATACTCTCCAAACTCCCCGCCAATAGATTCGTAAATATCACCTGTCCAACGGCAAGGAAAACAGCCGGACCCATACTCTGCCCGAACAGAATAACCCCAATGGCAAGGTTCACATCCGCCGCACTCATCGTCGTCTGAACAGCGGCCTGCGGACCCTGGAAGCCAATGCCGCCACTGAAGCCCGCGAATCCAGAATAGAGGATAATCTGGGCGAGAGAGGTGTCCACGGTGTACGTTGTCATCAGACCTGCAGCGATGGGCATGCATATCGAGCCGAATATCATAAAAGGGGAGTAGTATCCCAGCGTCGTGGTTCCGATGCCTTGGAGCATGAGTCCTAGCATCATCCCGACGAGGATGGGGATCATCAGGTAGCCGCTTTCGGCTGAAGTCTAGAATCATTAGTTAGAAGTCATGGATTGGGTCGGATTTGCATACCCGATCTCGAACAATCTGATAGTATGTTGGCAGATACCACTCGAGGACATTGGTCATGGAGTTTGTGCAGGTCGTGAAGATGAAGCCCGCGATGACATTCCGGTGTTTGATGATACGGAATGGAAGCACCGCTGAGTCGCCGCGTCGGTGTTGATTGAATATAAAGGCTGCGAAGAGGACACCGAACATGACGAATAATGCAATCACTTTCCCATCTGACCAGGGATATTTTGTGCCCGCCCAGGAAAGAGCTATAAAAAGCGCTGTGAGAGACGGTATGAACAAGAAGTTGCTGACGAGGTCCAGCTCTCTGATCTTCTGAGTTAACGTGAGGTCATCTTCCTGGCGGGTTCTTGGGTCCGAGAAGAGGAAGAACATGGCTGCTAAAGACAAAGCACCGATGGGAAGGTTGATCCTATACAAGTTAATATTATCCACGTTGATTGTGCATTGGAACACACCAAAAACACCACCTCCACCCCAACGACTGCGTCAAGGCACCACCCACAACAGGCGCCGAGATAATTGCCACCATTTCCACAGACGCCATCAACCCAGAATACACAGGCCGCTTGTCAAGTGGGAGAATGTGCACCAGAACCGCAAAGCACCCGGCCAGCTCGCCCGAGAAGCCGAGGCCCGACACTGCCCTCCCTACAATGAACATAGTCGACGACGCAGCGGTGGCGCAGAGCAGCGAGCCAACAAGAAAGATACTATTACATAGCAAGAATATACTCCTGATCGAGAAGTGCTTATACAGCTTCGCGAACCCGAACTGGAACGCACACGAGCATAGCCGAAATGCCGAAGCGTACCAGCCCACATCGGCGACGGTGTGGAAGTCGTTGGTGATACTGGGCACGGCTGTAGCGACAATGTTGGCATCTAGGCCGCCGAGTGTGAGAATCAAACCTAAAGCGACGAGGGTGAACCAGAACTTGGTGCCTGTTGGGTAGTTAGGCTCAGCTGGGTCGATGTCGAGGGCCTCAACCGGCTGGGCCGAGGTGGCTGTAGGCGGTTGATTCTGCGGGCGCTCCTGGGGCTCGTTCTCGAGGGTACAGATCTCTATTGTGGTAGTTGCCATTTTGACCGCTCGAGAGAATATACGGAGCGTGAATGAGGAAGAGATGAAGAGGGGTCGGCATAACGCAGTATACAGCCGAGCCGTAAGCTGAACATGTGACCGGCAGCCCTATCTTCGCTGTTGTACCGCCTTTTATGCAGGTCGTCTTATTCGATCAGCCTTATGCACGGAGAATGACAGTCAAACCCGGATATAGCGAATTAAATGAGACGGCCGGGTGATCTCGCTATAGCCGGGAACTCGCCATATCCGAGCTCGGTATAGGCAGGTTTTACTTATTATAGAGGACTCTGAGTAACCTCCCCCGCCAGTCCCGCGATAATTAAAAAGCATATATAGGTTTTCCAGCGCGTCAAACTTGCCATACCAAAAGGCCTTTAAGAAATATAGAATATATATGGTTCAAAAGCTTCATTTTTAGCAGTGTTGTTGTGTATAGAAATCGGGCGCCAGATGATTAACACAGTAACGAACTAGTTAGTTACCCTAACTAACTGTCCGTGGCCTGACAGAAGCTAGCCAGCAAGGTAACTTAGTTAACACATAGTGGCTTAACCCCTGCAGATTACCTAGTTCAGAAGACGAGTCACCTTGAATCCAGCTACACCCGGCTGACAATCCACGCCCTCTTTAAGCTCAAATGAGGTACCACACCATCCCTCTGTCGCTATGGCAATACCAATGAAATTCGTATTAGACTCGCCGATTCCCGAATTGATTTCATGCGCATATTTGTCTAGAACGGAGCAATCCTCTGCCTGTCCATCAAAGCCGGAGCGACACTTAAATCGAAATTCCCCAATCGTCGTGGCATCCGCCAGTGAGAGAGAAGATGGTGCCGTCGCCCACACCCGCACAGCTGGTTCCGCCGCCGGGATGGGAGTCGTGGAAGACCTGGCTGCCATCCTCTTTGTATAGGCCAAATCCCCCACCGTAGCCATGCTCGTTGCCACTTGGACCGGAGATAGTGCTGAAAGTGCCGAAAGACCAGACCGCGTTTAGAACTTGGCCACAGTGTCCGAAGGAAGCGAACAAAACGCCCCCTAAAATAAGGACTTTGAGAGCGTTGGAGTTGGTGGAGGCTATCATATTGGCGCCTGGGTGGGTGATTGGAAGAATTCAAGGAATGGTTTGATTGAGCTTTGGGATGGCTTCGCTATGTAGATAGAGCGTACTGGATGGTATAATGAAGATGAGCGAGTCCCCTTAAATAGATTGATTTTGGTCCACATCGGCCTCTAGTAATCTTATAATAGAATTTGTCCTGAGGTTAGAATACTACTTTCTCTTTTGCCCCAGGATTAATCTACGTCATGAATTGGAGGACTGATTAAATGGCTCACTGGTCGCCTAAGCTAGGCGTTCCTACTTCCTCCAAGGTAGGCTGTGCGGAGTATGGAAACCGCCAAGCTGTTGCTCGACGCTTTCCAGCCTTTACAGGCTTAAAAGGTTATATGTCGGGGGCCTGAGTAGATTTGATACTAGTTATTACGAGAAGTTACTAAATATTATTAAAGAGGAGTGTAAAGTATGTCATATGCTGCTCCTAGTATGTGCTTGTGTGTGTGACAGAGGTCCGACCCGCGTTGGAACGGATACAGTCTCTGCTGTACCCGAGAGGGTGAAAGCTCAGCTGGCTAATGATATGTGTTTTTTCTCAGGAGTCTCCGCAGGAGGCGATGTGAAGATCTAGCTGTCTTGGCGGGTTATCCAAACCCATAATGGAGTGTAAGCCTTTGATTGATGGTGTGTAGCATCCCTCAGGATGAAGAGCGCGATCGCTCTCATACCAAGCAAGGTAAGGGCATAAGTATGGCCCTACTCTCAGCTTCGGCTACTGCTGATAGGAACAATCATTCGATATCTACACAGATGGTTGTGGGTGAAGAGACGTGAATTTAATGGTGATTAGCGATGGATGATTGATAGGCAGAGGAGAATGGCAGGCAGTGAACAGAAGTAACTGCTCGCAAGGTCAAAGATACAGGACCTAAAGATGAATAAAAATCTGCTATTTCACCACTGCCCTCTGACAAGGGAGGACAGAGAGGGTTGAAATTGATTGGCCAAACATCGCCACATCCCTGCACGCTCTCTTAGGTGTTTACAGCTCAGCACACTCTTAAGTGAGTTTTCAGCTTGAAGAGCCTTTAAACGGAGTCGAATAGTCGATCACATAACAACGCGAGGCCCTGGAGCAAAAATGCCAAGTCGGACTGAGACTAAACCGAGTATCAGGCGTTGTATGAGTGTTCCCCACCTTAAGAAGCCAAGATCATCCCAGCCCCTTATTTACAGATACAGCTAACCTTGTTGATGCAAGAGTATTGTCCAATTCCATATCCGTTTCTTCAATATTTTACCACTTCAGCCCATAAAATGGAGTCTCTTAGCCAGGAAATCCTGGCCTTGATCATCACCCATTTTTTTGAAGTCCCCCCAATGAAAAGCCGCCAGATCCTGGTGCCCAAACCAGTTTGCAACGTTTCCCCATACACGATCGTCTCGCGCAAATGGCAAAACGAAGTAGAGCGTTATACCATGGCCAAAATACAGATATATAGTGCCGATCTGGACATGTTCCGCCAGGTATTCTCATCGCCGAGACGCAGAAGTCTTCTGCGGAAGCTGCGCTATGAGATCGACCTACCAACCTACAGCAGGAATCGCATACACTGCCTGGAAAGACGTCGAGAAAGCAAAGCAAACAATGCCGCATTTACTCAAGGTGTCATGGATCCCTTCAATGAGATCTCCTCCTGGGAAGCACAAGGCATTGTCTTGGGTCTCTCTGCATCCTCACCTATGGATCCGGGGCTGCCCTTCGATATTGGACGCAGACCGGAAGAGGTTGGCTCTGGGCTGGCGGAGAAGCGGTGGACATTTGAAGACAACTACCTGCTCCTGGATCAAGCATATCTACCGCAGTGTACCTCTATCGAAGCCTTGGTAATTCAGGTTGCATCACGATCACTACATCCTTCAGCTATTGGGAAGATTATCGCCTCGCTACCCAGGTTGGATTTTTTGACGCTAGACCTAAACGCACCCAAGACCAAGCGGGTCGAGATGCAAGATGAACACAGACAATGTAATGTCCCTATTCACGTACTTCTTGGTATGTTTACTGACAGCCGGAGGCCTTGTTAATGCACTGCACTCACCAGCATTGAGTAATCTACAGACTTTGAATATCTGCATTACCCAAGGCATTATAAGCAACCACAGCTTCCGAAACAGACTAGATGATCCCAATTATCCAGATGGAGATTCATTAGGCGCTGCCATTCGCAAACTGGCTGAGAACACTCGTCTGAAAACTCTCAATCTCACTGGTAATTGGCCAGTCTCACCTACGCTGTTCAACGGAGACAATCCATTCCCATATCTTGAGAATGTGCGTATCGAAGGAGCGCCGATTACTTACGACGGTCGATGGTATTACACAGGCAATCCTAGCGATGTCGAGGCTTCTCATTACCATGCGCCGCATGATGAAATGGTCGCCGACCCGGACTCGGACTCTAACTCGTCCTTTAATTCTGAACTTGCTGACTCCCTGTCCGTTGGCCGAGAGGCGCTGCTTAACGGTTACCAGCCGTTGCATACATGGAGGACAAGGCCGGATCCAAAGACATTCGATCCTCTTATGAAGTCAGCAGCCACTGCAGCTCTCCGGATGCCGTCACTGCAGAGTCTGTACTTATCGATAGAGATAGAGATGATTTCCAATTTTAACCGCAGTATCACCTTTGAGTTCTTGAAACCCGGCGAGCGGGCGTGGGCTGATGACCACCCTCCCAGGGCCGCACAGCGGAATAGGACGCGGTGCTACGTGACGTTCAGGTCTGAAGTGCGGTGGAATGTTCCTACGGAGATTACAGCTCTGTGGGAGGAACTTGTGGGAGAGCAGGGTGTCGTTTCCATTGAGAGTGATTAATTGATTTAATGTGTCAGATATCGACTGCCCTCGATACAGTTTCCTTCTCTAAAAGCTAGAATGTAATAACAATAAATATGAAGAGCCATTTCCTGGGTCCATTCCTTATTTCAGGTACGATGAGCAGCTAATGCCGAGAGTCGCTCACCGAACAACCAACAATAACAACAGCTGATTTGCTGTGGAAATATATAACAAGAGCCCGACCACAACGAGTTGAATAGCCGCTAGTAAGTAATGTATGGCCCCTCAGCAGTAAAGCGTAGAAGACCATATGGTATGTGACGAATGCAACTAGATAAATCTAACAAAAGAATAATCGAAACGTCGTCAAAATAGAAAGAAAAAATTGAAAGAGGAAAAAAAAAATCATGACAAGGACGAGATTCGAACTCGCGCGGTTTCCCACTGGTGGAATAATCCTAAAACCAGCGCCTTAACCACTCGGCCACCTTGCCGTAATATGGAGAATTGCTCTATGATTGGTCTGTTCTTTGCTTATTGAGTTGAGGTCTGAAACCTTTCGGGATTCTCTGACGGATTTAAGGGTTATCACTACATACGGATGACATGTCAGCTGCCCATGGTGGCTTTAAAAGCTGGTATTTTCCCTCTTTTTTTGAATGCACAGTGCACATCCTCAGTTGAATCAACCAGCTCACAATGTCCCAAACCATCAAGTCCGTTTCCATCCCTGGCGTGGCCTGGGAAATCGCCGCCAACATCCACCTTCCACCAAACTTCAACAACAAGAAGAAATACCCTGCTGTCGTATCCGCCCACCCAATCGGGTCCTGCAAGGAGCAGACATCAGGAAATATCTACGGCAAGGCCATGGCAGAGGCCGGCTTTGTGGTTGTCGCCTTCGACGCCTCATTCCAAGGCGCCTCTGGCGGCTTGCCTCGCTTCGTCGAGAATCCCGAGTTCCGCGTATCTGATTTCCGATACGTCGTCGACTACATCCAGACTCTACCCTACGTGGACCCCGAGCGCATCGGCGTGCTGGGCATCTGCGGTGGTGGCGCCTACGCCCTCAATGCAACCATGACCGACTACCGCTTCAAGTGTTGCGTGGGAGTCACACCCGTCAACCTTGGCCGTCTCACGCGTGAATCTTTTGGCGAGCTCGACCCAGCCGGGGCTCTGGAGAAGATGGCCAAACAGCGTGCGACTGAAGCGCAGGGCGGCGAGCGCTTCGTGATGAACTACCTCCCTCCGACAGTCGAGGATGCCAAAAAGGCCACCTCGGACATTGACGTCCTCGAAGCAGTCGAGTACTACAAGACCGACCGGGCCAAGGCTGAGTTCGGCTGCACCAGCGCCCTCTTTTCACACAACAGTGCTGCGGTTGCATGGGATGCCTTTGCCTATGCTGAGAAAATCATGACGCGCCCTTTCCTTGTGGTTGTCGGGGACAAGGTTGGGGGTTTCGGTGCATACCGTGATGCCAACGAGATCCATGCTCGTGCTGCGTCGAAGGAGAAGAAACTGCTTGTTCTTCCTGGTGTTTCTCACTACGAACTTTATGATAAGCCTGAGGGTGTTAAGCCCGCGCTTGATGAGATCCTGCCGTTTCTGAAGGCGCACCTGGGCGAGGCTGCATGAATGACGGGGAGATTGAAGCGGAATTTGATAGAGGTCCTTGATATTGCATGTTGGACAGTATAGAGTCGAATTGTCTGTATTACCACCCAGTTCATTAGATCGCAACGAATAAATACGAATTCAATTATCACCCTAGTTCCACATTCAGCTGGTTTTATCAAGCTACGGATATCAATTAGAACTCTTCATAGCCTCTTCCAAAGTATTCGCGGGCTAAATTTACACTCTACAGGATGACGACGGCCGTCGAAAGAGATAAGTGTCTTGTGGTGTGAAAGACATGCATTTAAATCATAGCCTGTGAGAATCAATGCATTATTATCACCGAATATTTACCGTAGGTCTTGGCCCATCTGCCAGCCATTTAGGGGAATTGAGAGCCTACCAAAGCCAGCAACAGGCATTACAGGGATCTTTCATCGGAAACAGGTATGACTATCTATCTGGAGAATTGGTCGGATGTAAGGGTGATTACTCTTACAAGTGTCAGCATGTACTGACGATGGGCCCAGGTCCACCCCGAAAGATCTCGGACATCCTCAGCGTGCAATCCCAAACTCAGAACACTGGCAGAATTAATCATCGAGACCACCGTCCAATCAACTACATCCACCCACTAGAATGCTCCAGGAGGCCATTGCTTCGAGGAAGTGTCTGGTATTCTCAATGATTCGGCAATGGAGCCGAGGCACAGACCAATGAGCTGCTGGCAGGAGTCTCCTCGGTCTTCTGGGCGATATCAGGGTCCAGCTCTTCCCCATATCGTCCCCAAATATCTCCAATTTGGAGAAACAAATATGATGCATTCGTTATTGCCGACACGGCACCCCAGCTCGTTCACCATGCGCCGGATATCGCTGCGACTTCGAGTTCTACCAATTGGCCGACTAGTACTGAACGGTGCGAGGGACATGTCACATTTTCGTGTCATCTCGCACGAAACTCGTGCTCAGAACACGCGAGAACGCCCCGGAGCTGTCAAAACTGGACACGAACGGGAGCTTCGGCTTGCTGTCAAGCAGTATGTTCCGCACGACAACCCTTGCCCCAGAGATGGGGATGTTACCATTATCGGGGCGCACGCAAATGGATTTCCCAAGGTTGTGATTCCTATGCTACATGTTGAAGCCCTGACTCAGTGAGATCCAGGAATTGTATGAGCCTCTCTGGGATGATATTTATGAAAGCCTGCGGGTTCGAAACCGACGAATTCGATCAATCTGGATTGCAGATGTTGTTCAACAAGGGCAAAGTGGCATTCTAAACGAAGCAATACTCGGAGATGACCGTAAGTCGCGCATAATCAGCTTCGAGAAACATTATTAGCTGACATGTCAAGCCTCCTGGTTTGATCACGGCCGGGACTTGCTCTTCCTAATCAACCAGTTCCAGGACGCAATACTCCAGCCGATCATTGGAGTTGGCCACAGTATGGGTGGCATGCAGCTGTAAGTCGTTGACGATTTGTGCATAACCATTCAACTTAATCATATCAAGGGCCCACCTTGCTCTGATGCACCCGTCCCTTTTCCAAGGCCTGGTTTTGCTAGATCCGGTCATCCAAAGGGAGAACCCCAGTCGGAAGTATGCGTTGCCATCTACATATAGGCGGGACCTGTGGCTATCTCGTGCGGAAGCCGCGCAGAAGTTCCAGTCTAATAGTTTCTACCAAGCATGGAATCCCCGGGTACTTGAGAAGTGGATCGAATATGGGCTTCGTGACCTGCCCACGGCGCTGCATCCCACTGAGGATAAAGCGAGCATCCAACAACCTGCCGTCACATTGACCACACCGAAATCGCAAGAGTTATTTACGTTCCTACGATCTTCTTATGTCGATGAAAGATCAGGCCTGCCTCGCGGGTCACCCAAGGACGAAATGCACCCCGATGATATAGATGGCTTCCCATTCTATCGACCGGAGCCACCACAGCTATTCCGTCGCCTACCAGAATTAAAGCCTGCTGTTATCTATCTATTTGGAAGTCTCTCAGATCTGTCTTCCCCTGATGCTCGCCATGAGAAGCTACGACTCACCGGTACTGGAGTCGGAGGGAGCGGTGGTGCAGCCTGTGGCCGGGTGCAGGAAGTCGTTCTCCCATGCGGCCATCTGGTTCCCATGGAGCTTGTGCAAGAAAGCGCACAGGAAAGTTCTAGCTTCATTGATACGCAGTTATCATACTGGGAGTCTCGAAGGCAGGCGTTTCAGAAAGCCTGGGGCGGCGTTCCTCACGAGCAACGCACAAGCATCGACGAGCAGTGGAGGGCTCATATGGGAGAGCTGCCAAAGAAGCCGAAATTGTGAGCTTCCTTGATATACTGAATACATTGTACCGGAGTCTCGGTTGGCTCTAAATATAGTTAGACGATCTTGAGAGGGAATGTTAGGAAGTTCCTGGTTGAACCTCAGGAAGTTAGAGTCTAAGGTCTAGGTCGGCATTATTTATCAGTTAAATCGGATAGATGAAGAACCGATTCTCCAAGTCAGACAAATCCAGCATCGTAATATCCACCTTCCTACGCACCACCGTGCCATCTGTATCATACTGTTCGACCTCGCCAATCTCATGCGCGAGTCTCTCCTCCTCCGTCAAGCCCGCTGCCCACGCCTTACGCTCTGCATTACGACGCTTCAAAATATACCGAATAATGAACAATATAACTGGTGTACCCGTCCAGCTCACTACAATCTGGGCAATCCAAGCCCCATAATAGCGAGGCGCATCTTTCGGAACCCAAATCTGGGGCGAGCAAAGGTTTGCAATTGAATACCCAACCATGAACATGACATTGCGGGTGAGTTTCTTGGTATAGCCCGAGGCAGATGATGTGGTCCAGCCAAGCGCGATAATGTACGTGTTTCCGTAGGTATGGCCGGCCAGTAAAAGACATGCCAGCATTGCCAGTTTTGCATCCCAATTGACTGCTACCATGCCAATACCACCGGCAATGGCGGGGATACACCAGGCCAACCCATGCAGGGCCAGGTTTGACGGCCACCACCGGAGCGCGAAGACGCCAGCGATGCAAACCGCGACACCAAAGCCACCCCCAGCTGCGGCCACCAGGGTTGAGCCGAGATTGTCCACGCCCAGAGCCTGGGTGATGAGATTCTGCTGTCCGTAGGTGAGATTGTTGGACATCATCAGCGTAAAGGACTGCAGGGCGAACAGCCAAGAAACCGGATCGCGAAGGGTCTCGATGAAATGCGATCGTTTGAATTGTTTCTGCTCGATGGAGCTTTGGCTGGATTCGTGCACCCGCTTGATTGCGTGTACTTTCTCTTCTAGTGTCAGGAACTTGGCTTCGCCGGGGTTACTTGGGTATCGGAACCAGACAAGGATGGAGAGTAGAGTCGAGACACCGCCTGTGATGATCATAAAGAGCTTCCACGGTAGGATATTACTGTGACTCCAGAGGAGACCGTACGAGATAAAGGCAGCACAGACAGGAGCCAGCGCTGAGGTGATCCAGAGGACTGGCTGTAGGAAGGACTGTTCGTGGCGGTTGAAGAACATTCCAATGGTCATCTCCATCGCAGGGACAACCACCGATTCAGCTGCACCCAGGGCCAGTCGTAGGACTACCAGGCCGGCGTATCTCGTTGCGACGCAGTGGAGGAGGAGGGTGACACCCCACATGAACACGAGCCCAGCGACGAATTTCCCGAATGGAAGCCTTTGCATGGCATAGTGTCCGGGCCACTGCGCGACGATGTATCCTAAGGGCATTAGACAACACGTATGAAGAAGGGGGTTCAGCCCTGCATACCAACATAGAAGAAAGTCCCGAGGTTGTTGTACTGAGCCTTGTCAATCCCGGTCTCTTCAAACAAGCCCAGCAGGGCAGAATAACCCAGGGTTGACTTGTCAATCTGAACGAGTCAGCGCAGGTCAAGCATCCTTCTTGAGCATGACATACAAAGAGTAATAGGTTTATCGCAGACAGCAAGCCCATAACGTGCCAGTATAATTTTCGCCTCAGCTTCTTCTCCTTTTCAGGAGTCAGCGGACCAAATTCATCTCCATGGTCCTCCAAGATGCGCAGCGTAACATCGGCATACTTTGCATTGATAACGGTCTCGGCCTCTTGCGTCGAAGAGGTCGTTGAGTCGGAGACCTTGGCTTCTGAAGCGCCCATATCTTGTCACTTTTATAGAAAGACAAGCAGCGCCCTAGGAACTTGCGAGGGGAGGGGAGGGAGCAAATACACGGATTTTGGAGATATTTATCGTTATCAATGGCGGGATTATGAGGTGCTCTTGCATCATATCTAGTTTGTGTGACAGAGTTTGGTGTATGTGGGCTATACGAAAGAATTCATAATTGTCTCCAATAATTGCTTATCTTACATCTATATACTCCACTATTAGTTAAAGCTAGTACATATAATCCCAGGGCATGGGAAACCAAACTTCCTATCTCCTCAGCTACTTAAGTTATAACTATGATATAGCTAAAAGCCTAAAAAGGCATGGGTATGTTACATCGTTTACAGGTAATCGATATTAAGCACATTGGTGATAGGGATCTAGTTGTTGGCCAAGGCTGCTTAGAGCCAGAATACTGGTGCTATCAATCAGTATAGACAAAGTATCTTACTATATTAGGGCGAGATTGTGGACATAGTATTTTCCAATAACATTATACCTAACCAAAAAGACAGCAGGGATGCTGGTTAGATACCTATTTGGATATACTGCCATTTACTATGGGCTGCGGTACATTTAATACAAAACGATCCATACCTTGATGTCCCTCAGCACTCCGTGGACTAATACACTGATATGTGTCCGTCTTTGTAGTATTTTCCTGGCTTATTACTCCGTTATGCATGCTAAGTTGCGCTTGTGATTCAGAAACTGTGCGTTTCGCGGTGAATCTGGAAGAGTAAAGAAAGGCCTCCTAAGGGATCATTATAATCTGAGAAACATGAAGAGTCACTCGAGATAGACCGCTACCATAATACATACGTTGTTTGCTCACTCTCCACAGGCCCACAAGTCCAAGACATTGCCTGGCGAGTCTGCTTATAAAGATACTATACTTAGAATCCTGACGTGGCAGTCACTGCGATCAAAGTTCATTCGCCTGCCTTTCCTTGAAAAAGGGGAAGCTCTTGAAATGCTCCACCCCCAGCAGTTTGTTAAGCCTGCCACATCTGTGCCGGTTGATTCCGCTATGCTGCAGCTGAGCCAGGCTCGCCGCCATCGCTGTTTTCCACCTCAGCATACAGAATGAGTCACACACTATACGCCTCTGGATGCCGGGGCTTAATACGCTATTTCTTCCTTCATGGTAGCCACGAACGCACCAACTTTCGTTACCAGCTTGAGAAACTCTACTGATACAAAGTTAGAATTTCCAACCATAGCAACGATGTTCCCACTCGAACATACAATTGTGTCGAGGGTTCTCTCACCGGTGCAGATAAGTCTAAAGGGAATATCGAAACAAGCCAGATTGTGCAGACGCTCCTGAAGAACGTTCGCGTTCCTGCTCTTGTGTGGAGATTATCTTCCCGGCGATGCGGGTAACTTGTGCAAGCAGATTGCTCACGGCATGTCCCCTCTATTAGACGATGGGGAGTTTGTGGATTTCCTGGAGCTATACCGACAGCGGTATCTGGGAAAGTCTGTGGACCAGAAATCGGATATATTGGAAGCATGCCTGCTGCATATTATCAAGATTCCCTTTGACTTGGAATCATCAATTCGACAAGGGTTCATTCGTCAGGACTAGGACATACCAGTATTGTCTCGATATCATCAGTATTATAGATAACATAGACATACGTATCCCACAGCCATGTCGCAGTAAGATGGTTTCCCGTCTCACCTTGGTGGTTGTGAATAGCCCTCAATTTATATAACTTGAGACTGAATAAATTTCCAATTAAACAAGACTAAACCATCTGTCGTACAATGTTTCCCTACAATGGAATTGATCTAGGTATACTGATAGTGATAGTTATTTCCGGAGGCCTAGTTCCTGGAAACACTCCAACAATGAGGGGCTGCCACGTGAATTCTGTCCCTACAGCAATTGCTAGGAATGCGAGTTCGATACATAGTCATACCGTCAAAATTAAGCTTCTCAGTTATATAGTAAATTGGTATACTAGAAAAAGAACCAATGGGAGGATTCTAAGTGCGCTGGCATCTGCAAGTAACCTTATAAAGAGGTTATCTCGTCAGAGCTTATCTACTTTCGAGATAGCCTTCTACCCTTAAACTTATTGCACAAGCCGGTAGAAAGAGTGATGATAGCTATATTAATACCTAAAGTAAGCTAGTATAATAACGACCCTTGGCATTCCTCCCGCACGAATTCCCCCGACGCCGAGGTCAAAAAATTCCCGTGGACGGCTGGATTTCCCTGATTATGTGGTCCCTTGTCAGAGTGAGTGTGGAAGTCGCAGGGTCAATGATGCGAGTCAGGGTCCTTTTGTGTGGATCCTTGAACTGGCCCAGACGCGACAAAGATAGGGGTGGTTGATCGGGGAAATAGCGAGCTCGGCTGTCGGGACAACTGGTGCGAACTGCGGGGGAATTCCCTGGCAGCGACGTCTGCAGCTCACCAGCCTTCCTCTCCGATGTCACTCCTTCATGACCCATATATCGTGATATGGATGAGTATCACGGTCCAGACTCATCCGGGTCGCCCGAGAATCAGGCCCGGGGCCCGGAGATCGGGCATGCATGCAACTCGTGCCGAAGACGTAAGCTGCGCTGCTCGCGAGAGCTGCCAGCTTGTCAGCACTGTCGGAAGACGGTCTCCGAGTGCCACTACGAGACCAAGCGGGCCAAGCCTGGCATGAAGGCTGGCGCGCTGGATAATATCCATCGTCGGCTCGGTGGGTCGCCCAGGTGTCGTCTTTTCCCTTGTGATGCCCTGACTGACGTTACATCCTGCAGACGCACTGGAGCGCTCAGTCGGGCGCCAACAGTCCAGGCTGGAGACCTTCGAAGGGGAGCAGGGCTCTCATGGTGACGCGAATTTACAGACGATCCTGTCCTCCCTGGCAGCAGGCCTGCAGAAACTGGACAAGACACCAGTCGTATCAGGGCCCGGTCCCTCTTTGAAGCGACGACGACATGATTCCAACGGGGCGCAGTGCACCCCTTTACCTGGCTTACCGCCGATCCCAGACGATACGGTTTTGAGTCATGTTCTCGAAGCGTACTTCATCTATCTCCATCCGTGGACTCCGATTATCCACGAAAGCAGGCTGCGACGGCGACTGGTCGACGACCATCAACGAGAGAAATTGCAACTTGTCCTGTACTCCATGATCCTGGTAGCCGGGCGATATATTGAAGATGGTGATACGGCAGCTTATTTGTCGCAATTGGTGGGCGAGCCTGAGAATACGAGGGACTGGCTAGTTTCGCAGGCAATGAAGCAGCCATCTGTTGAAAATCTGCAGGCTCTTGTCCTGGTTGCCTCGGACGATGTATAACCCCTACTCTGCTCGATAAACGCACTAAACTGACAGATATAGATCGCCAGTGGCCATACAGCCCGCGCGTGGCCACTCGTGGGCTCCCTCTCTCGCATGGTCGAGTACCTGCAATTAACAGTAGAGCACGACGAGGCAGTCCAACACCCCTTCTCGCAGCCATACAAGTCGCTCCCATCCCCAGCCGACTGGACCGAAGCCGAAGAAAGGCGACGCATCTTCTGGAGCATCTTTGCGCTGGACCGCTTCTGCTCCGTGAGCATGGGCTGGAATACCAGTTTAACGGCCGACGATGTCCGCCGTCGTCTCCCCTGCGATGGAATCACCTGGCGAAAAGAAGACCCCGTCGTCACTCCGTACTTTGGAATCTGGGATAAGTCTACCGGCCGGATTGGCAATCCAATTGCCTTCCTCCCTGCGCATCCCGCTCCAGCCCGGGCAGCAGAGGAGGAAGACGGCAGCATCTCTGAGGCTGGAACATCTCCAGGCACAGCGTCATCAGCAGTTGACATGTCCACTGTCGGGGCCTACGCTTACTGCATCGAAGCAACAGAATCACTGAGCCGTGTAACAACATACTTCCTGCAGCAGAAAGTCAACCTCAACGACCAAAAGGAATTCGGAGCCTGGCTTACGCGCTTTAAAGAACTGGATCTCCGACTGGTGCACTGGAAGATGCTTCTCCCTCAGAAATGGACCGTCAACGTGTCTCCATCGCAGCCGGCGTGGACGAGGATGGATCCGAACCTGACACTGGCTCATGTAACACACAATGCGTCTATGATCCTCCTACATCAGCCGATCGCGTTTCCACTGCGCGCCTGGCCCTTCAAGAGCCGTCTTCCTAGTGTCTGCAGTATGGATACGTGCCAGGCAGCCGCAATTGAAGTGGCAACCATTACCAACCACTATCTAAAGGGCTCCCTGCCGACAGCACCGGTGAACAGTCAGTTCGCATTCTGTGTCTTTATAGCTGCGCGGGCACTCCTCCTGTACTGGCAGCATAGTCGCGACCAAGAGACCGTCGCCCCAGAGTTCTGGATGTTGACCCAAAGCCTCGATGCAATGTCTGCTCGCTGGGGTGGAACGCAGGCAGCTGAGACTGGTTCTGGCTCTGGCGTCAGAAACTTGGCTACTAAATATTCTTCAACCCTGGCTGAACTCCATAGGCAAACTGCTGAGGACGAGTCCTTCTCCATCAGCATTTCCGCTTACACTACAGAGGTAATGCACTTGTCGGAGTCTCCATCTAGCAACCGCCCAGCTGCATCTCCCAGTATCAGCGGCACCACGGCCCAGACGCATAATCCCAATACTGGGCCACATAATCAAGCAATCCCTGCTCCCAACCAGGAGGATGCGCTGAGCCCCCAGCCAGGAAACAGCGATAGCAATATACCCGCACAGCCAATGTATCCCAATCCCAGAGTGGCATCGCTGACTCCCGGCGCATTTACTCTCAACATGGGCATTCCTGCGCAGAATAATGCCGTTCCCAACATCCTGCGGCCGGACTTGACTGGGGACTCGGATGATCCAATGGCCATGTCTCAGATGTTGCTCGATCAGCAGTTTACGGGCTTGGATCGGGTCATTAGTTACAGTGATGGATTGTTCGGGTCGGAATTTGACGGGCGGAGATGGTGATTATGTATTTGTTTAATATACCATATATGTGTTCTTCTGATCAAGTTATTATCATCTATACAAATAACAGGGCAGGTGCTGGAGCACTCGTGATTAGCCTATGTTCCGTAAAAATGCTATAGTGCCAATTATTATACAACTTCCTAGGAATATAGTGTTTAAAGCTCCCACCCTGCTATATGCATATATTGTATTCGATATCTATGCAAGGCCCAACTCAAGTAGGCGATTGCCAAACTCTATCAGATAGTAATCCCCATACACCAGCCCGTGGTTACAATATCGCCGCCGCGCATTCTGGTTGTTATTTGCCGTTCCACTCCTGAGAATAGACTCGAAGATGAATCCAGGAGTGCTATCCTCGACGGTAATGCTCTTGCCATCAGTTACAAACTGAGCCTTCTCTTTAGCGAGACAGAGGTCAATAGTGTCCTGGACAATCTCGAGAGCAGCGTTGAGAAATCTCCTGGCTAGAGCATCCTGCCCAAGACTGACAAGACTCTGAAATATAACGAGCATCCCATTGGCGGCAATGACACCAGCAGAGGAGTCTCGCAGCGGGTCTTCCGCGTCAACCGGTGCATCAAAGTCCCACAGAGGAACATGCCTTCCCTTCGTCCTTCTCGTAGGAAACAGGCCCTGCGACTCGGCCACGTCAATCTCAACACAAGCCGGCGACGTGGCTAGTCTATGCAGAAAGTACTCCGCGCAGCCACAAGCAGCGTCTAGGAAAGTAGTCTCCTTGGTCCACATATACACCTGCGCGTAGCCTAGAATCGCCCACGCCTGGCCCCGGGCCCAAGTCGAGTCGTTTTCATACCCCTGCGCCGTCCAACGCCACTTCAAACCGCCCGTTGCGGGATCAATATTCGCGACATGGCACGTCGAGTACAGTTGCCCCTGATACCCGTTCTTAGGGACAGAGATGGAATGTTCACGACGGAGATGCGTTCGAAGTAGAGTACGAGCATGAGCCGTCGCCAGCTCCGCCAGATTTCTATCCCCCGAATGCGCCGAGGCATAGTAAAGCAGATCCAAGTTGCACAGACTATCGATAATGACGAGCACGTTCTCCGTCTGGTCTATCACCGTGATCTCCTTCTTCACTAGACAGTCCCAGCTCCTGATTGTCCCAGCCGAGGCCACGTATCTTGTTGCGAGACTCCGTGCTGCTTGAATAATTGAACGCAGACTCTGCTCGTTTCCCATCATTTCCCAGTCCCTCTTCAGTGCGGGCATGACGATGAATCCGATATCGTGCGTGTCTGTCCGGAATGCCATGCTATGCAGCGACTTGGACCATCCTTTACTCAGAAGACGTAGCTGGGAACGAACGTCTTGCAGGTTCGGTCTGAACAGACTGGTATCAATCAGAGCTCGATGGGGATACTTGGTTGTCCTCTCTAGCAGGGCATAGAGAGACCCGGGAAAGAACCCGCAAGTCCAGAACTCCGGGTCCCGGAACTCATATCGCCCTGCGTTGGAACCGGTCTGGGGGACCGTCTCTGGATACCCTAGTGGTACGCCGTCCGGCTTGGTGAATATGCTGGGGTCGTTCAGCGACGTGGAAGCTGTCCGGAAGATCTTTGCGATGATGTTCTCGTCGAATAGTTCGGCGATATAGAGTCGACGATCACTGGCCGGAAGAGAGCTTTCTGGCGGTCCAATATCTGTTTTGCCATCGGACAGAGAGGTAAGGCTTTCTGCCTTCCTCTTCTTGCGGATTGGAGATGAAACGTGAGGAGAGGAGGATGTGCTGGAGGTCCGCGAGGGCGAGAGAACAGTCATGCTGGCCAGATAGAAATCGTATAGATCAATAGAAGGGAGCAATAGAAAGGCCGACTTATTAGAGCCGACGGAATCCAACCCAGGCCGTTTCCTCTCCTGGAGAAGATCAATGGCTGTAGGAACGAGACGACGACTAAAAAGCAATAGTATGTATGCTATGGCTGTGACCGGTTATATTCCATATGCAACGATCTCAATCTGCATTAGAAAGCAGATCAGGATTTATCCAGACAGGCGTTGCCAATCCTCCGCATGCCGACTGCATTCCTCCGGCCTCCATTAATTTCCACCACTGACCTTGGAGGCGTCGCTGTCCACTCGGTTTCCCTTATTCCGTTGACCGATGCATCAGGTGCTCTGTATCAGTATCTCGATTCCAGTACTCTATTCTAACTGTGGCCCGGCGCTGCTACATGTGCTATTCCACGCTGACTGCCCACTATGCCTCCCTTACCAGGCTTCTCAGACAACCCATTCGAATCACGGTCGGACCTCGTCCGCGCCGCAGAGGCCATTATCGGTGCACTGCAGCCGTACAAGAGCAGCGGCCAATCGAGGATCAAAATCCCGGTCGCGACAGCAGCAGGATTCGAAGAAAGCGCAGCGCAACTGGAGGGGTTCGCTCGTCCGCTCTGGGTCGTCCCATTCCTCCTGAATGACGGTGTCGATAATGTCAATCTAGCATCATGGGTTCACGGCCTACAGACAGGCACGGACCCAAAATCACCAGAATACTGGGGCGACCTTATAGATTTCGACCAGCGGATGGTGGAGATGGAGTCCATTGCTGTTGCGCTCCTGGCTGCCCCCAATGCGTTCCTCGGGCCCATGCCAGTTTCTGCGAAACAGAATCTGATTACCTGGCTGCGGCAGATTAATGATCATAAAATGCCACAGAATAACTGGCTCTGGTTTCGAGTGTTCGTCAATCTCGCACTGACAAAGACCCTTGGGATAGCACGAGACGAGCTGCAAGGGCAGATCACCGCCGACCTGAATACACTGGACACATTCCAGATCGGCGAAGGATGGTCGAGTGACGGTGCCTGGGGTGATGAGCGAAAACAAGCAGATTATTACTCTGGGAGCTTCGCCATCCAGTTTGCGCAGTTGCTGTATGTTCGTTTCAACGGGGATCAGGATCATGCCAGAGCAGAGCAATATCGCCAGTCAGCCAGACAGTTTGGGTCAGTCTTCTGGCGGTACTTTGACACTAATGGTATTTTCAATATACATGCGGTTGAACAATAGTAATAACTGTTGCAGGTGCTGCCATTCCCTTCGGTCGGAGCATGACCTATCGCTTCGCCTTTGCAGCCTTTTGGTCTGCAGCCGCTTGTGCGGACATTCAATTGCCTGAGCCATTAAGAGACATTGGTTCGATTAAAGGAATGCTGTTACGACATTTACGCTGGTGGTCAAAGTACCCTGATATCTTCAACGTGGACAGCACGATGAATATCGGCTTCACGTACCCGAACATGTACCTGTCCGAGAACTACAATTCCCCGCAGTCCGTGTACTGGTGCTTAAAGTCATTTACTGCCCTTATGTTAGCAGAAGACCATCCCTTTTGGAGAGCACCAGAGCTGGCGTATCCGTCTGTTGATGAGTCCACGCCTCTGCCACAAGTGCAGGTCGTCTGGCCACCGCGACATATCCTGTGCAATAGCCCCGAGCATCACTTCATGCTGTCATCAGGCCAAATGACGAGGAAATCGCACAAAGCCCGGGAGGCTAAATATGGCAAGTTCGCATACTCCTCTGCATTCGGATTCAGTGTACCATGTGGACCTCTCCTTGAACAGATTGCACCGGATAGTACTCTATGTGTAAGCCATGATGACGGAGAGACATGGAAGGTTCGATCGGAACCACTGGATGAAAAAACTGTCGATATTAAGATATCGGGCTGGAATGCAGGGGTAATTTCTGCTCTGTCCAGCGTGTGGCGTCCATGGAAGTACCTCGACCTGAGCATTACGACGATACTGGTCCCACTGATGGTGCAATTCCCAGGGTGGCACGTCAGGATACACAGGATTAGGAGCAAGCGTGCGCCAGAGGAGTTTCCATGGAAGAAGATTGAACTGGTAGATGCCGGGTTCGCATTGGATGCGGAGACCACCTCTGCTGGACTTATTCCACAAGTACAGTCAGTGTCCGGTAAGGAGGGACACTACGCGGCCAGGACTGAGTGTCTGATCAAGTCTCGCGCTGGAGCAAGCGGCATTGTGGATTTAACAGAGCAATCTATCTCGGTCGAGAGTACCAACCTGGATGTCCAAACCAAGAGTTTCGCGCTGAGGGCAGACCCAAACACCAACCTCATTGCTTCCAGGACCTTAATCCCATGCGTGTGTAATAACATTGCAGTTGGAGGGCGGCCTGACAATGGCGTTGAGTACTGGCTGGTTTCTGGGGTCTTTGCGGTAACAGCGAGTGCCGGCTTGGGGCAGGATACTATTGATCAGATGTGGTTGAATAGACCACGCCCATCTATCAGAATACTGGGTGATGATGTGGACATTAGTTTTGAATAATTATTTGGTCTTCACTATATTTCGTGGTCATATAGAACAGTAGCCATAACAAGACGCCGAGGGCACTGTAGCCGCCAAGTGCACATTGTAATGCAGATAATAAGACCCGTTAAGACCGCCAAGCGCACATTTCAAGTAGATAACAAGATAAAAAGATCGGTTGAATTCAGGCTACTTCCCTATGGCCTGGTTTACCCGACTTTTACGCACGGGGAGAGATCGTCCGAGGCCCACTGCCAATACCCCGACCCAGTGAGCATCACGAAGCCTCCAAGACCCCGCACTCCGCGTTGAAGGGATCTGGGGACGCGGGCTGTGTGGTCCAATCAAGTTGTACTTTGTTCTGTTGGCTAGGGCTGTATATAAGGACGGGGGGATATGCGACAGCATCTTCCTTCCTGGTTCTCTCATCGCCCACCTCGTTAACACTGTCGCGTCTCACAATGGCAGAACCAGTGAAGGGCAAGACCAGTTTAGACCAACCGATGGCCGTCGACGTTCAGAATAACCCGGCAACCTTTGAGAATTCGACTGCCACGGACACCGAGAAAGATGCGGCTGCCCCTAGCTCCGCCAGCAAGCCTAAACCGCGATCGCTGTGGGTAGCCTGGCTGTATCTCTTCGATTGGTATCCAAGTCACTATTCGAAGCAGGAGAGGAAGCTCCTCTTCAAGTTGGACTGTGTTTTACTTCCGCTGTGCTGTCTTGCGTGTACGTTGACTAAGATAATACATGATCTAGTGCTGATGTCCCAGATTTTATCAAATGGCTTGACCAAGTGAATATCAACAATGCCTATTCATCGGGCATGAAAGAGGACCTGAATCTCTACGGCAACCAGTATGTGCTGAAGCCAACCTAACTGAGCACCGCTTACATCTCCAGGTACTCGCTCTTCGGAACCTTCTACAACATCGGCTACATGATCTTCGAAATCCCGTCCATGATGGTCATGTCGCGGCCTAAATTCGCTCGCTTCTTCCTCCCCACAATGGAAGTCTGCTGGTCAATTATAACCTTCGCCCAGTGTCGCCTACGGAATTACCAGGACATCTACGGCCTGCGCTTTCTGCTCGGTGTCCTAGAAACACCCGTCTCGTCAGGGACCATGTATATCCTCTCGTCGTGGTACCGCGGCGACGAGCTGTTCAAGCGAGCCGGCGTGTGGTTCGTCTCCAGCAATCTGGGCTCGTTCATCGGTGGCTATCTGCAAGCCGCAGCACACGAAACACTCGATGGCGTCCACGGTATGGCTGGGTGGAGGTGGCTGTTCATCATCGACGGATGCATCAGCTTGCCAATTGCGTTGGCCAGTTTCTTCTTCTTCCCTGGCCTGCCGTCTGGGCCAAAGGTGTGGTGGCTGACCGAGGCCGACCACAAGCTTTGTGTGTCGAGGATGCGCAGTGAGGGTGTCCGTGAGAGCAGGAAGATTGGAAAGCGCATGCTGAAGCGTGTTTTTACGCATTGGCATTTCTACGTTGCTGTCTTTACTTATATCTTGTAAGTTTCTCCCGTACTCTCAGTTCGCTTGCTGACCATCTAGCTTCCAATGTACCTCCTATGTCGCAGGGCAGATGATCCTGTGGCTAAAAGACCAGGCTGATACGCATGGAACATGGACCGTCTCCCAGATTAACATGATTCCGACTGGAGTACAAGCCGTCTCCGTGTTTGCAGGTATCTTGGCCACATCCCTTGTTATGGTATACCCATTCTGGGCCATTATGTCCATCGTCGCCGCCGTTTTACTCTTTGGAAATGTCTGCCTGCTTGTCTGGGATATTCCAACTGGTCTTAAATGTACTTCCATCCTTATCGGAATTAAATATGTCTTACTGACTTCGGCGCAGTCACTGCCTATTATCTTCTGGGATTCACGTCCTGCGTCACACCAATCCTCTTCCCGTGGGTGAATATGATCATGAAAGACGATTCTGAAGCGAGGGCTTTTACGTCTGGTGCAATGGTACTTCCATCTTCCCATCAGTTCATCAACTTGCTAATGCAGTGTAGATGACCTTCGGCTGGGTCTTCTTCAGCTTCTATCCCATCACGGTATTCCCAGTCGTGGAAGGTATGTTATCCACCTCATTACCTGTGTCCAGGACTAACAAAGATTACAGCGCCCAAGTGGAGAAAAGGATATATTGTCAATACCATCTTCGTGGTGTGCTGGTGGGCGCTCTTCATGTTCGGCCAGTTCCTCTGGAGACGGGACGTCAAGTCCGGAAAGTACACCAGTGGCGAGTATGCCCTCAAAGACGAAAACAAGGAGGACAAGGATGAGAAGGCTGCTGGTTTGGAGCATGTGGAGTTTTCCGAGAAAGAGGCGAAGACTTAACTGTCTTAGCTCTGGTAATTGTTGTTTGCTTGAGATCTGATATGAGATAGTGGCTGGGTTCTCCGCAGAATTTGAATAATATTTCTTGTCTTTATGGTTAGATATTAATTAGTGCAAGGGAGAGGGAGTAGCCTGAATACTAGGCTATATCTTCAACTCGTAGCACATTCGATATATATCTAATTGGATAAGTCTATACAAATTATGGTTTACCCCTACTTCACCAGCTGAGGGTTCTTTCTAACATGTTGTTACCTTGTTTTCGGTAACCGGCAAGTTAGAAACAGCCCCCGTTCTACTTGATCTATTTGATAACACACCTTTAACAGGTCACTCGACATGATCCTTCTCCTCGCTCCTCGGAATGCGAACAAACACCGCACAAACCAGAGCTGCCGCGAGTGAAATCGCCAGACTGAACCACCAAATCGCCCGCAAAGCACCCAAGTCCAGCTTGTACCCGTCACCGCCAACCCTCGTAATCTCCTTCCCAATTGTATCCCCAATGGCCGTCACAATCGCAGCCGATAGGTTCTGAATCGTCACGAGCAGACTCCCCGCCGAGCCCTGGAAGGAGCGGGGGACGCTAGACGTGATGAAGATCGACGCCGCAGCAAAGGTCATATCGGGACCGAACGTACCAAGGGCTATTCCCAGCATGAAAAGCGCGCAATATGTTGTATTCGGCGTCTGGGGGATAAAGAAGACAGGCCCCATTGTATTCGCAACCATGCCAGCGGTCAGAATCCAGTGGCCGGGGAAGAGGTGCAAGGTCTTGGATACGATGAATGTAGCGATGATGCCGCAGATCATGTTAGGGATGAAGAACAGGGCAACAGTAATTTGGACATGGCCCTGAATTGTGAGCAGGAAGCGCACGGCGAAGAACATCCACCCGCCAACGTATGCGCCGTATCCGAGGAAATACGATACTGCTAGTGGGAGGATACGCTCTGAGCGCGGTTGAAACGGAGAGACACCATTGGGTTCCGGCTAGCTGGGTGGTAATTTTCCCAGACGTGAAAGGAGAAGGCATTGTTCAGGTTGTATGCATTGACGCGTGCCTTCCCGGTCTGGCACGAGATCGTTCTCGGACGTAGGCCTTGCCATCTTGGCTCGCGCCCTTTATCTCAATAAGGATGGGTTGGTGCTTTTGGAAGGATTGCAATAATCGAGAATTATGACAGGTAGTTAGAGCTTCCCACATGGCCAGTACGGCCAATGGAGTGGTTTGAGATATTGCGACATATAGCCAAGTTACCAATGATGCCCCGCCCTATTCAGCATAATCAGCTGAACGACCCTGCGGAAAGCCACGGGATCGCGCTTTGCTAAAGCTGATTATTTACTGCTATTTTTCTTAGGATAGCGCCATCCGGCAGCTTTCCGCCGGGGTCAGTTATCCTTATACCACGTAAAGACCGGAACTCAGATGTGCTTACACATATCTTCTATACTTTAGAAAAGCCAACAACCCACTGGTCATACAACGCAAAAGAATCATGCTGGAAACCTTGTTCATAAAACTTAAATCGGGTGAGTCAACCCACCCGACAGTCTTGCATCCTTACAAAAGCCTCCCACAACCCACCCCTGGCATCGTTCTATCCACGCGTACGCAAGTACTCGAGATGAGAAAACGACTTTCGGTCCAACTACCTATCCAAATGCATCGCCGCATCCGCATCCGCAACGCTGTAACACCTTTCTGCGTTTCTATAGAGCACCAATTCCCACCGATTCTAGCACAACCGTTCCGACGCCTCCAGCATCTAGTCTTCGGTCTCACAGACGACGAATGGAACACCCTTAGCACGTACTTTGCACACTTCGAGGATCTAGGAGTGACGGTGCAGCTGAAGCCCTGGCTCGAAGCGGAATCACAGCGGTTGAAAGGCATCTTGATGGACGAAATGAGCCGAGGGGTGCAGCCTACGCCGGGGCTTGTGTACCAATACACCGATATCCTACACCAGAGAACGATGAACCATGAAGCATCTAGACTCGCCTTCTATAAGTGGAAGGCAACGGCAGCCGGTCTCGAGGGTACAGCGGCATCCCGTGGTCTCAGAACGAATCGCAAATTGGTATATTGGTGGTGGGCGCGTTGGCTAAACAAGCAGTGCGCTCAGGCTGGAGGGTGCTGTGGAAGGGCTTGTAAGTGTTGTATCAGGGACAATGCACGAGACCTTGACTTTGAAACTTGGGGTGGTCACTGCACACCGGCTTGCCCTTGTTGTCTACACCATCTCGGCGTCGACAGGGCAATTGAGCAGCTGGGGAGCGGTAGAGAACCACGCTTTGACTCGCGGGAGATGCGAAAAACCCGATTCAACCGCAAGATGTTGAATGCCTATGCGTTTGGCTTGTGGTAGAGCTTTTTGACAATTGAAATCAAAGGCCCTTGGTGCAGTGGCAGAATTTCACATTATTCTTTTGCCTTTTCTGAGAAGGCTGTATCAACCTTGTATATCTGTCTCATAGCAATCCGTCCGAGGTGATACCAGTGTCCGATGCCTGAGTGTGAGAAGAACTGAACAATAGCAAGGATGATCCACTTCTCTACATATCTCACCAAAAAGAGCCCTTGAGAAAGAGGAGCGGGACGAATGTCTGGTTACTATATACTTTCAGTTCAGCCTTTATGGCAAATGCTACATTCTAGTAGCAGTATAACCACCCACGCTGGATTCTTGTTCCAGGGGATTTCGACGTTTTCTAGGAAACAGCCGGCCTCCACGTCACCGCAAACCGTTATACCGGCTTCAAATGGGGGCTTTATCACTCCTCCGTCAAGGCAGATATCGACCAGCAAACCGGCACAAGGCCCAATTCTCTCAGAACCTTGAGATGGGGCTGAAGCGAGTCAGCTGCTGCTGTATGGATGCGGCGGATGGCGAGTTGTAAGTAGAAAATATCGGAGCACAGCTAGGTGTAACGATGAGTGGGGACACATGAGATTGTTGTGATATTTCATCAAAGCATCAGAATGTAAGCAATGGAACAAGTTACTTATTGCTGTCAAGTGTGTGGTGAATTGAATGTTACTGTCAGCAGCCCGGGTAAGGAAGACCTACGGGATAGTCATGCTGCAAAAGTTACCTAGCGATCGACCTTGAATATGGGAACGTAATAACAATCATTCGTAGAGAATCCTCGCCAGCGCGTCCTTACGTAGGAAACATACTGCTACGTTTGGGGTGACTCAAGGCCCAACTTGAAACAATCTGGGGTTTAGGCCGGCTGCAGCTTGGAGCGATTAGAGCCAGCCTGACCTTGGTTCTATGGTTGTTAGTCCTCTTTGGCAGTCAGATTCAGTCATGGAGTAAGCTAGCTAGTGAGATGATGAAGTAAATGGTTTTGTATAAGATGGGTTATTTTTATAGATTATATAGAGAGTACCAGGGTAGAGTTTACAAGTACACATGAGATATACAGACCAAGACATAGATTATACGTAACACCACATTATCATCATTTCATTGCGCATTGGACCATTCACTTTCCTAATCTAAAATGTCCCTTTACCGCGCAAGATCTCCTGACAGAAACTTTTGCCACCAAGAGGTACATGCACCGCAGCACAATTCCTCTCAAACCCCTCCGCGCATCGATACGCACAGTACCAGATCGAAACCGCGCATCTCTCCCTGATCATGCGCGAGATCATCATCAGCCGCTTCTGGCCAGGCCGGCCTGCACGCGAAACTGTCGCAGTGGAAAACAGGCCTGACCCCGACATTAACCTGGGACGACGAGGTTCCGGATCCCTCGAACCCTTTTTCCGTTTCCCTGTCCGTCCAATACAGTCACCACCTTCCGTTGATATACCTAGGCCACATTCGCGGCGGGGAGCAAACATGCCACCGCGACGCGGAAGAGATCGCAGAGATTGTCGACGGCGCCACGCATCATATCCCGACTGTTGTATGCGCGCTAGTCACGAAAGCAGCCCTGCTCGCTGTACCCCACGAGGTGTATCACGGTATCTTCCTCGCGCAGGCGGCGTTCTACGAGCGCATGCGCAGCCCCGATAAAACCGTCGCTCGGCGGGGTCGCTCCGCGCTAAACTCGTGCCAGGTGGCGTTGCAGGCGATTCAGCAGCAGCAGCCGTGGGCAGCTGAGGACGATGGACATACTATAGGTGTTGCCGATGGTCCTGGTGTAGGCGGAATGGTCAATGCGAATGAGGCAGGCGTCTTCAATGCGCTGCTGGGAGATGATAGGTGGAAGGGGAATCCGATTCTGGAGAATCTGTTGATTTACCACCGGAGCTGTTTTTGCCCGAATAGGTTTGCTATCTACGGGCTAGAAATGAAATATACCAATCTCCACGGAATGGGGCATAACAAGCCCTGGGGGCTTTCATATCCAATTTATCCATCAGCCCCGGGACCTGTATATAATGCCAGGTCTCTTCCCTCCCGCCTGGGTGATCCTGCAGAGGCTGCTTCTGCTCGTCTAGTGGGCTGCACGGGATTTGTAGTATCGAACACTGCGGAGTGGACAGAGGTTGACTTTTGCTGGGCGGATGAGTTGGGAAACTGGCCGCCTCGTGCGTAGGATGTATTACGATAAGATTCTGGATACGACCTGTAGTCGCTCCCATCCCCAGCCGGGACATCAATTCCGGACCCCCGCTTTGCAGTGAATGATTTATCAGCCATATAGCCGGCAATAGGTTAAGCGAAATCGAAGTTTCCTGCTACTAAATGCTCTCTCCAACGATACTTAAAGTCTTTCCTGAAACCCAAGCTTTTAGATATTGTGAATCAAACGAAAGGTCACTCGGAACCCTATTCACCGACTCAGTCAGTATGACAATCACCCATATCGTTCTTTTCGAATTCAAGCAGGGTGCACCTGTGGGAGCCATCCAAGAAGTGCGTCTAGCCTTTTGTCCTTACATCCCTGTACATAAGACATTGGGTAACTAATAGAAACAGGCGTGCAAGAATATGCTCAGTCTAAGGGACCGCTGTCTCCATCCATCAACGGGCAAGCCATACATCCAGTCAGCATCAGGTGGAAAGGATAATTCGCCGGAGGGCACACAGGTTTGCCCATGATTCTTTGCCTTGAAACAGTCCTGTAAAGCAACGCTAATATCAAGTCAGGGCGGGATCACGCATGCGTTTGTGGTCGAGTTTGCGACTAGTGCAGACAGAGACTTTTACGTTGCACATGATTCCATACATCAGGAGTTTGTGAAGGGCTTGGATGGGTTGCTTGAGAGGGCTCAAGTGATCGATTTTACTCCTGGCGTTCTGTAAGACAATTGATATTGCGAGATGCACTTGCCAGTCCCATAGGGGTACTTAAGCCTGAAGTCTGGCGCTTCTAGGTATATATATATTTTCCACTTGAATTACACTGAAGATTCTCTTATGGAGGTTTCAAAATACTGACCTGTAGTCTGGCTGAGATCCTAGAACTATAGCTATATATTACAGTCGTTTCCTTAGACTTGTACCTTATTGACATGTATAATTTTCAAACTCTCGTGGACTATCCGGTCGTAGGGCAACTGGGTAATTCTGACTAGAATGTATATATCAAAGCCCCAGTCTGCCAGCCTCCGATCGCACAATATCTGGCAACTCCTCATACAAGCTCCGTTCCTGCGGCTTCCAGCCAAGGATCTTTCTCGCGCGCTCTGCGACACCCCGCGAGTTCATCCCCCAGCTCGCCGCCTCAAATCCTGCCGGCGAGTTGACAGCTTCATCAATAGACCACTCCCGAAGGTCGGGTGCACCCTTAATATATCCCTGTTTGAAAGCTTCCTCCCCAACAGCAGAAGACAAATTACCCCAGACATGCTCACCATTCTCGGTGAAATAGTAACCATGCGCTCCCCAAATCTCTGGATTTTCATTCATAGAGGGATCCAACGCTGCCTGTTTATAATTGCCCTTGGACATCCTGTTACCGATGTGCCTGGCTGGCTTACAAATACGGCAAATGAATCCCGGCATGGGCTCAGTCGTAGGTATTCGCAGACTATATCATAGCTAATTAAATTCTTGGCTTGGCTGATCGAGTAATCATCGGCTGCTGGCTCTTTGACATTATTACAGTCATGGCTAATGGCCTCACGAAGTGGCGACTGTGATGTTGGTGTAACTGGAAAAGGCATATCTTAGGGCCGGCGTTCTGGTTGTGGTTGTAGATGTCCTCGCAGTATCTGATAGTTTCTTGCCTGTCGAGCGGACTTCCCGGCCCGGCTATAGGACTACTTGACGGTGAATAAATGAGAAAATCAATGGTCAAAAAGGCCGATATAGTCAATCCACCGAGAGGCAGATCCGCATAAAACAGACCCTCCTCCCATCTCGGAAGCCAAGCGCACGGGTCCCGCTTTTCATGGCTGAACCAACATAATTGCGATGGCTGGATGGGAGCCAAAAATGCTCGTTCTATTCCATGCACAACCAAATTATTGCTTTTGCCTATTCCAACGTGGCAGCCAGAGGCAACTAAAGTGCCGTTCCCCCGAGAACGCAATGGACCAAAGTCGGTAGTGTGCGCGGAGAGAGTCTGCAGTTCCATCCCTGACCTAGCACCCCAGAGCTTAATGGTTTTATCAGAAGTGGCCTCGGAGTAGCAATATGAATTACCGTATGGCCAAAAGTATTCCTGATTCAGTGACGCTGTATTAGTCTTCGCAACACAGCACTTCCACCCAGTGGCAGAAACGTGGCTACGATGTTCCAAATACTAATGAACTCCGACAGTGTACAACTTTTGGTAAGTGTAGGAATGTAACTGGGAGAATACAAAAATAACACAGGTCTCGCAGGTACAGCAAGCTATGCAACCGGTTGTCTTTTAAAATTTAAATAAAAAACCCCGAAGGCCGAGATCTTGTTCCAATTCATTGATATGAAAGATAAAGTCCTTTCAATATAAAGCAAGCTCGGAATTCATATTTCACAAACGCTGATTGGGCGCTTATCATAAAGGATTCATAGGACATCGCAAACTGCTTCAGAAAGCCACATAGCCTCACATAATCAGCTCTTTACACAATTGACAGCGGGGCAATGTTGAAGAAATTAGCACAGTCATCTTTGTTGTTCAGGTCCACCCATGCCGCTGTTGCACCCGGAGCTACCGCTTGTTGAACATTGATACTTCCATCCCCTCGGTCGTCTGTTGTCAATGTTGCACCGCCTTTTGTACAGACTCCACAGTCCACAGCCATTCTGTCTTTGATCTGGATCAGGCGGACATTGTAATTCGCGTTCGGGGTCCCCCCTTTTAGCACAGCAACCGCGACGATACGGTTTGACCCGGTTACAACAAGGTTGACGAAACCGAAGGTCTCTGTGTGTACAGAATCGACAACGGAGCCTTCACAATTGCGGTTTGTCTGAGTAAGAACTTCCCTTTGGGCTGGTATGGCTCTGGCAGTAACGCCCGAGGTTATTGTAGCCAGAACAGCAAGTAACGCTAGCAGTCGATTCATAATGTTCTTTCTTAGATTATTAACCACTTTGGTATTGGGGTTTAGAATGAGCTAAGTAAATAATAGCGACTCGCTGGCTACCTGGGAGTATTTATCCTCAAAATAGGAGCCAAAATGGATCAGTCACAGAGCCACCTACGGGCTTGACTATAGTGGTTCGACGACCACACGTGCCAACTTGATCCGTCTCCAGCGTTGACCACAGTTCTAGGCCTTCCGCTTATAGCAACCATGATATCATGCCTAAATCTGGTTCGCTTCTGGTGCCCGCATCCTCCAATAGCTATATGGGGGCAATATCACGGACATGAGATTTCCAGGGTTCAGCTTCTAAGGGTACATCTGGACTTTGTATGCGGGGTAGCGTTAGAGCGCAAGATCAATTTCAGGGATGATGGTTTTCAGAATTTGGCACTCAGGCATCAGCTGGACTAACAACACCTCGGAAATACTGTAGGGGTAATGTATAGATCCCAAGTAGGAATTGGTAATATCCAAAAGTATCCCCGAGGTAACTGTTTAGACTATGAGGATGGATGGTAGGGCAAGTAACATGCTGAATTTTTCAGGTAACTTTTTAATACATCGCGATTTCTACCGGTGGCACTCATTATAAAACCAGATATTCAAGGTATCATCAGCAGGAGGCAATTGAGAGACGATAATTTCCTGCAGCTTGGGATCCACGCCGCCCGATCACCCCCTCGTGCCTCTGCATTCGCGACCGTGAGGCGGTAGCATCTTGTTAACTTAGTTGTATCACTCCCCACCTAGATAGTCATGTACTCCGAAATCGCGCGCATCAGATATCATGACGAGCGTACTTACTCGACATTCTGATACGCCTGCCAAAGATGTACAAGACAAACGGATAAGGCACAAAGAGCACAGACAAGCATCCCAGGAGCGTACACGCCCACCCCACGCCGAGATTATGGAACATAGCAGTCGCAAACAGCGGAAAGCCCGCTCCGAACGAGGATCGCATGAAGTCATTCCCTGCCAAGGCGGAGGCTGCGTATTTCGGATATGCATGGGCCAGGTAGGTGAAGATGCTGTTGAAGATGAGACAGCCGCCAAAGGCAAATAGCATGGAGGCGATGATAGGGACGATCCAGTGGACAGAGGCGAAGTTGCCTGTCCAGCCAAACCAGAACAGGGAGATGGGGAGAGCGAATGCACCGACGCAGGCAGGCGGAAGTTGGTATTCTGGTTTAATATTCCACTTTTCGTCAAAGTGTTTGGACTGGTACTTCCACTTCCAGTAGAAGTAGGCAGGGATCGTAATGCAACAGGTAGAGACGAGGATTCCTAGGAAGGCTAAGCCGGTCTCACCGGGGTTGAAGCCGTGGAGTTCACCGAACACAATTGGGAAAGCCTCGAACCAGATGTACAGGACTCCGTAGATGAGGGAGATGTACAGGTTCATGAGGAGCACGACGGGCTCCAAGAAGCATAATTGAAACGGTCTGACAAGGGCCTCGAACAGAACCACCTACAAGTAGTCGTTAACATTGCACGAGAGATATCAAGGGTATAAGACAATTTAGAGAGTACTACCTTCGGCTCAAGCTGTCTGAGCTCTATCTCCGACTCGGACATGTAGTCGGGGTTGCCAGTAATTCTCCTAATCCGTCGTGCGCGGCGACATAGAATATTTGGAGCGTATGTCTCGGGCAGGAGGAAGAACAAAATAACAAGAGTGAATCCGGAGACCCAAAGTAATGGCCATATCGTCCAAGTCCATCCCTTCGCGGAGGCTGCAAACCCGCCGATAAGGGGTCCTAGGACAGGGGCCGAAATGGCAAAGCATCCCCAGATGCCTATCATGTAGTCACGGGCTTGAGGGTTCCAAATATCACCCATGGATGCAGCTCCGGTCGCAAGGCAAGGGGAGCCAATAAAGCCTGTGAGGAATCGAAATGCAAGAAGCATCCCAAAGTTCTTCGCATAGATAACAGCAAACTGGAAGAACACAAAGACAACCAGGGTGAGGACATAGGTTGGGCTTCTACCAACATTCGGCAGTTCTGACAAGGGTGACCAGACCATCGGCCCTACTATAGTTAGTTACTCGTCCCAGTTTTAGTAGGACGGAATACTTATACATACCAAGGCCATACCCGAGAACAAAAAGGGTCAGGCCAAGGACTGCCGCTACGTTGCTCACTCCAAACTGCTCCGAAACGCCAGGGATACCCGGAGTGTAGATGGCAGAGCCGATATAAATGGCAAACGTGAGGAGCCATATCTCACAGCTAACCAGGAACTTCTTTGTGGTGCTCCAGTTTTGAGGATTCTAGTTATCATATCAGCTTTGCTCTCCGCAGCGACTTCATGAAGCGCCATACCTCGCTATCGTTAGGTCGCCAATCCACAACAATAGCCCCCTCCCCCAGTCCAGTACCTGGTCGAAAGCCACATTCGCTTCCATCGGGAGTCGGCAGCCAAGAATTACGCCGAGTCACTCGGGAAGCCTGCGACATGACACTATATAAGCCCCAGGTCTCATCTTCCTCTGCACTCTCCACCGGTGAAGGCGGTGCCTCTTCATCTTTGGGTTCTGGTGGCGCTTTGCGACACTGCTGACAAGCAGCGTGGTCTATCTCCTCTGGGTATTGAAGAAATCGAGAGTTCGTCGACAGGCGAACCAGCTTGCCAAACGCGGAGTCACGAATGGTCTCCATGCATCTGCTGTTCCACTTACTAGTGGGTGCAGCAAATATTAAGCAGGGAAAGCAAATTGAGCACACCTGTATGTAATTACTTTGGTCGCCTGCAGCTTAAATATTATATAGATCAGTGATATGGCGTCACGACTTCTGTAGGGGTAAATCCGTAATTCCGTATACCCGTGGGGAATAGCTATATCCAGTTGATCAATGAAAGTACAGTAAAGCGTGGTAAACCTGCAATTACTTAACTGGCTTACGCGGATAAATATGCTAGACCTTTCCACCAAGACTGAGACCTGAATTGGTGGACACAATTCCAATACATATATTATTCATTGCGCAGAGTTTGCGGAGCTCTCGACGTCTTCGGTACTTATTTTAATTATATTGAAGATATAAATGTTTTAAAAAGCCCATCCGTCCTACTCTTTACAGATATCCTAGGCCACCGCATCTTCAACAGCCCTCTAATTGCCGACGGGTTTGTTCTGACTCCGAATAGCTTCAGTATGGCTGAGAGGATAAGGACCTCTTATTGATACTGCAGGCGAAACCTTAAGGGAACTTTTCCCGCAATTTGTATACATCATGAGAATGATAATCTGAGCTTTACAATAGCTAACCTCCTGTATTTTCGGAAATCCACATATATTGCTACGGCTTCTCGTGTAGAGTAAAACCACATAAAGTGGGAGAGACACAAGTTTTCTGTCCAAGCGAGACTAGGCAGGAAAAACCTAGCATGGTGCGTCCCTGATAGCAACACCCCAACCATCAGAGCTATGCAGACGTCCCTTAACATAGTTGGTATCGGCCCTGCATTCATGGAGGATCTTGCTGGCCACAGTTGCCACCGTTTTCCAGCTCTTGAGAGGGTGGTCCTTGCCATCCTACAGAGAAATTAGCGACCTCTTGCCCGTATCCATATGCCCCTGGAAACCAATGAGCTAGGGGCACTTACATCAGAACACACGTAGATACCCGCGCCGTAGGAACAGCTAACTCGGTTACACTTGCCGGCTTCCGCAACCGGTTGGCCAGCGTGATCATTGAGATAGTCAATTCCAGATTGGACCTGCAAAGCGTAAACCGCACTTCCCTCACTATCACAGTTGATGGTATCGGTGGCACCGAGAACCTGCTTACATGGTTAGTACTTGCTTGACTATATGACATATGTGGAGAACGGGCCTGTCATACCTGGGAGGCAAGGGCACCAAGAATGAACAGAGTAGACTGCCACTTCATTTTGAAAGAGGTTGACTTGATTTCAGTTATCGATCGGGCTTGTTATGAGAGAGGTTGTTGATGATTGACTGACAGTTCGCGTTCATGCTCCCTCTTTATAGTTGTCTTTGGGTGTTTATTAGGCGTTCCAGAATATCTTTTTGGGCAGGCTCAGGCCCGCAGCCATCATCCACTGAGATTTCTAACTGACACAAGCATAGCCATGTCACAGATACTACAGTGTATACTTTACGTGGCACCCAATCGCAAAGTGTACTGAGTAGAAGATCTAACTCGGGTTAAGGCGTCCTGTCCTGCCGATCCTGCTAAAAAAGGTGGCACAGCCAGAACGCTTTAGTACTCGATTTCTGTAGATCCTGAAGATCGGCTCCCGACCTTAAATCCTGTTCGTTCAACCGTAAGCAAAGGTGGAATCGCTGGGATGGAGTCGCAGATCTGACGAAAGGGTCCGGATGGTTTATACGCACCAGCCAACAGATTCTGTTACTACCTAGACCTTGAACTCCAAATTAATCTAGTGTAGCGCTCCAGTAGGCTGTGAAGGGTCTTCATGAGTCATGAGAACAGGGCGCCTAGAATATAGATTTTCGCCGAGGTCTTGGTATTATAGCCAGAATGATATACCTATTCAGCCCGGCTGTAAAGACCCTTTCTACAATATCTAATTATAAACCCGACATCAAATTTGACGCCCATGCTCTATCATTAGCTCCCTGGGACACACGCGTTCGAAGATCCTTCCGTATACATCCCTCGCAGAGGCCTCCCCTCACAGCTGAGCATTCCTATCACATCAATGTGTGATATGGAGTGGCGCTGCTTTACAAGGTCATTCTAGAACGAAAACCTACGAGTTCTTGCTTCTAGTAGTGATGTTGATTATGGTTGATGACTCATACTCTTAGATCTACATTTTAATAACTCTTACGAGACATATCGTGTGACAGAGGTTAGTATAGCTATAGATCTGAGCAGCGTTGCAGTAATCAAAACACTTCACAACTCAGGTGCAACCATTGTGGGAGAGCAAATCATCCAGAGGGGGCCTGGAAACGACAAAGTTCTGGATTCTACTTGGCTCAATTTATGGTCACTTGGGCGCTTGTCAACGTGTGACGTTCAGCCACCGGCACGCTTGCAGTGTAGAGAAGGGAATATGGTATATGTTGTGATACAAGGCAAGTGTCAGTCAGGACCGAAGCCGTAACATCGGAAATAATTCCCGCTCTCTATATGAAGACCAAACTGGTTTCTAGATAACTTCGGCTCCACGTCCTTTACCATGGCAGGTCTGATGTCATAGACCATGGCCATGCCAACGCAGAATGTATCAACTTTTCAAGTAAATCCCAGACTTGCCGTTCGTGCCGAGGGCCCACGGTCGGACCATCCTGCAAGAGTCTGGATGGGTTACTGGAGGAGGAAAATGGCGACCCACAGGCCGGGATTCAACTATACACGCTCCAGTTTCGGCATTTGGTTCGGATTCTTCATAAAGGGGACGGGTTTTGGATTCAATATCGTATTATACCTACCATAAAGTATTTGAATTTTATCGGCAATGAACCAGCCGACCTTCGTTTTCTCCCTCGGCGCATGGAGTAGTCCTGTCGGCTTTGAGGCCCTACGATCAGACCTCCGTTCTCGCGGTTTTCCCTCCGAGTGTCCCTCCCATCCCTCCGCGGGCACAGAGCCTCCAAAGACGTTAGATGATGATGTTGCCTCTCTGCAAAGTGTGATGACTGCTCTGGCGGATGAGGGAAAAGATATTGTTGTTGTGGCACACTCCTACGGCGGGATGGTGGCCTCTTCTGCCGTCGAAGGGCTAGTAAAATCAGTCCGCGCACAGGGAGGCAGGCTCGGCGGGGTCGTCTCGATTATCTGCGTGGCTGCCTTTGCGCTAGACAAAGGGCAGAGCCTGCTGGGATTGCTTGGAGGAAATTACTTGCCTTGGATGAGGGTCGAGGTCAGTGTACATCGACACGAGTGGTCTCATTATAATAATACTTACCACCAAATAGGGCGACCATGTCCACGCCGATGGTGCCAGTATCTGGCAGGACCTGCCGCCAGAGGAACAAGAGAAATGCAACGCGAAGGCACTTCCAACCTCGCGTCTAGTTTTCGATGGAAAGAACACCTACGAGCCGTGGCATCATGTCTCATGTGCGTATATAGTCTGCGAGCAGGACCTGGCCCTTCCACAATCCTTCCAGGAATTGTTCGCTGCGAAAGTAAGCGGACCACGAAGAACTTACCAGCTGCCAAGCTCGCATTCGCCCTTCCTGAGTATGCCTGGTCGCTTGGCAGATGTTCTGGGGGAAATTGTGAAGGTCTAAATGTGATAGCCTTGAAGATTGTCTGTACTGAATGACTCCATAATGATGAGGGGATTCCGGGCAGGAGTAAATGTCAGGCGCTTGTGATAACTAGAAGATACAAGTTCGCCATGAATGCGATCTACGCCTAGAGTAGCCAGAGGAAATGGCCTCTCATCAGGAGTTCTGTGTATGCTTCGGAATGCTCGAATTTGTCTAGGAATTGGGTTGGATATATTACATTTCCACAGAGTAATATTATATAGATCGATCTAGATTAACGATTAACATTCCTTGACAACGCGAAATGAATCGGGGCTAGTAATAACCCTTCTGGTTATTTGAAGCTGGTCGACTATTGAAGTGATATATCAATGAGTGATCAAACATCAAACACTTTCCCAGGGTTCATCAACCACTTCGGATCCAGTGATAATTTAATCGCGCGCATGACAGACACACTGCCCTCGCCGACCTCTTTCTCCAGGAAATCCTTCTTTCCAAGGCCGATCCCATGCTCGCCCTACATTCCAGAATCAGTAACCACAATGGCGGAAAGGAGCGAGAAATGCTCACCGTGCAAGTGCCTTCCATTTCAATTGCGCGATGGACCATGTCGTGAACACACTTTGCCACCTTATCGCGTTCTTTGGCACCGTCAAACAGGATAGTCTCATGGAAGTTGCCGTCACCAACATGGCCGAGCATACTTCCGAACAGCCCCAATTGCTCAAGGTCTTTCTTGGATATCTCTATACTTCTGTTAGATAACTTAATCATATTACACGAGATATTTGAACAGACTTACCGACTAAATCTGGAAGTCGAGACATAGGAACAGCCACATCCGTGGACCACACCTCGTGCCCAGATTCTCTCATGCAAAGCATGCTCCACAGGGCTTCCTTGCGAGCGGACCAAAGCACTTGCTGCTTTGACTTATCCTGTTCCACCTCAAAGTCACTTCCTCCGTTCTGGCAAACAATCTCCCGGACGCCATAAATGTTATCCTGGACCCCCGCCTTCGTGCCACTAAATTTGAAGAAAAGCGTGGGCAGCTTCTTCCATTCCCTACCAGTGGCCGCCATCTTGTTGATAACATCCATCTGAACATCGTCCAAGATCTCGACAGCTCCAATTGGTATGCCTTGCCGAATAATCTGTGTAGCTGCGTTTGCGGCATCTCTCATTGTCGGGAATGTTGTGACAGCAACTCCAGTCTCCGGGCAAGCGAGCCAGTTTCAGAGTAGCCTCCGTCACGAAGCCCAGTGTCCCTTCAGAGCCAGTGAAAAGGCCGTTCAAATTATACCCGGCTGAGGACTTCCTAAACGTCTATCAGCCGACCGCGATATAGAGGATCGAGTCAACTTACCGCGGCCTTTGTCGAGTTTTGATAACTCTCCCGTCCGCGAGAACGACCGTGAGGTTGATGACCCAGTCTTTCATCGTTCCGTAGCGTACAGCGTTTGTACCACTGGTTTACACGCGTCAGTTTTTAGGTCTCTTAAGTAACGATGATCATGTGGGGGATGACCTACCTGCAATTGGTGGCGATCATGCCTCCAATCTTCGCCTGTATCCCAAATCAGATAGGGATCCAGCTCTGGTGGCTGCTCAAGCTTACTGTAGGGCCAGGGTCAACTGGGAAAAACAATCCACTGTCTTTGATATTCTCATTCAGCTCCATCCAGGAGACCGAGGGCTGGACAACAACGTCCATACTGGAAGGTCAGCGCTTCTGTTCCAGTGGAACTGGACGAGCTAAACAAACTCTTCGGGATGAAAGGCAACAATCTTGCCCATATTCAGAAAATCGACACTTATTCCCCCGAAGGGTGCAGAGAAGTGGCCCTCGACACTTGATCCCCCGGAGTACGGAACTATCACGGTAATTAACATATCGGCACATTCATACAATGTGTTTATACTCACTCATGGGTACTTGATATCTATGGCAAATTCTCGCGATTGCGGCAACCTGCTCAGTCGACTGGGGGAAGGCAACGGCCACAGGCAGACGCTCAATATTAACAGAAGACCATTCAGAATAGCCGTGCAATGTCAAGTCCTCATTATCAGTGCTAATGCTATCTTCTCCAAGTTCATGTTGAATTTCTTTGATAGCCCTTTTCATCTCCTCTAATGTAGCATACCGCGGTTGGTCGCGGCTGGTTGCAGAATCTGGTTGCGCATTGGTATATATCAGTAAGCCCATGGTAGCCACTGCAAATGCAGCGGCTACGGATGGTCTTAACCATCTGGCTGGCTTGGGTTGGGGCTTCGATGCGCCAAGCGAGTACAGACGGCATGAAGCACCAGCCAGAAGGGATGCAGGGCACTGTTTCCGCCTCCCTGTCAATGCCAGCAGCTGTCGTTGGGGCTTGGCTTTGGGCGAAAGTCGTAGCATATTGACGGTATCTGGTTGAGACTGGCCGGATTCACATAATACAAATTCAAAATGAACACTGATGATGGCCTTACTTATTCGCTATTTACGACACTTAAGAGCTTCCCGATTCCGAGATAGTTGCGAGCTCGGGTATTATCCGCGTCTTGCCTTCTGGCTATCGACGCTTGGGTAAATTCATTTCCCTAGCCACCGGTGCTAATTCTAGAAGAGGATTGGACACTCGGCAAATACCCGTTCCAATTGTTTTAAAAAAATGCTAGTTATATATGGGAAAGGAATCTCTAATCTTCAAACTAGAAGGCTTCTGGAAAGTACTCGGCCACTATACGTATACAAAAATGTAAGCCCAGACTTCACGTGGGTGGATTTCTGTACTGAATATGTTGCAGGTACACCGCATCTTATGCCTTCTTCGAGGCACTATGGGAGCTGGGAGTCCGAAATTGCTTCGTCAATTTGGGCTCTGACCACCCCAGCATCATGGAAGCAATGGCCAAGGGGCTGAAAGAGAAACCCGACGAGTTCCCCCGGATCTATACCTGCCCCAATGAGATGGTCGCCTTGTCAATGGCTGACGGGTACGCACGAGTCACTAACAAGCCTCAGTGTGTCATCATCCATGTCGATGTTGGCACCTCCGGGCTCGGCGCTGCAATCCATAATGCCTCAGCCGGCCGGGCGCCTGTACTGATCTTTGCGGGTCTGTCTCCATTCACACTGGAGGGAGAGCTGAGAGGATCCCGCACTGAATACATGTCAGTAGCCTTGCTTTTTTCTGTCTGTTATTAAACTAATCCAGGCATCTAGTCATTGGCTTCAGGATGTTCCGGACCAGAAGCAGATCGTGGCGCAATATTGCCGTTACGCTGGAGAGATCAAGACTGGGAAGAACATCAAGCAGATGGTCGGCCGCGCCCTACAATTCGCTACGAGCGATCCAAAAGGACCGGTCTACTTGATGGGGGCCCGCGAGGTAATGGAGGAAGATATTCAGCCTTATACGATACATCCCGAACACTGGGGGCCCTGCGAGACTGCCGCTCTTCCCGAGTCGCATGTAAAATTCATTGCCGACAAGCTTGTTGACGCCAAAGAACCACTTGTTATTACTGGCTACAGCGGCCGGAATCACCAGTCTGTAAAACTACTTACCGACCTTGCAGATGCAGTCCCCGGTCTGCGTGTTCTGGATACTGGTGGCTGCGATATGTGCTTTCCCGCAGACCACCCAGGCTGGCTGGGTATGCGATTAGGATCAGACCCTAGCATCGAAACTGCTGATCTGATCCTTGTTGTCGACTGCGATGTGCCCTGGATTCCTACTCAGTGCCGACCACAGGAAGCGGCAACGGTTATACATATTGACATTGATCCACTCAAGAAACTCATGCCGTTATTCTATCTGCCCGCCGTCCGCAGATACACAGCAGACGCCGCCACAGCCTTGATTCAGATCATTTCGTTCATTCGTTCTTCAACCAATTTACAAGAGGCCTTGCAATTGCCAGTTCACAAAGAGCGACTACACTCGCGGCAGGAACAGTACCAGCAACTCATAAAAAGCCTTGATGACAAGTGCACCCTTCCACCAAATACCACTTCCTTTAACGCCTCATTCCTGTGCCAGAAATTGAGGGAGCTTGCGCCCAGCAATACCGTATACGCCGTCGAGGCAGTCACAAACTCAACCCTTGTATCCGACCAAATCCGCGCCACCGTCCCAGGCCAGTGGATCAACTGCGGAGGAGGCGGCCTTGGATGGAGCGGCGGTGGTGCGCTAGGAATCAAACTAGCTGTCGACGCAGCAAATCCAGACAAAAAGCCACTGGTGGTGCAAATTGTCGGCGACGGGACATTCCTCTTCAGCGTTCCGTCAAGCGTGTACTGGATTTCCCACCGGTGCCAGATCCCGATTCTCACGATCGTGCTCAATAACAAAGGTATGATGATCTCTAAATTACTTCCACTCCCACTGAAATTGTCATCTAATGCTCTCAGGATGGAATGCACCGCGCCGGTCCATGCTACTTGTTCATCCAGACGGGCACGGATCGAAGGCTGATAACCGCGAACTGAACATTTCATTTGAGCCTAGTCCGGACTATTCCGGCATTGCGAAAGCGGCAAGCGATGGGAATATCCATGCAGCGCGGGTGAAAGACGTTGCTGAGTTGGGACGTGTCCTCAAGGAGGCTATTGAGGTTGTCCGCGGGGGAACATCGGCGGTCATCGACGCGCATGTTGCGTGAAGCAATTTATATATACCAGGGTTAAATTATATATGTTATTCAGAAGGATAACTCCACAATTGCCACATACAATACACAAATGTTCTATCTACTTTTTAATGATATTAAATCAAATTTAAAGGTTAAATGCGTATGTAGGCAGTACCTTTAACTTTACTCAGTAGGAAATGGATAGAGAAACCCCTTGGCCAATGAATTGGCACATGCTTGGTGCCGGGTAATTCCCGACAATCACTACCGTCACCCGTTGCCGCTCCTATAAGAAGGACTGATCGTCCGAGATAGAACCAGGATAGAATTGTTGGAGACCCAGGGCTCCAGTAGTGAACACCTTAAACTAGGCACAGCATATATGCAAAGTTTTGCGCCATCTTCACCCATTCAATGGGTCGTCAGAGGGGTACCCCCAGCCAGCGCGGTAATCTTCCCCACATTCGTCACATTCCCATTGCGGGTACTTCCCGAAGCCCTAAATCCCGTTCCGAGCCCGAACATGCTTCCCCTATAGCGCCTCACCCGCTCTCCCCGCAATTGTGAAAACCAACTCATTACCGGGGTAGGCATTATATCTGGGGTGAGTTAACATGAGCAGCCAATTGAGTACTTCTTATGCCCTTTTGTCGGGAGTGAGCACCGGCAATTGAGTATTATGTGCTTCCCAACCCACCAGGAAGGGGACAGACGCATCTCCGACTGTTGACGAGTCAGGCACTGGCTTACCTGTCCATAAATACGAAGGAATCTGTAATAAGTTGAGCACATCAACCGGAATCCAGAAAGAACGCACTTCATTTAATCCTACAACCTGTGGGTTATACGTCTTGACTTGACATCGAATCCTAGAGATGGACTTGGACAACAAATTAGACCTGGAAGGCATCCACGTTGACGATGTCGGGGCAGAATACACTCCCGTCATTTACAGCACTGCCGAAGAGCAGAAAGTAGTTCGGAAGTGCGATCTACGCGTCGTACCAGTCCTCATGGTTCTCTATCTCCTTGCCTTTCTGGACCGCATTAACATTGGTAATGCACGCCTGCAAGGGCTCGAGCATGATCTGGATATGAAGGGAGAGCAATATAACTACGCGCTCTTTATATTTTTCATTCCTTATATTCTCTGCGAGGTTCCGTGTAACCTTATTATGAAGAAGTTGGCGCCATCCACTTGGATCAGTGGGATTATGGTGGCTTGGGGTATGTCGTTTCCCAACTCCCTTCTTTTACAGGTCTATTATACTGACCTATAAGGCTGCGTGACCATTGGCCAGGGGTTCGTCCAAAGCTGGTCTGCCTTGATGGCCTGCCGCTTTTTGCTTGGATTATTTGAAGGTGGATTTCTGCCTGGTATGTGCTTCCTGGGTGTGATAAGCTGCTTACTGACAAGGACAGGCTGCGTCTACCTAATCTCGATGTACTACAAACGATTCGAGCTTCAGTGGCGGGTGACTCTCTTTTTCACTGCCAGTATTCTATCCGGTGCAATAAGTGGGGTAAGGTTCTCTGCAATATTACAAGGAATCTAATTCTCATACCTGGGTCAGCTACTCGCATATGGATTGTCCTATATGGAGGGAGTTTGCGGGTACTCCTCCTGGCGGTGGATATTTATTCTCGAAGGCATCGCGACCGTCGTTATTGCGCTCGTGGCAAAATTCCTGATTGTGGATTGGCCTGAGACTGCTCATTTTTTGCGTGCAAGAGAGCGAACGATTCTTCTTTCACGGCTGCGATCCGACACGCAATCGTTCCCCATGGATCGCCTGGACCGGACGGCCATAGGGAGAATACTGAAAGATAAAAAGATTTACCTGGGGTATGTTGTTCAAAACAATATAAGGAATTCTGACTAACATATACAACAAGTACGGTCATGTATCTAGGTGCGTTAACTACGGGATATACATCTTCATTTTTCATTCCAACAATCATTAAAGGCATGGGATGGGAGTCTTTGATGGCCCAAGTGATGAGCATCCCGATCTATATAGCGGCGGCAATCATGACACTTTGCACATCCCTCCTCAGCGATAAACTGAAGCATCGTTTCGGTTTCGTTCTTTTAGGATGCTGCATATCTACAGTAGGTTATATCATCTTACTTGCACAGCAGTCAGTTGCCGCTGGTGTGAGATACTTTGCGCTGTTCGCTGTCACTGGAGGGGGCTTCATTGCTCAACCTGTCCTTATAGGATGGTTGAGTAACAATATGAGTGGGCATTACAAGCAGGCCGTGGCGTCTGCATTCCAAATTGGATTTGGAAACTGTGGTGGCATTGTTGCTAGCAATATCTTTCTGTCTTCTGAGGCGCCGTCCTATCCTACGGGCTATGGTACGAGTCTGGGATTGATTTGGTTGTGCGTTGTAGCATCTGTCATATTCTTCTTGCTTCTCTGGCGAGAGAATAGGCGGCGGGATCAGGGGGCGCGAGACGATCGGATGGCGCTTGATCCAGATGAAGTGCAGAATCTGGGTGATGACCATCCTGGATTCCGGTTCACATACTAGTTGACGGGATAGAGTTGCAACAGCAAACCAGGTTCAGAAACTGATAGATTGAATCCATGCTTGTCCCCAGTCACAATTACATATGATGAAAAAGATGCTTCACAGTACTTTGAATATACAGATACCAATGCTATCATCCTGGCCTCACAGTAGACCTCCCAACGGGTATCCGTACTCGATGACATCCGTACTAGACTGGGGCATAAGAAGGTCGGTTAGATCTGCATCCCCGCTCCCCAAAAGCGCAGAGATATCGAAGCCAGAACCACCATGATAGTCATTTTCAGCGAATTCCCAGCCCCCTCCAGTTTCGGTGAAATCAATAGGCTCCCCTATTCTTCGTAGACCAGTTTCTCCCTGATGTATAGCGCCGGTACTGATTTCAGTGTCTCCAACCTGTCCTTCAAGATTTCCTTCGTCAGGTGGCCTCAGCGTAGAGTCTCCGGGCCCCATGGGCTGCTGATCACTGACGCGGTGTATTCGGCCCTCAGTGGGCAGGTCAGGACTACGTCGGACTGATAAGATATGCTCACGCAGGGATTCGAGAGATTGGCGATAGCGGCTTGCCAAGGGGTGCGCGTGGCTAAGTACATCAAGGGTTTGGAGACAACTTCGCCAAGCTGTCAGGAGCATGTCTTCATCCAGTAGAGACATGAGAGGTTCGGTGCACTCAGCAATAATCAGGACTATAGCAGAAGTCAAAAGATCTGTTGAAAGTCAGCGACAGGAAGGCATTTCGCGTGGATATGCGTACAGAATAAGCTGAACCACCAAGCACCGGTAGCGCGCGTGATATTGGCCTTTTCTAAGGATCTGACTAACTCGCATGTTCTTTTGACACATGATACGGCGCATTGGACCCTTAGCTGCCCAGCCAGATCGCCGTCAGCAGTGGAACTCGACTTATCAGTTGTACGAGAATGAACAGAAGCGCAGTACACAGTAAAACTTGGTCGATATAAGAGTATCTTCATATGCAGGAACCTGTAACCAAAATATTAGCTGCTGCATTCCGCCACTTACGATATTCAGGTCCAAGCCATTACCTAGCGTGCAGAACATTGGACTGTCTTTTCAACAGCAAGGGAACATCCAGCCCATACCCGCGTTCCCAATGAATGACATCCGGAAATGAGTCTGCCAACGAGTTCAACTCGGAGTCAAGAGCCAGTATAGTGGGGAGGTCTTCGAGTTTATGTCCCGCCTGGGCTTCGGTTTTGTGTGGAGGGTGATAGACGCGTTCCAAGATTTCCCCAAGAATCTTTGCTAATTTGATATTTTGAACATTAAAAATGTGGCGCGAATGGACACCATGCGGCTGACATCCAGCGTCTGAATCCAAGGCCCAGTATTCATCATCGACGGGGAGCGGCAGAGGAACATCTCCGACTGTACGTAGAGAGGGAGGGCGACCCAAAGTCATGCTTATCGTCCTAATCAAGGGACGTTTAGCATGTAGCATGTACCCTTCGCATAGTACTTACATATCCATTTGAACACATGCGTACCAAACTCGCCGCCTCATCTCAGCCTCCAGGCCGGAACCTTGCTCTGAAAAATGTGGTGACTGGAGGCCTAGCCCGACAGCCATGCGACAGGCCAGTCCTACTACATTCCAGCAACGTGCAGGATAGTGAGTACACAGAAGATATTGACCAACCAGTAAGAGAGCCTGAATATGTGCAATGTTCCCCCTATCGAGAATATCGAAACGTATTAGCTTGCTCATCCTATCAAAGAACATGGAAGAGGCAGCCTTCTTCTCCTCAGGAGGGAAATCCGAGAATTCGGAGCCCATCGCGAACATGGCATTAAGGGCACTGAAGAACACGTGGCGAGGACAGCTATTCCCTCCCAGGCCGATATCAGGGCCATCATTTCCTCTCCGCGGAAGATCTGTTGATGTGGTCTCGGCCCAGAGGCGGTTGTAGGCCTGTCGAAAGCTGACAGAGTGCGTCCATGGGTAGAATATATGGCAACTTGAAAAGTATAGACCCAGCAGCATGTCGGCTACACCCCGAGGAGGCAGTGAGAAGTGTTCTTGCAGCAGAGAACTGGGCGCGTCTCTTTCAGATGTTAAATTGATTGATTCCGGCTGCGGTCGTCCACGGGGTCGACGCGGCGGCGGCGCAATCCCCCGTACCAACGAAACTACCGACGATTCTCCATAGAACTCGTCCCCACTGACGTGGTCTAGCTCCTCATTTTGACTTGGTATCGTGACCCCCATAGCGCTGATAGGACTTGGACCGTGAGGGTCCTCACCCGTGGCGTGTCGCTGGGGAGTATGTAGCTGCTGGACATTCTGGTGTCGATAGCTGGGATTAGGAGAAGAATACTGCGGTGGCACTGGACTCGAACCGCTGCAACTGGGGGTGTAACTGGACCCAGTGCGAGACTGGTCGAAGCGGAGGTCGTTATGGTCAGAATGGCTGTTGTTTGGCTGAAGTATCTCTCCAGTCATTTCCCTGAGTGGTTCGGCATTGTGAGTTGAGTTGGGGCGACTATCCCCCTGGTCTGTGACTCCAGCAGCTTGCTGTAGACGGTGCACCTTTTGCTGCAGACTTGTAATATATCTGATCAGCCAGTTAGCGAAGGGCTAAGTATGGTGTTCTGGCTATCAACGTACTCCTGCTCGCTGACACGCTTGGCAGTATTTGCGAGTAAAGTGTAAACACAATCACTTGCCTTACTGTCGCGCTTCTTGCACTGGCTGCAGACCGGTTTCATCCCATCGCACCGGACTTTCCGCTCCCTACAGCTACTGCATGCAAGCGCAACCCGCCTGCGCTTTCGGGGCGGAGTGTCATCTACCCAAGGCGAGTCAGCCGGTGCGCCGCGCATGTCCACTGGCTGATGGGGTGAATATTGCGAAAAGGTACCTGTCGAAGAGGGATCCAAGGTTGCCGTGAAGCAGGCGGGGAGGGACAGACCCGCATTTGGCTGTCTCGTCACGTGCCTCCATTAGGGTTCTATCACCCATAACCAGTCAATCATTGCAGCTGGATGATATATTTGAATATTGATAGCAACCTGAAAGTCATCTAAGTATTGAGGTTGCTGAAATAATTGTATCCAGGGTTCTTTAACACCGAATGTTTTCTGTTAAATCCTTTGGGGTGGTACGGTCATCCCGCAGACTTGGAAGGTTTGAATAATCTTGCTGTGCGAGAGATAGTCTACAGAATCACCGGCTGTTGCTTCTATCGAGCTGTTAATCTTGTTAAACAATATCGTTGCTGCTATCTGCAATGAGACCGCCGCCCGGGAGCTACCCGATAACCACAAAGCAGGGACTCGGGTATTACCCGACCAGACCCCATTTCCATTAGTGGTTTGGTATCTGTATACAGCAGAGCTGTAATAAAAGTCCATACAAACACCACCATACCATCTTATTACCTGCCGTTGTAAAATATGCGAATAAAGAGTTTTTGTACAAGGTAACATTATTCCGGATATATTAAATGATATTTCCCGAGCTCCTGTGGCGAAACAATGAGGGATGTTTAATAACCAGCAGCAGCTTCGTGTTTTCCTATTAAACGATCCACCCTCCGTTGGTATAGCTCAGATACACGATCCTGTATTCTTTCCCAGGATCGTTATACCTTCCAGATTCGCCGCTCCCACAGCCTTAAGGGGACATACAAGACCCCAGACACAGCCACTGCCAGGATCCAACTGATATCAGTCCCATCCGTACCCCCAATACCAGAAGCAATGGGGCCAATCCACCAGGTCTGGCTCATGGAAATAATTGCGACGGCAGTCCCCAAAGTCCAGGCAGTCGTGGCCGCAAGCCCATAGGGGAGCTGGGAGGGGTCATTCCAGACAGAGAGGTCATATTTATATCCCCGCCTCCAGATAAAGTGCTCAAGAAAGAAGACAGTGCAGAATGGAACAAGCCAGTAGGCGCATATAGACAGAAAGCTCGTCAAAACGTCCTCGAGATAATCCCGAGCAGCCATGGAAAGAACCAGAAATATAGCACTGCCAGCGAAGGACCAAGCCATACGTGATATACGAAGAAGCTTTGTTGATATCATCTGTGCACTCAGACCCAGAGAATAGATATTAGCTGTCGTGACGGCGGCGGTGGATAGTCCAAGAAGAAATTCAACGACATATCCAAACTTGCGGACTCCTGGAGCCCTGTCCTCGAACACTGAGCCAACGAGTCCGCCCATTCCGCGCTCATCATATGAATTCTGAAACCTAGGATTTGGGCTGGAAAGAAGGGTTCCAAAGGCCGCGCCCAGCAGTTCAAGTAGCACCTGGCTTGATAACAAACCACCATAGGCATAGGAAAATGTTTTCCAATCATTGATATCAGGGCGTATGTAAACACCATAATCGGCAGCCATTGGAGCCCATGCAGCCTCAAACCCAATGATTGACGTACTAAAAGAGAGTACATTGGAAGCCTCAGCACTCCCATGGCCCATTGGGACATTGACAAAATGCAAAGCACCGAATCCCGCAGTGATACAAAAGCAAGTCAGCATGACAATCCATGAATACCTGGTGTATATATGGAAGACCCTGTATCCGAGAAGCCCCAGAGTGATGGCGACCAGGCCAACAATCAGAACCGAAATGGCCATAGGTAACTTTCCGGAACCCACGTCGTGGAGCACCGAAGCTCCAGAGAGCGCATTCACGATTGACCATCCGAGCATATTTATCAGGTAGAGAAAGGCCAGTATCTTCGAAGGCCACCAGCCAAAAGAATAACGTGGTATGACCATTGTACGCAATCCGAGCTTTGGACCGAACCGCGCAGCCAGGGCTGGAAGAACCGCGCCGACTATATTGAACAATATAATTGCGAGACATGAATCCCACCAGCCGAGCCCAAACGTTGTTGGGCCAAGGAATCCCGTCGCTAGGGTCGCGGTATTGCAGTTCGCCGCGAAGAAGACCGTAAACAGATCCCGTGGGTGTTGATCGGTACGCAGCTCCTCTGGGACGGGCTCGATTCCAAAATCCTCGACATTGAGCTTGTCACACCACCGCCGTACTTTCGGCCAGAATGGAGTGCGTGAGATGGCCATCGGAAGCTGAAGCTCTTAATCAGAACAGCAGAGGCTCGATATATAAGCGGCCTCGACCCCCTTACTTCCTGGCGGCCTAGTGCAAATCGCAAAAGGGCAGAAGAGAACCCAATAAGCCTCGAAGAACGAGAGCGGTCTGGAATCAACTTTGTGTCACCTTGCGAGGTGAAGGAAGATCTCCGGGGAGCATCAGTGTACAATCTGCCTACGGCTACAGTCGGGTATCTGGATAGCCCTAGGGACCAGGACCCACCGTTAGAATAAAGTTAACGAGCTGTCCGTTATCTAGGAGCCTGGCCAGATATGGCTCTAAATGTATCTCTCGGTATCGCGCATGCAGAGGACATGTTTTTTTTTCGAATACCGGTTGTTTCGAAGAATTTTGTTGCACAGGGAGTCAACAATAATTAACTGCCATTATATTATGTACAAGTCGCTCATTTCCCATTATCTGCAGGAAGCTCAACAGTTTCGCCAGAGTACAATTCCTGCGGAGGTGCCCTTGCCTCGGTCTCCACAGCATGGTGACCATCCAGCTCATGGCGAACATGCTCTTCAGTCGGTAGCTCGGGCTTTTCATGAAGCTGCTCTGGTCCACTGCCTTGTTCCGCAGTATCCTCGGCGTTTTTACGTCGATTGCGCCTCCTAATTATTAGGAAGGCTGCCCCTATAATTCCAGAAACCCCGGCGATTGACCCAACAACTGGACCGGCGATCCACGCTCTAGACTCTGAAGTTGACGAGTCATCGCTAGAGGCGTCTTGCTCTGAGCTTGCGTCCGTAGTCGTTTCTGCTCCACTGGATTGAGTCGCAGTAGGGGCACTGGTGGATGTGGGCGACTTTGTCGGCGATATGCTGCCCATGACACTCCCAGTCTCCAAGATCACAGACATCGCGGAGACCATTTCTGAGTGATCACTGGTATACAGAGACTGGCACAGGTTGACGATCTTGAGAGCATCCTGCGCATCCACAGTGTCGAAATAATCGCTGAGCCCACCCTCGTCTCTAACACAGTCGGCGCAGGTCTTGATGTTTTCCAGAAACAGTGAACCAAGCCCTCTCTCCTTGTCGCACAGCTCCTCTGTCCTCCCAGGGTCGTAGTCCATTTCGAGATACCCTGGCTTGTTAGTTTGATCGGTCGATATCCTAGGGAATGGATACGTACTGCAATAACCGTAGCACCCCGGGTTTGCTGATGATGTTGAATATGTTGATGTTGATGATACTGTTGTTGTTGTTGTTTCTGTCTGTGCAGCAGCAATACCACTGACCATCGCAACAGAGACCAGCCTGGAGATAAGGGCCAGCATACGGAGCTCCATGGCTGCAGACTCCTGCCTGCGTGGCTGAAGCTGGAACTGGGACTGACAATGGGACTGGGACTGGGACTTTCCAGACAAGAAAAAGCGGATCGAGCCGAACAACAACATTAAATAAAAAAAAAATGAGAGCTGCCATCTGAAACGCTGCACTGGGGCTATGCACTAAAGTCCCTTGGCGTCCCCAGGCTGGTTAGCCTGGAAGGGTCTCGGACGCCCCTGAGTCGAATACGATAAGGAGAAGAAATGAGCCAAGGAACGCCTCCACTGACGCCAACTGCTTCTGTCTTCGCGCAAAGAAACGGGTGGCTATGCTGGTTGCCAAGGGTCTGATCACTGCGTCAAGCGAGGACTCCCCCCACTCTTCTGGTCCTGCTACTTGACTGGGATAGCACGAGAATGTCTGTCTGGGGTCGAAATATCTGGTAACTCTCCGATGAGCGACAGCACTAGTAGTATTGGTTATCTAGACGTCCCGGCCAGTGCCAATTAAGACTATTTATGCTCAGCCACTTCTATTGCTTCGAATCCATACAAAGTATTTGACAGTCGGAGGTGCTGCTCGAAAGACCTTTGATAGCCTCGCTCGCATTCATGCACAAGGTGAAAGCAGCTAATCCAACGTTGAAGCTCAAATTGCTGCAACAAACCGATGGCGGACAACATTGCCGTCATCCGACTCAACCCAGGTGCCATCCCCCAAGGGCTGAAAGCCCTCAGCTTCATCATTATGCGGGTGCGCGTCGAGGCGGCCAAGATGTGCCCCAGTGCGTACATCCACGGCATGATAATGCACCCACTCCTCGTCCTCAGTCTCACCCTTGACTGTAACGACGGCCGTATTCAAATCAAGAAAGCCGCCAATATAGTGTATACAAGCTTCATCATCCTCATCATCCTCATCACCCTCATACCCAAAATCCTCGACAGACACGCGCAGCAAAACGTCCCCGCCAGGAAACGCATGGAAAGCAGCGTCGCCCACATTGTGGTCAACCGTCATGAACGTCCGCCCATCAGGCGCCATATCAAGCAGACAGCGGTCTTCCCACCCGTATGAGTGTAACTCGATCTTATCGTTATCGCCCGCAAGCACAGCCCGGTACATCTTCACCCCATCCTGGCCCTCGCCGACATCGAACAGAATATTCCGCCCGTCGGGATGCACGGTAATGATCGCGCCCTGCCCAACACTATCCAGCTCTTCCCTCGCGATCTCGGCTCCCGAGGAAGCGTCGAGAACGACTAACAAGTCCGGTCCGCAGTCGTTCATCGCATCAGGGCGATAAACCCACAGGTGGGACCCGTCCCGAGAGAAAGCACATCCGCCGCCAGCCACACTGTTAGACTCGGGGCTAGGCTCGAAGTCGTGCCGCCAGAGCGGATGTCCGGTTTGATTTATGCATATTGCACTGTAGCGGTTGAGGTAGACTGCGCGGTCCAAGCTTGCGCTTACGGCGTGGGTTAGCCATCTGGAGTTGTCGGTGGTGTAAGGGTTAATCGAATATGTGGCTGCTGGTTTCAGACTTCCTACGGTCATTGGGGAGGAATGGGTGTAGTAGGCACGGATCTCGCCGTTTACATAGCGAGTGACGGCGGGCTGCATGGCGGCTGTACAGAAGGTGTTGAGGTGAAAATGCGTTGCTGTCAGGGAGGAGGGGTTGGGAGGGAGTGAATTCTGTGGTCTCGTATTCGGTGACGATCAATGGAGCCTCGCAATTGTCCGTTGGGATCCCAGCCTTACCCATCCCAACCTGCCAGTCATGCAAGGTCTTGATTACGCCTCTTATGACCGCACTCTGAGACTGGATGACAAGTATTACCTGTCAACATTTAGCCGCACTCAGCTTCTCAACCTGCACGAAAAGGTCCATTTCTAGAGCCTCACCGGATACAACAAGACAAGCAATAAGATATCTGGTTATTTCGCAATCACGCGGCACTCGGTATTAGAAAATTACTTTTCTGCTCTTAGCCTTATAGAAGATGGCCGTAGTCTTGGGAGGCGCAGTAAGGGAGAGCCCACCGTCTGAGGTGAGGTAATGCCGGGTGAACTGAGTCCTGGCAAGCGGAAACTGGGTCTCCGGTCGATCTACTGTGTCGCTAAAGGGTCTGAGTCCAAGATTGAGGATGCTTAGCCTGACTGACAGGTCACCCCAGCTCTTCAGCGTCCGCAGCGTGTGAGCCGCGCTCGTCCAGGAGGCAACAATATAAATCAGGATTGTGATGCGTTCGGGATGCGCCCGCTTATCCTCCCAGTAGGCATTCCACAGATTGTTCTTCTCGTCTTTCAACAAGGCCGAGGCGTCTTCAAACTTGCCCTGGCTGACAAGCACTTCGGAGATAAGGTCGTGGAAGCCCCAGAAGGGGATCCCGCCCTCACATAGATTGTGCCGGTACATGTTTCTGAATCCTCCCCACGGGGCAAGAGCCGCGAGTTCCTCTGGGTATATGGCACTGATCTTCCACTGCTAAATCGCCAGCCAGCTATTCCCAGTCAGGGCAACCTTTCCGTTGCACCAGGGCTGCTTGGAGACCCAAGTCACGAACTCCGCCCTATCTTAGGTCTCCTAGTGGCCAAAGTAGTACAGGTTGCCTTCGGACGAGAATGAACCTCGGATATCCACGTTGATCACGGCATATTCATGCGCACACCAGAATGCAGGATCCGGGCCCTCCCACTTCTGCAAGTTCGACAACCACTCCCGAGGCACGCCAGCACGGAGAGGGAGGTTGTCCAGCCATGTATTCCCTTTCTGCTTTCCATATGGACCCATGTTTTGGGTACCTCGTGCTCAGCAGCGTTCGTCATACAACCTGCTAGCAACACTCTCTGCATAGGACGGGGGCACTCACCATGCGATGAGCGCAGGGACGCGCGCTTGTACCGCCGGCTCTAGACTCTTGTAGCGGCCTGGGAGAAAGATGTCGCTGTATAAAGTGGTACCGTCAGAAAGCGCCATGGGGTACTCTCGTGCATCGCGAGATTGGTTGGGAGCCGTAAATGGCCAGGCTGCACCTGGTCACCGGCCATGCCTGTTCTTTGATTTTTATCTGCTGCTCAATGGCAGCCTGGAATTGCGTGTCGTCCATTTGGATAGTCGGCCTGGGTGAAGAAGGAATGCGGACTCTCCACGTCAGTTTGAGGGTCTCCGTAGCGACCGTTTATGGCCCCAGTATCTGGATGGGGAGGTTCCGGGGGTAGTGGGACGACCGGGGCTTTGGAAGGCCGTCGGTCCGATGCGTTTCCCGGGGGGTTATGGCCTCGGTAACAGGAGTCTTAACGACCTACAATGTTTTGAGTACACAAACTATATATGCCTGTCCTCTCGCCCCCCCCCGAGCAATGGCTTCTCTACAGCAAACCCTAGTTGTCGACGCAATGCCTGTCCCTAAGGAGGAGTACGTCTCCGATGTGTGGAGAAAGGACATTTTCCGCGGGCAGGTTGTCTTTTGTACCGGGGGGAATGGCACGATCTGTTCCGCACAGGTCCGAGCCCTTGTGCATCTGGGTGCGAACGCGTGCATTGTCGGACGAAACCAGGAGAAGACCCAGGCAGTCGCGCGTGACATCGCCACGGTGAGGGAAGGAAGCAGAGTGCTGGGGATAGGTGGGATTGACGTCCGGGACCTTGGACTGCTGGAACAAGCTGCAGCCCAGTGTGTCTCAGAGCTTGGAGGGATTGACTTTGTCATGTAAGACATGCCCTGCCGAAGAACAGTAATTTCTCTCATCCGCTGACCCACTGGATGCAGAGCTGGCGCCGCTGGGAATTTTCTCTCGCGGTTCTCCGACGTCACGTCCAATGCGTTCAGAAGCGTGCTCGACATTGACGTCCTCGGGTCCGTCAACACAGCCAAGGCGACTCTCCCACATCTGGTCAGTTCGATCAAGACGGGGTCCCCCCGAGCCTGCGGCCGGATTGTCTTCATGTCCGCCACGCTCCATTACACCGGGTTTCCACTACAAACGCACGCAGCAGTTGCCAAATCCGGAGTCGACGCTCTCTCGTCTAATCTAGCTATTGAGTACGGGCCTCTTGGGGTTACCAGCAATGTGATCAGTCCGGGGCCAATATCTGGCACGGAGGGGGTGCGCCGTCTCTCTACGAGCCATGCTCAGGCCCGCAGGATCCCTCTCGGCCGGTACGGAACAGTGCGGGATATTGCAGACGCAACGGTGTACCTGTTCTCGGAGAGCGGAAGCTACGTGAATGGACAAGTGCTGGTTGTGGATGGTGGCGCCTGGCGGACTCTGGCAACGATCTCTGGCGACGACCAGGCGTATCCGGAGGTCGTGCTGGCCCCCAAACTGTAAGCTCCACGGGACGGCTTAACGGCTCTTACTCGGCGCATCTATAGCGGTAATACTGCATCCTACAAAACATGAAGCAACTGGATGTATGGTAATACGTACTTATATATCACTCTCGGTTACATCTTGGCTAGAATCATGTTGCGTATGATATCAGCTACAGTGTTCAACGTTCCTAGAGAGAACAGCGACCCACTGACCCAGTCGTTGAAAGAGTTATTTCAGGTCATTACGCAAGGAGATTAATTATTTCCATGCTGAACAAACAAGCCTTTGTCTTACTGTGGGTTATGCGGAGAACATCCTTAACTCTTAAACCAAGTGGGCGCTTGTTTCGCTTCCAACAGTATGACATTTGCGTTTTCTATTGGTTTGCTCATGGCACGGTACACCGTTTCATGTGCATGCAGTCCCCGGATAGTCGTGTCGGGGCAACCGCTTAGGAGCAAAACTACAGCCGCAACTGTCCGGGGTGGGTAATCAAATTACGGTCATCAGAGAGGTTTTGGAACTGCCAGAACGGCATGGCAGGCCTGTACACTCTATTGTGGCTGGTTACCTTGATAGGAGAGTGCAGACATAGATCACCTATGTCAACAGCTTGCAACTGTCTGGTTTGATGGATATATGGAACAGCCACCCGGGACTCATTCGTCACCGTTACATTGCGTCGGAACAATCCTTCCACGGAACTTTGCACTTTTCCCCCGGAACTACCAGCATCCCCTGGACAGATATTTGGCAACACCGCAATGAGTCTGGCAAGGAGAGGCCCTGAGGTCTATGGTCGTGGGCATGTTTCCGACCTTCCGCTCCTCTGTTGCCGCACTAGGCACTTCCTCGACCCCGACACAACTCCAGCCAGAATAACCGTGACTGGCTCTGTTTGATGCGATGGACAGTGATCAGTTGGTGACTTGCTATCAACTCAACTCTGCATACTAACTGTGTCCAGGGAATCTGAACACGACAATGAACAGTTCCAACTCCAGCGACATATGAGGGCAGTTCCCGGCGTAACAGCCAGCTCTCCTATTGACCACATCCTCCTCACCGTCCAGGATTTACTGGGCCCGGAACATCAAGACGGCAATAATAAAGAGTCCGAGAACCGTAAGGCCTCGGTAAAGCCAGGGCCCTTTACCTGGCTCGGATCGCGCATCACAACAGCGGATCTCCTGACTCATTTCGGTATCATGCAAGTCCCGCCGCCTGACGTCCGTCTCCAGTTTCTCCGTACCTTCATCAAGTATGTGTACCCGGGCTTTCCGTGCATAGATGTAGCCTCTGTTGAGTTGCTGCATGGGCACTGTGATCATGATACCTCCAGTCCCCTGCTCATGTGGGCCGTCCTTTCGGCTGCTTGTCCGTTTGTCAACGGCGCGGCGCTACGAGGCGCTGGGTATGCTACTCCCATCGAGGCACAGGAGGCGATGGCGAAAAAAGCCAAGGTCAGATGCACCTTGATTTGACAGGCAGCATTGCTGACATTGCATTAGCTGGCATATGAAATGGGCGTAGAGGGCGATCCTATCCGTCAGGTTCAGTCCCTGTTGCTGCTCCCGCTCTGGGAAGGACAGGGTATTGGTAACAAGGGGGTTGGCTATTGGCTTGCACATGCAATAGCGACAGCGGAGAGGTTTTCCCTGCATATCGGGGAGGCCGACAATCCAGTCCGGGGCTTGAAGAAACGCATCGCGTGGTGTCTTTTTATTCGAGACGTACAGATTGCTCTCGCGCAGCACCGGCCGTTCCAAATGCGCGATCGCAAGACATGGACAGCCCTGTCCCCAATCACGATGGAGGATTTTCCTCCAGCAAGCGACAAGTCTGCAGCAACAGTCGACCGTTTTAGTCCATTCGCTGGCCTTCAGGAACGGCTCAACTCGCTTTTCGTACACAAGGCTACGCTTTATCTGGTGGTTGCCGACTTCATCGATTGCCTGTACGCTACATCATGGACGATTAACGAGAGAGGCGACCTCTCCCCTACTCTGTCACCACGGCAAGGAGTACCTGCAGCAGAGCTAGCCTCCCACCGGGGCAGCTTAGAGACATGGCTCCGCGAGCTAGCAGGCAAAGTCAAACCGTGTGTCGATAACGACTCAGCTCTGGTCCTGTTGATCGTCACGAGTCTCCGAATCGAGTACCTCTTCGCTGTCTGTGCGGGTGTTCCTCGTCACAATCCAGAGAATAGGGTACCAGCCATCCCACCGTCCGTCCTTTCCTGCACCGAGGGCATTTTAGCACTCATACGCAGGCTCCACTCGCATAGACTGAGTTTGTTATTGCCACCTAGCTGCGCAGCCGCGCTCCTATTCACGACAAAGGTATACGCAGCGGAAGTCGCGCGTGTGGGGGCCGGTGACCAATCGTACAGTTTCTCACACTATATGGTTTGCGTTGCTTTGTTGAGAGCGTTTAATCGGGTGCATCCTCTGCCCAATGTGAGGAATCCACTGTTTTCGCCAGGGTCGACGGTCACGACGTAGTAGTTAGATAGCGCCGATGACTAAAAATCAAGGATCTTGAAAATATGTAGCGTATTAGAGGTTGGGGTCTACTTCAAGTCCAAAATGTCAAGTCTTTTATAGGTTTTTTGGAGCAGATACGATGTGTCTGCTCTGTACACCAGTCTCAACCAAGGACTGTGGATTATATTAGATTCAATGAATCAGCCCTTTATATTCTTCAGGTGGTGGACCAAATATTACGTACGCCACGGAGTTCGACAAAACCCCATTTCCTATGCTTGGTCTGAAGCAGGTCAAAATATCCATGGATGCCTGCTTAAACCAATGATAGAAGAAGATAGCCCAGCCTTGAAGCGCCCTAACACCAATATTATACCCACCATCATATCGTTAGAACTCGGTTTGTAAATCCAAACACCCTATCCATACAGTTTGTGCCTGGAACCCCTACCGGCTCGGCACTTCCAAGCGGAAATCCTGCATGACGTATATCGTTCTTTCAACGGGAGCAACGTTGCCTATGGTGAGGGCCTCGTTGTCATCCTCATCCCCTTGCTCGCGGCTCGAGCAGCAGAGCGCATTGCTGGGCCGAGCTGGGAACGAGGGCGTGTGCATGTGTGGATATGTGTGCGTATGACGGACGGGCGTAGACGGATCAGAGGTCGAGAGGAGCCTGAGTCGGGTGAACAAGGGGCGCAGGGTCGTTGCGGCGGTGGTGATGATGCAAAGCCCCATTTCTGTGACTGTGAAGATCGCGAACATGATCCGGCGCCATGAGTCTGGATGGCCAATTGGAAGCTTGAGGCCCGAGGCAAATACCGCTCGGAGGATGGTAGCTATAAAGGGGCTTGCTATCCCATTAGTGATGGTTTGCGCGCGAGTGGGATAAAATTCTGGTGTGAACATACCTGGGCCCCATAAGCATAAGCAGGAGAACAGAGAGCTTCTTGGAAGTTTTCAGTTGCAGGCCGGAAATAATCTTCACGCACAACACGGCTAATGAGATATCACAGCCGACTAGGATTCCTGCGTGGAGATACGATGGAATGACCATGGCCTTGACGCAAGTCGCATCGGAATCAGACCGGCCGCACTGCGTAAGAATCCAGCAAAAGTAGAAGACAGTGTATACCGTGATCGTCCCTGTAACTGCCGCGGTGACTCCGATATAAAACCGGTCACACAGGAGAGGACGCACTGAGAGTGTGAAGGAGAATTTGATTGCCCAAGTCGAGAGTATGTAGAGGAGCTCAAAAGCCACGAAGAGCTGAGAACTTGTTAGCCACTTGTCATCTGGCGCCTCTCTGCAGGATAACTCATGAGTGACATGACCGACCTTCGAGAAGCTATTGCCGAGCGTAGCCTGGAACCCAGCAAGCACACAAGCACATGAACCGGAGCAAAGCAGCTGTAAAATCCGTTAGAAGATCTGACGTACGCCCGAGGAAGATAAATGCGCACCAGAGATATCGTGGCCAGAATATCATCGATTCGAAACACTCTCATGATGTACACTCGCGCTAGGTAGCGCAAGGCCATCATCACCCAGGCGAGACAAAGGAAAGCAACACAGACTGTGATAAAGGCCGTTTCGTACGTCGACCGACTCATTCTGGATTAACGTTGTGACGGGTTCCAAAATGCTCGCGATGGTTTGTTGTCTCCCGACGAGGTCATGAGAAGGACATACCTAAGAAGCGAGGTGAAATCGTAGTCCGGGGAGATGCTTCATAGGGTCTGTCCCTCGTCGTCATTTAGAGTTCACTCGGTGCAGGAGAACACAGAGCAAAAACCCCTATTGTAATCCTGGCACCCCTAAGCTGTTTGTGTCCATAGGCTGAGCTCCCCCGTGTGGGGGAGCCGCCGAGTGTCTGGTTTCTCATCTGACCACCGCCTTGAATATCTCGTAAAACGGTGGAGGAATCGCAAACGAGTGATTATGGCGCCAGGTGGAGATACCGTAATCAAGTGATAAATTTTTCTTTTTTTCCCATTTCCTTTACGTACTGCCCGCGATGGCCTCGGCCAGCCAGGTTTCAGCTTGACGGATTCCAGGAGCGGCATTTCTCCTCCCGGAGAGGAATCGGGAGGAGCTGAACCAGGGTTTCGGGCCAGGATTCCCCAGGATTTGGGCCGAGAAAAAGTTGGCCAACAGCATTCAAAGGGGTGCAAGACGACAATGCGCTTGTTGGACCCGCGGAACTGTCACCTCATCAAGTCCCCTGGATCCACAAGGCCAACTCCGGTGGGGCTGCTTGGCTACGTTTAGTACTACGAATCCTCGAGGCTGGAACACGGTTTTATAGAAACTAGTGGGTGTTAAGGTGGAGTATACACTGCCCCGGGAATGCGCCTCCGGGAGCAACATATTGCACCGGGTTCAACGCAACGGTCCCAAATCCCATTTCCATTTCGCCTTCCCTCGTCATTCCCGACAGCGTGCTTTGTGTGTCGCTGGATGGCTCGTCTGGCTGGGAGGCGAAGGGTACATACACCGCCCCTGGTGGCCCGGGCCCTGGGGGAGGGGGTACCTGCGCCGGCGTTGGTGCCCGCTGTGTCGGGAGATCCATCCCTACATGAGCAGCACTGTGAGTAACGATGAGTAAGGCGTGCAAAACTGTGACCACATCGCTCTCATAGCGATAGTCGTACAGGAGTCGTGTCCGTTGGTAGAGTTCTTTCCGTGCCTCCGCTCGTGAGCTATAGCCGGCACTCTGCAGGTAAGACATGTCGACAAATGCGGCGCCCGCAAACATGATCGCTTGGAAGATAAGCAAGCTCAGCTGAGAGGAACCGTCGTACCGGTGCATCGACGTGCAGAATCGGGGTAAATCGAAGAGAGGTAGTTTGGGGTGCATGAAGCCCAGATAGCTCGCCATCAACTCGTTGCGGAGCCGGGGGGGTGGAAGTGAGAAGCACCCCATGCGCGTCAGGTAATCGGCGCCTCGCGTACAGATACTGGCCGGAGGGTCACAGATGTAACTCGGTAAAGAAGGCTTCGTGAAGGCGACGGTGGGAGTGTCCATTGAGCTCCATTTCTGTAGTTGGCGTTCGGCTGCCGTATACGGTGCGCTGGCAAGTAACGAGATGTGCTCTTCGATCCCCCAAGGGGGTATCTGAGGTTCCTCGTCATGACTCCAGACAGAAGCTGGCGACGATCGGTGCATCGCCGCCTGACGGTCAGGATGTGGCAATTCGCTATTGCTTTCTGAGTGCATTGCACCCATCTGCTTTTCATCCTCTACCACAAGCGGCCTACTGTGTTGCTGGCGACTAGTCTCGGCTTTGTCCTTCTGCGACGATTTCCCAGGATCCTTCTTATGACCGCCTTTCGGTTTTGGCTCGCGGATGTACATCGAACTAGAGGAGCGGTCAGTTGGTCGGTTGCAAGGCTGAGATTGCAGGACAATCAACCCACCGTCTGTTTCTCTTTGCTGGAACAACGCAAAACGCCCCGGTGAAATTGCAGTTGGTGCAAGGGATTGCGCCTCCAACGTCGCAACGAATCTTGCGCGCTCTGCAGCTGGAGCACGCCGCCGGAGCTCTCTTCTTCTTCTCGGGACCACTCGGTAGCTCGGTGCTGTGTGCCGGAATGGCCCAGGGGGCGGCCTGGTCGGGGGACATGAACAATGTGTCCATCTTCTTCGCAGCGAGAAGAGATTGGGTGGCTGTGACAAGGGGAATGTGCACGGCGGAAAGCTCAAAGAGCCCTCGTAGCTGTGCAAAGACCGGGTAGAGTGCTCAAGACAAAGAGCCAGAGCTCCCGAATCGCAAAGACAGAGGAAGGGGGGCGAGTGGTCTTCATTGAGGGCGCGTTCTCCGGCCAGGCCCTTCTTGCCAGGGAATTGACCAAGTCACACTGCCGTGTTACTGGACGCCACTGCTCCAGGGAAAAATCCAGGAGGCGCCCTGCCTTCCATAGAGTTTACGGATCGTGTCATCCAAGATTTGAATTCCATCTGATTGGGTATCGTCGTTCAATGTGCAATTGCTGCTTCCGGGGAAGTAAGAGTTCGTGTCGTCCGGGGGAGTAACATCTGCGTACGAGTGCAAGTATGTCCGGGGTATGGAACACCGAGGGCTGACCAGCGAGCCTCGGATCTTGGTACGTCTCTTCCGATTCAAATCCTCCACTGTATCCCTTCTCACAGACCCCAAACTTCCCATTCCAGTTGAGGCCATGGTCTTCACCTCACCGGCGTGGGCAGGCCAGCTCCCGCCGATCCCTGATGACATCCCGCTGAGCGAGTTTATGCTGAGCGAACATCATGGCCGACTATCTCTTGACCGGTCAAGCAACCCGTTTACATGCGGGGTTACAGGCAAGACATTTTCGTCCAGAGAGACTGTTGACCGGGTTGATCTGATCTCTCGGGCGCTTGGGAGGCGGTTGCAATGGGATGCTGAGGCTGGGAATGGATGGGATAGGGTCCTTGCTATCTTCTCCTTCAACAGTGTAGGTCATTCCTGTTCGTCCAAAGCGACACGGGCTTACTGGACAGATTGACACTATGCCTGTCGTGTGGGCTGCCCACCGACTGGGCGCCGTCGTGACCCTCGCGAACGCAGAGTACTCGGTGCCTGAGCTGGTGCATCAACTGAAAGACTCCAAAGCAACCGCATTATTCACCTGTAGCCCACTCCTCCCGGCAGCTATAGAAGCCGCAATCAAAGCTGGCATTCCAGAGTGCCGGATATTCCTCCTCGACGTGGCGATGCCCGGCCCACGAACGAGTTTCAGGTCCGCCTCGCAGCTGGTAGAAGAAGGTATACATCTGGCACCGATCGAGATGCAGCGATGGCCAGCCGGTGAGGGTGCACGAAGGACGGCCTTCCTTTGCTATTCCAGTGGGACATCAGGACTCCCGGTAGGTGATCCTGGGCTCGCTGAATCCTTGGACAGGAACTGACTGACTTGTACAAAGAAAGGGGTCATGATCTCGCATTACAACGTGATAGCGAACACGCTTCAAATCGCGACCTTGGAGCAAACGTACCGCGCCAATCTACCTTCGCCCGGGTCCGAGACTGCGCTGGGCCTGCTACCACAAAGCCACGCCTACTCGCTTGTGGTTATCTGCCACGCCGGTTGGTATCGCGGCGATCAGACTATTGTCCTCCCGAGATATACCTTCGCGTCCTACATGGCCGCTATCCAGGAATTTAAGATTTCGTCACTATTCCTGGTAAGACATCCCACTCCACAGTTCCGGCTAGTGGCTAACATTTTGGCCTGACCAGGTCCCCCCCATTATCATAAACATGGTCCAGAATACTGAGCAATGCCGAGCGTACGATCTGAAAAGCGTGCGGTCGGTGTTTACCGGCGCCGCCCCGCTGGGAGAAGAAACCGCGCGGAAGCTTCAGGAGCTGTGTCCCGGGGTAGTCATTCGGCAGGCATACGGTACGTGATCCGGTAGAAGATTAAATGAAAAGATTCTAACAATATATAGGGCTTACCGAGACCTCCACCGCGGTTGCGGCAACCCATCACGAGGATGTTTGGCTTGGCTCGTCCGGCGTTCTGTTGCCGGGGGTCAAGGCTCGCCTCGAAGACCCACAAGGGAGGGAGATCACGACGTATGATACACCCGGGGAGATTGTGGTTTACAGCCCAGGCAACACGCTTGGTTATCTGAACAACGCAGAAGCAACCAAGGAAACCTTCCAGGACGGCTGGGTTCGCACTGGAGATGAGGCGGTCATCCGGTTAAGCCCGTCAGGCAGCGAGCATATCTTTATCGTGGATAGAATCAAGGAACTCATCAAGGTTAAAGTTAGTCCAGGGTCCTGCACAGCTTCCACGAGGAGGGCAGAGTTTCGCTAACGTACTTACAGGGCCTACAGGTCGCCCCGGCTGAGCTCGAGGCGCATCTGCTCACGCACCCCTTGGTCGATGACTGCGCGGTGATCGCAATCGCACACCCATCCAGTGGCGAGGTGCCTAGGGCCTTTGTCGTTCTGAAGGCTGGTCATGATGTCGAGCAGGGAAGGGCTGCCGAGCTGATACAGAAGCATGTTCAGGACCACAAAGCACGCCATAAGTGGCTGAAGGGCGGGGTCATATTTATTCGTGCTATCCCGAAAAGCCCAAGTGGGAAAATCCTCAGGCGGCAGCCGCGGGACATAAAGAAGAAAGAATCCAGGAGCAGTCGCTCAAAGATGTAGAGTTCTAGCTCATGGGATACAGAGTGTATTGGTACCAAGGCCAGTCAGTCCAGGGGCCCGACGAATAGTAGTGGAATATAATATATAGCGTAACTACCCCCTGTGTCGTCGGATATTTGTCCTGTACCTGTGCTGCTGTAGCAATATGTCTTCATCGATCGTTGGACACAAGTTCCCACCGCGTTCAGTGCCCGAGATGTCTGCCCGTTCATGGCTAGTATCGGCGTCCGAGCAGACGACTCTCATATTCTACGCTTGCAATGCGGTGAATAACCCCCCAGCGGGGGCCGCCCTTCACTGGTGATATATCGTCAACGGCCAGCGCCTGCTCATGATCCTCAAACCCTTCTCTACTACAAGCACCGGGCGTGTGAGCGACTGGGAGGACATCCAGTTCGTCACCCGCGCGTCCACCGGCCAGTCAGGTTCTCAAGAATTTAGTATGGGAAGATTTTGGATCCGTAGAGTTCTGGCTGGCCTGCTGATTCTCGCCAGGTGCGCCGTTGGCTGATATTCCTTGGCCGGTCGTGACAATATCCGCTTTACCGACTTGTTCATCTACATCGACTAGTCGGACTCTGCCGGGGACGAAGTCGTTCGCGTAGGGGGCCATCTACGCAGATCTAGAGGGGAAGGGGCGTGAGACACAAAATAATGGAGCCGAAAACAGCTCGAGAATAGGGAAGAATTGGTGGTAGCAGTGTTGGTATGGTCCCTTCTCCACTCACCCAAAGGGCGTGTTACTTCATATAAATAACCAGGAAAATGGGGTGACCGTGTTTCCATGCGGAGAAGCGAAGAATAGCGGTCGGTGTTTAACTGTAAATACAAATTATAAAACTGAAAACGATATAATATCCGATCTGGACACTGTTTCGTGGACGGGCATAGGTCTCTGCACTATATGTCCGCACATATATGAAATATCCTCCTTCCCATTAGCTGGGGATATGGATACTATCATCTCTGATCAGAGGCACCGAATAAGCGCGAAATGCGGGGAGGCAGCTATTGTCTCCACTGCGCCTTCAGCTGGTCTTATAGGAATCACTCGATGGGTTGGTATAATTCACACTTCCTAGACCTGCAGCAGGTCAAGGGCATCAGGTAAATTCTCCAATATAGTATATCATTTGCTCAGAATCAAAGATAGAGAATGGTCTTGTAATAACCCTCGCGATTACACATTACATCCCAATCAATGGAACCACAACTGCGAAACTGCGCAGGATGATAGTAAAAAAAAAAAAAAACACTCACGATGCCACCACAATAATACGCCAAAACAGCCTGATTCAGCACATAGTAGGCCTTGTCGTGATCGACGCTGAAGTCGGTCCAAAGCTACCCCCCAACGGCCCAATCCCAAGCGGAAGGCCACAAGGCGACGGCGGCGCCCTGAGACAACCATGGAGAAACTGCCCGAGATTCCCAGGCTGGTTACCCGACCTCAGCACGTGCTGTGGAGAGTAAGCCTGGATTAGGGACGTGCTGTTTGCCAGGAAATCAAGGGGCATCTGCTGCGCAGCAAGATAATAGGCATGGGCTGCACGCTCAGAGGCCAGTCTTGACATTAGGAACGAGACTTCCGGCGACCTGGTGTATGCTGCTAGCCCGACAAAGGCGCCTGAGGCGGCTCGCTCGACTGTGAGGGCGTTCTGAACGAAAGTCTGGCCGTCCGGGGACGGCGGGAAGGTGAAGTTGCACCCAGGGCTGTGGACGTTGGGGATGCGGGAGGCGAGGATCTGCGCGGCGCGCACAGCGAGGAGGTTCCTTCGCTGGATGCCTTGGAAGTTGAAGACGTATTCGGCGGTCGCACTGTTAGTAGCACTGTCTAGGAAAGAGTTGTTCAATGGTTTCTGGGAATAGAATTGGTCCAGATAGGAGCTCAGCGCCCAGCCAAATTCAACAACGGCGGCATCATTAGGAGTCGCAGAGCAGCTGGTAGGGCTCTGTGCAGTTGCAGAACTAAGGAGGAGGAAACTGCTAAGAGTTATAAAGAAGCGCATTATGAATACTGTCTGAGGAGGATATGAAATGTAGACGATTCAAGCGCCCGCAGACTCTCAGTAAAACATAAGTATACACTTGTAGAAACAATGAAAGCCATTGATAAGGGCCCATTGTTGTCTTAAAACATCCATTCCCCTCATTCCATATCAAAATCTGGAGAAGTTGGACAATGTATGATGCAACCACTCCCGCGAATTCCATGCTCATCTACAGCGCCACGACCAATGATGAAAATCTGACATTTACAGGACTTATCTTATAAAGGCATGAATATGTCAATCTCACTGCAATCCAGCACATTTAACTCTCATTGCCCGTGGACCGAGGATCAGAGATTTCTGTTCCATGTGGGAAACGGATGCGTGCGGATGTACCCCAGACCGGGGCAGCATAAATACAGAACATCGCGTGGCGAATTCTGTCCACGAGACTCGAATCCGCGGCTGCAGCTTCCACACCACCGGTTACATTGGGATGGGTCGAATACTACAAGAACCTCGTCATAGACAATGTAATGGTGTATAGACAGGTGGTTCCTTGAATTTCCGCGTACCCCGATCCCAGTCACGTACCCCAGTGAGATGCAGTCATCGACTGTTGCATTCTGCGGGCTTTCTTCCCGTAAGTATCTTTTATCCTGGTCGGCTAGAAGCGACGGTGAGGCAATCGTTCAACCCAGCATGTCTTATGGAGTCTGGGGAATACAGCCGCAAGCACTAGATTGTACCCCCCATAGCCCACAGTTGCTTGCCGAAGTGCGGGGACTGGTTTAGTAAGGCAAGTACAAGACTGCCCTAGAGATGCCCGGTGCAGATCGCGCCTTTTACATTGGAACATCTAATGCAGAAAGAGCGATCGAACAGTTGCTCTTTCTTATCTTGAATATCGCTCGCACAACGCACTGTTTCAGGGGGAGTCATTATTGAACTGATGCTCAGTTTAGGCCAGTCTGATATGTCGACGTGTACCTGCATTAATGCGATGGGGTTGTCACGCCATGTAGATCAAAATGGTGGCTTGATTTGTATCCAAGAATGTCTCCAATAATATCCGACACGTCATGTATTGCAATTCTATTGAGCTTATTGGCAATATAATAATATATAGGCAAAAACATTCCGGTGGGAATCTAGTCACTGCCAGGCACCGCGCACCTGATACCATTCGCGCCGTCAGACATTTCGGCCTCTGGGCGCTCGGTCGAAATCACGCCAATAACCGGGCCACTGCATCCGGAATCACTAAATAGCATTAGCAGACACGTCGAATAGTTGATTGAAATACATACACCCAGAAGCGGCACTTGGTTCCCGTAACTCCGCCGTTCAGACGAGCTCCGTAAGTGCTAAATTTGTCAACTACCGATCCGACAATAATGTTATGGAGACATACCCCTGGAACAGGTCGATGCAGGTTCCGTCAGTCTGGATCTCGAGGTCGTTGGTTCCTCCGCCCTTCATGATCTGGGTGACGCTGACAGCGAGGGAGCTGGACGCAAAAAGGCCAAGGGAGAGGGCAGCCGTGAACTTCATCTTCGATATTTAATAACACTTGTAAATTTAAATCTGGTTGTAGAGGATAGTTGACATTGACCCTGACTGACCAGCCCATTTATACCTTTGGACGGCACTAATACGAGGTATGACCGCATAGCTTCTCACTCCGTGGCGGAGTTCTTGGCTGGAAGCCTGACAACGTGAAGTCCTAGTATTTGAAGATCGAAGACCACACAGCCTCCTCGTCTTTTGGATGGTTCGGCAGTCCTGTTGGGAATGTTGGCGCGCTGGGCCTCTTGGCGGTTGATCATGACGCTCGTCCGCTTGGTCGCTGCGAGGGGACTGGGGCTGTACGGCCGATCTTCTGCGGGTAAGATTCAGGTCCTGCCAGGGGGTAAGCGGCAACGTTGCTTCTCTCAACTGAGTAGTGCTCCTGAACTTCTCTGGTAATGTAGATCTTGGCTGGTGTATTCTGTAGGCTATTATCGGCCTTCGCGGTTTCACAGTTACACCTGCACAGGCATATATGATAACGCCCCGAGTCCGGGATATAGATATTCGGGGTGTCGGAATGCCGAGGTGCAGCCCGGATGCTTGCTCTGATGTCGCTGCCTGCAGAGCACAGTGTAAACCATGCGCTACCCAGTTTACTTATACGGCCCAGGGCTGTCAGGTATGGGCTAGCTGTTGGTGGAGACACCGATTGAGTTCGAGGATCTGACCGGACCCTGGCCACCAAAGATCTTCATGTGCGCGGCTTTATATTCTGGCGGAAAAGCACCGACGGGCCAGCCATTTCCCAGCTCACCATCTGCATACCAATGTGAGCTGTCTGCAGAGCATTCCCGAGTCGTCCTCGCCATCCCTTTCTCCAGCGCTGTATTGTTATCCCCAGCATAAGTGGAGCGTTAGTCAGCACGGCAGTCGGCATCGTTATCGCCGATAGCCCCGACTGGATTCACGAGACTCGCGTTGGTTATTTCAGTTTATTCTTCTTCCCCTTTCTTTCTCGACGGTGTGCGATGGGGCTTCATCATGCGCGCTCCCTCTGAACCCCGGATTGCAGCGGGCAATGGCGATGGCGAGAAGCAGCACACCACAAGTGCAACTGCGTCTGCCTCCGGCGATGTAGAAACCGCAGATCCACCGCAGAAGAAAGCGAAGTTCACCCTCAATCCTCTGCGATTGCAGAAAATCCCCCCGGTGCCTGAGGAGCGCACTCCTTCTCGTGAACATGGCGCTTCATTTCTCAGCCTGCTCTTTTTCCAATGGATGTCACCGTTGATGAACGTGAGTATATCCACTCCCCGCGCACTGTTCAACTGATCTCCGCCAAGCTAACGGTCTCAGGTCGGCTATCTACGAACCCTCGAGCTGCAAGACATCTGGACCGTGAACCCCGATCGGGAGGCGGAGCGACTGTCCAAACGCTTCGAAGATGCCCTGGACCGGAGGACAATCGCTGGGTCGAAGCACCCGCTGCTCTGGGCCCTGTACGACACCTTCCGCTTCGAGTTCATCCTCGGCGGCGTCTGCCGTCTGCTCGCCTCGCTGCTCACGGTCTTCACGCCCTATGTAACTCGCTATCTGATTTCATTCGCAACTGATGCGTATGTCGCACAACATTCCGGGCAGCCTGCGCCGCATATCGGTCGCGGTATCGGTTTCGTCATTGGCATCACCGTCATGCAAGCCCTGCAGAATTTAACCACCAACCATTTTTTCTATCGCGGCCAGATTGTCGGCGGCCAGATCCGCGCCGTTCTCATTATCCAGATCTTCAATAAGGCTATGAAAATCTCGGGTCGGGCCAGGGCCGGCGGTGCCCAGTCGCCAGAGGAACTAGAAAAGGTCAAGCAGCTGACTGCCGCCAAAGATCAAGCGCTGAAACAACCTGGCGCACGTCCATCGGATGGAAAGGGCTGGGGAAACGGCCGCATCGTTTCGATGATGAGTATCGATGTCGATCGCATTAACCTGGCTTGCGGAATGTTCCACATGGTTTGGGCGTCCCCGATCGCTATCCTCGTCACCCTTGTTCTGCTCCTGGTCAATCTTGGCTACAGCTCTCTCGCAGGATATGCGCTGATAGTCATCGGGATCCCATTGCTTACCTACGCCGCGCGCTTTCTGTTCAAGCGACGGCGAGGCATCAACAAGCTGACCGACCAGCGTGTCTCCCTAACGCAGGAAATCCTCCAGAGCGTGCGATTCGTCAAGTTCTTTGGCTGGGAGAGCAGCTTCCTGGATCGACTAAAGCAGATTCGTCGACGGGAGATCCGGTCTGTCCAAACCCTGCTCGCCGTGCGCAACGGCATGCTGTGTATTTCCATGGCAATTCCTGTCTTTGCCTCCATGCTGGCATTCATCACCTATGCCTTGTCGAACCATAATCTGGATCCCGCCCCGATCTTTTCGTCTTTGGCGCTGTTCAATTCGCTCCGACTACCACTCAATCTGCTCCCTATGGTTATTGGTCAGATCACCGATGCTTGGACAGCCCTGAACCGCATCCAGGAGTTCATCAGGGCGGAAGAGGAAAAGGAGGATATTCAGCGGGATGCGAACATGCCCGAAGCTGTTAAAATGGATGGTGCCTCTTTCACTTGGGAGCGCATGGTCGCAGACAAGGAAGCCGAGCAGGCGGAAAAGAAGACCGACCCAGAGAAACAGAAGCAAGAACTCGCTGACAACCCTACAGGCGAGTCGGAGGAGCCATTCCAACTACGCGACATGACTTTGGATATCCGACGAGATGAGCTTATCGCGGTAATCGGCACCGTTGGCTCTGGGAAGAGTTCTCTACTGTCCGCGTTGGCTGGTGACATGCGTCTAACTGATGGCGCTGTCCATCTAAGCACGTCGCGTGCCTTCTGTCCCCAGTACACCTGGATCCAAAATGCGTCCCTTCGAAGTAATATCCTGTTCGGTCGAGACTATGACAAGGAGTGGTACGACCAGGTTATCGAGGCCTGCGCCTTGAAGCCCGACCTCGAAATCCTCCCCAACGGTGACATGACCGAGATTGGAGAGCGCGGAATCACTATATCTGGAGGCCAAAAGCAGCGGCTGAACATCGCCCGCGCCATCTACTTCAATGCTGGGCTGGTCCTCCTCGACGATCCACTGTCCGCCGTCGACGCCCATGTTGGCCGCCATATCATGGACAAGGCTATCTGCGGCTTGCTCAAAGGGCATTGCCGAGTTCTGGCCACGCATCAACTCCACGTGCTCAGTCGCTGCGACCGCATTGTCGTCATGGACGAAGGACGCATACATTCCGTCGGGACATTTGACGAGCTTTCTCGCGACAATGAGGTTTTCAAAGCTCTCATGTCGACGGCCTCGCAAGACACCAAAGAGGATGCGGAAGAGGCCGCTGCAGAAATAGAAGAAGACACCGAAAAGCAGATCGAGCAGAAACCTGCAAAACCTGCGCCTGCCCTAATGCAACAAGAAGAGAAAGCAACTGATTCGGTAGGGTGGGCTGTGTGGAAAGCATACATCAAATCCTCCGGCCGCTTCGGATACTTGAACGCGGTTGCTATCCTGTTCCTGCTGGCTCTAGCCAACGTCATCAGCGTGTGGTCGAACCTGTGGCTCTCCTACTGGACATCCGATCACTATTCAAGTCTCTCGACAGGGGAGTACATTGGAATTTACGCCGCTCTAGGCGCCGGAAGCGCCATATTTATGTTCGCCTTTTCCACCTACATGACTACGGCCGGAACGAACTCCAGCAGGACGATGCTCCAGCGAGCAATGACCCGAGTGCTGCGTGCACCCATGTCCTTCTTCGATACCACCCCCCTCGGCCGTATCACGAATCGCTTCTCCAGGGACGTCCAAGTCATGGACAGCGAGCTCTGCGACGCGATGCGCATGTACGCCGTCACAATCACAATGATCTTCTCCGTTATGATCCTAATCATCGTCTTCTACTACTACTTCGTCGTCGCCGTAGCGGTGCTATTCGTCCTCTTCCTCGCGGCCAGTAACTACTACCGGGCCTCCGCGCGCGAGCTCAAGCGCCACGAATCCCTCCTCCGCTCAGCCGTCTACGCCCGCTTCACCGAATCCATCACCGGCGCAGCCTCAATCCGCGCATACGGCGTCCAAGACCAATTCCGAAACAGTCTTCGCTCCTCCATCGACCTCATGAACGGCGCCTACTTCCTCACCTTCGCGAACCAGCGCTGGCTCAGCACACGCCTCGACGCCCTCGCCGTCCTCCTCGTCTTCGTCACGGGCATCCTCGTCGTGACATCCCGCTTCAACGTCTCCCCCAGCATCTCCGGTCTCGTACTCAGCTACATCCTCACCATCGCGCAGATGCTCCAATTCACCGTGCGCCAGCTCGCGGAGGTCGAAAATAGCATGAACGCCACCGAACGCCTCCACTACTACGGCACACAACTCGAAGAGGAAGCGCCCCTACACACATCAACCCAAGTCCCACCAACCTGGCCCCAAACGGGGCAAATCACCTTCTCCAACGTCGCAATGCGCTACCGCGCAAACCTACCCCTCGTCCTCAAAAACCTCAGCATGAACATCACCGGCGGCGAACGCATCGGGATCGTCGGACGCACCGGCGCGGGGAAATCAAGCATCATGTCCGCGCTGTTCCGCCTAACAGAGCTATCCGCAGGAACGATCACAATCGACGACATCGACATCGCGAACATCGGCCTCCAAGACCTCCGCTCCAAACTCGCGATTATCCCTCAAGACCCAGCGCTCTTCAGGGGGAGTATCCGCTCGAACCTGGACCCGTTCAACGAACATACCGATCTCGAACTATGGGATGCTCTAAGGCAGGCGCATCTCGTTGATACGCCCTCAACGCCTACTTCGAATTCACACTCAAACCCGGATTCAGATCCCGAAATCAAAGAGAGTGATGCTAATACTGGTGCTGGGACTGGCACCGGTACCGGCACGAAACTTACCCTGGACACCGCGGTCGACGAAGAAGGGCTGACGTTCTCTCTTGGCCAGCGGCAGCTGATGGCGCTCGCGCGTGCACTGGTGCGCGACGCAAGGATAATCATCTGCGACGAGGCGACGTCGTCTGTTGACTTTGCGACGGACCAGCGGATCCAGGAGACCATGGCGCGGGGATTTCAGGGGAAGACGCTCCTGTGTATTGCGCACCGGCTGCGAACAATTATTCACTACGATCGCATCTGTGTTATGGATCAGGGGTCGATTGCAGAGATGGATTCGCCGTTGCGGTTGTGGGAGAAGGAGGACGGGATATTTAGGGCTATGTGTGACAGGAGTGGCATTTCGAGGGAGGATATTTCGGGGTAAAAATTGGAAAAATTGGAATAAAAGTAATTTAATAAACTGACATGCTTGTCAGATAATATAATTCGCATAGATCGCGACGTTCTACAGGGTATCATAATAGTGCCTTGAAAATTGAATTGAAATGCAGTACTATACACTCTGGGCCGGCAGCCTGCTAGTAAAATATACGTTGAATGGAACTCCTTGAAGCACCGGGAAAAATGCATCAACACGCTCTATGAAACATGGTGTAAATGCAGCAGAATCAGAACTTAGTTGGGCTTAGAACAGCTGAAGACACCGCGGACTTCGCCCGTATTATACTTGTCGATCTAGAAAGAGAATGATTAGCAATGTTTCCCATTTGACGAATGAATGCAAATTTCAAACTTACAATATCGGTGACACTCGAATAGGTACCAGCCACGAGAGTCACAACACCGATGACAAAGCAGAGGGCGTTCAGCGCGCCGAGAGCCAGGTTCTTGGGCGAGTTCCACTCGCCCTCACGAATGAGCATGAACCACATCAGAGCAGGGAAGTAAAAGGTGAACCCGGAGATGAAGAGTGACGAGGAAATAGACAGCAAGTCATTGAAGAATGGAATGACTTCGGCGATGACGAAGGCGATGACAGTGCCAGCCGCAATGATGGCCAGCCATGTAATCCAGCCCATCGGCGTGTTGATGAAGCGGATGGGGGAGTCCTTGAAGATGCGGCCGTGGACAACGCGTCCCGCGACGACAGTGTTGATAGATCCACTGATAAAGATGACGGGAAGAGCAACACCAAACGCAATGCGGCTCATCAGATTGCCGGCCGACAGTAGGGCAGGGCTGTCAACTTCTTGACCAACAAAGGCGTAGACAATAGCTCCGGTCACGGTGTAGATGACGATTTCGGTCAGACCGAGGGTCCAAATAGACTTGACGTAGTCCTTGGGGGTGTGCATTTCATCCATGAAAGAAAATTGACACATGGCGAAACTGTATGCGAAGATGATGTTGGTCAAGGCGATGAATGCATCGGCAAAGGTGGTGCCCTCCTTGGGCCAGGCAGACCAAGGCACGCTAGCGAGGCCACCGGGGGCATTGGTGCTCTCAACACCGGTAGCGATGATGGTGATGCCAATGGCGATGATGATAGACGCAAAGTCAATGTAGCCGAGAATCGCCATCTCAGTGAAACTGGGAGGCACGGCCAGCAAGAAAAGGATAATGGCGGAAACCACTGCGAAAATAACAGAGCAGATGCCGCTCTGGGTGATGTCGATCCATGCAATGGCGCCGGTCAAGGTGTGTGAGCCGGTCAGGAAGAGCAGCTGCAGGATAAGCATGAAGTTGATCACCTCAAAGCCAATGCGGCCCATCACGGGCCCAAAGCGACCAAAAAGCAATCTCCCAGCGTCGGGGTAGTGGTGGACGAGAGGGAATTTCAGCTTGACCTGACCGACGACGTATGATGTATAGATAGCGAGCAACCCGAGGCCGACGGTGCAGATGACGCCCGCGACCATACCCAGGGTGGCAAAAGTAGAGGGAAGAGACAGACTTCCAAGGGCAATGGCCTCGACAATGAGAACGATTGTGAGTCGCTTCCAGCCCAGGCGGCTGAATTTCTCAACACCGTGCTCGTAGACGGTCCTCTCCCTCTCACTCATCTCCGCCACGAGGTCGCCATCGTACTGCGGCAGGTTGGAGTCTGCAGGCTTTTCGCCGGCAGGGAATGCGACCTTCTTGCCCTCCATGTCGGAGATATCTGTAGAGGACGCCATGTTGGGCGATTGAGGCGATTGGGAGGACGGGGGGCAGGTGAGGTTGGGAGGGAGTGAGGAGGATGAGGGAGAAGAGAGGGAGAGCAGACGAGCCGGCGACAGATGAGGATATTAAGAGAGAGTCTGACGTGCGGGCGAAAGACAAAAGTGTAACGTTGAGTGGAAAGTGTGGAAAGTGTGGAAACCGCTGCCGGATTTTGCTCGCCGAAAAGGGAAAGAGTGGCCACTCGACATCAGCGAGCATCCTATTGGCTGAGAACTGAGTTTCTGTGACTAACAAGCGTTGTGGCGCCCACTTGGCTGGCCGCTTACGAGGGGCTTATCGGGTTCGCCAGCCAATGAAGCTACAGTGTGCCCTGCACTAGCCAGACTTGGCTAGGAATTGGTGGCTCGGCCTTCTGGAAGCACGAGGAACAGAGTCAGAGCAGCGCCCACCCAGATAAGGTGCAGATAGCAAATTCTGTTACTTGAACTTTTCTCCAGCCTGTTCCACTTTCTCCATCTTCCCCAACTTCACGTCAAATTACACTTGCTGTGGTAACCTGGGGAAGACCCAAGGATATCCCTCATCCCTCAGATATATCCCTCACTCGTAATGCGCGCAAATGACCTCCCCTGCAAGCTCCATCACCTCGCCAATCGTCACGTTGGGCAGGATGCCGCCCATCCACAGCACATGCGCCAGCGTGGTCTGATTGCCCGGATCGCCGCTATAATCCACCAGCGTTGCACTCGGCGGCGACAAGCCTACGGTGTCGAGCACTTCCTGCGGCGGCACATTTGCGCCCCCAATGTCAGCATTCCTGGCCGGCTGGTCCGCCAGCTGCCACTGCCACCAGAGTCGGTCCAGGTATGCGTGGTGAAGGTAGAAGATCGGGTCGCCATTGCTCTCCGTCGGGTCAAACATCTATAGTAATATCGAGATCCGGGTTAGCCCGCGTCCAGCTCCATCATCCCCGGAAAAATTCCGGCACTTAAGTAACAGAATCTCAGCATTTCATCAGGGTTGTCTCACCACGCCTCCGACCGCTGCGTGCCCCGCCGAGTGCGGATACGTGTTGTAGCATGCCCAGGCGTCCTCGTACTTGGCCTCTCCAAAGCAGTCCTCCACGTTGCTGCGGCGAGCCCAGGCGAAGTTCTCCTGGCTGAAGTTGCGACTCAGGCAGTAGTCGGTGTTAGCCGCGTGAGCTCGGATGTGCAGGGTGGTATCGCGGAAAGGCCCGTCTCGGACACAAGCGTCATCTTGTCACCACAACACAAAACGCGTCAGCAACCAAAGTCAATGCAGGTCAGGCCAGCAAGGACAAACTCAAGAGCTTAAACTCTGTGCTTACCACCAACCCCGTTCCCCCCAAAGCCAAAAACCGGGTCGAAGATCGCCGCCTCGTGGAGTGGAGCTGACTCATAATCTGCCAGCTCGTCCCAGTACGGTTGCGCCCCGTGGTACCCGCATAATTCCTGCAGCAGCACCTCGTGGGTGCGCACGAGGTAGCGATGCCATGGCAGGAATTGCCCAACAAAGTGGATGTAGTTGCCCTGCCAGATGTGCATGTGGTGCAGCTCGTCCCAGAGTGTCTGCGCGTCCTCGACCGTCCCAAGCAGCGGTGGGTGGTGCATCAGACATCGCTCCGCCCGCAGATATTCTTCACTCGTCAGTCTATGCTTCGCCGTCTAACTTGCCCGATTAGGTAACCGGGGTTCTGCAGATTGTCTTACCCAGCTTCTCCAGATTTGTCAACGCGTTCCTACAATGGTTAACTTAACACTCTTGCAGTCCACAATTACCCCGGGGAACTTACCACGACTTTCTGGTATTCAACTCCGTGCACGCAGGGAGCGTCTGGACCGTGTCTCGACTGGGAGAAATATTCCTCGCCAATGACACAGACACAACCAAGGCCGCTAGGGCAGCAATCTGAAACCACAGGGCTGCCATTGTCGTTTGTCTACCAGGTATTGGGTAACGGCGGACAAGAAAGCAGCGCTGCGCAGAAACGGTTGTCGGAAGATTGCCACCAGCCTGTCATCTCGCGCTTCCATCCTATGGCTTTATACGAATGCGCAATGTCCTACGGCCACCCCTGGTTCCCATGCAGCGACTCTGCACCGCGCGACGTGTCCAGCACGATACTCGGATTCCCGCGGGCTGAGAGGTTCGTGCCTCGCTAATAATATAACAAACCTCATGTTTCCGTGCACGGTGCGCTGAGTTGCAAATTCGCCGGGGGGGCATTGGAAAGCTGTCGCCTGCGATGTGATATGTCATCCCAGGCCCGGGGTTCAACTGGTGGGTTCGATTCTGGGCTGCAGGAACAATCCAATAGTCAGTGAGCTGGCTAACTCTGTTGCAGCTTGGCCAGCGGTCATCCTGCGTTCCTGGTTGTCAAGAGCAAGCTTCGTGCAAAGCATATTCCTTTTCCGGCCGCATACATTGGCAGCCTTCAAAATAAAGCGAAGGCGCGCTCGCTACTGGGACCGGCCCAATCTACTGCACCCTGCAATTAAATCATTTGCTAACTAACTATTCACGCGACACCATAAGCAAGCAAACAATCTACATCGGAATCCGATGACTCTGTAGTGACCAATCAAGCCGCTCTTGCCTCGCTCATAGGTGCCGATACAAACATCAATTATCTGCACTCCATCTCGAGTAAACACCTCATGCTTACACCTGTACTACAAGTTCCGAGCTGTGCCCGAGTCGGACCACATTCACGCGCCACTAAGCAATCTGGCATGCTTGATGCGGTAGCACTACGCTTATCGTACGCCGCCGAGAACGCCCGAAAGTATCCCGCAAGATCGCTCCGAAAACGGAGTCGGCCCGTATCGCGCCCAAGAACACAACTCGCGCAGTCAAATCGTGTGAAAGTGGTTTCTCGCTTGCCGAAGCACTGTTGACGAGGTTCCTTCGGGTCTCATTCAACTAAGCCTAACTGGTAGTCTCGTAGTACAATTTTGCCTGCGTCCTGTCGATATTTGTTGACCGTAGTCCCCTCACAGCAAAAGCTGTTCTCGTTGCCACCTCACCGTTCCTGAATCCTGATCCACCAATCCCTAGTCCCGGGTAGCTCAATCCTTCAGGAAGGCAATCTCGGGTCATCTTGGCATCCTGGACATCCCAATCCCTACCTGACAGGCCGATCCAGGCTCTTCAACATGACTTCCGCCACTAACTTTGACCCGTCAAAATTCATCTTCCAGTCTTCCATTTTGTTTTCACCCATGGCTGCTAAAGGGCGACATCGCCTCCACTGCAGAACCAAGCGTCATTATGGGGAATGGCTGAAGACTCCACGGCTCCAGTGGCGTGGAGTTCGCCGCGTCGCGCGTCCCAAGGATCGACACAGTCGGTGGCTTGTTCCTGGCGGTGGCGAGTGGCAGAATCTGCATTCGAAAAATGCCGACTCAGTTAGTCACGTGACAGTCTCAGCATGTTGGTAAGGAGGCGGATTGAAAGGTGGAAATACAAAGTGGACAGTGAAATTAGATATATGAACGTGATGAGTTCAAGACATACAGCAATATTGAGTTGATATGGTGGGTGGAACCTGTCACTCAATTGGTGTTGTTTGAAGATATATAATTGACATCATCACTTACATCAACGTAGCATGGCGGGGAAACTTTCTCATAAGGCTACCAGATTATTAGCACATTTATATTCAGCAGCTATCCGAGATAGGGTTTGCAGCCTATTACACTACGGGATGGACCCCGAGGGATGCTACATAGAAAAGGCAATAGGTTGGATGTATTATTTTTTGCATGCAAAACCCTTCAGAAAGATTATCACCTTACACTTAACATCCACCCGCAACTGGCCCAAAAAAACCATCATTCATTCTTGTTCACCAGAGATGCATAATATTTGTCATCAAATTCAATAGCAGTGTAATCCCTGTCCCAAAGTTCCTTAGCTAGCTTCTGCAGCTCGTCAGGAAGGCCAACGGTGAGCTCAGTGTGAGCCATGCTTACGCATCTTCCGTTGTAAGGGACCCCAGAATGAATGTCGGCGCTTGGGGTCAAGGTGACGTTTGGGCTTATCATCCCGATTAAGGTAGGCTCAAACATGTCGTGACGGGGGATAGCGCGGGTCTCTAATGGTGTGTATCCTCGCGGATACTGAGCGCATCCACGCTCCGGAAGTTTGGACTCGAGATCACGAAGGTATTTGGGGTTGTGGCTTTGCCGTGCATCCATCATTAGGTTTTCATCTGGGTCCACGTCTAGAAAATCCCAGGTTTCGGGGTAGTCTGCCAGAATACAGGCTTTTGCGATTGCAGGCTTCATAGACGGCAGACGGCGGAAGAGTTCCTTGCAAGTTGAAGGATGTGGAACGGATGGATACCAAATGCAGTATGGGAGTAGCGTTGTTTCCGGAGTGATCCGCGAGAGATCGTTGTTCATAATAAAGCGGGCATTGATTGCTAATCTGGACCATGGGGAGAAAGGAGGCGGTTGTTGAAGGGAGCACCATTTAGCGAACATGGTATTGTGGTAGATTCCTCGCACAACGCAATCCAGCTCGGTCAGAACGGGACGAGGTCGACGCAGGCGCGAGTAGCGGTCTACATCCCCGTAATAAGCGGCCATCAGAATCAAAACATCTTTATTTATCGTGGGCAAGTCGGCTGGAAGTGGCGTATAGAGAAGATGGCTCACATCATCTTCAGGAGGCGGTGGTTCGGAGGTGAACTCATCGATGCGATCGTCTTCCGCGATGTCAAATTGACCTTGTCTCCGATTACCGGGGAGAGGAAAATCATCCCAGTCAGGCGGAGCTTTAAACTCGGTCTTGATGTCCAGGTATGACCGCACTGCAGTATCGCCATTCAGGTATCCCTTGGATGGCTGACTGAAGACAGTCCGCGTATAGTCATCCATGGCGTTATACCGAACATCAGCCTTCATGATGGCGTCGTAAATTTCCCATTGCTGATTCTCACGGGCTTCTTCAGCAATATGGCATTCGGGAAGGAGGTCAAGATCGCCGAAAAGGCCGACATATCCAGCCACGGCGCAGGCTCTCCCGATCTGGTATTTCATCTGGGGGTATCGAACGGCCAGAGCGCGGTACGTTGCTTCAGATGCGGTTTCAGGGTACCAGATACAGTACGGAAATTCATCAGGATCGTCCATCTCAGGGATTCTGTTGCTCATAATATCACGCGCATTTAGAGCCCGTGTAAAAATGGGCAGCAACCCACGAAGCACAGTTGCATAGCCAGCATGGTAGCGAATGCCACGGACAACACACAGTTGAGTAGTATCTTCACCGAGAGCTTTAGGAATGCGCTGTCCGCGAACGGCTAAGCGACACTCCTCTTCGTTATAGTCTTCTCTATCCAGGTAGGCTTGATAGAAATGCATGAGGACAGGAGATGGAAAAGGAGCGGAGGAAGGAACAAAGAAGAAGACAAGAAACGCGGGGAGACCAGCGTTAAATAGCATGAAATTCATCAAATAAGCCTTTCCCCGCACTGACCCAGTTCGCTCATTGTTTATCGCAGAACTCGCATTCGCTACAAACATCCAAGCAAGTTCTGCGTCTCAAAACCTGGATAGGCTTAGGATGGAGTTCATCACTATCCGGATACTCGTTGGCCAAAGCCCTAATATCCTTGACTCCATTACTCTTTGGGTGGCCTGCCCATCAACAAAACTCACTTGTTTCAGTGCTAATTCCTGGCCGTTGCTTTTCCTTCATAACGGCGTCAATCCCGTGAAGGTCGCAAGAGCGCGATTGTTTCGCTCTTCATCGCGCTGGTTGGATTGCGTGACGAGTTAGAGCTTTCGGAGGTAGCAGAAATGAGGCGCGGTGTGTCCAGTAATGAGATTGCCGTTCTGGGCAAGGCGCCTAAGCAGAAGAGTGACGTTTGCATTCTATAGAGAACCTGTAAAACCTCGATGGCTGAGGGTTTGAGGTTATGGCTCCATCAGATAGACGTACCGTCCGAGCAGATAATCCGAGAAAAGAGTTTAATCTGAGTAATATAGATATCTATTTTACGGTCGAGTACTTGTATTCTTGGCCGCTGTTCTTGCATACTTGAGATCTCGTATAAGGCAGCGAACCTGGATTATTAATCGGCTGAATCCTTTGATCCATTGCTTACGCTGCTTACCGCTCTCCTTGTCTTGGTTACAAGGTCAACCCGGTCAAGCTACTCGATCACAAAGAAAATGGAGTGCTCCGATTTGATATTCCTGAACACGACCGGGACGTCGAGTCTGTCCGGCCAGGCCGCAAAGAAGATGAGGGCGCACATCACCAGGACCAACTTTGCCAAAAGACGCCAGCGACTGACGAGCGGGGAGACCGCACGGGAGCCAAAGGCCAAAGGAAAGAAGGGAAAACGGAATATACCCAGAGATAAAATGTCCGATAGCGCGTTGGCGCTTATACCGGCCCCTTTATCTCCGTCTGAGGATACCCGTAAGCTCCACATATTGTCAGACTATGCTAGTGACTAAACTGTACAGTCGACCGGCTGCAGGAACTGCTATTCATAGAAGGAAAACGCAACCCACACAACTCTCGTGAAGCACTATGGTTTAAACTCTTCACCTCGGAGCCGGTGTTGGTCGAGGCCACAATGGCTGTTGCTGTGCGGCACTGGTCGCCAGAAGACTCATGGCAATCGCAAGCGGATCTCCACTCCCTTATAGCCGTGAACCTCCTCAAAGAGCGCATTGCATCGATAACTACTCGTCCGGATGCTGTCCTCGGCGCAGTCATCACAATGGTATTTGGCGCAGCTTTAGCGTGCGATGATATTGCCTGGAAGATCCATATTGAAGGACTTGTACAGATCATCAATGATCGAGAGTCGAAAGATCCACTAGGTCTACCGTCATGGCTTATAGACCTTATCGTACAGTCTGTATATCAGCCCTGGTCCACTGCAACCCACTGACAGCGAGCTAGAGACTCAGTAAACAGTATCTTTGGCTTCCCGCGAGCGTGGCATCCAAAGCTCATCCACGCACTGCGCAAATACCACGATGGAAAAATCGCCAAACTCTCCTCCGTCTGTGACAAAGTAGTCCAGCTATGGCAGGTAATCAACTTCCATCACCAAAATCCATTAGACTCGGCCTTCATCGCCGAAGACATAGAAGAGCCGCTGGCCGAGCTACACTATGAAGCCCGCGCCCTCCGAAGCCCAGACAACGTCCACATCGACGCCGCCGCGCGGGCAATCGAGCTCGTTCTACACCTCCTCTGGCCAACCCGGTCACCGGCCCATTTGACGCTCATCGCCAGCGAGTTAAAAGGTAGAAGATCCCGCTTCCCTGTCAGACATTGCCCGTATATGGACTTGACCTCGTACCAACTTATGGTCGGGGCAGTTGCCGCTGAGAGGGGATCGGATGAGCGAGCTTGGTTTTTAGATAGGATCTCGATATCAGTAAGATGGATGCAGAATCGTGGATGGCATGAACCATTGAGTCTTTTGGAGAGGAAGGCTGGCCTTGATGATAATACGGGACTTATGGGGCAGTGCAGGGCTTTATGGAGGGAGTTGTATGACGTGGCAGCGACTATTGAAGGGCAGGCTCTTTACCAGAAGCTTGAGTGAATTGGAATTTGTCAGATGGTCTCATTACAAATTGAGAATTGATTTCCAATCTACACAATTAATGAAGTCCCATCCATTATTGCCTGGGGATTAAGGCATAAAGAGCCATTCCAAACCTTATCTAGACTGGTGTGAGGAAGCAGCCAACCAGAGATTGCGAGCAGACCCACAGCTCACAGATCTGATTTTCCTAATCGGGAAAATGAGACGAATAGCCACAGTTCGCCATAAATGCGCCATCCAAGGCTAGAATAAAGGCAAACTGATTTGCCTCATTCGGAAAATCAGAATCGACATACTGCAGTTTCCTTGCTCTGCCAGCAATATATAAAGATGGCTTTCGTCCCGCTTGTCCAGGTATCAACAACATTCCACATCATCCCAACTCTACTTCTAAAACGCATACATCAAAATGGCCAGACAATGGATCTTAACCGGACAAGAAGGGTTCGAGACCTCGCTCGAATACCAACAAGGTCTCACCATCCCATCACCCCAAGACCTCGGCCCAACAGACGTGCTTGTCAAGTTGCACGCCGCCAGCCTCAACTACCGAGAACTGGTAATTGCCGGACCGATTGTACGTATCACTATCAGCCCTGCAACAGATCACATCCTCTTGCTGAGTTCCAATTCCCCCTCTAACCGGAGTCCAGGGAATAAACGGCCCCATCACCCCGCCCCTAGTTCCAGGCTGCGACGGCGCTGGCACAGTGGAAGCCGTCGGCCACTCGGTCCACGAGTTTCAAAAAGGCGACCACGTGGTGACATTTGCAGCAGCCCCATTCGCCTCTTCGCATGGCGACGACGCCTTCCCCGGGATTGAGCATGCAGTTAATTGTCTGGGCCAGGGCTTTGACGGGACACTGCGCTCTTGGGCCGTGTTCCCTGAAACGGGTCTTGTGCGTGCACCCAAGTCTCTGGAGTGGGTGGCTGCTGCCACGCTGCCTTGTACGTGGATCACGGCGTGGAATGCGCTCTATGGGCTCAAGGGGAGAGAAGTGGGACAGGGCTCCTGGGTGCTTGTTCAGGGGACTGGTGGGGTGAGTATTGCCGCGTTGCAGATGGCTGTTGCTGCAGGGGCGAGTGTTGTTGCGACGACGTCAAGTGAGGAGAAGGCGTCGCGGCTTCGAGCGCTGGGTGCAGCGCATGTAGTCAACTACCGGACCAATGCGGAGGGCTGGGGGAAGGAGGCGAGGGCCTTGACTCCGGATGGAAGAGGGTTTGATTTTGTCGTTGACGTTGCTGGCAATGAGACGTTTCCGCACTCGTTGGCTGCTGTCAGAGTGGATGGAATTGTCAATGTGGTAGGGCATGTTGGGGATAGTGCTGCTGAGGTGGTGCCTCTGTTTGATGCCTTTATGCACACCTGCATCGTCCGTGCTATCCTGGCTGGTACTAGGAACCAGGCCAAGGCGTTGACGCGCTGGATTGAAGACAAGGGGGTTGTCCCGGCAGTGGACGATGTGGTTTTTGAGCTTTCAGAGGCAAAGGACGCGTACAGACGGTTGAAGGAGAAGAAGCATTTTGCGAAGGTTGTGATTCGTATTGACCATTAGTATCAATCAGTCTTGTTGCAATTTAACATAATATAACTATTATACTCCATGTTCCAGACACGAAGATGCATCTACTCAACAATCTCAAACTTCACCGACGCATCAGGCTCAAAAGTATCCCTCCAGTTCGTCCAAATCGCCGTCAACTCATCAACATACCGCCCCTGCAGCTCCTCCACATACTCATCCTGAATATCAAACCGCTGCTGCTTAACCTGAATCGGCCTACCGACAACAACATTCAACGGCCTCCTAAACGGACAGAAAATATTAAACCTCCCCAACGAAAACGCAACCTTATGCCCAACAGCCTTCTCCCAAGCCCACGCAATCAGCCCCTTCACGGAGAAGGAGTTAATATCCATCGGCGCAAACAGATCATTCTCCCCAAAGACAAGCACAGGGACCAGATCCGCGCCAGTCTCAACGGCAAGCCGAATAAATCCCTTCCGGATTTTAATCACGATGCCCATCGTGCCCGGTCTCGCAATGCGGTACTCACGGCTCCCACCGACGCTGATGGTGATGGCCTTGCCCATCCCGCGCAGATCGTACCCGCCGCGCGTGAGATGCTGGATACAAGAGTCGCGGCTGACTCCACTCTGCCCACGGTAGAATAGGTACTCTCTTAGTAGCGGGGTGGTGAACATGGCGTCCTTGACGAGCATGGTGTTCTTGATTCCCGGGAAGAGTTCCTCGAAGCCTGCAGGGTCAGCGGAGAAAGCTCCGATGAGGCCGTGGCAGGCGATGCCGTGGGGGTGCCCTCCAAAGACGTATTTCCTGCGAGGGGAGAGCGGGGCGGAGCGGTAGAGTTTGATGGGGAAGTATGAGGCATGCAGCTGCCACAGGGCAGAGGAGCGGAACCATTTGCTGCGTGAGCGCGAGGTGGTTTTGTGTGCGTTGGAGAAGAACTTGATGTGGATGATGTAGAGGAGGGCGAGGATTCTGATATGCGGGACGAGCAGCAGGGAGTAGCCTGCGAGAGGCAGGACAAGCCAGCTGTTGGAGATGAAGGTGACTGCCAGGATTTCAGCGAGTCGGCGGAAAATTGACCTGCATTTATTAGTATTGACTGGTGTTTATGGGGATGGCTGGCTTACTTGGTAGTCTTGGTATTTGCACTCGAAGAGATGGTCTCCAGGGTCGCCTTCGAGCCGTTATCAATCCTGACAATCCTGGGATCATCCTCTTTTGGCTCAGGAACAGCAATCATGCTCTTGTCCGGCCTTGCTGCTAGGTCTGCAATCCTCTCAGCAGCCTGGATACGGCCCTCCTTCTTCTGGCACAGCTTCTGCAGCTCGGCCGCCTTATTGAGGTAGGATTCCCTGTTACCGAGAACCTTGATCAGAGCCTTGCTCATCTCTTTTCCGCTGATATCAGGGGCCCTGGTCTTGTTGCCGTAGACACCAATGCCTAGCCACTCGGCTCGGGCTGCATTCTCATAGCAATCCTGCCATGCTGGGAGTATGACATGGGGAACTCCATTTCTGCTATTATCAGCACAAGTACCTGTATTAGATTGGGTATACGTACTGTATAGCCTCATACCACGAGTTCGCGCCTCCATGGTGAACGGAGCAGACGATCTGACCGGTCTCCAGCATCGCCAGCGGCTCGACCTCGAACCACGACAGAATCCGCACCTGATCACTGTCTAGCTCCTTCTGCAGTGGTGTGGTCGACTGGCTATAGACCTCGTCCTGGTCATGAGGATGCTTGGGGAGTTTCCATAGCACCTGGATGCCCTGACCAGAGGGAGAGTCAAGAAACGACTTGACACCGGCAGCCATCTCCAGCACAACAGCCGGGTTCGGAGCATAAAGAGTTCCCAGATTAATCAGGACGGTCGGCGCCTTATGCAGCCATGTGAACATCTCCGAGTCCTGCGTTTTTACAGGAGCACAAGGGAGGAGAATTGGGCCGCATGCGACGACATTGTCGGGGACATCGAACGGCCAGTCCAGCTCCTTCAGCGCAGGCGAGAGATGCAGGCGATTGGGCATCCAGCCGTCAGCGAACGGAAAGCGCCCGTGGATCTTGTGCTTGATGCGCCAGTCTCGGATCTCGCGCCGTCTGCCACTGCCGTGGTACATTTTGGCGGTCTTCATGACAGCCATGGTGTTGAGGGGGATGAGATGTAGTGGAAGGGGGTATGGGAATCCAGTCCCGGGCCTGAACGTTAGACGATTAGATAGTGGTCCAAGTAGAAAGGGACAGTGACTTACATTGGGTACTTCCACGCCCATGCGGCGTTCTTCTGCAGTCCCAGCACGATATGGCTGAGCGAGGTTGTATTCAACAAGACACTCGTCTGCCCAGCGTTATACGCCGCATCGCGACCCTGCAGGAAAAAGAAATCAATCGCACACAGCGAAGGCTTGACCTCATTGATGACCTCGATACAGCTCTCGTAGATATCCACATACTCATCCTCAGTCCATCCCCAGATATCCTCGCACAGCGACTTGAAGCCCAGGACAGAGCCCGTGTAGCCGGGAGGATGGAACGCGCCGCGCTTCCCGGTGCGAATAAAGATCTCAGTATTTGAGGGCCCGCGCACGGGGTGGAAATGCACGCGCTGTTTGTATTTCGCGTCGTAGCTCTGCTCGTTATCCCTGAGGAGCTTGTTGAGGCGCTTCTCGAGGACGGGGAACGAGGCGAGATGTATGTCCACGTCACCGCGCACGAGGAGCTCGTGCATAATCGCGAGGACAATGTTGGTCTGGCCATGCTCGCTGTTGGCGAGGAAGAGCACGCTGGTCGCCATGTTGCTTGGTGGTGGTGCTGGTGGTGCTGGTGCAGGAGCAGGGTCTGGCGATAAGATATACCCATCACCCACCCGGAGAAGGCAGCGTTTCAGTGAGTGACATGAAAATGCCGAGGCGACCCTAAACAGGAATTGAATCTAATTACGAGAGACCTGCAGAGCAAGAGGGGCCTGAGGGGCCTGAGGATCCTGGAAGGCGGGCGCATTTCCACTTTCGCAAACCCCGCGAGACAGATAGTCTACTCTGTACAGAGAGAGTAAAATAAAGTGTAATTTGGCCCCAGAGTCTCCGTCTCCGGCCCAAAATAAAGTTCGCCCCACGACAGGACGGCGTGATACAAGGGCAGAACGGTGGTCGTTTCAGCAGCGAGTGCCGGCGCCGTTGCTGGACCCCTTCCTCGGCATCAGCCCATATGAAGATTCGCAACCCGATCGTCCAATTTTCGAGGGCGCCCTGCAGATCCAAATTGCTGGCCCGCTTGATGCCCTGAAACAATGACCTGTAATCGGCTTTCGTCTGTCGTCCTGCACGTTTTAGGCTCGGCAGTGGACTGTCTGTCACAGGTGGCGTAGGCCGATCGAATGTGAACCGCCCGCGTACGGTCCATAGATCAGTATCTGTTATATACGGTGTAACATCCCAAGGCGTTTCAATTGCTCGTGAATTCACGTCGTATAGACCTCCTTGCCAAAATGTCGCTCGTCATGGCTGTGCCGCATGCGCTCTCAATGAGCAACTTCAGCGACGTGCAGACACTGCTGGTCTCCGCCTTGAGCTTCATTCTGGTATGTTTCCAACTGTTGTTTATCTGTCTTACTGACCGGTGTAGATTCCCAGTGCCCTCATATTCTGCCTGCAGTTGCTGCAGCCTGGGCCTGTCATTCGAGGCGTCAAGGGGCCTCTTATTGGAAGATATCTATTCGGAGTGAGTGTATCTCGCCAGATATCCCTGCATAGCTAACCCTGGTAGCTCGACACAAAACTAGGCTTTCTCACTGGGAGGAGTGCGTTCAAGTTCAAGTCCCTACACGATAACTACGGTAAGACTCAATAGCACATTTAATCAATGCATGCTGACAGATCGTAGGAACGGTAGTCCGCTTCGCCCCAGGCCAATTGTCGACCAACAGCCTCAAGTCCTTGCGAAACATCTACGGCGCTGGCCTTGGAAAGAGCAACACCTTCCTCAAGACGGGTTTCTATAAGGCCATCTCGCGACGCAACATCTTCACTGCCTCCGATCCATACTACCATGCCAATGTCCGCAAGCTATTCAGCCCGTCGCTTAGCCCGGGATGTATGGCTGCTCATGAAGGAGTGATCAAGGGCTGCATTGCCCGTTTCAATGCACTGGTCAAGCAGAGGACCGAGGGCCGCAAGTCGATCAGTCTGAATGATCTCTACTACTGTCTGGCTGTGGATATGGTGTCCGAAGTGCTCGTAGGAAAGTCCCTCGGGTGTATTGAAAAAGGTACGTCTCTTAACCTCTGTCAATGATACTGTCTAACGTGCATAGGCCGGCCCTTTTTCTGGACAGAGCAGCTCCCGCGTATCTTCTACTGGGCCACCATTCGCGACCAATTCCAGGGCTCTGGGGTTCCTACGCTGATCAAGTGGATGCTGCGCCAGATCCTGCGCAAGGGAATCCGACAGAGAAGCGAGGAGGCCAGAATGCGCTTGATCCGAGAGTATGTCTACCATATTACTAGTCCGATCTATACTAACGAATAAGACAATTGAAAGCAAAGCACACCCGGCGCGACATCATGGTCGAGGTCCTGGAGAGACAAGAGGCAGCCCAGCTGCCCGAGGAAGAAGTGGCAGAGAACTTCTCTGCCATTATGCTTGCTGGCTTCCACACGACGTCTCACGCAATCTGCGCTGCCATCTGGCTCGTTCTGTCGCACCCTGATGTGCACGCCAGTCTTACCGAGGAGCTACGAACGCAATTCAAGTCCACGGATGACATCTCCCTGGAAGCCCTCGGCAAGCTGCCCTGGCTGAACGCCGTGATTACAGAGGCCCTCAGGATCTACCCCCCTGTTCCTCTCGGAGGACCTCGGGTTTCACCGGGAGCCTATGTCGACGGCGTCTATGTGCCTGCTGGTGTAAGTACAATCTAAACTGTTTCTAAACTTGGCTAAATTTTGAATCCCTGCAGGTTGAAATCGGCATTTCGCTATACGCCCTACACCACAACCCGGAATACTTCAACGACCCGGCCCGGTTCAACCCTGAGCGATGGATCAGGACTGACTCCACCGACAAGAAGGAGGCTGTCCAGCCTTTCCTGCTTGGAAGCCGGTCTTGCATTGCCAAATAGTAAGTTTCTACCCTACAGCCCCACCAAAGAGTGCTTGTCTGACCGGACAGTTTCGCCCAACAAATGCTCCTTCTCACGCTGTCGTCATTCTTCGTCCAATTCGACGGCCAGTATGTAGGCAGAGCCAAGGACTGGACGACACAGTCTCGCTGCTACGCCTTCTGGGAACTGCCGGACCTCCAGGTCGTCCTGCAGGAGCGCGCAGCCTGAGCAGGATCCTCGGCTGGCTTGAATCTGTACATAGCAAATCGCGTAGAAATCTTCGCTAAGGGTAGACCCACAATCTGATGAATGAATGCCGTTTTCAAGTTTCCACTAGACCAGGACAGATGGTTCAATAGTTGTTACAGATCACAGACCGTGCTCGTCCTGGCCGGGCCGTAGTCTGCATCAGGGAAATCATCCGGATCAGATTAACAACCATTGACTTGACCCTTAATCACCGATCCCGTTCAAATGCCTCAGATTCGCTGGTCGGTGCAGGTAATTAGCGTAGGGCTGGCCTCGGCTTGAATTTGGTCCCAGGCCCACCGGCGAATTAATAGTACAGACTAAGCTGTACGCCCCAGTCATCCCAATTATGGGCGATGCAATGGCACGTTTCGAGTCCACGGACCAGATTCTGCACGGCACATGGCCATGTGTATGAAATACCGACAAATGTCATCTCACAGTGCCGATGAGGGCCGGGTGTTAGACGCAGTTCGGGTTTCAAGGGGTATAGCTTTGATCGCTTCCATATAGATAAGACGGTTGAAGTACGAGTATATTGAACTTACAACTTGTAACTACTCTGCTACTACTGATTATCTGACATGGCGATTACACTCGACCGCCCCTTTGGCGTCCATCTCTGGCCACACTTCAGCAAGGGCTTCACGGCGCTTACTGGCAAGTCGACGTCCGATTTCGAGCTCGTCCCTGGAGTGACTCCTATGACTACACTACAGGGCACTGCAGCGTCGCTTCTGAGCTACTATATCGTGGTCCTTGGAGGGCGACAGCTCATGAAGAACAGGGCTGCCTTTAAACTGCAGACCGCATTCATCATCCACAACTTCATCCTGACCGCAATCAGCGGCGTGCTCCTCGCCCTCTTCGTCGAGCAAATCCTCCCAACACTCTTCCAGGATGGAGTCCTTGTCGCGATTTGTGATGCGCGAGGCGGCTGGACCGACGAGCTCGTTTTGCTATACTACGTACGTCCTCCATCACCAACCACACGAGCTACACTAACAAGGCAGCTCAACTACCTAACAAAATACCTGGAACTAGCAGACACAGTCTTCCTAGTCCTCAAGAAGAAACCGCTGACCTTCCTGCACACATACCACCACGGCGCAACCGCCCTGCTCTGCTACGTGGAGCTAGTCGGCCGCACCTCCGTCAGCTGGGTGCCCATCACACTCAACCTGACCGTCCACGTCGTGATGTACTGGTACTACTTCCAGAGCGCGCGCGGGATCCGCATCTGGTGGAAGCGCTACATTACGATTCTCCAGATCGCGCAGTTCGTGATCGACATCGGTGAGTCAATCATCCCAGTCACAGCATTACATCCTCGGCGATACAATACCCACAAGCTAATACTGCGCAGGATTCATCTACTTCGCGTCGTACACGTACTTCGCATCGACGTACTTTCCCTGGGCGCCGAATGCAGGAAACTGCATGGGCGAGGAGTACGCGGCTGGATTCGGGGTGTTCATTATCAGCTCGTATCTGCTGCTGTTTATCTCCTTCTACCTGACGACGTATAAGACGCAGGCGCCGAGGCTGTATAGCCAGGCCTCGAGGGCGCTGGGGAAGAAGGACAAGGAGAAGGGCCTGTGATTGTCCGCTGCAGCCGTCGGATCGCTGTGGTCGGTGAAGGTGAAGGACAAGATAGCTTGATGGAGATGAGGATCGTCCCGATGATATGGGGATCTGTGAAGAACTGGGGAAGTAGGAAGAATGGAATGCGGGGGACACGAGTGCTTGTTAACTGACGATTATCATGTTTCTTTACCTACTATCTAGTGCTATATTCACTTACAATGATATTGACGGCGACGTCGAACTCCTGTTCATCTGTTATCTGTTCGTAGCGGACCTTGTAGCAAGTTTACCCGTTGTATCTCGCTGTAAACACAGACCGACAGGGACTTGAGCACAGTACGCATACTCGACGATCTTATGATGATCCAGTCCAACCGCACTCGCCTCCGAGGAACAGGAAACCTGACAGACCGAGATTCCGGGGTCCGGGGAATTACATCAATAGTGCTGTCGATCTCATCTTCCTACCAATGCCGTAGACTTTTGCCGTAGACTTTTCCCTGCAGCTCAGCTCGTCCATTCAAGGTTCTGAGATCCTGCACGGTCTGACCCTGACTTTTGAGCGACCGAGGTTCTGCTTGCTGCCCCCAGTCTGCGTTCCTTGGTTGCGTTATTACGTCTGGGGTGATCGGCAGCGCGCTGGAACGACCCCCCAGTCCAATCGATGCGTCCGTGACGAGGGGTTTACAGTCCAGTCGGAGGTGTGTACCTGTTATCTCGAAAACAGGTCAATGTTGAATGAAGATGGCATCCACAGTTCCAGCGCTCAGATAGCAGCTGTGGGCCGGACGAAATTAGGGCACGAACCAGTCAATCCCCGAGTTGTTTCTAAATACTGCCATGACGTGATAGCTGCCCTAGAATTTAGAAAGCAATGCGAGAGAATTCCGTCGAAACAGAGACCAGCGTATACGAAATTATCTTTCCTGTGGCGTTGTGGCATGAAACAGGGCTGAGACTGTGTCGCCTTTCACATGGGCAGACATCCGGACTGTCGATCACGGAACCCAGGTCGAGGCCAACCAAATCTCGATCTGAATCGCACAGCTTGCCTGATCCGACGGGAGCGGTTTGAGCGTTGTGACAGTGTAGTGAGCGTAGTGTATCAGCTTCAGCCTCGTGGGATGTCTCTGTATCATGTATCAGAATAAGAGCTGGCAGGACCAAGACGCTGGACTCGTCGATCGGAACTGCTAAGATAAATTACGTCGTAGATAACGTTCTGAAACGGCCCACTTGCTACAGTACAGTTACTATGGAATACTATGAATTGCCCCGAGTGACCTAGGTTGAGGAACTGCCGTGATCGCCAGTCAACCCGGCTTGTTTCACCTGCGTTAGAAAAGCAGGACGGTTGTAAAACTATTAGAATTGCCTTGCGCAGAGGACCCTGACAGAATGCGTTAAATCCACTGTTAGCACAGAGCTCAATAATTCGGCGGGCGCTCTGGTTCTGACATTGCAGCGTGCAGGATAGACTGATCGCTGTACGCCACGGGGCCGTTTCAACTGGCAATCGGCTTTTGCCCGGCTTTTGCTCGTCAGTCACAGGCTTCGGCACAATTCGGCGGGCCAGAGTAGGACTCTGGATCTGATCCTGGCTGGAAAAGGAAATGCAGGCCGTTCTGCGGAGGTGTGTCTGGGGCCGTATCAGAGTCTCTCCTTGTGGTGCCTTCTTGCAAGTTACGACCGACCTCGCGCCCCAGTTGCCATTTGCTGTGCTTGACTCCGAAGCTTAGCCTGGACTTGGAGTTCCTGGGTTGCCTTGCTCCAGATAGCCAGTGTTAGGCTTGTACCTGTATACCTTCAGGCCTGCCAGCAGCTCCAGCTCAGCCAGGAACAACAGTGGGCGACGCCGAATCGCAGTATCGCACTCCAGCTGGCATTTGAACTAACATTCACCTGCAGCATGCCCGGACAGTGATAGGATAGCAGCAGGAATTAGCTTCGATAGCCGCAGATCGACTCGGGTGACAGCGCAATCACAATCACTTCATATTCACTAAGCAGGATGGACTACGATCGCGGCTGGAATCGCAGCGGCAACCTGCGTCCCGACAGCAGGCACATGAAGAGAGGCAGGGCGAGCAATGTCCGAGACAGCATGGCCTTTTTCACGGCCGACTGGGAGGAGGTTCCCATGGACACCATGCGGATGACGCGCCGGTCGCTGATGTTCCCTCTGGACATGGACATGGACAAGGAGATCAAAAATGGTGGAGATGGCAAGGGCATTGAAGATATCCTCGAGCGGCAGATTCGCATGCCCACGCCCAAAGTCGGATACTTCCAGATCTATCGCTATGCGTCACGCTGGGACTGGGCGCTGCTTGTACTGGGGGGTCTATGTGCAATCGGGGGAGGGGCAGCTTTGCCTCTATTCACAGTATGTCGTTCAGCATCATATTATACAATATAGTGTATATCTAATGGACAGGTCTTCTTCGGCAACATCACATCCACATTCCGCGAGGTGGCCACCTACGCCATGAGCTACGACCACTTCTACGACATCCTGACCAAAAACGTCAAGTACTTTATCTACCTAGGCGTCGGCGAGTTCCTGACCATCGGCACCGCGACCTTCGCCTTCGTGCACACCGGCAACACCGTCACGCAGAAGATCCGCGTGCGGTACCTGCAGGCCATCCTGCAGCAGAACATCGCCTTCTTCGACTCCCTGGGCGCCGGCGAGATCACGACGCGCATCTCCGGCGACATGCACCTCATCCAGGACGGGATTTCCGAGAAGGCCAGTCTCGTCCTAGCCGGTGTCTCCAGCTTCGTCACGGCGTTCATCATCGCGTTCGTCAAATACTGGAAACTAGCACTCATTTCAACATCCACTCTCGGCGCGCTGCTGATCATCATGGGCATCGGCTCGACCGTCTCCGTGATATACAGCAAGCGGTCCATAGAATGCTACGGCAAGGGCGGCAGCATCGCAGACAACGTACTCAACTCGATCCGCACAGTGGTCGCATTCGGGGCGCAGGAAGCCCTGGCAAGGAAATACGAGAGCCATCTGCGCGAAGCAGAGAAATTCGGGCGCATTGTGCAGATGACATTCGCGCTCGTCATCGGCGGGATCCTAGGGGTTATGTATCTCAACTACGGGCTGGGCCTGTGGATGGGGTCAAGGTTTCTGGTCAGCGACTCGGCGAATGTCCAGCCCGGGGATATCTTGACGATTATGATGTCTATCATCCTGGGTTCGTATGCGCTGGGCAATGTGGCGCCAAACATCCAGGCCTTTTCGGATGCAGTCGCTGCAGCGACTAAGATATTTGGCACGATAGACAGGGAGTCACCACTGAACCCCTTTTCCACGGGTGGACAGCGCCTGTCGACAGTAACAGGGGAGCTGGAGTTTAAGAACATCCGGCACGCATACCCATCACGTCCGGAAGTCACCGTCATGGAAAAGTTCAACTTGCACATCCCCGCCGGCAAAACAACAGCCTTCGTCGGTCCATCAGGGTCAGGGAAGAGCACAATCATCGGACTGCTGGAGCGGTTCTACAGCCCCGTAGCCGGCGACGTGCTTCTAGACGGCCACGACATCGAGTCACTGAATCTTCAATGGCTGAGACAGCAGATCTCGCTCGTCTCGCAAGAACCGCAGCTCTTCACGGCGACCATCTACGAGAATATCAATTACGGACTGATCGGGTCCGAGTTCGAGAACGAGTCTGCCGAGCAGATCCGAACGCGCATTATCAAGGCTGCCCAGATTGCGGACGCGCATGACTTCGTCTCTGCCCTTCCGGAGAAATATGAGACGAATATCGGTACCCTGGCGCTTTCAGGCGGCCAGAAGCAGCGGATTGCCATTGCGCGTGCGATCGTTAAAGAGCCCAAGATCCTCCTCCTGGACGAAGCGACGTCTGCGCTGGATACAAAGTCTGAAGGGCTGGTTCAGGCAGCGCTAGACCGGGCAGCGAAGGGGCGCACGACGATAGTCATAGCACATCGACTGTCGACTATCAAGACGGCGCATAACATCGTGGTGATGATGGGTGGCAAGATCGCGGAACAGGGGACGCACGCGCAGTTACTGGAGACTGGAGGGGTGTATTCCAGTCTTGTGCAGGCGCAGAGCATCAAAGACAGCGCTCCGCAAGGCGAGGGAGACGAGGAGCTGGCGACGCTTTGGTTTGAAGATAACGATGCCGAGTCGGACTATTTCACGGCGGATTCGATGGACTCGCCGCTCACGCCGTATAAGCGGCAGAGCGTGCTGACCTTGGGTGGAGGACAGATCAAGGAAAAGAGGTTCACTGTCCCGACGCTTATCAAATTCATTGCCAGCTTCAACAGGCCGGAGAGGTTCATCATGGGTGTTGGGCTGGTGCTGTCCCTGTTTGCTGGTGGTGTGCAACCGGCGCAGTCTGTCTTGTTGGCGAAGGCCGTCAACGCCATCTCTATCCCAGTATCCGAGCCAGACAGGCTAAAGCATGAGACGAGCTTCTGGGCGTCCATGTTCCTGATGACGGGGCTGATTACCATGTTCTTATTCGGCTCGCAGGGGGCGTTGTTCGCATTCAGCGCAGAGAAGCTCATCCGGCGCGCTCGCAGCAGCACATTCAGGGTCCTCCTAGGGCAGGACATCTCGTTCTTCGACGAGGAAGACAACACCCCGGGCACGCTGACGTCTATCCTGGCGACAGACGTCAAGAACCTGGCTGGAATCAGCGGCGCGACGCTGGGGACGCTTCTGATCGTGAGCGTCAACCTATTCGGCTCTCTAACGGTCGCACTGGCACTGGGCTGGAAACTCGCCCTCGTCTGCTCGTCCGCCGTCCCCTTACTACTCCTCAGCGGCTTCCTACGGACCTGGATCCTAAGTCGCTTCCAGGCGCGCGGACGCACCGTGTATCAGAAATCCGCGAGCGAAGTCAGCGAGGCCGTAACGGCCATCCGGACCGTCGTCTCGCTGACAATGGAGCAAGTCATTCTGAACTCCTATCGCTCGCAATTAAAGCAGCAGGTCCGGTCGGACATCCCTTCCATCCTGCGCTCGGCGTTCCTCTACGCCAGCTCCGAGGCGCTGCAGTTCTTCTGCATGGCCCTCGGGTTCTGGTACGGCGGCATGCTTCTCGGCCACCATGAGTACTCCATCTTCAAGTTCTACGTCTGCTTCAGCGAGGTGATCTTCGGCGCTCAGGCGGCTGGCAGCGTCTTCTCGTACGCGCCCGGAATGTCCAAAGCAACGCACGCGGCAGGGGAGCTGAAGAAACTATACACCCGCAAGCCGCGCATCCACGGTCGCACGGGCGGAGAAGTCCTCGCCCCTAGCTCCTTACAAGGCAGCATCGAGTTCCGCAACGTGTACTTCCGGTATCCGACACGCATCCAGACGCCGGTGCTGCAGGGGCTCAACTTCAGCGTGCAGCCGGGCCAGTTCGTGGCGTTTGTGGGCGCCAGCGGGTGCGGCAAGAGCACGACGATTGCGCTGCTGGAGCGCTTCTACAACCCGCTGGCTGGGGCGATCTGCGTGGATGGCAGGGACATTAGCGGGCTGGAGCTCCAGTCGTACCGGCGGCAATTGGCGTTTGTTGGGCAGGAGCCGGCGCTGTTCCAGGGGACTATCAAGGAGAATATCTTTCTGGGGATGGATGCGGAGGAGGTCAGCGATGGAGCCCTGATTGCTGCTTGCAGGGACGCGAATATCTACGATTTCGTCATTTCTCTCCCGTACGCCTTTCCCCCCGCCCTTTACTGAAATCTGGCCTATGGATACTGACTATCTCTACTAACTACAGACAAGGCTTCAACACGGAAGTCGGCAGCAAAGGGGGCATGCTCTCAGGAGGCCAGAAACAGCGCATCGCAATCGCACGGGCGCTGTTGCGCAACCCCCGGGTCCTCTTACTGGACGAAGCGACATCGGCGCTGGACTCGGAGTCTGAGAGCATCGTGCAGGCAGCGCTGGATACAGCAGCGCGGGGCCGAACAACGCTGGCGGTGGCCCACCGGCTCAGTACGATCCAGCGGGCGGACGTGATCTACGTGCTGGCCAACGGCCGCATTGCAGAATCAGGGACGCATGGCGAGCTGCTGCGACGGCGGGGGCATTACTATGACCTTGTTAATTTGCAGAGTCTGGCTTAGGCTCGGTCTGGGATGGCCCTGAGTTGATCTGATACAGGAGGAGTCAAGCCATAGTTCATGTTCATTCCGACGAGATAGCCCCTTAATGTAATTGTATAACCTTAGTAAATGAGTTTCAGCCTCCAGGGGTCTATCACAGAGAGGCTACTGCAAGAGCACTGCAGGAGCTCTGCAGGCGTATACTGCATGCGGCAGGAATCGCCATCGGACATTACAGGGAGAGCACAGAGCAGTAGCCGGATGCCGAGACGGTTCAACAGTAATCAAGGCTGTCCCCAAGGTTCTCATCCTCGTGGCCAGTGGCTGCAGTGGCCCTGGTCAGACACTAAAGGCCTCTCACAAGGGCAGAAGCAATAAAGTTGGCGTGATGGGCACCGGCCTCACCATATTAGGCAGGTCAGTTCTCCTGAACAGGTCATGCGCAGCAGCACCAGAGACAAGCTATGGGCCCCCAGCGGGGATCCCCTCGGTCTCTATGCCTTGTTTGTCTTAGGGCTGCCCATGATCAACTGGGTCGCCCCGGCGTTTGGACCCACTGGAGCCAGCGCTCGATGCTTATGCCTAATCGGGGGCAACGCAGCAGGATCCCAGCTGGATTGCCCATGGAACAGACGCCCGTCGCCACTCACAGCGTGCGCTGGGCCCTCACCACGTGCTCCGGCTGGACCAGGCAACGGCCGTTGTTTCGGTAGATGCTCACTGCCGATGCTGAGGAAATCGTGAGACGACCGTTGTGCTGTCGCCAAACCTGCGCGATTTGCGTGGATAAGGCTGGCTGGGCCAGTTTGAGCAGCTCCGTGGTTTGGTCCTAACTCCTGGTTCATCTCTGGGTCTGGTTCTGGTTCTTCATCTTGTCTCCAGGAGTGGATGGCAATTCTTGATCGACGATGATTCTAGCTTAGCTCAGATCCTGGTGTGGCCTTAAAACTTATATTAACTCGTATGGGGAAGCTTTAATAGTTCATTTCTCCTGTCTCCTGCCATCCATTTAACCTCATACTCTCTACGCACTATACAACTCATACTCACTCATACTATTATACAACCATACTTATACAACCATACTTATACACCCATACTATTACACCATGAAGAGCGCCATCGCCCCAGACATCTGGGAGACGAAACGCATGCTGATCACCAAACTGTACAAGGACGAGGAGTGGCCCTTGAAGCAAGTTATCAAGCTCGTCCAGACCACAGACTTCCATCCCAGGTATGTCCATCGCTCTAGGCTGTGTATATTAGTCTAACCCCCACAGTGAATCTCAACTGCGCAGCCGGTTAAAGAAATGGCACATCACCAAGCCCTCGCGCAAGAAGTACGACGGCAGCAGGCGTCTCTCTGGCGCAAAGAAGAACTCGATGCAGAAGCGCCCATCAGACGTCCACCACCCTCCAACTCTCCCTTCATCCTCGACATACAACACCCTGCAATCACATCCCCAGCCACTCCCCTCGCACCGGACAGACGAGAGCGACTCCTTCTCTGAGGCCCGCAGCGAGGTCTCGCGTCCCTCAGTCTCCATCCCCGAGATGTCGACATCCACATCACCAGGAAACCACTATATTCTGCCCTCCAGCCCCGAGGACGCTCAACTGACGAGTCCCATCTACGGGCCCAACCCGATCATGGGGCCTTCCACGCCAATAACGCCGGCACTTTACGGCGTGGACGACTCAAAACGCGCCCCCAGCGATACAAACCACACGATATACTACTTCCCACAGGAGCTCAGTCCGCCGGTCTTGCCAGCCAGCAGCGTGCCCGTCTCATACCCACCAAACGCGTCCTTTGGCTCGTTCGCGGCTCCGCTGGCGATGCTGGACCACCCGGGCGACTACTTGGGCTATCCCAATGTACACTACACCCCCTCGTCACATCCATTCCCACACCAGCACAAGGACCCAACCCCCGTGGAGGCGCCGTTTGCGATGTCCGAGCTGTCCCCACCGCTGGTCGATGGGGCGTGGATCAGCCCCTATGGGCAGCCATCTCATTCTCGCGAGCACGCCCCGTCATATTTCCAGGAGCACTGCATGCAACCTCCGATATACCAGGCCCTGTAACTTCGCTTAGCGCATTTAGATAAAGTTTAAATATAATTGCCATGCAGACTTTTCGCACTTGTTTCACTCTGGCCTGCTAGATAGCACACCGCCCATGGTATGACGTATCGGGACTTAGGGCTTCGGGGCAAAGGAGATTCTTTGGCTCATCCAAGGCTCACAAGCCATTGAGACTCCACTCGATCACCTCTGGCTGCAGACGTGCTCGGAACCTGTCCGCAGCCTCTCCCATCTCTCCCCGCATCAGCCTGGCGTCAATTGGCTTCTCCAAATCCTTCACTCACCAAGTCTTGCTTTACGGTTCCGGTTAGCCACTTCCCTGTTCCAATGCCTGTTCTGTTCCCATCTCTCTCCCAAGTTCTCTTCTCACCGTTAATCCGTGCATCCGATCCAGCAGGATCTCCTTTTAGTTGTCGGACGTACTTCCTACTACAGTATAGCGCGGCAAGCAGATCATCCATCTGCCGACACCCCCACAATACAAAGTTACCTAGAGGGCCACTATCTCACATAGCGCGTTCCAGCACCACGAGGGCTCACGGAGATCTTGTCTCTGCAGGTACGCCGGCGGGCCCTCTGACTGGCCATGCCCAAGCGAGAGACAGCCGCTGACAGCATTGTCTCTCTCGACCCTCTGGCTGACGGCGGATTGCCAGACTGACGGACGATCACGGACTGACGTGGTCGCCTTGACTTGAGTTTCCCGCGGCGATGAGGGCCAATGAGGTGAAAACCGACTGTCGTTTCCAGCCGAATTGCGCTGTTTGTGATCTCTGGTTTCTCCCCTTCTTTCCTTCTTCTGGTAGCCACCTCGCCATGGATGCTGTCGTGCTTCTCCCATGGTCGCCCACCTCCCTCCGACCGTTATTCATTCGAGAATACGCGGAAAATACGCGGGTGGTCAGGCACTCCCTTTGCCATCCATGGCGCTGGGCCTTCTACGCCAGCCACCGAGTAATTCTTTTCTTAGAATAGACTCTCTGAATCAGAAATCAGGGATATCGGAATAGGGGCGATTCGTGACTCGTCGCCACTGGGGCATTTTTCGATTGGCTGGGTTAATGCACGCGCGTGGCCGACGATAGTCGACTAAGTCGAGTCTATTAGCGACCTAGTGTATCAGCCTCATGGCGATAGTCCGTGATCCGCCCTGCTACAGTAGGGATGTGCTGGATTTGCAGCACATCATGTTTACGGAGGCTTATCATCGGCGACCCTTATATATATGCTGCTGTCTCGCGTTGTTTAGGCTGTCTCGCGATGTCGAGAAAGTGCCGTGCTCCGTACGGTGTATATCCCAATAAGACAACATCCCCATGCTCTCCCCCTCCAACCTCCAGAATGTGGACGCAGATCAACCGCAGCGGAGCACCTTCGACATGAATCAATCCATATTGCCTCTCGCCCCTCACGCCCTCGATCGCAGACTTAGCATCGAGCAGTCGGCCCAAACCCACGGTTCAGCCTGCTACGGTTCGGAGGCTTCCTGATCAAGAAGGCGCTTAACTGACAGTCCCTGTCCACGGTCCAGGTTCTAGTCCTGTTCCAGTCCAAAACGCCCCCCCAGTCTCAAATCTCACTGGCGGGATCTCTCTGTCTTCTTGGCTGTAGCGCCGCCGACCGAATTGACCAAATGGAGATTGCGTGATTTCCCTGCTATCGGTTCCCTTACTTCACCAAACCAAGCTTCGGTCGAGCTTCGAGTGAGCTTGAATTTGGGTCTTCAACGGGTACAACGGCAGCTTGTGACCGCGAACTGTATCACTCCCAGCAACCTGGTTTGCAATACACTGCAAGGACGGATGCTGAATCTGACTGACGTGATTGGACTAGCTACCTCGTTAACGAGGAACGACGTCCTGAGAGACCCGACCAGTGGAGCTGCCATCGCAGGGTATACGACTAGCACTACATGTCACCGCGCTCGATCTACCTGATTCGGAGACTGAATCCGAGTTGATACATAATGCCTTCCGGGATTCGCCATGCTCACCTGTATAGTGTTCCTCCGAGCGTGAGCACGTTTCAGCCTTGCGTCTACACCGTATATCCCTCGTCCAGCAGGTCCTTGCCTCGCTTAGAGCAACCGAGGTGTTAACAGACGATACTGAGCTAATATCGAGCAGTAAGCACCACATGCCGCCAAGAATAGATCATGAATAAACTCTACGTGAATCCTGCAGAGCCCGAGTCCAAGGCATGGACCCAACCACTCCATTCCATTCCATCCAATCCAGACCCGGCCAGACCAGATCAGACAACCACCGGCGTCACCGACACCAACTGATCGCCGCCGTCCTCTGGACAGCAACGCTTAACTTAGAACCGAGCGTAGAATATTCGAAAGATGCGCACGCCCGACTCCAAGTCTCCAACGCGTCTCCAACCGTTATGCCACACCCATGGACCGAATGCGGGGATTCCGCACGCAATGGATCCGGCCGAGTTCGGTGGAACTATGCAGAGTCAGACGTGATGAATAGTAAACCGACGCGAGTCGGGGACTGCACACGTAGGCAGATGGTACCCTATGACAGCAAAGAGTGGCACGACATGTTGGATGGAACCCTGCGTGCGTATCTACGACGTATACCGGAGAACCGGGCAAGATATTCCCTGTCACTGTCAGTCCGTAGTCAAGAGTTAATAGGCGAGGCCCACTCGGCAAGGTGACAACATGCCGGATCCGATATCTGTATAGCCGCTGTTCTGGTTGGCCAGCGTGGACTGCAGAAAATCCGGCTCAGCCGACGATGATTCGTGGACGCCGGAGTGTGCCGCGGTCTTCCGCTGCAGAGTATCTGACTCTACGTAGACTATTCTACGGTAGTCTGTAAAAATTCAGGAGATAGGTTATCGTATTCAACTTCAATTAACTTCCATCGTAAATGTTATTAAACTTATTATGCCCCGTTTGTATCGACACAAGTTGGCTGATTTTAAAACATCATTGGCCATTATACTTTGCCTTTCCATGGCGGAATATCCCGCGGGATTCCGCAGTTCCGCAGGATTCCGCCTGCCGCTGACCAGCCACGCCGTCACCTTTATGCACGCACCAACCTTAATAACCAACATTAATGCCCCCTATCCTGAATCCTGAAGAAGGCCATCGAGGTCTGCAGCCTGCGTTGCTGATCGAGCTATTCCTATTGAATCCTGACGCCCTGCTTAACCTGGGCTGGTTCAGACAATGCCTTTTCTGGGAATATGCAGTTTAACCTTAATCTAAACATTGCATCGTTATGGTTTGCGTTAATGCTGGTGTCAGGGATTGATTTCCTTCGTGTGCATTTACGGGATGCAGGAAGAGGGTTTGTAGATATACTTTATCTTGTAGTTCTGGAGGAGTATTCTGGAGGAAATAATAATGGTGTTGGAGTAGACGTTATAGTAGTGACCGTTATATATATTTGCACCTGCGGAGTAACCGTTTGCCTGATGGAGTATAATGCCAGGAACACATGGAGTAGCTAAACTACAATGGAGAAAACCTAATTATGACAGTAATTCATAAACGTGGTTTCTATTCTTGAGGTGACTGGCTACGTAAAGCTAACATGGTTTGCATATTATTGTTGTGTTCATTTATTCTTCAAGTCAACTTCATAACCCGTTAGAGTGACAGTAGCCTGACTGCGGGCGCTTCATTGTTTCCAGTCAATATACTGAACGTTCTCTTACAAACTAGAGAACTTATACGCCAAGCGAGCCAATTCATACCCATCCTCCTTCACCGCAGCAATCCGACGCGTCAAGTAGCGCTGCGAATCGATAACCTCAATCCCCCAGACCTAAATCAATCAGCACAACCATACCAAACCAGTGAAAGATGAAAGTATCATGCATACCTGCTCCGCCGTCCACCCCCCATTCTCATTCCGTCCAAAATCATGAATATACAGATCCGGAATCTCCTTTTCCCCATCCTGCCCAGGCTCCAGATACGGATTGCCCGCCTGCAGAAAGTTCTTAATCTCCTGCTTGATACTCTCATTATCGCTATTCGACTGCAGCGTCAGATCCGGACGAAAAGCGCTGTCGTCGCTCTTAACGCCCTTGACGAGCTGGCTGCGCGTCTGCACATTGCCGTAGATGTGGTTTGCGCGCTCGCGCTCGGTCCAGTCCATGATGCGCTCCTCTGTCGACCCGCCGATTCCGCCAGTCAGCGTCTGGCGCATGGTTATGGTTGTTATCTGGGTGTCGGAGACGGAGGACTCGAAGGTTAGGGTGAGTGTTGCGGCGCCAATGCCTTTGCGTGTGAGCCAGCCGACGCCTTGCTGCGACAAGTTAGTGGGGTTGACTGGGGAAGAGAGAAAGGCAGACGTACGAGCTTGAGGATCGGGTCCATGTCGTCGGAGATGGATTTGTCCTGGTCGCATTAGCATTGCTTTTCGAGTAGCTGGATGGGTAGGTACCAGTGTCCAGGACCCCTTGAGGGTCTTGAGGGTCAGGTCTGCGGGGATCTCCATGGCGGTTGGTTTTGGATGATTGTAACTGTTCTCTGAGTACTTCTGAATGTGTGAAGACTTGAATACTGTGCCTGAAGCCGCCCCTGATGTCTCTTATACTCGATCGCAGAGAGTAGACATCCCCGAATAGGAAAGACCATGCATTCACATGAAAGAACTCCACGTGGTCGGCTTTCATGTGATACCAGCAAGATCCCTGTCTCACGCAAACTATACACGCAAAACACCATAAACAGGGTAAATACTCTCAATTAGAGCTGATATACCACCTCACGATCGCTACTGCAGTCTACAGGAGCATAATGTCGCAATGATTTGTTGCAAGCATACAGAAACCGTCGGCGAGACAGCAGTTCACAAAAACGTCATCAGCCGAGCTATCGGAGCTACTGACAGGAACAGCAGTCAGAGATCATCAATCGGGCAAGCCCCAGACTATTATCGCACGCCATTAGCCGGAGAACACCCCGAATGCGGACCGTTGTCAATTAGCATCGCGGGCCGAGCTGGTCTTGGCTGACGGGCGACGTCGCGCAAGGCTTGTTGTCTCCAGATGTCGATGAACTGCGGAGCTACATCTGGGGATTAATTTAATTTCGAGTTGTCGATGTCGGACGGATGGAAGTTGGACGGGGAACCTGCGCTGTCCTTCGCTGCCCTTCGCAGCGTCTGCTATGACCTTGATTACGCGAGAGTAGTCTTATACCTTGCAAGCCACTTAATTTGGCAGAGATTCAGCAATCTGCAAATACTGGCATGTGCGTAGTCAATGTAACGCAGCTGTCACCCTAGGAGAGAAAGGACATTGCCGTCGTAAACAGAGGGGAACAGACTCAAAAGGTCGAGGTCGAGCGGCGAGTCCTGCAATGTCAGCTCTAGCTTTAACCAGCCACAATGAAGACTCACACCCAGGTTAAGACCAGACAATGTCGGATCATATACATCGTAGCCTGACATGTTATCCCCGTCAGCCCCGTAAACCGTATCCAACCGAGCAGTGCTCATCTGCAGCGCCGAAAGACACTTTTTGAAGCTTTGCGTTGCCGCGTCGTAAACCGCCCTCTTCACATCCTGTCCTGTTTTCATCGCGTGGATCTGCCCTAGGACAGCCGACAGAAGGCCAAACCGTTTCATGCTTGGGGTTCCGCTCGCAATTGTTTGGAAGAGATGGTTCTTGATCTGCTCGAGAATGTCAATCAGATGGTCGCGACTCGCATCCGCGAGCCCGTCGAATGAGTTTCCCTCTGGGCCTGGAAGTCCTGGGAGGAGATCTTCTTCCAGCTGGGTAACGATTTCTAAACATAGCGCCGAAATGACATCCAAACCGAGCGGCCCTTTGAACGTGCCCTTCCCGCTGAGGCAGAGGCGTAAGAAATCACCAACAGGCGACTGTGAAGTATCAGCATACGATACTATCACACTCGCAGACTCCAGACAGGCTTTTCGCGCATAATAATACTGCCGGTCCTTCCTTGTTTGCACCAAGAACGGCATATACAGGGCCAAGATATACCAGTGTAACTGACAAACGATGAACTTTGCATGAAACTCGCCCAGTTCCAGGGAGGAACCGCGTCGGCGTCGGGTATTGACAGAGTGCAGGAATGCTGTAGCACTCCGGCAGACGGCTCTCATTTTCCCGCCTAGGTCAAGGGCCTGTTGGTAGGACTGGCCCTTGCCGTCGTGTATCACGTTGAGGATTTGCATACGCAATTGCACGGACTCTTGTACCAGAATTTGAACTGACGTGTCCGTGACTTGATCGCTGATAGCAGAAGCGGATACAGAAGCAGTATCCGGACCTAGATCGTTATCGTCGACATTCGACGGAACAACGGTGTCGAAATGTGCCGGAATAAGAGCAGGCGTGCCTGACTCCAGTGCATCCTGGAGCACCAATTCCACCACAGTCGCCCAGAGCCGTAGTCGCAGCTCGGCCTGCAGCTTAGACAAGGATGGAAAGTTTGTCGGGCTGCGGTGTAACCCCATTGCCATGGCCGCGCGCATGAGAGTGCCCGTGGAGAGCCACGGCGACGAGCCTAGACCGCACGCCTTGCGCGCAATCAGGAGCAGGCACATTGTCTGGAGGCCGTCGAGGTTGACTGTGAATTTCTCAGATGGCCCACCCAGCCACCACTGCGCGGCATATATCCATTTCTGGACCTGCTGGGTGTACTCAGCGTTGCCATCACTGGGATAAAACACCGTCCCGATGGCGAGGATAAGTACGAGCTTCACAAGAAAGGAAGATGTGTCTGAATCAGCCCCAGACCGCGCCCAGAACTCCTCGTATTCAGACCAGAATGTCGACACATGGATAACGCGGTAGACTCCCTCGAACGTGCGCAAATAGCATCGCACAAGTTCGTCACATTTCTCCCTTGAAGGAACCGTATTCCGCAGGCCCGACACAGGGTCATTCAAGCGAACAGACCGTTGGGCCTTGATCGACCGTCGTAGCTCGCGACCTTCCTTGACGGTATCGACCACGTCCTTTTTCAGGTCCTTCAATCCCGGCTCAGTGTCGCCCCGGCTGAACAGTCCAGCAATAGAAAGCTGAATGACAGTTAACCTGGCAGTCTAGTCTCCGCGGAGAAGCGTCAAAAGAAATCGCGATCGGGATAGACTTACCTGGTCCATCTTGTTACACCAATGCGTCGGACCCATGAACTTGACCTTCTGTGCCGACGATCGCAGGCGTGGAGCTATCGGCCCCATAGAGTTTTTCTCTTTCACAGAGGCACCAGCATCAGAATCACGATCAGCAGAATCCACACAGTTTGAGCAGCCGGTCAGTTGACCTTCAACGGTTTCGACCCTGGCTGCCAGAGCACGCAACTGGCGTTCTAGGCTGGGCCGTCGCGTTGCCGTCTCCTCTGACCCCGAACCCAAAACATGCTGTTCCAGTGACCCCAGTCGGTCCTGGATGTCTCGAATGGCATGAGTCAAGTCATCAGTAGCGGCGATAGCACCATTCTCAGTCGAGGAGGAGGTCGGAGTCAGAGTCAACAAGCTCGAGTTCCCACCCGAAGAAATTCCCCGAGGCCGAGACCCAGACGCTTTAGATGCTGGTTCTCGCTGGGTATCAAATCGGACTTGGCCTGCTATTCGGGAATCTGAAGCAACTGTCCCGTCGCGATAGGAGCAATTCAGCGCGGATTTGGCGCGCGTGCAGGGCGCGCATGGCACGTTCAGGTCGCAGCGGACTTTGCGCTGGCGGCACTGCTCGCATGCTTTTGCGGGACGTCTGCGTTTTCGTGGGGGTCCGTTAGGCATGATGGATCGATAATTGCAAGTAGATAAATACCGAATTATCTGGAGAATACAGAATGGGAGTCGGTGATGGAGAAATGTCACTAACCCCGAGGGCCGAGGCCGAAGTCGAGTTCGGGGCCGGGCTTAAGAAAATGCCGAACTACAAATCAGATATTATTGAAGTATAAGTAAACAATTAAATACTACGGCTAATTAATATTAATTAGCCATCCACTGGTGTCTCTTGCTCCACTGATGTGTATCCTCCGTGTCCGACCGTTTCTTCTCCTCGTACAGCCTCTGCGCCAGCTGTCTATACAAGAAGACATTGCCTCCGTTATATCTAATGCTGTGATCCGAGTCTGTAAACCACTGCACCTGCATTTGCTCTGGCGTGACGCCATCTCCTATCAGCGTGTCGACCAGAGCAGCGGCATTCTGGAAGTGAACATTGTCGTCGCCGGTGCCGTGCTGGATCAGGAATCCTCCCTCTACATTCTTGAAGCCCTCCGTGCGCCGGATGGCGGTGGTATTATACCCATCCTCGTTCGTTGACAGCGTCTTCATGTACCGCTCCGTGTACATAGAGTCGTACAATCGCCAGTCGGAGACAGGCGCTGTCAACAATCCGAGTGAGAACGCGCCGCTGTCAGTTTCGAGAACCTTGCCCGTGAGGTAACCGCCATAACTCCAGCCCCAGATTGCAATGTGGTCGGAATCAATCCATTCTCGCTGTGCGGCCTGTTCCGCAGCATAAACCTGGTCCTCGGCCTCAAGGTTTCCAAGCTGTTTGGCCACCAAGGAGCGGAATTCGCGTCCCTTGTAGCCAGTGCCGCGGTTGTCCACGGTCCAGGTAACGAATTCAAGCTCGGGATCGGACGCAATGTATGCGTTAAAATCGAGCCCGTTCCACGATTTGCTGACTTCCTGTGCTCCTGGGCCGCCGTATGGAGTGAACAGTAGGGGATATTTCTTCTCCTTGGAGAAGTTCGGCGGCAGCCTCTGCATTACGTTCAGTTTCTCTCCGCTCGGGATGCTGAGTTCAAAGTAGCTGATTTCAGGCAATGCGTAGCCCTTGAGCTTCTCAATCAGTGCTGCATTGCTGGTGAGGGTGCGAAGGGGAGCCGTCTGGTTTACAGAGTAAAGCTCCTGGTATGGGACCTCTGGGCCGGCGTAGGTGAGAATGTAATATCCAGCCTTTGCAGAAAAGGAAGCACTCCAGTATGCTTCGGTGCTATCATCAACAAGAGGCTTGATCTTGAAGGTCTTATATGACACCGAGTACAGGTGTCTCTCGGTGCTATGGTGCTGCGTCGAGAGATAGTATACGAGCTCGCGCTGTTGATCAATGCTCACCACCTCTGTAACTTCCCATTCTCCCTCAGTCAATGCGATGGGATCGCCGCCAGAGGTTGAGAAGAGATACAGGTGTGTCCAGCCGGTATGGTCGGACAGATCCACAAAATAGGTGGAAGAGTTTCTATTGCCGACTGGCCCAACGTATGCCATGGACAACCAGTTATCCAACCAGCCATCAGTACCATCGCGTTCATGTGCGACGGTAGTATCGCCGGAAGCTGTATCCACAATGACAATCTTCTGCTCATCCTGCACACGATTGAAGGCCTTGACAGCCAAGGCACCGTGCGCGTCCGTCACCCAGGCTACTTCACCAACGATCAACTCGCTGGGGTCGAATGCATCGATAGGAATAGGCGTCACCTGCTTATCACTAATCTTGAGAATACTCAGCTTGACTGTTGGGTTGGTCTCCGAGACTTTGGGGTATCTGATGTCGAGCTCGCGCGGATAAGGAGGCGCAACCTCCTGGCTGTCCATGTAGTACGGGACGGTGTACGTAGGGACGCCAGTCTCGTTGAAGCTCAGGAATGCGAGCAGCTCTGAGTCAGGCGAGAACCAGATCGCGAACCGGTCACCCAGAATCTCCTCTTCGTAGATCCAGTCCGGCACGCCGTGGAAGAGATCTGGTCCACCGTCTTCAGTGATCGCAGTCACCTCGCCATCAACCCAAGTAAACAGATTATTTCCGCGCACAAACGCGATGGACTTCCCATCGGGACTCCATTCGGCATACTGGATATCGCCAACCTGGCCTTTCACCAGCGGCGCTGACTCGAACGTCTCGACATTCTGGATGTAGTAATCAGCGAAGAAGGAATGGCGGTACTGCTTCGTGTAGTTGGTCGCCCAGAGCACAGACGACAGATCTGGACTGATCCAGTAGTCGTACGTGTCGTCTGGCACCTTGTCAGCTGGGACAATGGTCTGCGATCGGTTGGTGACGATGCTCTCGATCTTGATGCTGCCGTCCTGCTCCTGGAAGACGTACTCCCCATCATTGTCGGTTTCAATCCATTGAACTGAAATCGAAGAGGGAGACAGCTCAGGCGTGACCACAGTTTCATTGAATGTCAGTCGCTTGGATCCGGTCGCTCTGGGCTCGCGTGGTCTCCAGGGCACGGCGATGCAGGCGCCCACGAGGAGTGATAAGGTGGAAAGCTACGCGTGTTAGCATACAATTATCCTCAATTATAACGCGCAATACATACTTTCATTTTCACGACCAGGCCCAGCAATTGCTCTCAGCTCTGCCTGTGGAATTCCCAAATACCCAGCAAGGGGAATGGGCGAGACCCCAATTTAAAGCACGCGAACCCCCGCAACACAATAACAGCCCCAGCTTATCAGACAGCAGCAGGATAAGCCTGCGCATTCAGGAACATGCGCCAAGGCGTGACTGCGTCCGGCCGGCGATAACCGTCGAGTGTTTGTGCAGTTAGAAGGCGCGATCGGCGCCATCGCGTGCTTAGTGCTGCAACCCAAGACTGGCTCTCAGATTAACCAAGACGTTTAAAAAACGATGGCTGCTCCAAGGTAGCATGCCAAGAATGGCGTCTGAGATTGCAAAGTTTGCGTTGGTGTTTATATATATGCTGTCTGCCAGTGCCTGGTTCGAATCATGCACACTTTGTATGGAGTAACCTGCCATAGGAGAGAAACTCAAGGCGGGCAATTTCAATCGTAATGGAACCCCATAGACTCTTGTTTCTTCTCTTTCTCTTCTCCCTTTCACGCCAGACCGTTGTTGCCAACAGCCCATAGCCGTTGTCATGATCGCAGCCCGAAGGACCAGTATGGTACCTGAGCTTGTTGATTCTTGCATCAGCGCAGTCAAGACATGCCTTTATGCAAGATCTGTAGGGTGTAAGGGTTGATTGACTCGTAGCTGTTGAAGTATCAGACAGCATTGCATGGAAGTGTACCGGTGATAGTAATAGGGCACATGAAGTAGAGGACGCTGCATCCCTTTCGCAATAATTGCACTTACAATGTATGGGACGGTCCTATTATCGGTATCGATTGGTCTCCAGGGCCAATATAGCTCTTGTTAGTGAAGTCACAGCCACTGCAGTTGGGGTGAATGAGCACCTGAAACAGTACGGGGCAACATACAGAGGATAGTGTGTAGAAATATGGTTTGGAGCGCAGAGGCATGGAAGTTGAGGAAGGTGCCTTTATCAAGGTGTTGTAGGACTTGTGCGAGGACGGATGTGCCTCCCTAATGGAGGACTAAGAGCGGCTCTGGAGAGGCTATAGTTGTTCGATAAAAAGTCTGACACCATCACTGGGAGGTACATCGAGAGGCGCACTTTCCGTAGACCTTGGGCCCTGTTCGTAGAATGGTGAGGAGATATTCCGCTGGTCGGTATTGATTGCCTGGTGGACGTGGTGGTTCAGTTAGGGTCACCTTCCCAAACAGGAGATTCGAGTCGTATTCGTAAAGCAGCCAAAACCTATATAACGCTATTTATATATTCTTATGTATTTCTATTTAGTGTTGGAACGACTTCCCCATCGTAAATCTCCTGGGCGACCGAGCTATAACTCCAGCGAGTCCAGTAAGAAGGAGTCCCACCCTGTCCACCATTACTCGTAGCATAGATTCCAACCAGCGTGCCTATAGTAGTCAGTTAGCATGAACCGTAGTGCAGCTCGCCCTTGAAGAGAGATTATAGCATACCAAGAAACCCTCCACTGACTATATCACTACTTACGGAATCCAAGTTAACTGTGCCAAGTCCACAGGTAGAAGAGGCAATGAAGGTGAAGCTATCTGGGTCCTCGGCCTGCACCGTCATTCGGATAGAGGGACATAGTGACCACAGCTTCGCGATATCCTTCACCACTGTCTCGAACATTGGGGGCAGTAGGCGCAGAGGGGACACTCGGACAGCATTGACTAACTACAGTTGACTAACTATCCCACCTTTGCTGTGAGTCATCGACCACATAGATAAGCCCTCAAGACCTCCACACCATTCATTTCAAGTTGTCATCCCCATCTCAGCACCTGCCCAAGATGACACGCAACAAGAACGTCGTTTTCGATGTCGTCGGAACCCTCGTATCCTACGACACCCTTGTCAGCACCATGGACAGCCGCCTGGGCGACCGTCTCCGCGCTGAGGGCGTCAAACCCTCCCTGCTGGCAAACACCTGGATAGAAGTCGCAGAACGCGAATACACCTATCTGAGCATATCGGGCAAGTACGTTCCCTTTGTCAAATGCATGTCTCAGCTTTTCTTTCGCGTGCTGTGGCTGGCCGATATCCCCAACCCAAGACAGTTCGCTACAGAGGAGGACGTCAAGGCCATGATGGACGCATATAACAACCTTACCATGCGGCCTGATGCAGCGGAGTGTATTAACAGGTTACGTCAAGCCGACTTTACGGTCTGGGCGTTGACTGCTGCGGATCTGGATGGAGTTGCGGGTCTATTTGCAAAGGCTGGTGTGGAGATGCCGAAGGAGAACCTGCTCTCGTGTGATCTGTACGGCGTTGGAAAGCCAGATCCATTAGCTTACGAGCCCCTTCTGAAGCAACTGGCTCAGTATGGTACGAAGCCATGGTTTGCGGCGGCGCACTGTTGGGACGTTTCGGCCGCGCAGAGAAAAGGGTAGGTCTTGCCGGCGTCGAACTTTCCCTTGTTTTTCTTTTTTTTTGTGACTGACAACCTCATTATAGCTTCCGTGGTGCTTACTCTCTGGTATTAGAGAAGGATAAGTTGCCTGAGTTATTTGGCGACATCGAGGTCACGGCGGATACATTGCTTGAAATGGCAGATGGCATTATTGCCGCGGCAGAGTAAACTGTCTTTTCGCATCCCGGGCATAACCATGGACTCTGGCTCGATAGTTCTAGCTAAACTGTTAACACAATCGCTATATATTTTTGGCCGATCAAGAGGCTGTAAGTCCAGTGTAGTACGCCCTGTAGGCTGAAATAAATCCAAATGTAGAACTGGACCGTCTGATACTGATAGCTGCGAAGGTGGTGAATGTTGCATTAAGGCTATTATGAACCCATTAAGTCTATTCGCTTGCTAACCAGATATTAGCATTCGCATATCAGCCCTGCAGGGGAGAGTAAGCCAAGGCGTATTCAATTGGCGAGGTGCCAGTTGAAACTAGGTCGGAGCACCACTGAGACGATAACGTCTCTCCAGGCCGATATTATCCAGCATCGTCGGCCGAATAATGCTTGCATGACCCCGTGGGCCAGATTGATCATGATGTGATACATAGATTGCAACAAAAGTTTCAGCGACAAAGTACGGCCCGACCCGGTGACGTTCCAAGAGGCAGCCAGCTCAGATTAACTCCTACATTTCGTAACTGGATGTCGGTCCTTGCCAGTGTGAAAACGAAAAAGACTTTTCAGGAGTGTCGTGGAGTTTACCTGTGCGTATATCTATATCAAACCCCACCAGAGCACGACATCAACCCCGACGATTGTGAATCAACGCATGGGCGCTAGAGGCTGACGCAAGACCCCAGCAATATGGCATTACCGTATAATGAATCCCATGCCTGAACCTTGCACTGGCGGCCACGGGTTGTTTCTGCAAGCATAATGTCTGTAGCTGGTGGTGGGGTGCCTTCGACAGATCCACCGAGTTTGGGAATTAAGAACGCGCTCCTACAAATTAAATCCCTGCAGAGATTATACTGGGAATACTAGCAGGGCGCCAAGAACTAGCATGATATCGCCATACATGTCAAGTGTTTCGTCACAAGCTAAGGCGAACCCACCGCGTTACTTTTTTTTTATAAGTCACAGCTTATCGCAGCTGCCGATGAAAAACTTTCAACGGCTAGCTGGGGGATACAAGCAAGATGTCCGACAAGAAACCATCCGTGTCCACCGTCCCGGACAACTCTACGGTGCCCTCCGACCATGACAGCGTGAAGAGCAAGGGCGCAGCCGGCGCAGCCCCGCCTGTGGCCCCGGCACTGGCAACCCATGAAGGACAGCGGGCGGAATCCATCCTCGGTGATTGGATTTTGCGATTATTGCGGATTCGCAGAGGCCCGAAGAAGGAGGTGTACGACCTGGATGCGGTGTGTATATGGATTTTGCCCATAGCGTCAAATAACCAGAAGGTGCTAATTGATCCAGATCGCAACCCAGCCCAGTATATGGGACTCGGACAACCTTGACGAGTACAAAGAGCTATATATCCATCCGAAATGGGAGAACTGGCGTGCATTCGATCCGGGGTTCAGATGGACGTGGCGCGAAGAGAGGGCCGTGCGCCGCAAAATTGACTTGAAGATTATGGTAAGACTTGACAGCTTCAATTCAGGCATAGCTGACCGTCTAGTTCTGGGTCTGTATAATGTTTGCTGCGCTCAATATTGATCGAGGGAACATCTCCAACGCGGTCTCAGACAATATGCTGGACGATCTGGGGCTTACTCAGGGCGACTATGTATGTTTGCTACCACCGCACCTATTGATTTATATACTTACAACTATTAGAATACCGGAAAGACGATTGAGAGAGTGGGCTTCCTCGTCGCAGAGCTGCCATCTCAGATTATCTCCAAGCGGTCAGTCACCTTGTCCAAATTGTTATCAACCAGACTGACTCCCGTAGAATTGGACCCGATATGTGGATTCCTATCCAGATATGCATCTTCAGTACTATATCAGCTCTACAGTTCTTCCTCAATGGACGAGCCTCATTCCTCGCTACTCGCTACTTAATGTGAGTGTATCCTTCATAGTATATGTTCTCTACTGACTTGCCAGTGCCACATTCCAGGGTGGATTCATCCCGTAAGCATTACCCTGCCAAACTGCGAATAACTCTAATTCCGCAGTGACACCATTCTCTACCTGAGCTACTTCTATACTGGCCCGGCGGTAAGCTACCCTGAAACGGTAGCACTGTTCGTCACTGACTGACATCGCAGCTTCCCGTTCGACTGGCCTGGTACTGGATATCTGCGCAACTAGGTACGTTATTATAACACACCTGGAGAATCCTGCTGACTGTTACAGTCGATATTGTCACCGGCTTCGCTGCCGTCGGCCTCTTATCCATGCGCGGAATCCTGGGCTACGCTGGCTGGCGGTGGCTGTTCCTCATCGAGTAAGTTCAACTTCCCTTCATACGTTGCGCCACTAACAGGTCTATTAGGGGTATCTTTACATGTATGCAACTCTAAACCTATCCACTGGTAAATACTAACAAGTATAGTCCTGGTCGGGGTTGCCTCCTTTTTCCTCATGCCTCAGTGTCCGGCAAAGACCAAGAGCTGGTGGAATCCGAAGGGCTATTTCAACGAGAAGGAAGAAAAGATCATTGTCAACGGGGGTGAGCTATTAACTTACATACACGCACTTAATGGAGCTAACAATAATACTTAGTGATCCGAGATGACCCACAGAAAGGCGGAATGTATAACCGACAAGGTCTCTCCGTCCGCCAGATCTGGCAATGTACAAAAGACTACGACATGTGGCCACTCTACATCCTTGGTCTACTATTCGGTTTGCCAAAATACCCCGTGGACCAGTACCTGACTCTGTCGTTGCGAGACCTCGGGTTCAACGTCGTCCAGACCAATCTACTTTCCATCCCGTACATTGTCGGCGCCAGTGTAACCATGCTCCTCATCACTGCCTTCAGTGAGTTGGTGAACAACCGGAGTTTCGTGGCGATGGCAGAAGATGCTTGGCTGTTGCCTTGCTTTATAGCCCTTCTTGCCCTTCCAGACCCGATTAGCCCGTGGGCTTATTTTGCTATTGCGACTGTCCTGTTGTCGTTTCCTTAGTACGTGGCAGCATACGGATACTCCTGCAGGGATCAACTGACATGTACCAGTACTCATCCAATCCAAGTTGCCTGGACCAGTCGAAACGCTGGATCCGTACAAAACAGAACTGTTTCCGCATCGTGAGTAACCAACCCTCACGAGGTAATTTCATCTAACAATTCGCAGTTTATACAACATGTGGGTCCAAGTCAGCGGAATGATAGGAGCAAACAGTACGTTCTATTCCTTCAGTACTGAAGCCACTATCCATACTAACTAATCTCCAAGTCTACCAATCAAGCGACTCGCCCCGATACTTCAAAGCAAATAGAGGCCTGCTTGTGATTTGCATATGGATGTGTGTAAGTCAACATCAACCCCCGAACTCCCCCTCTAGCTATTCCAAACTCACATTATACCAGGTAATCCAATACCCGGCTACATATTTCTACTACCGCTGGCGCAACAGGTCCAAGGCTAGAAAGTGGGATGCAATGAGTCCAGAGGAGCAGCATCAGTATAGACAGACGACCACTGACGAGGGAAATAAGCGGTGAGTTCGGGGCTGTTTTATTCCAGGTCTATTGACCGTCGCTAATTTTCTATGACAGTCTTGAATTTCGGTTTGCGACTTAGTTTGGATAAGGAATGCCAGATAATGCCTCTAGGCATTATGGGGAACATTGGATATGGATTGATTGCGTCTTCGTTGTTAGAAAGCTATTATAGATTGGATAACAGCCCTACTCAAGCTTCCTCATATACATCTCATAACCCCACTCACAGCAAGAAACGATCTTCTTCTCATCATCAAAACATCCTCATCCCCAGCTCAACAGTAGAGACATTAATCCTAAGCCTGAGGCGCAAAACCCAACTTCGGGCCCCTCGAATCAAAAATAACATACTGACTCTTAAGGAAAACATCACCGAGGATAGAAAACTGCAAGCCCTGGTTACTCTGGATGCCACCAAAGCAAGACTCGCCGCCCTCAGTCACAGGTGCCCAGTTGATATGCTTGCCCGGGACAACAGCGACGTAGTTACCGATCGTCAGCGTGAATGCGGGCAGCTCGGAGTCACAGGGGAAGACGAAGCCGCCGGCTTGCTGGTCGTTTTTGGCGGAGGGGACTTTGTCGTAGTAGGCTTGGACGACTTCGTCGTCAAGCATCATGAGGGTTGTACCGGTGTCTATGCCAGTGTCAGCCTTTGCTATTTATTACTTGGGAAGCTGTTATATGTGGGGGGAACATACCAGCAATTCCGGTGAGAGGGCTGGAGGAGTTGCCGCCTCCATTTCCGACGCCATAGCTGCTGGCGGTGAACTTCCAGAATCCGTCGCTGCTGTCGACATCAGCGTAAGCAATAGACCCCTTGTACTTCTTCTTGTCGATGAAGCCGAAATCATAGGCTCCTGGGGCGTGGTGCTTCAGGGCAACAGCGAAAAGGGGAGCGTCGAGCTCAGACTTGACAGTGTCGAAGAATGTTTTCTGGGGCTTGGGTTGAACTATACTCAGATTAGTGGATGTAGTCAGATGCGTAGGAAAGTGTCATACCAGTGTTAATAGAGCTGAAAGAAAGGCCCAGCAGACCGTCGTTGTTGCGGTCCTGCACAAACTGCTCGCTGATCTGCTTGGCGGATTCGACAGCCTGGCCTCGCGCAGTGATGCTGCCGACGGAAACAGTGTCCTTGTAGACATCACCGCTGGCGCCACTGCCATCGCCGTAGGAGATCTTCCAGCTATATCCGTCCAGCTTGGTGGCGTTACCGGCGGGCTTGTAGATGCTGTGGCCGGATTGCTCGGAGGATGGAAGCTCTGAGGAGAACACCCAACTAGATACGGTCAGCTCAGAATACCTTCACGAATAGTACGACATACAGATCCGCAGAGCCGGTGTCGAAGTCCAAGTTGAGGGTCTTGCCGCCGACAGTAACTGGAGTTAAATATTGGGAATCTTCCTCTTCAGGGTTGGCAATGACACTGCCGCTACCGGCGGCATCCTTGATGTGCTGGGGCACAGTGGCGCCATATTTGTTCAAAGCACTGAGATAAACACCGGGGACGTTGATGGGTTTAGGTGCGGACTTTGTGGCCACGACCTGTTCGACGGTGAAGCCCTTGCGAGGCTTGACTCCGGGCAGGGCGGACGCGACGGTGGAAAGACCAAGGGCGACGGCTGTGACTTTGCTGAAGACAACCATTTTGGAGTCTTAAAGAGTGAATGAAAAAGCGAATGAATCAGTTCAGTGAAAGAGTGGCAGAGCAGGAGATGGAGGATATCTCGAAGATGAGAGTGATGATTCTACTGTACCTCAGGCGCTGCACCCATCTTTATACCTGAGTTCAGGGGGGACTGCCCCTCGGTCCTCAAACATATCATGAGTGATGGTCCACATCGACCACGGCGGACTCTTTCTCATCCTGGTATAGAGATAGGAAAATCCAAGAAACCACCGCGACTAAGCTTTCAGAAGCCTTGCAAGTCCCGTAATTAAGCGATGACAAGCCGACGAGGTTGCAATCAGACTGATGCCAAGTTAGCCCTAGACCAGGGGGACAGCCCCAGAGGAGGTGCAAGATGATAAGGGATTGGGGAAGAGAGCAATCAGAGAGCGCGAGTGGCATAACGTAGACCCTGACGGGGCGCCATCGTGAATGCTACTGTGGAGTCGCGGATATGCTTGTTTAGGGCAAGACTCGACGGTCTGCAGCTGGTGGCCTTGTCCAACGCGGGCTGATGCACGGAGATGGCCGGGGTCGCGTCATCTGGACTTGGCCGTCAATGCAGAAGAACAGTCATTCGACGCGTTATGGCGATCGCCATTCTGACAGAGTTGTAACACGATGGCAAAGGGTGGAGAGAGCAGGCTTGATACATCCGGCGGGAGGTGGACGGCAGGCTCATCAGGCACAGGAGGTGGCTATGCTGATTGGAGGGAATCGCTATGGAAGAGACACGAAGATCAAGAAGGGACACAGAGCAGCAGCACGATCCAGCTAACGGCTGATCGTCGTCAGCTGCAGATAATACAAAACACCCTCTATCGCCCTACACAGTCGTCGCTCTTCCCAATCGCATCATCTGTCGTGATTCTCCTCTGCTCTCTAGACATGTCAATCGCTTAAACCTTCTCATCCCCTTCCCCGATGCGACGGTGATAGTTTGGCCATCGAGTCTGCGTTTCAAAATAATATAAAGCGGATGCTCGCACGGACAAATCAACTTGCTGCAGCCCCTGTCCGACAGCAAACTAAAGTCGCGACACTGTCGATCGCGGACAACGCCACTAGAAAAGCCAATTCGCCATTAACAGGGTGCTGATGGGGCAGATCACTGGCCAGTGTCGCGATGCCCCGCTGGCCTATCAGCCCTGGAAGCAGCCCTGTTGCGTGCATGTGCAGCCAGCCCTCACTGGTGACTATCTTAACAAGGGTGTGCCTGTTTTAGATGTTTTATTATCTCATCTATTTTCATGTGATGAGGGTCTGATGTCCCGAAACAGCGCAGTTGCTTATCATCGCCCTTGCCATATACCGGAGCAATCTAGGCTGGCCCCTGACAGTATGGTTCATACATGATCGAGCTCTGTACGCTGGATATACAGCTTGTATTAAGTGATATTTGCCAGCACGCCCCAACGCTTCGCACTTTTCACTAAAAGCACCTTTCTTGTGAGATTTCAACTGGCTTCGTCGGGCAATATATAAACCTCTCTCTCTCATGCCCAGGAACTCGCCCCCACGACTTCCACGGACAAGTATCCCGATCGGCAATGAATGTAACTCGAGCGATCACCTTGTCAGTCTCCTAAACTAGTAGCATAACGCGATTGTTTCAGAGGTCGGCTTTCAGCCATAGAAAGTGTTCATCCCCCGCAATCTGCCCAGAGCATCCACTTTGTGACGTTGCTGTCTGCTGCGAATATATCAGACTGGAGGAAGCGATATTAATTAATATAAATAATACCCATAGAAGAGCTGAATGTACGGCAAAGGCGACCACTTTTGGGGGAATAAATGGATACTGAATTGCCACGACAGCAGTGGACTGAATAAGGGTAGAAAATACTTTATAAAGATCCCCCCATCTCTTACTCTATACGATTTACATCTTCATCACCGTTCGAATAGAACTGCACTACACACATGCACTCATTCACTGTTCACCTAATAGGAAGGATTGATATTATATTTGTCTACGGCTATGCTTAACCCTGCGTTATCGCAGTTTCATAGATCAGCATCCCACCATCGACAACATTTCCCGTGACGACGAACCTCCTCTTGATAGGTTTGCATGTTGATAACACCTGTTCACCGGTCCTTCTTCCCGTCGTATTGAGTAATTGGACTCGCGGGTAGCAAGCTCATAAGTTCTGGTCGAGGGGCTCGATATCCTCCAGATTCATCAAGTAGATGGACTGGGACGGGATTATGGGCTCGGCTGCTTGGGCGCGCATTCTGAGGCCCGGTTTAAGGGCTGTAGGAAACTAAAGTATTTGTTAGACTGGCTGGTACAGAGTTGAGGTGTTGGGGGTATACATACCGCAAAGGCCACGAAGGCAAAGAGCGCGACCACAAGGCTGATAAAGGTAGAGGAACGCATTTTTTAGATAGTTTAGAGTTGGAATAAACTGGTAGTGGTATGTCAAGAATGGATTGGAAGAGATGAATTGATTATGTTGGAGGAAGCAATAGAATGGAGGACGAAAGGGTTTTTATAAGTTTCTTCCATCTGCTTTTGTGAACAGCCTGCTAGTTATCCACGTTTTAGTGTTGCTAAACATAAACGGTTGCGTATTTGAGAAAGTAGTGAACTATTTAGTGATACTTGAACCAATAGTAGAATAAGTCCGGCATAGCTGGAAGTTAGGTCGTGAACCATTCACAAGTCTCACACAAGATATCCAACAATATATATGTTCCATCTGGCTGTTCAATGAGAGTGAGAATGAATGTCGCAACCGGGCAGTGCAGCGCCTGTTAACCTTCACTGGCTGAGTATCCTGCAGAGTGACTTCGATAGCTGGTTTTTGGTCAAAGAACCCACAGGCTGTGGTGTCGCCATTGAAGGCTATGTCAACTTGAGGATTGTATTATAGGTGACAGCTTGACTCAATAATATCAGTATCTCGATCAACTGCTTGGCCCCTCCGACTCGGCGTGCCAAATAAATAATACAGTCGGGCTGGTTAACTGGGTGCGTCCCGCGGTCTTAAGGTGGTTTAGCGTTGTTCTTATGGGGAACGGTCGCCGTTGTAGTATATACATGATAGTGTACTGTTGCAGCTGATGGCTACTTTGATTCCTAGGGAATGGGGCACAATGAACAACTAACAAATGGCTTCAGCTCAAGGTGCCAAATAGTCCTAACAAATCGACGGCATTGCTACTCTAATGTGCCACCCATTACCCGCTTCCTAGTTTCGTTAGACGACGGCACATAGGCCTTTGCACTTAGCCCAGGAGCGTGCTCATTCGGCCTCCCTCGAGGCGAATAAACATGAGAGCTTTTCGAGCCGGCATTGCTGGCGTTACCATTGTCAGAGTTACCCGCTGCAGTCCCGAATCGACTGCTATAACGCTCTGTAACCAAGTGCTGTAGCTTATCTCCCTCCATTGATCCCACCAACTGTGCCGAATTTACTGTAGAGAGCGCTCTCTTGACGTCAAATAGATCCGCCAGAGTAGTCACCACTACTTGGTCGCTGTCGCCATCGGCAACCACCTCCCCAACTCGGAAAATCTTTTGACTCGAAATTTCGTTGCCCATCTGGCACACCTCTAAGCACTGTTTCGACATAGCGAGGTCTTCTTGCAATCGCTTTCTCTCGGTACTATCTTCCGGGTCTCCATTGACTACAAGGCCTGTTAGTCTCTCCTGAAGGCGTATAATTGTCTGTGTAATGCTGTTCCGGCTGTCCTCCAGTGCCTGACGAGTGATCTGCTGAGCCTCAAAGCGCTGCCGTACCATGTCCTCTGTCAGATCATTTGGAGGCGACTCTGGGAGTAAAGATTGTTCTTTGTTTGTACATGAGTCGAGATAGATTCTCGCATCTTCGCAAATGCGAAGACATTGCTTGGTAACGTCTCTTTCGCTTTGCAGATCTACATCTCCCGCCGATGTATAGGTGCCTTCGTCAGGTAGCCGCGCCAGCTTCTCGTCGATTCGCCGCAAGTAGATATTCAGGTTGTAGGAAGTATCTTCGACCATCTCATTGTATTCCTCGAGGACTTTGTGGGAGACTTTGGATGTCTGCCTATATATGATATATCAGTACAGTTGAGAGCCGGTGGGGAGTTACAATAACCGACATTGTAATAACACCAAGACCAATTGATATCGTCGCTTTATACCCTCCGATTGTTTCCGCAAACTCAGTGATATTGCCTCTCCTAAATTCCATCTTGGCCCAGTCTAGGAAACCGACCTTCGATTTACTACTGAAAGCGCTCATTGACTGCTCGAATTCATTACATACTTGGCTGCATCGCTGAACCGGGCCTTCGAGAAGCAATAATATAGCAGCGTCAGTATCGACTGCCCGCTTTAGTGAGCTAAGGATCTTGGCAAGATCTTCCAACTCGTGTTGTAGGTTTTTAAGAGTCTTGTTGCGTTCCTTGAAGCGCCCAACTGTTGCACAAAGCGAGCTTGTCGACTGAATGGCGGCTGTAATAACAGCCAGTACCGAGGCACTAATACTAAGGGGGTCCGCCATCTCTGATCACGCCTGCAGCAACACGAAGATAAAATTATATTCGTTGTGAAAAGCGTTAATGTAGCAAGAGGGATGATTGAAATGGAAAGTGATGCTTGGGTGGGGTGAGGAGTCAGCTTTAAAATATCCCCATGGAGCCTCAATGGCGTTCCACCAAGAGTCTAATTGGCCCAAGTTAGCGCCGTGGCACACGACGGTGGCATACTATTGGGCAGCGACCCGAGTCCAGCGGGGGCCGTGGACATTCAAAATGGCCAGCACATTCCGTGGGCGCTTAATGGGTGTTTAATAGGTAGGTGGAGGTCAGATCCCACCAGCTGAAGGTTGGCTACTGTTTTCATACCAGATGGCGCTACTGATGGGAAGTTGCAGCGACACATCTGGATTTTCTTGCACTGTCTGGCCCTCGTTCAGTGACTCAAGGCCAGGGACTCAGGGGCCCGGTGGTTCCGGGCTATCGGGTATATCGATCTCGACGGCACTGCAGAAGGGTGTGTTTGCGTATATATAGGCTATCCAGCTAAGTTGCCGACGTTGTGTCCGCGGCAGACAGGCCAGTCCAGTGCGACTGTAGAGTGTGAAAACTATTATGCATATTACTTTGTCATTAAGCCATGGCTAAATTTACTGATAATAACTGTTGGTATTGAGTTAAGACCTATGGCACCATAGCTGCGTTGAGATGCGTTTCAACCAAGTCGAACCATGTACCCCGGAATCCAGACTTCCTGAATGCCCTAACCTGCTTCACAAAACCCTGCAGTTTTGCAGCACAAAGGCCCTGCACAGTAAACGATGATAGAATGCCCAGTATCTCCTCGCCCGGACCCTCAACTTCAAACATGGCCACTATCAAAGGAAACACCACCGGCAAGGCCGTTGAGTCCTTACCGGGTGACCTGGCGAAAGAAAACATTTCAGAGAAGATGCTACTAGCAAGTCCCTTTGCGGCCTCATCTTCAACTCCAAAGGGGAACCGCAAGCGGTGTATTACCAAAAGGCCAGCGAGACGATAGACCCTGGCTTGGGTCATCATTATCAGGGTTTCGTGTTTCCCGTGATCGGTGTAGAAGGTAGGAGGTGTGACTGGCTTCCAGTCTTTGATCTTTTGCTCTACATCACCGAGCCAGTCGTCCCCTGGATCGGTTTCGGACGTCGTGTCGTTAACGATATTTTTTCTGGCATTACTGAGCGCACAGAGGTCATAGAGAAGAGGCAACAGAGTTGAGCAAAGCCCTGCATAACGATCCACAATGATACGGTCTGGCAGTGTAAGTCGAATGACGGGGATTTCACGCCGCGCTAAACACTCGGTAGTGTCTACCAGAATCGGGCATATGATCACCGTATCCATTGCAGGAAAGTTGATGAGTCTCGGGTACCACTGCTGAGCCGATATCATAGCGCTGCGCATGATGGAATGGGCGGTGGAGGAATTGGCTGTGGTCAGTATGTCGAATACATACATGGCTTGGCCGAGGAAGAGAGCACAGGCGGCGTCATAGTCATGCGTTACGGTGACGCTTCTGAGGCGTTGAAGGCCCTTTGCTGCCTTTTCTAGATCGGGACTTTGCTTGTGCAGGACAAGCGAGCTTTGGTGCCGCGTCATTAACCCAAGGAACGCCAGGTATCCTTCGGTCAGGGTCGGTGCTGAAAAGCGCAGAATCGTGTGAACTGCCCTTTGGCAGTCGAGAGCGAATGTAGTGCCTAGCATGAACGGCATGTGTATGACAGCGAACTGTTGCACATCCTCGACTGTGCGTAGGGCATCCGAGATAGTCCGCAGATCGGCAGGGGCAGCAAGCAACCGTTCTGGCGCCGGCGGGACAACGGCGGTAATAGCGTCCTGTGTCACTCCGTCTTTTATATCTGTCGGCATACGCGATGTGGACTCTGTAATGGGGGCGTGGGGCGAGACACCGCACTCCTGCGCCTTGGGTTTGCTGCGTTCCTGGTCCTCGATACCCCAGACCTGCATTATGCCATGTGGAAAGGATTTAGCAGCAGGCCGTCGGCCGAGTCGTCTGTGCCTTCGGGATACGGTGCACACGATATTCAAATGGCGGCATCTGGCGCAGGCCAGCTGATTGTCTGCAAAGGAGCATTTCTCCTTGTTCCCGTGGCAGTGGTCGCAAGCTTTTACAACCATATTCAGACGGTGAGAAAGAACGTTTACAAGTACTTTGTAGATATGTTAGGCTGAGCCTGGAATAACACCGTGGTTTAAGAGAATCAGGTTGCGTCTTCCCCGGATTCCAGCCCCGACTTCGACCCCGACTCCAAGCTGACGCCCGAACCAGACTCGGACCAGCCAAGGAAGTTCCCAGAATCCAACTCAGCGTCCGTGCGACGACCAGGATCTGCGTGATCTGCCGTGGTGCACGCCGTCAAGTGCGCGTTGGGACCGATCAACCGGTACAGAAGTCAGGAGCGGGACATAGGAGACCGACCTGGAAGATGGCTCTTCAGTCTCATAAAGGCTTTATGCCCATGTCATTCCCCTCGCATCCAGTTGACCGGTTCTGCGGGGTATTGGGGTTGGCACGATGGCTGCCGATCGTGATCTCGACAGACTTCGCCCAAAATGGAAGAAATGGTCCGGTCCCACAATAATTTACCAGAAGGGGCAGAAAGTGTCCGCTTCTGGATCAGCAGTAACTCGAAGTGTTGTATACAACGCTCGTCAAGAGCTTGTCCAGCCCATAAGATGGATCTCAGGCCTGTACTCCAGTATAGAAGACGAAGGTTGTCATTCAACGCGGCTGGGAATCCCAGCATGCCTACCAAAATCAATCCGCTGAAGTCTGTTGCAAAGCGAAGTCAAAAGGCTGACCGCTGTAAAATCGCCAAAGAGCGTTGCAATCTCGAATATCCGTCATCCTCACCCAATACTCTCCCCTGCCCTGATGAATGAAGGGTTTTGGGAAATGTTTACCAGCCTGTTTGCTTCCGGCAGCTGAGCCTTCGTTCCCCTGCCAGGACCTACTACCATCACCGTTGATAGGATCGAGTACCTACAAGCACAAGGGGCTCTGGCATTGCCAACTATAGCCCTGCAGAAGTTCGTCGAATGCGTTCTCCCGTACATGCCCGTTCTCGAATGGCCAGGGTTTATAAATATCACCAACGCCCGAGATGGCAGCCAAGGCCAAGTCAGCCTGCTGCTCTTTCAAGCCGTATTGTTCTCTGCAACCACATTTGTGGAACTGAAATACCTTCTCGAGGCAGGCTACTCGAGCAGAGAAGAAGCCCATGAAGTGTTATTTGAGAAAGCAAAGGTCCGCCACAACATCCTAGCCCGGTTTAGGGGTTAATTACTTTCTAGCGCCTCTACTACGCCGGTTACGAGTCTGATGCACTTGTCGTCGTGCAGAGTCTTCTCCTTTTGACCCACCGGTAGGCTGGGCATATTACATGACTGATTGATTGCCTGATTGCACTACGGTTGAGACGTCGACCCAGGATCAAGCGCGAGTCATTTTACCATCAAATGCTTACACCTGATGACTTTGATATTGTCCTTGGCCCGAATCTACTCTACCCAGTATCGAAACACAGGGGCAGCTAAACCTGGGTAGTATCACACAGACCCGTCTCTGGGTATGCATACGCGAGGTCCTCGAACTACAGGCCTTCTCCACATGGTATATCACACGGCTACCTGCGTTCTGCATCAATCTCAAACATTCTGGTCATCCAAAGCTCGCATCCACCATGCTGCTCGCCAGTTTACATGGATAGCATGGGAGCGGCACAATCGGAACCGGCACACCTGCGTTCCCCGAATTGGGGTCACGGCGATTCTGGTCGCCATGATCGTCCATATATCTCAGATACAATCAGTACCTCGGCGGGAGAGACGGGAAACAATGGACTCCTTTGAGACGTGTATTACTGTGATGGCTAGCCTGCAGGATGTCCATTCTGAAACAAAAGCTGTTATGGCTTGCATGCTGCAGACCATGAAGGCTGTACCGCATAGGGAGTCTGCGGTTCAAAAGGACCCTTCAACTTTTTCATTCATTGAAGCTCCGTCAGAAGGCATGTCGGAATTGAATAGTCAGTGTAAGAACGAGAGACTGGAGGACTGGATAGGTACTTGACTAGTATATTCACTGCCTTGTATAATATCACATAATATTTCTATTTCCGTTTTATATAGACCCCCGACACGTCAGGGCTTAGAGACCTCTACTATTAAAACGGTACTACGCTTCCGGGCTATCATTATTTCAAAGCGTACTCGCCGTAGAATGCCTTCTGCCCCAAAACGGAATGAACTGTGTGATCCTGGTGGCGATCCCCGCATTGTAGATCTCCATCTGGGTTAAGGTTCGCTACTTTATCTCCTCGGTGTCAGTCAAATACCGAGGAGCTCCACACTAGATCCCCGGCTGGAGATATCCTGCTAATGGCTATGGAGCTCAGTGGTGGTGCAAATGTCTCACGAAGATAGATTATTCTAACGGATTGACTAAACTAAGTATCACTGGACAGCCACCTCCACGAATTGCGGGTCGTTGGGATTCTCCAAGGCCTTCTCCCCCTGCCCGTTTGTCGCCTTGGATGCATCTGGGTAAAAATCGATCTCGCCATGTCCCTTGATCACACCCGTTCGATCGAGGATACAGCGCGCACGCACATACGGGTCAAGCGTCCAGTAATTATCCCTGAGCTTCTTAATCACGTCGTCCCGACTGCTCTTCACGGAGTCATCAGCTTCCGATTTCGAGAGCGACTCCGCAGTGAGGCTAAAGAGCTCATCAGCCAGCTTCTTCCTATCTGCGAGAATAGTGTCCCTTGTGGCCGTGTCCTGTAGTTTCTCATCCTCGTTTTCCTTGGGCTCGATGCACTCGAACTCCCAGTCCTCGGTGCCGCCTAGTTCCTTTGTGATGCGGTTCAGGGGGATCAGCTTCGAGAGGGCTTGAGGGCCGTTGAGGAAATGGACTTTTGCGGCGACGACGGGGTCGAGGATTGGGTGGATGAGTTTCCACATTCCTGCTGAATTAGTATTCCCATACTTTTACTAGAGACGAATGCAAAAGGTGGACAAACCGCTGAAGATCCAGGGTGCATTGTAGAATATCAGCGCGCCCAGGGACTCGGGGTAATTCTCCTGGAAGCTCTCAATGATGAATTTCACCGGAGGAAAGTCCTGCACATATATCAGCCTTGCAACCCTAAACACTCTCAAAGGCACCCACCCAGTTCGAAAGCCCAAAGGAGGTCAAGTCGAACACGACCGACTATACCAGTTAGCCCTGCACACAGTCCATATATAACATAGGCATACTATCGTCTCCACCGGCGGAGCCATCGTAATCCTCAACGTCTCAATACAATGAACAATATAATTATTCAACGCCGCCGCCGGCTGGTCCGCCGGGCTATGCACACGCGCGCGCACAATAACAATCGGCCTCCCCGCCGCATCAGCACCATGGATATGGCCCTTTCCCGTGCGCAGCTGAACCAGGAAGCCCTCGCCATAGGCCTTCTCGGTAGCGTCTCCATTGCGCGCCTTTTCCAGGGCATACCCCTCGCCCCTGCGAAGGACGTCCTCGTCGACGCGGAACTCGTTGACGCGCCAGTTTAGGGCCTTGGCGAATTTGATCCACGCCTTGGGCACGTTCCATTTCTCGGCGCGCAGGAAGCGTAGCAGGAGTGCGTCCGGGTGGTCTTGTTTGAGCATGCTGACGTAGGCTGCGCGGAGCTCGTCGCCGTTGATTTGGGTGAGGACGGATTGGATTGATTTGAGCTCGGAAGAGGCTGTATTCAGGCTCTTGAGCGAGGTAAGCATTTTGGATGGAATTGCGGAGAGTTCATCGTCGGTTGTTTCGGGCTGCGAGCGGCCTAGAGAGAAGAACCTGCGGTGGGATTTGGGCGAGGCTGTAGACGCGGTGGGAGATTTGGGGACATCGGGCTTTGTGTCGCTTGTGTCCCACGACTGGAGCAAAATATTCCAGAATTCACGGAGTTTCACCTCCTGTTCTGCAGTGAGGTTGCCAAGAGAACCAGGGGGAGTTGAGGCAGTCATGGTGGGAGTTGGCTTGATCAATGGCAGACGCTACAGGTGCAGGCGAAGGGCGAATTTATGTCAATTCACGTCCACAGCCATGGCGTCAATCCATGTGATAACATCCTGGAGGAAGAGGGGCCGAGGGGCCTGAAGCCGGAGGAGGGGTTGGCCTGCGATCTGCAGCAGTTCTGGTGGTGATTGGGATGCGATACTAAACTAGCTGGAACCTGCAGTAATTAACCGGTTGCGAACTAGTGCTGAGTGGGCTGAACATCCCCTGACTGAATGAACCGGTTCCTAGTCTGGGGAAGTGCTCTCATCCACTCTTCCCACTGCTATCCCCGTGATGATCAGGCAGATCCTACGGTAATCCACGGTCGCACGATTACGTCTTGAATTAGTCTAGATGTCACATTGAGAGCTTAACTCCCTTACACAACGGTCAATTGCTTTCATGACTGTAATTGATTTGATTATATTAATATTTAGGGACAAACGTTTCAAGATCAGAACTGGGTATAGTGCTACTTTAATTTCAATCGAAGACTCTACCAAGCCGTCATTCCCCCGTCCACCTTGATATCTGCAGCCGTGATGTATGAAGCCTCGCTCGATGCAAGAAAACAGGCCACTGCAACAACTTCCTCAGGGCGTCCACACCTCCCCAGCATAACCTTCCCCATGGGATCCCCCCTAAACGGATCCCTCAACAGCGGATCTGTCTCGAACATTCCTATCTTGCCCGGCGAGATATAATTCACCCTGATCCCCGCATCTCGATCTCGTAAAGCCAAGTGGCAGTTCAAGTCCAGGATATCCTGTTTAGTCTTCCCCTGTGGCAGCGGGCTAACACACCCATCAATCGAGCCAACATTGACAACAGCACCGCCCGTCTTCTTCAAATGCGGCCTCGCCACCCCAGTCATGAGATGGATCAGGTTATACTCCTGGCTGTAGTTATTGTTGCAGTGTTCCATCGGCACACCCTGCCTCCACTCCAGATATGCCATCGATGCATTAATGCACAGTACATCGATACGGCCGAACCTCTCGATCGTGAAGTTGACGAGTCTCCCGCACCCTTCGGGCATGGTGAGATCGCAGGGTGCTAGCGAGATCATATTCCCTCCTATGGCCTGGACTGCTGTTTCTGTTTCTGAGGCGCGGGGCGCGCTCACGTCGCAGCCGACAATGGTGGCGCCTTCTTGGGCGAATTTGAGGGCTGCTGCTCGGCCCATGCTGCTGCCGGTGCCGGTGATGATGCAGACTTTGTTCTGGAGACGGGGCGTCATGATGATAAGATTTTGTAGGTTGTATACTCGTGGAACAGCTTGGTTGATAGGATGGGATAGGTTCTCTGGCACCAGTTAAGGAATACCCTGGGATCATGCTTAATAGTGCACTAGATAGAGCATTATATATAAAACCTTCATCTCCTTGTTCGATTATGAACATGACGGGGGCAGTGAATTTCTACAAGGAAGTGAGTCCAGAAGTAAAGACGGGCTTCCGCATTGGGCATTGTCCAGGGCAGAGGATTCACAAGCCGGCTCTTCCACTGAAGCCCTGATCCGGGCCACATCCAACCGTATGCCATTCAGCTCTGCATTGTATATCTTGAAAGTTTTTCGTATGTGAAGCCAGCAGGGAGTGAATAATGCTCGTGGATTGTGGAAACAAAGGTGCCACGAACATGACAATGAATCAATAAGGCCACCTATACTAGATCTCCGAAGCTAGCTGGACACTTGGGCCATTCGTAGCACCCTGTCAGGAAGCGTTTCACCTGTTAGCAGCTGGTGTGGGTAAACATGTCGTGGTCTTGTAATCGGCAGAAGAGTTGATAACTGAAGGCCAGACCTTCCTAGATGACTTGACCAAATGGAGCTAATTGAAGAAGCCTACTTACGGAACTCTCCATAGCTTACCATTAGCAGTGGAGCATTTATATGACGATCTGTTGCAACCCCGCCCCCGTCATCGGCCGATGATGTCATATATCACGAAGTAACATCTTCATTCCCACTCGCTCTCGTTTATTAGCATGAATGTCGGAAATGGTGTGTTTGCATGCTGCATGCCATGGAGACTACTGAGATTGGTAAGAAAGGAATCGCGCTATATTGCTAAACCACTAAGCTAAAGTACAGCAGACACTTATGCAAGCACTGCAGGAGACTACATAATGCTAAACACCGTTGATCTGTCTAAGCCAAAATATGTCAGGCATTGCACACCTTTATAGCGGTGTCAACCGGTCACACTATCAGCCACGATCCCATGCCGAGGATATCGACCCCCTTGACCCGCAACAGCGACAGGGCCTTATTGCCGTCTCCTGCATCGCAGCAGTGTCACTACTGGCAACATTTTCCCTCCTCTGTTTCCTTACATACCGGTTCATCTTCTGGAAGAAATACCACCGGCGCCCGCTCGGACACAACCACTATGTGGTACTCGTATACAATCTCGCCCTGGCAGACGCCCAACAATGTCTCGGGTTCATGGTCAGCCTCCGCTGGCTCGACAAAGAGGCAGTCCATGCATCCGACCCCTTCTGCTTCCTCCAAGGCGTCTGGCTACAAATCGGCGACCCGATGAGCGGACTATTCGTGCTGGCCATCGCCATATATACGGCCCTGCGTGTCATGGGCGACTACCACATCAGCCATCGCCTGTTCGTAACCGTCATCGTGAGCCTCTGGGTTTTCGGAATCCTTCTCTTCATTATCCCAATCGCCGTTCTCGGTCGGTGGGCGTGGCTTCCTGCAGTCGCATGGGTATG